TATAGTTGCAAGACAAACAACTGATTTTATTTTTGAGAGTTCATACTAAACATGAATATGACCATGCTCTAAGCCAATGTAGTTATCAAATGAATGAAAACGTACCACGATGTCTCTCAATGGAGATGTTTAATGGAATAAGGTTAGGTTTTTATAACTGGTTTATTAAACCTTTTGAAAACACTTGAAATTTTGAAAAAATCCAATTTAATGTGCATGTAAAGGCTGTGAAAGCTTTTTTCTTATTTTTTGATTCAGGAATTGTGAATAGGTAAATTTGATAAAATAAGTATTTCAAGTGATTAAAATCAATGAAATGCTATTAAAGGAATCTATTTACAATGCAAGTTTTCTCAAAAATGTAAAAATAGGCAAAGACAAGCTTTTATTGACTCCCTGGTGTCATATTGGTTAATACAGGGTGTCTCAAAAAAGGAAACCAAGATTTAATTGCTTATTTCTCAAATATGAATAATAATAGTATAATTTCACAGCTACCTTCCGACAGGTTATGATGTTTTCTTTCTTATAATGATACCAAAGTTGTCTATTTTTTTCACGTATGGCTGAGTTCTAAGGGATTTAAGCGACCATGTCAGAAATGGGTTTGTGCCACTTTTTCTTTCGTGAATGATTGAACAATGGGGTATTAAAATGGCTATGCCAGGATGGTTTTGCACCTTGTGACTACTTCCTTTGGGGTTATCTCAAGGATAAAGTATCCACAACATTACCAAGAGGCATTGATAATCTAAAGCCCAGGATTGTTGCAGCAGTGGAGGATCTAAGGGGACAGAGAGACATCAACAGGGATGCAGTATGTGCTATGAGATCTAGGGCAGACACCTGCCTTGAAAGGAATGGGGGTCGTGTCGAAGGACACTGGGGTTAAAACAATGACTAGTCATTAGGATTGAAAAGGGGTGGTAAATATGATATGTGTAACTTTAATTGGAATAAATAAGTAAAAGAGTAATATCCTGATGTTTATTGTTACCTATCACTATGTTATGATAATGAATTGACTTGGCTGAAAGTGGCACAAACCCACTTCCGACTTGGTCACTTAAATCCCTCATTGCTCAGTCATCTGTGGAGGAAAATAGAACATCTTGGAACCATATGAAAGAGGGCATAGTGATACAAAGGATAGTACCTGCGAATTGTCACTAACATTATTCATCTTTGAGAAATTAGCAATTTAATCTATTTGTGTTTCTGCCTAGCCCTTCAATAGTTGAGTGTACAAATTTTGAATTAACATGAAAAATAGGTTGAGCCATGTAAAAATAGTTTGAGTTCTGTAAAAATAGTTTGAGAAATGTAAAAATAGTTTGAGTCATGTAGAGGGAAGAAGAGGAGATGGATTGAGGGATAAATAACACGAGTCAATGGCAACAGTATACTCAAGTCTTATAAAATACATTATTTTTTTACATTAGCAATATAGTGACTGGGGGGAGGGGGATTTACATCTTCCTGGGCCTGTGAAAGCAAATATGTGATGCATATGAGAATGGAAATAGCATAAACTTATATTAATAAGTGAACAATATCACACCTAAATTATAGTAATAGCAATATGGTAAAATGGAGAATATTGAGTCCCGAAAATCTGTTGTAGTCAGTAGGAAAGAGAGAATCAGATATCAGCAAGCAAGAAAACAATATTTTTGGCTCATATCATTCCTTGTCATGTATATTTGCTAAGTATCCCCAAAGTAGGCCGACATAATGTACATTTGTACTTTAGTCCAGGAAATGTACATGTTGCTCGCAATTTTCTCACCCATTATAGATCTGATTTGCCTTTAACATAAAAAGCTGTATGTTAGATATGGCATGTCTACACTATAACAACTAGAAATTGACAACTCCATGGAGTAGCAAATCCCAACAAATACTACATTCATGAATCTGTTTTTACCATCTGCTCTACCCTTGTATTGATTTGGAGATAATAAAAGACAGACATTTGTGATATATCAGAATTTCCATCAATCTAAGCATTTGGTGACCATTTAAGACTTTCAAAGGCTCAAATCATGAAGACAATTACTCAGATGCGAGTAGGTAGTTACCAGTTTCGCCACCAGGTGGCTGATTCGGGGGAATTAACATGGCAGGGTATTACAAAATTCCCTTAAACTTGAACATGCATGAGTTTTAATGGTTCACTTTTCATATTACCTTTATGTATCTGTTAGTTATACAAATTAAAATATGTCCAGTAAAAGAAAATATTATCTGCCCAACACAAGAAAAGATATTTCACCTTTTGTGGCTTTACAACATGGGCTCTATGGGGAATCTCCCCGACCTAGAAGTCACATTTTCAAAGAAAATTAAATTTTCAAAGTTGATAAACTCTTTTCAAAACCACATTTCTAAATGTAATTTTACATGTAGATTCCAAATATGACATCAGTTTGACTGAATTGTGAATTTTTAATGACGTAAATCAAGATTATTTCTACTCGCATCTGGGATATTCAATATTTGAGATCTAATGTCAGAATGTAGTGTTTGATACTTTGAAAAGAATCAAAGATCTCAACATCACTGCGAATTCCCGCTTTAGGCAGCCATTTTGAATTGAGGCAAGAATCAGAAAAACAAATATACCATAAGTGTGATCTACTCTAAAATTCCTTCAATTTAAGTAAAATATAGCCATACTTTGAAGAAATTAGGAAACTATTGCAAAATCCCACATGAGGCAGCCACTTTGAATTTTCTGAATCCCCAATTAAAAAAATTATACAATATTTGCAATCTACATGCACTCTTAATTGCCTTACAATTGAGAATGATAAAGCTATACTTCACAAAGATCTCAAAGGACGATTCTCGGTTTGGAGAACAGTCTCCTGGGCTAATAATTTTTTTCATGAAAAATATAGAAATATTACCCAAATTAAACTATGAATATTCAAAAGAGGACATTTAAATCTACAAGATGTAAAGATAACAAATTGGTCTGAAGCAGGGATAATGCTCAAATAGACCGATTAAATATAAATACAAGTCTCGATTCGGGGAAAGAAGTCCATCAGTGTACTGAGCTAATATTTTTTTGCGAAAAATCTAGAAATATTACCCAAATTAAATTATGACTATTCAAAAGAAGACATTCAAATCTTTATCATGTAAAAAAATCAAATTTGTCCGAAGCAGGGATAATGCTCAGTTAGATTGATGAACTTCGTTCTCCAAACCGAGAATCGTCCTTTAACAAAAATACCTGTTCTCCCGACCACCCTTGGGGTCAGGCTGAGAAACACGGAATAAATGCATATTGTGAATATTATTACTACTATGTTGCTTTTATTTTTTTAAACTTGCAAAAAAATCTGTCCACTAGTATTACACTTACTAGTATCTTCTGGACAGACTGACAGACATATTATACAGAGAGTTTCATTATCCCTACCAAACTTTGTTCTTTGGGATATAACTATTGAATTGAGCAGCATGGGTCAATGTGACTTACAGTGTTATCTGATAAGTCTTATAATACTAGAATACATACAAACATGTATAGTTGAGACAATGCTCACATATTCACAACCTATGAAGTTGAATTCTTAGAATTTCTTAGAAAAATAGGTGTTTTCATTTCTTTACAAAAAGCCTATTTATGAGCTGAATCATTAAATTCAAATCTCTAATCTTAACTTTAGCAAGAGTAGGGTACAATAATTTTCATTTCATACCATATGATCAGTACAGAGTTTAAAGGAATGTTTTTTTCAAATAAGGTTCAATTTAAATCCTAAGCCCAATCAATACTAGGCCAGAGTGATCTATATCTATACTTGTTGACAGTTTCTAATTCTTATAAAGGCCCTTTACATGTATATGGTTAAGTTATGACCTCTTAACTGAGCCAGCTTGTCTTTGAATAAGTTAAGAATTCAGGCTAATTCCACTGTTTATTGTTCTCTTATAATGGCATCATTATACCCATTGATTCAATGACTACTATAGAAATTATTAATGATATTTCTTTTAATTTTTCTCCAGGCTATTTTTCTTAATGCCTATATCCCCTTCTGTTCATTCTCTATAGTTATATTGTGTTTCAACTTTTTATGTCTCCACCAGAAGTGTTGACATACTGTTATAGTCTTCAACTTTTTGTGGATTGTGTTCAGCATCTGCAACAACTGGCGGTAGGCATCTGTAACAAATGGGAGGTGGTGACATTTTGAATGTTAATGTCTTGCCTCTAATCTTAATGAATGCAAAACAGAATTGTGCAAAAATTAGGGCGCAAACCAAAGTTGAAGTAAATAAATAAGCCCTACTTCAATGCAGTTTTGCTTTTAACATGGATTAAACCATTGCATGCCAAAAGGTATCCACACCTCAAGGTTACTACATTTCTTAATATTAAATACTTATATTAAATACTATATATAAGTGAAATAATCTCAAACTGAAATATTACATTCTATATCAACATTATAGCCACATGATGGAAATCTATTAAATAAATAATAAGAAATACATGAATTAATTGTATATCATCTAAATTTTGAAAATGCTTATTCAGCGTGTAATAAAAATATACATGACAATAAATACGAGGGTTGTTCAATAAATTCTGAACTAAATGATCTCAAATTAAGAGTTTATATCATTCAAGGCTGAAATTAAATTAATGTTCATTAAGAAAGGAATTATACCTTCACTTTAATATGAAATTAATTTGGTATACCTTTTAATTGTATGTCCGGAGATGCCTATCAGGATTGTACTATGTTCTTAATTTTTCAAATATCTAACTTTGTGATCCAAACACTTCAGATATCGCTTCACCCAGTAAACACACATTTTTGCTAGTTACAATTTTGGGGTGAAAAATGAGCCCGCTATTCTACTTAATATGTTTGTCAATCTAATAACAAAATATTTACTTTTGAATATAGGACAGCCCTTGTAGAATTGATTCAGGATTCATGTATAGATTTATGAATTGTGTATGTAAGAGCCACTTGAATGATATCTACAATGAATTGTGTTGTAAAATTGCTTTCAGTTTTCTAATATATAAGGCTATAAGCCTCAGTAGACTTGTATTGATATGATATACATGAAGTACTTATAAGTTCAAATCTAATCATATAGAACAACTTGGATTCAAAGTTAGACATCATGCCAGAAATAAATTCACCAGCATAAGTTAGCTAAAATTGATTTAAAATATTCAATAAAGCAAAGAAAAATAAGATGGTATCAAATATAGGAATCAATAATCACGGGGCAGATATACCTGAATATGTCAATACTGTATCAGATGGAGCCAATATGGAAACATTTAACATTCAAGAAAAGTCACATCATCAAGATGTTCTCCCAAACGTACAGCATGAAGAAGAAGAAGAAGAAGAAGAAGATACGGACAAGAATCATTTTGTTGCTAAAATTCAAAACAAAATGAGCACCATGTATATGGCACATAAAAAGTCCATCAAATATGCTGCATTTGTACTGGGGCTACTGCTATATGGAGCATATCTGGTATATGCAATGTACTGGAACATTCAGGGTGCCATACCATTGATCGTTATAACAGCCATTGTTATATTCTTTGTAATATACAATCTCATCAAAAAATATCTCGGACCCAAAATTCTTAAGGTCCTAGAAAAACCAATTCACTTTGTAGAAACAAAATGGAATAAATTACGCTGGTAAGTGTATCATACATTTTTGTATATTTGAAATAAGGAGTTTTATATTTCATCATGACGTAGAATAATAAGAGGAAAAATATCATATAAATAATTTTAATCCTGTACTCAAAACATATTAGTTTGCCAAGTTTCATTTCTGATGTTATCAATTTCAATGTTTACATCATAAAAATTTACAAATGATTATATATGCATTTTCAAATAGGTTCAACTGATTTATCAACCACATGTAATAAGTAATCAGTTATAGTTTTCACAATCTATAGCTATTAATGAAACAAATGATTCTCTGCCATACAAAGCATGAATCAAAACACCATTTGTTTTATCTGCATTTGGTAGTTCAGAAAATATATGACATGATATGCATGATGGGGTTCCTGAAGGGTTAATTTAATTATAATTTTATTCTAACTAGGCTCTATTACATATTCTAACTAGGCTCTATTACATATTCTAACTAGGCTCTATTACATATATCTCTGCTTCATAGAGAAAAACTGTCCCTTGGAAGAAAGTACTATTCCTATACTATACTTAATTGCAAGAAATGAGCTGTTTACCATGCACTGATAAAGTGACAAGCCCATCCTAGGGTTCATATATTATTTGTTTGACAGCCACTCAAGTGCCTTACCCATTCTAGTTTTGACACCACTAGATAAACTTCAATAGAACAATCTATCAATGGAAATTAATGTACAGATATATGAAATGTCTCTAAATGAAAAGCATGTGCTTCATAGTTATCACAGAAAATGTGGCTAAAAAATTGCAAATTGTGCATGTTGTATTTACTTCTCAGGTGCCTCAACAAGAATTCTATTTGTCCTTCTTTTCTTAACTACTTCAAAGGGAAATGTAGTTATCATTTAAATATTGATGTGGAAGGTTCAATTCAGTAAACATTAGAAACAACAATATAATTCATACAAACAGGTTGACACAAAAATGCCACTCTCCATCTTCAGAATTAGAGATATCACATTTTCCGTCCAGGCATGCTCTCGGTGAAATCGTCAAAAAATTTCCAAAAATACAATTTTCTAAACATTATCAATAATATGTCATATCTATCCATTTAATTTGATAAACTGATTCACTTATTATGTAAATTTTAAGAAAGACAGATTTTCTAATTTATATTTTTGAGTGATTTTGTGTCAGGCCATGCCTCCGCGGAAAATGAGATATCTCTTAATTTCCAAGTATTTGATGCTATGAAAGCATACCAATTATAATTATGAAAATTATGAAGATTCCTTAATTATTGAGAAATTCCAAAATTAGTGGGTGGAATTTTTGTGTCACTCAGTATGACATATAATATAGGTTATTAGTTTATATAATACAGGCATTTACAACTTTTATACTGTATGTAAAACTACACAGACGTCAAATTAATATAAATGATAATAAAAATTATCATTCTGTATATTAGATTCTAGGGATCAAGAAATGATATGATGATGTTCTTCTTTGATCTTTGGTAATCAATCATATCATATCTCTGTGTACATGAACATCCCTTTGTTAAATTTCATGTTAGTTAAAAAGAATGATAATATACCTGGGACAACCCTACTCAAAATGTTTTGATATTCACCTAAAATCTCCACCTGAGAAAACAGTACTTACTCAAAACCATTTAAAATTTTGATATTCATCCAACCAATTAAAACCAGAAACAAGCCTCGTATAAGATAAATAAAGATAAGTCAGGCAGATTAACATTTTATATTTAATACCTTTGCGCATGTTTGATTCACATTTGATTTAACAACTGCCATGAGTGTAATAAGGTAACCCTGATTTCATTTCTTTTTAGGGTATGGTATGTTATAGTAGCAATAGCTATCATAGTGTTCATTGGCATTGATGCCTCTAGGAAACCTTATAAGCTGGTGTCTGTAGGAGGCATATTGGCCTTCTTATTGCTAGCATTTGTGGGATCAAAAAATGCAGTTAAGGTAATATCTAAAGATTATACTGTATGTTAATCGTTTTCCTTGATGAATTCAAAAACTTCTGAGCACCGACATTATAGGTCTGAAAGAGCCCTAAAGAGTCTTCATAAAATATCTACTGTACGCCCGGTATTATTCGCGTGCGATTAACTTTTGCGCTTTTCGCTTTTCGTGTTAAAATCGCGAAAAATTATCGTCGCGAAATTGCCAATTGCCAGGGCTCTGATGCATTTCGTTTTGTGTAAACGTTTCGTCTAGTGTTATTGGGCGATAATTGGATATCCACGATCTTCAGGACTTCAGTAATGTCCATTTTACATTGGCTGATTCGGCCCAGTACCACCAGTAGGCCAAATAATGATATCGATGACATCATTGCAAATGAAGTGCAAATTGCAAAAGATAACATGAAGTCCAATTCCAAACGCGGGACATATAAGGTGTATAACGATGCAGAAAGGGCAAACATAGCCCGGCACGCATTACTGAATGGCAATTCAAGCGCTGCTAAACACTTCAAAATCTCCGAATCGACAGTTCGGTCTTTTAAGAAGCTCTTGCACATTAAGATTAAGGGGGATCCCCTCCATTTTCGCGAAATTTAATAGCCGCGAAACCGTGTTTTCGCAAAATTCGCGAAATTAAAGCTCGCAAATAATACCGGGCGTACAGTATATGAATATCAATCCATCCATTTCGCACAGCATTATACATCATAATTTAATTTCCAAAATATGATCTCAAATGAATACACATATTGACCACATATTGAACATGGTTGTAGGTGAACTGGAGTCTTGTGCTATCAGGAATGGTGTTACAATTCATATTCGGCCTCTTAATTTTACGTTGGTCATATGGACTGATAGCCTTTCAATGGCTAGGGGACCAGATCACAATGTTCCTTAATTATGCAGACTTTGGATCAAAATTTGTGTTTGGTGATGCCTACTTAGAGCATATGTTTGTATTCCAGGTATGGTATGGTATGGTATAGAACATAGGTACTTTCGAGAGAATTAAAATTGCATATAGCAAACGAATCGGAATGTGAGAAATGTATTTAGAGTTAAGTAGTTGCACCAGAATAAAGAAAAAAAATTCTCTTTATGTTCCACTCATTTGTTATTGACTTTTTATTAAAAATATTTTAAAAGCAACTCATGTGGAGTTTTATTTTGAGGAAAATAGCACCTGGAGCTGGCTATAAAATACTTTTTGTAGAATAAAATGTGTGCTAAATATTTCAATCCATAGCATGAATATTTTCAAATAAATGCTGGGAGAGCATTTATCATGGTTTTTCAAAAATAGGCCATTGAGCCTTTATAAAAAGAAAAATGTACAGGTAAGGCCTTTCAGTTTATAGCCCAGGGCCATCAAGAGAAAATTCAATAAGCATATCAATGCATGAAAATCCAGGAATAACCCTACCTAAATTATTATAATTTGCTTACTTTACCTTACAGGTCATGCCAGTTATCACATTCTTTGCTGCCATCAATGCATTATTGTACCACTGGGGGGTCATACAGGTGGGGATCCGCAAGTTTGGCTGGATGATGCAGGTCATCATGGGTACCATACCAACTGAGTCCTTCATAGCAGCTGCAAATGTCTTTACTGGGCCAGTGAGTTGAACTAATAGTATTAGTATCCCTAAAATGGATGAAGTCATATTACTTCACTAATTCAGGTATATACAGTACTTTTGGTATACAGTTAAAGTAATATAAAAAATGCAATTAGTCAAGATTCTAAATGTTTTTTTGTTGCTTGTAGACAACATCATTACTCACAGTTTCTGGTTTTCTTGCCAAGATGACAATATCTGAGCTCCACTCTGCTATGACCAGTGGCTTCTCAACAGTGGATTTTGGCCTTCTTGCTGTCTATACATCATTTGGGGTAGGGTTCAATTTATACATTGTTTGGGATAGGGTTCAGTTTATACACCATTCGGGATAGGATTCAGTTTATACATCATTTGGGATAGGGTTCAGTTTATACATCATTTGGGATAGGGTTCAGTTTATACACCATTCGGGATAGGATTCAGTTTATACATCATTTGGGATAGGGTTCAGTTTATGCATCATTTGGGATAGGGTTCAGTTTAAACATCATTCGGGATAGGGTTCAGTTTATAAATCATTTGGGATAGAGTTCAGTTTATGCATCAGTTGGGATAGGGTTCAGTTTATACATCATTCGGGATAGGGTTCAGTTTATACATCATTCGGCATAGGGTTCAGTTCATGCATCATTCAGGATAGGGTTCAGTTTATGCATCATTCTGGATAGGATTCAGTTTATACATCATTCGGGATAGAGTTCAGTTTAGACATAATTCGGGATAGGGTTCAGTTTATACATCATTCGGGATAGAGTTCAGTTTATACATCATTCGGGATAGGGTTCAGTTTATGCATCATCAAGGATAGGGTTCAGTTTATACACCATTCAGGATAGGGTTCAGTTCATGCATCATTCAGGATAGGGTTCAGTTTATGCATCATTCTGGATAGGATTCAGTTTATACATCATTCGGGATAGAGTTCAGTTTATACATAATTCAGGATAGGGTTCAGTTTATACACCATTCAGGATAGGATTCAGTTAATACATCATTCAGGATAGGGTTCAGTTTATGCATCATTTGGGATAGGGTTCAGTTTATACATCATTCGAGATAGGGTTCAGTTTATACATCATTCGGGATAGGGTTCAGTTTATGCATCATTTGGGATAGGGTTCAGTTTAAACATCATTCGGGATAGGGTTCAGTTTATACACCATTCAGGATAGGGTTCAGTTTATACATCATTTGGGTTAGGATTCAGTTTATACATCATTCGGGATAGAGTTCAGTTTATACACCATTCAGGATAGGATTCAGTTTATACATAATTCGAGATAGGTTTCAGTTGATACATCATTCGGGATAGGATTCAATTTATACATCATTCAAGATAAGGCTTAGTCTATATATTAATCATGATAGGAATCACTCAGCAGATTATTTATGATAAACAAATGAATAAATTACTTATAATTAATTGATTTAATCAACAGTAATTGTTTATTTATTAATCGAAACATTATTCAGGGAAGGGACAGGTTACAATCAGACTCTCAATTTCAGCATTATTTAAACATAATTCAGTCTTCGCATTGTTTGGGATAGCGCTCACTCTAAATACTGTTCGAGAGTTCAGTCATAACATGGCTTACCTCTTATGTACAGGTTTTCGAGAGTTCAGTCATAACATGGTTTACCTCTTATGTACAGGTTGAGTCTAGTCATCTTGTTGCAGCCAGCCTGATGTCAGCGCCTGCAGCCCTAGCCATAGCACGTCTCCTCTACCCAGAGACAGAAAAGCCATCTATTGCTGAGGTCAAGGATATCAAGTTTGAAAAATCGTAAGTCATCATGATTTCAGCCATGCACATTAGCAGATTATGTTATCAAAGCAGAAGTAAAATCATGGGTGAATATAATAAAGGATTTGATTATTCCAGTAAAAACAAACGCCATAAATCACAATTTTGTGGCTATTAAATTTTGGGGATTTTACAATCATCAGGCTCTGTAAACTAAGTTACCTTACGTACAGTATTTACACCAACTCAATGTCATATTTGGTCAATGGCATGCTGGACCTTAACCTCTATTTTCTCATCATTTTTGTTCATTTGATATAATAAGCCAGTGTAAGATAAATTGTTGCTAATATACACATTACATGTATAGATACTTTTCACAAATCGTAACTTGGTCCAATATTTACACGAAGTGACCTTCAGTATATATGTATACATATATGTGGGCTAAATACTGTCTTTGTTTGCTATAGTCCAGCTAGGAATTCAATTGATGCCTTTGCATCTGGTGCAAGTGATTCTGTTCCAGTGGTGGCAAGTATTGTAGTCAACTTGATAGCATTCGTGGCAATGTTAACCTTCATTAATGCAACCCTCAGCTGGCTGGGAGAACGTGTGAGCTACCCTGATCTTAGCTTCCAGGTAAGTAGCATGTTTTTGCTTTGCTTTTGCTTCATCTTCACTTCAGTCATAATGAGAAAATGTGAACATTCGGAGAATCCAGATTTCTCTTAAGAAATATCAATTCTTTCGGAAAAATTAATTTCAACAAAAGAACATACTTATTAAATGAATGTCTTGGGATAGTATTTTCCTCTATGCCCTGAATAAGCTGATTTTATCTTTTATAAAAAGTCATACCATCATTTCATTAATCATGACCCATATGTATCCAATACAAGACCCTTTAAATAAATTTATATACCCGTCCTCTGATATACGAGGGGCGATTCAAAAGTAATAGACAAAATTTTATAGGCATTTCTAAATATGTTCACACTAGTATATTCTATTCTCCAGCTGATCTGTTCTTACTTATTCTGGCCCTTAGCACTTTTGATGGGTGTGGACCTCAAAGACTGCTTGAAAGTTGGAGAACTGATTGGTTCAAAAATATTTCTAAGTGATATTGTAGCTTATGAAAAGCTTGGAGAGCTCATTAACAACAGGAAAGCTGGAATCCTTCCTGCAATGTCTGTGAGTATAGACGAACAAATTACAGTAAAACCTGTCAAAGAGGAACACCTTTGGTACTTCTAAAATGTGTTCCACTTGAGAGCTGTTGCACTGAAGGAGGTTCATTTAACATATAGCCAGGAGGTCTTGAGACTCTGGAAAGCGTTACACTAATTACAGAGGTGTTCTACCTCTAGAGGTGTTCCACTTTATAGGTTTCACTGTATATAAAACATGCATATTTTGATAATAATGGTCTTACACTGGGATTGTAGTTATTTATTAAAATATTTTCAATCTGAATTCCTTAAAAGTGTACCAGTTCACTTAAAATTTATTCATTTTAGCCATAATGTGTCATTATTATGCCTAATTAGTAAAGTAATATTTATTGTAGATTCGATCAGAGGTGATAGCAACTTATGCTTGTTGCGGATTTGCAAATTTCAGTGATGTTGGTATTGTTCTAGGGAGTGTAACTGCACTAGCGCCATCTAGGAAACGTAAGTGAAATCAATATTGAATTCACTTAAATTGGTTGAATTTATAGAAAAATACACAGCCAATATCCAACAGTACTGTATGGTATTCCATGTACACTATACTGCACCATACTCTAATAGTACCATATGGTACCATACTCTTAATGCACTATACAGTAACATGATTTCAGAGTGCAGATTGGGGGTGTAGAGGTTTCTCTAAAGCTATGTTCACACCAACGGCGAATGCCACGCTTTAAATCGGCGAGCAAAGCGCCGTCATTTTTGTTATTTTTGTTCATACCAACGGCGCTTTGATGGCGCTTTAAAGCGGCTTGTAAAGCGACACCAATGCATAACAAAGCTTGATTAAAGCGTCGGGGTCGTAATAGGTCGTAGAAAAGCTCGAAGTAAAGCGGGATATTCGGCAAGAGCGCCAAAAAAATTTAAACTGTTTAAAAATTTTGGGTGCTCTGTTACGAATTGACTAAAGCGCCGAGAGCGTATCAAAGCTTAACAAACCGTAACAAAGCTCAGAAAAGCTTGATCCAAAGCGTAGGAAAGCTTAACATAGCTTTGATAGGTTCCTCAGGCTTTTTTTACGCTTTGATAAGCTTTGATAAGCATTATTACGCTTTGATGCGACAATGACGCTTTAAATCAGGCTCTGATACGATTGCCAAGCTCTGTTGTGCATTGTTACGTTCTGTTAAGCTCTGTCACGCATTGGAAAATGTCGAGATCGCCGATTTCATGCCGCTTTTGATCCAATGACTATATAAAGATGCAGTAGATCCATAAAACCATTGCATCTTTGACTTGAGAACACGATGGCAGAACAACAAGATCCAGAAATTGCAGATGGACATGATGTTTGTCGCACGGCGTGATATAGCGTGTGGAAACTTGTCAAGCGTAACAAAGCCTAGCAAAGCGTTTCAATCCTTGATTAAAGCGTCTCAATTTGTTGGAAAGCTTGAGAGTCCTTCATGAAAGTGTAACAAAGAGTGTCAGATATTGATTAAAGCGTCTGACCTCGTGTCAGATCTTCATGCCAGATCGTAGCAAATCTTGAGACATCTTAACGAAGCGTGTCAAGTGGTAACAGACAGTGAAGAGACTGGGGTCCCTGCTTTGAACCAAGCTCTGTAAAGCTTTCATACGCTTTGGGTCAAGGTTTTGCTGAGCTTTGTTACGGTTTGTTAAGCTTTGATACGCTCTCGGCGCTTCTATCAATTCGTAACTGAGCGCCCAAAATTTTTAAACTGTTTAAAATTTTTTGGCGCTCTTGCCGATTATCCCGCTTTACTCCGAGCCTTTCTACGACCCTTTACGACCCAGACGCTTTAATCAAGCTTTGTTACGCTTTGGTGCCGCTTTACAAGCCGCTTTAAAGCGCCATCAAAGCGCCGTTGGTGCGAACGTAGCTTGAACAGTTTTTATTTTTGCGCTCTTGCCGAATATCCCGCTTTACTCCGAGCTTTTCTACTACCTATTACGACCCCGACGCTTTAATCAAGCTTTGTTACTCTTTGGTGCCGCTTTACAAGCCGCTTTAAAGCGCCATCAAAGCGCCATTGGTGTGAACGTAGCCTAAGAGATACAATAGTATTGTTTACAAAATGGACAAAATGAAACTTTTAACCTGTGTTGAATGCTGATTTATGATTTCTCTTTACAGGAGATTTAGCATCTGTTGCTATACGGGCCATGGTTGCAGGGAATCTTGCTTGCTTTACAACAGCTTGCATTGCAGGTGAATAATTTACACATAATTCAGTTGAATATTGGCATACATGTTTTTTTACTATTATGACTGGTGTACTGGTGTTCTTTTTCTTGTTGTATTTTGTAACCATTTATGGTGTTTTCCCATTGGCATACATCACTGTATAGAAAAATTTGAATAAATGCAAATTAATATATATACTATATATATACTAATCAAATTGCAGGAATGTTATTTGACAGCTAGCAAGGATTCCATTGAGTGACTTCTAAAGGGCTTCAAGATACAAGAAACTAAATCAGAGACAAAACGCATCATAATCAAAATGAACACTCTAAGAATGATATCTTATAATGATATCATTTCAGGCTTAAACCGTAAAATGATATGAAATGATTTAATTGAAGGAGACACATTTCGTTGGTATATTCATATATATTTTCCAAATGGTTTATTATACATGTATATTATTTTTTTATCAGAAAGAACATGTACAGACCGGGTGAACAAAATAAAAAAAATACAATTTTTGGCCCACCCTATATATTTTAATGTAGTTGTACAGAAAACATTGCAGAGCATATGATAATAAATATTAGCATTGAAATAAAATATACTAAATGATCGAGACTTTTATTAGCCCTTTATGTTCAAATATGAGGTAACATTTGCAATAACCACATTTCCATAGCATATTAGATGGCAAAAGAGGCTTCTAAGCTTCTTAGTCTATCTATAGTGGTTTTAAAAAAGGTTAGTTTGTAATGACATAACTTAGCAAGGCAGTTACCCATTTATTTTGAAGTGTTGGGCTACAAATTGTAGTGGTGGACATTGGGAGGGCTCAGGTGCCTGCCCCCTCCCATATACTTAGCTGCTTCATATTTTGCAGAAACTTCTAGACATTATTGATAACTTATACATTTAGGTATTCTCCGCAATAAAAATGGTAGCCATTTTAAATCTTTCCAACATATTTTGCTGTAATTGTATATATTATTGATAACATGAAAAATTAAGGTACCTGTACAATTTCATGCAAATTGATGGAATACCTGTTGAGTTCTGACCAAAAAGGTGTTGAAAACCTGATTTTTCCACAATAAAAATGGCTGCCATTTTGAAACAAATCAAGGCAAGCTTTTGAGACGCAACTTATGGGATAATTGAACGTTTTAGATAGACATGTCTTAAAAAGGAAACCATTTCAATTGTCATGGATTTCAAATTACGAGTAACTATCAATGTGATGACAGAAGGATAGACAGACAGACGGACAGAAGAACAGACGGGCCATTACAATAGCTCACTCCATACTCTAAATATACAATAGTAAATAAGCACCATGGATATGTAGGCTAACATTGTAAAAGTGCTGGAAACCTGATGGATGATAGGATGGATGATAGGAAGGATGGATGCATGGATGGATGGATGCATGGATGGGTGGATGAATGGGTGGATGGATAGGTGGATGATAGGATGGATGGATGGATGCATGGATGGATGGATGCATGGATGGATGGATGGGTGGATGGATCGATGGATGGATGGGTGGATGATAGGATGGATGGGCGAATGGGTAAATGGATGGTTGAATGGGTGAATGGGTGGACAGGTGGATGGATGGATGGATGGATGGGTGGATGGATGGCTGGACAGATGGGTGGATGGGTGGATGGATGAATGAGTAAATGGGTGGATGGATGGTTGGATGGCTGGATGGATGGATGGTTGAATGGGTAAATGGATGGATGGATGGGTGGGTGGATGGGTGAATGGATGGATGGTTGAACGGGTGGATAGGTGGATGGATGGGTGAATAGGTAGATGGGTAGATGGATGGATGGATGGGTGAATTGGTGGATGGATGGATGGGTATGTGGGTGGATGGATGGATGGGTGTACAGGTGGATGGATGGATGGTTGAATGGGTAAATGGATGGATGGATGGGTGGGTGGATGGGTGAATGGATGGATGGTTGAACGGGTGGATAGGTGGATGGATGGGTGAATAGGTAGATGGGTAGATGGATGGATGGGTGAATTGGTGGATGGATGGGTGAATTGGTGGATGGATGGATGGATGGGTGGATGGCTGGATGGGTGAATGGGTAGTTGGATGGATGGGTGAATGGGTGGATGAATGGCTGGATGGATGGGTGAATGGATGGATGGATGGGTGAATGGATGGATTGGTGGGTGGATGGATGGGTGAACGGGTGGATTGATGGTTAAATGGGTAGATGGATGGATGGATGGATGGGTGAATGGGTGGATGGATGGATGGATGGATGGAGGGGTGGATGGATGGGTGAATGGGTGGATGGATGGATGGGTGAATGGATGGATGGATGGGTGAACGGGTGGATTGATGGTAAAATGGGTAGATGGATGGATGGATGGATGGGTGAATGGGTGGATGGATTGATGGATGGATGGATGGAGGGGTGGATGGATGGATGGATGGATGGATGGGTGAACGGGTGGAAGGATAGATGGTTGAATGGGTGGATGGATGGATGGGTGGATGGATGGGTGAAGGGTGGATAGATGGATGGATAGATAGATTGATGGATGGATGGATGGAGGGGTGGATGGATGGGTGAATGGGTGGATGGATGGATGGGTGAATGGATGGATGGGTGGATGGATGGATGGGTGAATGGATGGATGGATGGGTGAACGGGTGGATTGATGGTTAAATGGGTAGATGGATGGATGGATGGATGGATGGATGGATGGGTGAATGGGTGGATGGATGGATGGATGGGTGAATGGATGGATGGATGGGTGAATGGATGGATGGTTGAATGGGTGGATAGGTGGATGGATGGATGGGTGAATGGGTAGATGGATGGATGGATGGGTGAATGGGTGGATGGATGGATGGATGGATGGGTGAATGGATGGATGGATGGATGGGTGGATAGGTGGATGGATGGATGGGTGAATGGGTGGATAGATGGGTTAATTGGTGGATGGATTGATGGATGGGTGAATGGGTAGAAAGGTGGATGGATGGGTGAATGGATGGATGGTTGAATGGGTGGATAGGTGGATGGATGGGTGAATAGGTGGATGGATGGATGGGTGAATGGGTGGATGGATGGATGAATTGATGGATGGATGGGTGGATGGATGGGTGAATGGATGAATGGGTGGATGGATGGATGGGTAGGCAGGCAGATGGAGAGGTGGACAGAAAAGTGGCTGATTATATAACTAATACCATGAGAGCTAAAAAAACAATCAAGCAAAATTCAATGATACAGTCATAATAAAACATAACATCAACAGATCTTTCAAACATTTTAATATTGAAATGGACTTTAGAAATGTCATGCATTCACACATTTGTTGATAGAGCAAGCCACAGATGTTCAAGGAAATGCTTTTATTTAAAATGTACATTTACAAAACAATACAATAAAAGCTGTAAAAGGTAGACTAAGTAAACTCCACTTGTATACATATTATCTTTGAGCCAGCTGATAGAAAGGATTAAGATAACGTTGCTATGATTATGATAAGAAACATTCACACAACAACCGCAATGAATAACACATTCATTTGAATAACACACCTTGCCAATTAAATACTGAACTGTTTATAATTGAATATAATATCTAAAAGAAAATTATGATACATGAAAGCAAAAGGGCCTACAGTTATGGGCATGGATGCCGTATCGCAGGTGTTGTCATGGTTGGTGTATCCATGGGAATGGCAATAAGAAGTGTTTCACAACAAAGCTGGGCCAGAATTTCTTCATCCAACTCAACCCACCAATTGGACACGAGAATAGGATTATTTCAAATGTGCAACACAGTGAATGAAACGGACAGAGAATGTAAAAGTACACTTGACATGAATTTACGTAAGTCCAGATAAATCATTTAAATCAACCATTTCACTTCTTCATTTACAGCTCATTAGCTTTTCAATTAATGCTACATTACAAAAATATCCTAAATATATTGCCAGATATAGGTTGAAACTTATAACCTGTCTATATGTACAGAGTGGGCCAAAAAAACAATACCCAAATTTAAGGATGAATATCATATGATATAACGTTAAATCATGCCATGTATTGTATATCATTTTAAAGATAAATCATTTTATAACAATATGACACCATCTGATTGAAAAACTGTTGTTTTCATGGGGATTAAAACCAGGGTTGTCATGAGCAACAAAAAACTTGGAATAGTGGAAAATGGAGGGACATGTCTAGTGCAAAATTCACCAATAATACTTATATCTTTTTAATTAATTATCAATTGTTAAATAAATGTATGATGATTCAGTCAAACATATTGAGTGCGGCTAGCTGTCAATTTTAGCCTCTAACTCCACAAGTAAACAAAGGTTTTCCAATTGGATGGTGTCGTATTTTTAGGAAATGATTTATCTTTAAAATGATATTTAACAAATGGCATGGTTTATCATATATCATATGAATTATTCATCTTTAAACGGTATTGTTTTTTTGGCTCACCCTGTATATATGTTCTTCATAGATTCATATAAACTAAAAAATAAGTTATTGGAAATGCTGTAAAAAATGTAACACTGACATTATATATTTCAGCTCACGCACATACGGCTGCCATGGCTATGAACATGTGTGGAACAATCCTTATGGCCCTTACACTAATCTTGAACGGTCCAATTTTCTGTTGCGTTTATGGGACTAAGAACCCCAGAGTTGCTCGATACACTACATTTGCTTTGGCAGCGATGGCTCTGTTAGCAGGTGAATTGCCATTATTCACTACTGAATATTTAAGGATTTCTATAATTTACTCAAATACATGAAGCCTTTATATGTAATACTTCTATTTTCTAAAATCAATTGTGGTTGACATCCTTTTTTTACTATCCAATTTAATATTGCCCTTTGTGCATTTCTTTGATGTAACCACTCAGAATGAAAAGATGTCACTGTCATTTCACCAATCAGCAAAGTTGCCTGTATATAAAACACCACCCTGAATCACTATATTTGTTGAATTTTCAGGTGTGTTTATGATGCTTGGATTCAGCCTCTTCGGAGCCTTCTTTGAAACCTGGATTTACACCAACCAAATACATGTAACTGATGCTACATTCCTTGATGAAAGTTTCTACCTGATGACAGTGGCAGCCTTGATAGGCTTTATTGGTGCTCTATGCATGCGAATATCTGCACAAAGTCTGGAGGGGGAAAACACATGTCCAATTACAGCCACACCTGCAAATTATGCCAACCCCCCACAAGCTATGACCACATTTGGAGCGCCACCAGTAACAGGGTACTCTACACAATCGATGACATACCCTACACAAACAACAGGGCATCCCGGACAACCAACAGCATACTCTGTACCAGTAACACAATACCCTGGTCAATCTAATCAAGCATATAGCAAATAGCCCAAATAGAAATAGAACCATTAATAAGTTCTGCCTGATGTTGACAGTGAAGAAAAATATAAATTGGTGTCAGGCTGAATTTTGAATTGTTGTAACAAGAAAATATCCTGTTAAACAAAATTATTGCCAACATTTTTCAATTCAAGTGATTTTCATGTCATAAATAATGGCAAATCTCTTGGATGTTTTTGAAAATGTGATATGGTATGCTTGAGTATTAAGGTTGCAATGAAATTGTATTATTATTCGCCAATTTAATATGTTCCCCAAAATATGTATGATTACAGTGACTACATTTAATACACAAGGCATTAACGTGCAAAATGACACCACCTGGCATTTGTTACAGATACCGAATGCCAAAAATCAACCACAGAACACCTTCCACTATAGAGACTATATCAATATGTCACCACTTGTGATGTTGACATAAAAATGGCTCCATTTGGTAGGCTTACATTGTAATTCTTCTTGCTTATTTTTTCATTCACAAGTTATCAACAATATAGTTTGTATATAGATATACTTTTTGATAAAAAGCTTTTTTCTTTCATCATTTTTTGTCTTACTTTTGAGTCATTTTTAAAAATACAGGCAAGTAGGTCATATTATTATTATTATTAAAAAGTCATAAAAAAAATCAAAAAGTCATTTTTGTTAGTTGATTTATATGTTTCATTATATCAGTGCCATATCCTTCACTCTCTCACTGGCATTACAGCCGTTACATGTGTTACAACTCTAAAGGGCTCTAAAGGTTTATTTAATACACACTTTAACCAACCTTTCTGTTGCTACAGTGAAGAATAAAATAAAACAAATATTTCATTATTTTCCATGAATACAGTGTCACTTTCACAAATTAAATATTCCCTTTGCACTCTGTGCCAGCATTTTCTGTTGATGGTTACACCAGTTCCCCTAAAATCTAATGGTTTCCCCCTCATATTTATTGCATATCATTTAACAGACACAGAGCAAAGTGAAAGAGCAAAGTACACTTGCCTAGTCAATAATGAATGAGATAGCCATGGCTTTTAGCATTTAGCGTCAATGATCAACCTTCATACAACATGGGGATTTTAGACACTGTGTATTTTCTACCAATACCATTCACCCAGGTGAAGTTTGAGGTGAATGGTTGTCAGGTTGCTATAGCACTATGTGTGCTACCCCTGATGTGGCTAGTGAGGGGGCTATACAGGTTGATATCCTGGAAGATCAACAGGGATACACTGAAGGCTCTTGTGAAGGTCAAACGTGAGGAAAGTAAAGAGGCCAGGGACAGGCTGAAGGAGAGAATTAAGGACACGCCTGTAAGTATAATTCAAATTATGTTTCATATTGCAAATGGCTGTATGGGGGTTAAGGACAGGGTGGTGCATGTTCAGAATTTTTCTGCATTCCTCAATTGAGCCACATGTTTTGTGCAAAACTGAAAGATGTAGATAATGTGAGGAAGGAGTGATTCATATTTGAAAAACAATAACATGTGACTCAATTGAGGATTGCGTCAAAATTCCGAACATGCGCCCTGACCTTAAGCTTAGGCATCAAGCACGTTATCTATTCATGAATAAAAAATCTCCAACAGCCTCCAAGACAATGGCATAACATTACTACATCCTTACAACCATACATGAAATGCTGTTCCAATAAATATGTGAACAGATATCAAAAAGCAATAAAACACTAGTTAGTAAACAAGACTGTGCACTTTTGTTATTCTAGAAATATCTCTTTTCATCATCATATTTATTCAAGATTTCATTCAAAAGGACCAGTGAAAAAAAAGAAATCAAATGACATTTACTTTTTGAATGTGATCTTTTAAGCGGTTTATATCCTGCAACACATTGTAGTTGAATTTGAGGCACCTTGAAAAAATTTCTGGCCCAATACCTTTTCATATAGTATTCTCCCTGGATCAATGTTTTGATTTAAAAAAACATTCAGCCTTAATAATTAAAATTAGAAAACCAGATAAACAAATAATTGTTTCACATCTATATTTGTGATATTGCATCAACAATTATAAATGCATGTCCATGTATTATAACATGAAATCCCATATAAATTTTTTTAGTCACATTTAAAATTTGTAATTGAAACTTGTCACATTTATATTTTACTCATCATATTTTGTCAGATTCATTCATTTTTATCCAGTGCAATAAATGGTCTGTGTTATGTTCAATTTTCATTCAGTTTGATTACAAAACAAAATAATTCACCTTTAATCGCATCCACAGTGAAACCTGTCTTAGTGATCACTTCTCTCTTGTGACCTGTGTCTAATGAGCACCTCGTCTCAGCACATACTCCACTGAGAAATTGCTGTAGTGAACACCTACCTATAGTGAACACATTTTTGTGGTTCCATGGGTTCACTATACACAGGTTTTAGTGCATATGCATCCAGAACAAATTACATCACTTCAAAACACTTATGAGCCATATCATTGCTCAAATTGTGACTTCCAAGCATTTATTTGGCACATATTTTTATTCATTTTAAAATACATATCTCATTTTATAGGCCTGGTCACCTTGTCACATACCCTTTGGGGAACCTCAACATGATATTGATATAATATTCACCTTAATAATGGTTTATACAATGCTCATAGGGTTACAAGAAGCAAGATGAGATAACAAAACTAGGTACAGCAGAATTGATCCAGAAGCTACATAAGAGAGAGCTGAAGGCACTAGATGCCCTGCATGCATTCCAAGGCAAAGCTCTGAAGCTGAATGAAGACCTGAATTTCTGGTGTGAGACTTTAGAAGAGGCAGAGGAGTGGGCCAAGGAGTGTGATGATTCTAAGGAACTTAAAGGATTGTTGCATGGTCTACCTATATCACTCAAAGATCACTTAGCTGTTAAGGTTTGAGTTATTGTGATATACATGCACATAAGTAGAAAAATTATTTTGTATCATTGAATATAAGGTAAGACATGCCCAGTTAAATAAAAAATACTTCACTATTAAATATAAATACTCAAAATAAAGATGGAAATAGAAGGTAATACAAGTATAAGACAGTCCAAAATTTCAAGTTTTAAATGATGTTATTATTTCCAGGGATATGACCAGACAATTGGACTCACTCAGTCCATCTTCAAACCTTCATTAATGGACCAATCCATTGTGCAAGTGTTAAGGTCACAAGGTGCTGTTCCATTTGTGAAAACCAATGTACCACAGCTCATGTTCAGGTATGAAATCTAAAGATTCCACACAGCTCATGTTCAGGTATGAAATCTAAAGATTTATGTTCAGGTATGAAATCTAAAGATTTATCTCATGTTCAAAGATTTAATATCATGCTCAGATATGAAATCTTTGTTAAGTATGAAAAAGCTGATCTCATGTTCAGATATGAAATCTAAAGATTTGATCTTATGTTCATGCTTGAGTTTAAGTCTGAAAGATTTAATTTCAGGCTCAGATATGAAATCTTTGTTAAGTATGAAAAAACTGATCTAAAAACTTGATATGTCCAGGTATGAAGTCTTTATATTTATCTCATGTTCAGATATGAAATCTAAAGATTTATCTCAAGTTCAGGTGTTAGATCAAAAGATTCATATCATCTTCAATATATTTTAGATTTTTACTGTTCTACAAATGGCATCCTCCTAAGCAGGTATCCAGAATCCGTACCTCCTTCTTCCTCCTGCTATAACCAATTTGGAAGCGCCCAATTAAACTGAATAACATGATCTAATTATGCACAATGGCTTATACGTGATTTCTGTCGCAGTGTTGCGACAGCCAATCAGATTGCGAATTCTTAATCGGGGAAATGCTAACTGCTTATTGCAGGGGGTAAAAATAAAGAATATATTCTGGATTTTGAAGCCCTGTGATCGGAGGATGACAAATGGAGTTAGTGCATAAACAGATCATGGTACTTTGTTTCAGTTTGGAGACTTCAAATCCAGTGTTTGGTACTTCATTGAATCCCCATGACAAGAAGAGGGGGCCAGGAGGTTCCTCGGGGGGTGAGGGTGCTATTATAGGAGGAGGGGGGTCAGTCTTAGGAATTGGGAGTGACATTGGAGGAAGTATAAGGTGTCCAGCTACATTCTGTGGTTGCTGTGGTTTTAAGCCAACTGCAGGAAGATTAAGGTTGGTGTCTTCAGACTTGGGCTCAAACGGTTTCATAGTTTCTTGATATGGTTCAGTTTGCAACTGTTTGACCTTTCGGTCTTTTGGTTCTTATTTCACTTTTAACATTTTGCTTACTACACAATCACAAGTAGCCATATTTTTCTGAATCAACCTTCTGTAAAAACCAAACCAAACAGTTTTTGAACCAAAACATACCAACCGATGCCTAAGAATCATGCAACACCACAACTTTGGTACTATGTTGGAATATTCAAACAGTCACGATCCAGTCCAACATTGGGCTCAAAGGTGTAGACTGGTTGAACTTGTATTTGACATGAACAAAAATAACAATTTATGTATTGGGTTTATTAGGATATTTCATTCATTCTAGCAATGATGACAATTTGGAGATGTTCAAAGGAGAGAAGACCATTCCAGCTACATTCGGCCCCCTAGCTAAGGATGTGAATGGTCTAGCAGTATGTATGGAGGCTTTATTAACTGATCAGCTCTTCCAACTGGCTCCAACAACACCACCTTTGGTGTTCAACAAACAGGTTCCTATATTAGTTTGTGTGGGTTTGTAGAATTAAGCAATAGAGTCTTCACCATTGATGTAATTAAATACTCTGTGACCATTAATAAATATGTTGTGTACTTGATGCAGATTTATGAAGACAAAAGGCCAATGAAGATAGGCTACTTCGCAAGCTTTGATCCACCATTGTTTGAAGCCATACCAGCTGTACAGAGGGCTGTGAGAGAGGCTAAACAGATTTTGGAACATCAGGGGCATACAGTGAGTAACATTTTAGCTTGTTTTACTGACTAATTCAAAATTATATCAGAATTTGTGGTCATTTAAGTATAAAACTTGTTTTTCTCTTCAACAATTCTCAATTAATAAAGTTTGGTAGGATAGTAAAGTTCTCTACGCGCCCCACGGGTCGCAATCGCGATGATACACAATTTAAACCATGAAGAACAAGATGTCTCCTCAATATTTTTTAATTATGCATAATAGTATACGACTTGATTATTAATTGTACACTGTATTTCAGCTTGTAGAATTCAAACCTCCCTTTGTCCAAGAACTTTTTCGTGATGTCTACACCCCCTGTATAATTGGGGAAAGTTGCACAGAACATTACAAGTCCTTGTAAGTACAGTATGCAGTGATCTCCCCGGAATTAAGGCAAGTAGGCACTGCACCCACCTGAGATTTTAAAAATAGGCTTGCATCCACCTGAGAATCCATTTGCACCCACTTTAAAATGAAAAATATCATGAAAAATAGATATTTTGACCAAATTTTGTCTAAATAAACTAGATGCGAGTAGAAATAATCTTGATTTACGTCATTAAATATTTGACTTCTAGGTCAGGGAGATTCCCCATGTTGTAAAATCACAAAAAGTGAAATATCTTTTCTTGTGTTGGGCAGATAATTTTTTTTTTTACTGGACATATTTCAATTTGTATAACTATCAAATACATAAGGGTAATATGAAAAGTTAACCACTAAAACTGATGAATATTCAAGTTTAAGGGAACTTTGTAATACCCTACCATGTTATTTCCCCCGAATTTGCCACCTGGTGGCGAAACTTGAACCCATTTGATAAAAAAATCCCAGGGAGAACACTGGTTTGGTTTCCTACTTCTGAAAGAATTCAATTTTACCTATGCCAAGGTGTAGTAAATTCCAATCAAACATCTGTCTGCTTAATTAATCTAAAAACTGATCCTATAATCTTTATACGTTTAAAAATAAGATATAAAGAAACAATATATAAAGAAACTAAATCATTAACTACTGTTCTCTGTTAAAGGAAAGGTGAGATAATAGATCCAACTACGAGGATGTTAGCATTCACCCATGTAGCACCAATGTGGCTGAAAACCTGCCTAAAGCACTTTCTCAGTTTGATAGGTGTATGTATTAGTATTTGTCCAAGAATATTTAGTCTATACAAGACATGTGCACATACATGTACATATCATATGGTATCTACAGCCTATTTTTCTTTGTGATATACCCCACCCTACATTCATTAACACTATCCTATATATTTGGCATTCTCCTCCATTCATTAACACTATCCTAAATATTATTTGCATTCTCCTCCATTCATTAACACTATCCTATATATTTGGCATTCTCCTCCATTCATTAACACTATCCTACATATTATTTGCATTCTCCTTCATTCATTAACACTATCCTATATATTTGGCATTCTTCTTCATTCATTAACACTATCCTACATATTATTCGCATTCTCCTTCATTCATTAACACTATCCTATATATTTGGCATTCTCCTCCATTCATTAACACTATCCTACATATTATTGGCATTCTCCTTCATTCATTAACACTATCCTACATATTACATGTATTGGCATTCTCCTTCATTCATTAACACTATCCTACATATTGTTGGCATTCTCCTTCATTCATTAACAATATCCTACATATTATTGGCATTCTCCTTCATTCATTAACACTATCCTACATATTATTGGCATTCCCCTTCATTCATTAACACTATTCTACATATTATTGTCATTCTCCTTCATTGATTAACACTATCCTACATATTATTTGCATTCTCCTTCATTCATTAACACTATCCTATATATTTGGCATTCTCCTCCATTCATTAACACTATCCTACATATTATTTGCATTCTCCTTCATTCATTAACACCCTTTTTGCCAAGTATTATTCAATTACAGAAAGAATAAGTTTGTTTACTATCATTCTGCCAGTTATGACGAGCATTAACTCAGGTAATATCGATGGAATCTAGTTTAGAATTGGAAATCTAAATGAAAAAATAAAACAAGGAAACTTTGAATGATACTCTGGTTGTGATTCTTTTGCAGATGAAGGATGAGGCGGCAACTATTGAATCATCTTCAAAAATGAAGTAAGTGAATATCAGTAGATTCAATTCAATCCAACAATTGTTACTACATAAACTCAACATATTGAGGTTATCTAATGGGAGGTTTTTGATACAGGGTATAATCTGAGGGAAATACAATATATCCACCGGAGGAATGATCACCGAGACCAAAGGTTGATATATTGAATCTAGCGAGAGATATGATTATGATCAAGTATACATGTACATTGAATGTTATGGAACCTTCATGAAATAATTACAATTGTGATAATTATACAATCAAAACATGAATATTTAATCTCAATTTAAAGTTCTTAACATTTGTAGTTTTTTAAAGCTTTGGCGTTTATATTGTTCAGTGCACAAAAAACACAGAATGTAATTCGTGATGAGCCAGTAATGTACAGTATATCTCCTGCTCACCTCAGTGGGAGATACATATATCACCCGCTTACCTCAGATATTAATTATATTCCCACATGTTATTTACCTATAACACTAGTAAGTATTGGATAAATATAGGTACATACGAGTTTTGCATGGAAAATGTACAAGTTGCAATTCTTATGTGTTTATTTGCAGGAGGTGTCAAGATTGGTGGGATGTTACAGCACTGTGCGAGGTAAGAGAGAATTATGTCTCAATATGATATTTAATTTCCTTTTTGGCAAGCGTAGGCCAACTTCAAGAAAATTTCAATAACACCAATGATTCTAAATATTGAATGCACTTTATATAACTGATTCCAGAAACTGACAGGTCGCTTCATTGACCACTGGAAGAGAGCTGGCCTCGATGCAGTGATTGCTCCGGCTTATGGATCAGTTGCTATGCCTACTGGAAACCCAGAAGATTATGTTGGTAAACAACACAATTAAATGAGTCATTGAGTGAAAAATGACAATGTCTGAAATTAGTCTAATGATGTTAAACTGAAAAACCCAGAAATTAATCCAAATAAGATTTAGGAATGTCTGACTGATGCATTGATATCTGAGACAATTTCCTGTCACAGGCACTGTCTAATTGGAGCACAATTAGAGTACCCCTGGCCTTGATAATTTTGAATTATTTACTGGATGGTCAGAAATTCCAAAAAAACACAAAAAACAGCTCTGAATCTGATTGGCTGCCTGGGTTAAAGTCATGTGATGATGCTCATGCCATGCAACAGGAATTCCCTTCCATAGCAAATAGTTCAAACTAGCGAAATTGTGTTAAAATCTAACAGTTGGTTGTTTCGTTGATTTTCTCAATATATCAGCAATACTGTGCCCATAAGTTGGTCTCAAGATATATTTACAGTATGTAATATATTAGCAGTTATTATGGGACATCACTAAGGAGACAATGCATAATAATCAGATATTAAATCTAAGAATTGATAATACTTCAATTGATAAAATTCTGTTTTGATCCAGGTCAAATTCTGGCATACTTTGCCTTGTGGAATGTCTTGAATTTCCCAGCTGGTGTTCTTCCCGTAACCAAGGTAACAAAATCTGACCAGGAAAATCTAAAGCATTGGAAGGCTTCAACGTTTGCTAGTAGACGTATAAAAAAGGTGAGAATTCTGGTTTTGGTCCAGTGATCAAAGGTCACTAATGAGACAAAGAAATTCCCTTTAAAGCTTCTCTGTAGTTAGTTCTAGACTGGGTACAAAATTCTTCTTTATTCTGATCTACATTTCCAAACTTGGCGCAACTAGATTTTAATCTGGATAGATAAAATTAAGAAGGAAGTTTTAAATTCTCATCTGGTACTGTACTCCTGCTGATAAGTTGCTAAAATTGAGAACTTGATAAAAAATATCACTTTTATTATTACTATATTTTGTTATGAACTTCTCTACATCTAAGTCAAATTTTGGGGTTTTATAAAACAACTGACTAAGGAAGGCACGTGTATAATTTCAGCATATGGAGGGTAGTGAAGGACTCCCAGTGGCAGTACAATGTATTACACTGCCTTGGCAAGATGAACGCTGCCTCAGATTGATGGCAGATCTTGAACGAGGAGTCAAGAACAAAAAATAACTTGATAAAAGTAGAAAACAGACATTTGAAGTGAAGTTCTCTTGAGACTCCATAGTTAAATTGTAAAAAGGAACGAATAAGAAACTGGCCATATAGTACATAAATGTGAAATCTTATGGATAGAGACTAAAAGTGCCAAGAAAAGGTTGGAAGAAAGAACGGACACTTTCCAATCACAGGAGATGTGAGACGAAAAACTTACTTTTAATGTGCTACATTTCATTCAACACAGCATTCTAATATATTTTAAGATAAATATATTTCTACAAAAAAGTATCTTTAAGATACATATCATTTATAATGTTCTGTTAATTATGTTGTGCATTTGTAATAAATACATATCCAATTGCAGATCATTGGATAAAAAATAATAGTTACTATTAATAGTTAACTACAGTTCTAGTATTTATAAACAAGATAACTTTTTGTACATGCATATGTACAAAATGCATTTGTACATGTATTTTATGTCTAATGATCTGTATACAGGATTATCATCGTTAACACAGTACAGTATATGAGCCAGGCCACGGGAAAATATCTTGATTTTTTGTTTATCTTAAAAAGCACAAAGAGGCCTTTCAAATGTCCCATGGCTTATGTCTTATAAATTTTTCCTCGCAGATATAGACCAAAACATGAATTTGAATTTAGCACATTTTCCTCTTAATCTTGGGCACATTTTTGGCTCTCTAGCACAATTTATATTTTTGTGATAAGACCGGTTTTCCTAAGGCGGGGCTGATATATTATTTAAGAAATATAAACCGAAGAGCAGGTGTTATATCGACGAATACACCTCGCAGGGCTAGGCACAAATATGATGAGAAAAATATCCCACGAACGAAAAAAGATTTTGCTACATAGTAGGACCTGATTATCCCATTGATTAACTGAGACCGCCAAAAATATAATTCAATTTTTTGGTTCAAAATTATAATCTATCAGCGGTCCCTGACACTCCCACTAGCTATTTCCAAACATTAATTGTCAATACATGTCCACATATACGTGCCATACATCTACAAAGTAGCAAACTAGTGTTTTAGGTAAAACTTTTCCTATACCATGAGCAAAACAAATCTCAAGTGGGTTGTATTGACCCTAAGGGGTGTATTCATCTATATTACACCTGCTCGGAGGTCTATATTGCATCACTACCAACCGCCATTATGACGTCACAAATTACTTGTATTACCAGGGGTAGTGTTACCGAATATACCCCGGGTCAAATTTTGACTTTGTTCACAGTTTATAGAAGGCGTGAATACAGTCATGTTCGAATAAGCAAATAAACATGCATAGAGTAACAACTTTTACTCTAGTACAGAAAAAAGTTCAAGCGTACATATTTCAACATTAAAATTGTACAGTCTGTTATGAACGACATCAAAACAAGAAACATCTTAACTAAAACTGACCTTATTGCTGCACTATCCTCACACTGTTTCATCTTTGCTTTCATTTAAACATATATAGAACTGTTCAATGTTCAATATCCATGATGTCTACAGAATTCCAATTTATGATGAAACATGTGACAATTTGTTCATGTATATGTTACACTATTACTGTTGATGTGTTCCTATCCTTCAATCATTGAACATAAGAACCACCAATTCTTCATGGAAGTAAATCCAATTTTTCTTGAAATGTGTCAAATATTCTTCATCGACAGTTGAAAATTCATACAAATAGTTAGACTATTAGGATGAGTGTTGGCAATTCAATTATTCCATTAAGTTTATACTTCAGCGGCTACCTCTCTAACTGAGATTTCTGTATAGCCTCCTGAACAGATCTACGTAATTGGTTGATCACTTCTCGTGGATTGTCACTTTTTACTACAGCTGTACCTGATACTATCATGTTGGCCCCTGCCTGGAATAACATCAATTAAAAATCAACATGTTCATTTATGTGAACTACTTTTAAGAGGTCAACTGGAGAGATTGTATACCCCTGGTGAAGATCTAGACCTTACTGTTAATCTATATGTAGGTCATAGATTTAGGTTTTCAATGGGGTTTACGGTTTGTTCAGTTTGCCAAATAGTATAGATGATTTGTTAACAGAAATACTGATGGTATGGTATCACGAGGTCATGTATGGTGTTACTCGAAGTCAACCAACCAAATAAAGCTCATCTATGATGTGACGCTAGGAATGTGACATATTAAAGAATTTCCAGGATGGAAATGTTGCGGCTAGATAGTCACAAGATCATTTACTGCATGGTGTATTGTGCAAACTAGAAATGTACCAAAAATATGATGTTCATTAATGTCCACAGAATGCCTACCTCTGCACATTGGTCTATATTAGCAGGTCCCACTCCGCCATCTACTTCAATGTCAAGTAACTGTGACTGCTGCCTAAGAGTTGCTACCTGGAAAAATATATACTGTAACATCAATATGACTTATCTCTGACGAGAAGTCTCAGGGTGATATTGGTAAACCTTTATGGAATAGAACTTACTCCAAAATTTAGTCCACATTTTTTATTTACTAAATTATTTTAAAATACCAAAATTCCCAAAACTGAATACAAGTTTCTATAAAAAGAAGGATGTTATTGAACTTGTGACATCGCAAACAATGTGTTGCCATGCAAAATGTCACCACCTGCCAATTGTTAAATGCTGACCATCAAACACCAACCACTGAACACCAACTGCCAAACACCATCCACAAAAAAGTTGGAGACTATAAAATAAATAGTTATACAGTAGTTATATATGAAATAAGTTGGATTTGCTTACCTTTGGCATCATATCAGCCATAAATTTCTGTCCACCAAATCCTGGTTCAACTGTCATGACAAGAACCATATCTACATGGTTAACATAGGGGAGTAGTACATCTACTGGAGTACCAGGCTTTATACCTAGACCAACCTGTAGTGTAAGAAAAAAACATTCAATTTATTTATTCCTTGTACATGTACATCTTTGGTCTGATCTCTTTAGTTTCAAATTGAGAATAATAATGTCATTTACTGGCTTTGGATTGAAAAACTGAAAACAGTCATTTTCATTCAAGTGTAAACCACACCAGTCAAATGAAACTGTAACTATTGTGCTGTACCAACTGTACCATACTGTACCTTTTCTACACTGCACTACATAACACTACATTATACTATACTACACTACATTATACTACACTGCACTACACTACACTACACTACACTATACTATTTTGTACTGATACTTTACTTTACATTAAATTCAGAATAGAATAAGACCATTTTGTTCCCAAGAGAGTGAATGGATCAAAATGACACATGCATTCATATTGCATATACCTTTAAATGAATCAAGTACATAGATCTGAGTATTTGTATTTTATGGAGCATTTACCTTCATTCCTGCTTCACGCACTTTCCTGATGCAAGCTTCAGGTTCATCTGTAGCTTCAATATGGAATGTATATTGATTTGCACCTGCATCAGCCATGTTCTCAACCCACTAAAACAGAAAAAGAGCATCTTTATGGTAGGCATGCAATTGAATCTCCAATTCATTATAAGTAAATTGGCAAATTGAGAAAATTCCTCCATCTTGCCTATTGCCTTCTGACATCTTGAAAAGTGGTAGGAGTAGGTGCAAATATTTTCGAAACAAATGCGTGATATATACACATATTTTGAACCAAATGCATACAGCAATCGTGTGCAAAACCCGAACAAAATGCGTTCGCTTTTTTTCGCTGTTCGGTATTTTACCGAATCTGCATTTTATGAAAAACGCTTATTAAAACGGGTGCACCCCAGTTGTCCGAAACCCAGTTGTCCGAAACCCAGTTGTCCGAAACCCAGTTGTCCGAAACCCATTACTCCGAAAAATATAGTCATAATTTACCAGAGAAAGGGGAGACGTACTAAGCTTAGGCCAGTTTCATGCCATGTATTTGGCCAAATTAATGGCATGGACGCATTCTGATGTTCATAGATCTCTCTCTCTCTCTCTCTCACTTTGAATTGCATCCATTGCACACGTTACCAGAATGGCAGGAACGGGGGATTTATTTTAAATTGTGATTCTAAAAAAAGGTTATCAAAACACAAAAAATATATTACGGAACAGTTTATCTTATCTTCTTCAATCTCTTTTATATAGGCAAAATAAAATGAATCATTTTGAAACAGATAAAATAAGTTTACGCATATAGTACTTTAAGAATAAAACAGTATACATATTACGTTGTCAAAATATTTCGTCGCATTTAATTTCTTAGTCTCTGTATTTTATCAAATCGTAAAAGAACAAAACATTCTTAACTTAATCACTTGGGATCAACTGGAAACGCTGTCCTCGTATCAAAATGGATGTTCTCCCATTCGCAAGAAGTTTCATTTTCGCCATGTACTCACTTCATCCTTTTAATTTAATCTCTATTTCTCGAACAGAGTACGTAAATGAAGAATATGTTTTGGTTTCAAAAGATGTACATGTCAACTTTACTAAATAAATGCCCATTGGCTTGGGAAAGCTATTTTTCCTTTTATGAACGCTCATCACCCATTGGAAAAATGTTGTTCCCTCTCAAAAAAGGCCCATGGGCCATAAAGAAAATTGGTTTAAAAATTGTAGACCCCTATCTATGTATGTTGTGTGAACGTCATTTTACAATGAGAATAACATAATTTAACTTTGTTTGTTTGAACATCTATATCACCTGTATATGAACTTTCGTAGGCTAAACATTAAACAATTAACGTCTTGACTTAGCATATTTAGCCTAATTTTGCAATGGTGTCAACGTTATTCCAATGTTATGTTGTGATTCGCAGAGGTTGCGACAACGAGATTCGTTTAAAAAAATTGTATTTTTCAAATAAGATCCCCTAATTCTCGGAGTACTGGGTTTCGGACAACTGGGTTTCGGAAAACTGGGTTTCGGAGAACTGGGTTTCGGACAACTGGGTTTCGGAAAACTGGGTTTTGGAGAACTGGGTTTCGGACAACTGGGTTGACCCCTTTTAAAACTATCAACAAAATGCGTGATTTGCGTGAGGGTTGACAGGGCTGCCCCACTCAGACAGAGCCCCATTAGAGCATACACTCTCAATCAGTAGATATTCCAGCATGTATTCATCGATTAAAAATAGAAAGACGTGCCAATTTACCTGTTCTGGTTTGGCAACCATCATGTGCATATCAAAGAATGCAGATGGCAATTTTGGTCGAAGACATTTGACGATAGGATGACCGAAGGTGATGTTTGGCACAAAAGCACCATCCATTACATCAAGGTGAATGTAGTCAGCCCCGCAATCCATCATTCTCTGACACTCGGATGCCAACATTGACAAATCCGAGTTCAAAATAGAAGGACCAATCTTACATTCACATGTTGATTCTGCCATCTCAAAATATTGAAAGGTCAACTGAGTGCAAGGTGAAGGTCATTTATGATTGAATCGTTTTCTTTTATTTTCTCTATAAATGAATGTGATAATAGCTTAATATTTTCCTTGATGAATCTATAGTACAAGCGTATAATTATGATTTAAATGTAATGTTTAAGTATTAACAGATAATGGTATTATTTAGTACTAAAATGCGGTCCAAAATAAATTACGCGCGAACTCTGAATTAAATTTCAAAATGTCAAAATCAATATTTCGGTGATATTTCTTAGTGTATATCTGTATTGGGATGATGGATGACGATCGATATGATCCGGATGACAGAAGAATCATCACTCTTGCTGCAGAAGTTGCTGGTGCTGGAGATGTTCGCATTCCAGGGTTATTGTTGCAACTCAAAGGTAGAATTTACAATTTTTTTTATTTTTTCAGCTGTGCCTTACTGAACAAAGCTGGCTCAAAAGCCAGCTGACGAACCGTTATGATATACCGTCTTGTGAAGTGGTTTTCTCCAACTTCCAGTAGGCGCGCTGGAATAAGAAACGGTATTAAGAAGATAATTGAATGTAACTTGCCCTTTTCATGACGCGTGGTAACAATAAGTCCTATTTGTTGTGTAATTGCAGTTCAAGTGGAGAAATTCCAGATCTGACGCGCACCATTTTTTAACTTTTTGCGCATGCGTGCACATGCGCATTGTACTTTTTATGTGCACGGGTATTACCCCTGAAAGATCACGTGACTATTCATATTTAGCTAACGCAAGTTATTTTGTAGCAAATTTTTACTTTCGATAGTCACGAGATCTGGCGAGACCTAAAATGGCTTGAATCTAAATTCAAAAGTTTTGTTGTCTAATAGAACATTGATTTACTGCAACAACAGACTGTTAAAGGAACAAAATAAGGTAACAACAATTAAATTATGTATTGATTCAAATATATAGCGTGTTATAAACACTACTCAGCACAGCGTTATGTGAAAATGGGCTTGATTTATTCTCTTCAAGTATACATACATCCAACTTCCCAGAGCTGACAGTCGGTAGAGTAAGCTGTGCCTGTTTTTTAAATGTTAGCCTACTCACTGTTATTTTATTTAGTTTTTAGGTTTATTTAGTTTATTTTTACCTCTAGTCTAAGCTTAGATCTAATCATATAATCTTTTGTACTTGTCAAATGTCTTTTTTTTTGAGATAATGGTCACAGATAGTAAAAAGAAATTTAGATTGCCACCAAGTTTAAATATTGGCATCAATCTAATACATACCACTGGGCACTTACCTTTCGTTGATACTCTCGGACATTTCGCTGATATTCAGATTGACCAGAAACAGCATTGTCGTCTTGTGCCAATGAGAAACGATGGCCCTGCAGCGTTAGGTCATTATTATGCACGGTCAAGACAAGTACACTTCACGAACAAGGTTTTCGGAGTCAAAAATGTTCACTTAACAGCCATTAGCCTGAATCAATGCTTGTGTATATATTTTATGGGGGTTCATGTTTATAATTTACACCACTGAATATGTATGCCATCTACTGAGTATAATTGACAGTCCATAAGTTTATCTTGAAAGTCTACAATATTAGTCCTTTGAAAATTCAACATTATTCTACATTGGTTTACAATGAAAAGATATATACATTTATTCCATAATGGTGAAATTCCCTGCAACCTGATTGGTCCATGTGACTGAAATATATTCTGTACATTTACACACTCTCAACTTATCGTGGGATACAGAGTGAAAATGACGTTACCATTGTGATACGGTTCGGTTGTCTCTGGCAAAATATTTTCTGTATTTCACTGGAATCATTGAAAAACTGAAAATACTGTACATTCTATTATCTTAAAATATTTTGCTCCAGAGTACCTAGATGCAACCCCTTCTGGAAGTAAGCAGATTAAGCAGTTGAAGAATGATATATGGTCCTATGATTTACTCCCAGTGCTCATCTTGGTGCTTAAACAGGACTATACAAAAGTTGCTCAAGGATGGAATACAGCTGCTCAGTTATCTAAAGTAGTGAGGTAGGTATTCACTGCCCCCAGGATTCCGTGTTTGCAGAGCGCGAACGGAATTTGCCTCTGCCCGCGGAATTGCAGAATCAACTATTTTGGTCAATTTCCGCGGAATTTTCCGCAGGATCCATATATTTTCCAAAAGTTTAAAAAGTCAGTCTTACCTGTAACAATTTGACACGTTTTCAGTCAAATCCCTTGCAGAAATAACCCAAATTATGCGAAGTGAAAATTCTAAACGCCATCGTTTGATTTCTGCCGTTAGATGGCAGCATGTATGTAGTGACTGACTACCTGACTATCACGATATTTTCCCGTTTACTGGTTTGAAAACCATTAGTTTTTCTTTCGGTTCTCGTCAGAAAGTTAAACAAAGACATAAATTAATAACATTTATTTATATTATATAAAAAAATGCCGCGAATATCCGCGGAATTTCTGCAGAATTAGCCCTTTCTTCTTGCAGAATTCACTAATTTCACTTGCAGAATTGAGCATTTTAACTTGCAGAAAACTGGGGGGAGTGGGTATTATACTCTGGTAAATCAGGGTTCTCACTAGGCTTTTAGACTCTGGAGATCCTCCAGAGTCCAATGTCTTTAGACCCTCTTGCTTCAGAGTCTAAAAGCTTTTCCAGAGTCTAGAGTGTTTTTTCCGGAGTCTAATTTTACATTTTTGTCACGTTATTTGTGGTAAATCTCTTGGGAAAATACCTAAAACTGGATACAAATGAGGAATAGGAGGTCAGAAACCTTTTAGAAATGTTGAATCGTGATTAAAATAGGAAGATAATCTCTTAAGAAGTATTTTGAAAAGTATACTAATAGGATATCTCTGATCACACATGGGGGAGGAGTACAGTGAAAAATTCAAGGTCTAAAAATTTCCTGGTGAGAACCCTGTAAATGTATTATAATTTTTTAAATGCATACATGCTCATTGATGCATTGAGGAGTGATTCTGTTCATGTTCTATCACCACCAATTCACATGGTATAGAAAGCAGAATAATCTTCCTAAATAGGTTAATGGGTATTTGATTTTGACAAAATTAGAACACTCCTATAGTATACTCCAAAATACTACCATTCAATGCTCAGCACTAGGTTTGTTTAATATTTTTCATGTGTGTTTTTCAGCCAGTGTTGTGTTGGAATTGAACCCAGTGGGGAGAGTGATTTCTATGATAAACTGCTTCCTGATGCCATAGAAAATATGTTAATCCTTGCATGGAGAATTCAAGAAAAATATATAGAAACATCAGTGGTAAAGTCTTGTATTTTTGATTCATAATTTTAGATTCCATTTACACACTTGTCTATAGTGAACAACTCATTCTAAAGCCATCCATTCTTTACATTGATGACCATGTTATAAGAATCCCTCATTGTGTACATTTTACCCGGGCCAGCATTTAAAGAGAGGATTTAATATGATAAATTAATTGATTTGAACTATTTTTCATTTTAGGCAACCAAGAGAAGCAAAGAACAGATGCTAGATGACTTTAAACTGGTTGCAGATTCCTTACGTTACTTGTTTAGTGGTCATACATCTTTGACAGTGAATGGTAGGCATTTAGTTACAAATGTATTAGAAATATCCATATATTGTGAAAATATATTCAGTGAAACCTGTGAAGTGGAACACCTCTAGAAGTGGAACACATTTCAGAGTCCCAAGACCAACTGACTTATTGTTAAATGAACCTCCATAAGTGGAACACCTCTCAAGTGGAACACATTTTAGAGGTACCAAATGTGTTCCACTCAGACAGGTTTTACTATGTGTTGTTGGACTCATGGTAAATCTTCTAAAATTCAAGTTTTGGATACCATTTATAAATCAAGCATAAGCCATTCTGGTTTATCACACTTTTGTTATGTAAATCAAAATATATACTTGTTTTATTTTAATTCAGCTTTGAGCTCACCATGGCTGCTACAGCTGCTGCTGACAGATGATGTAGAAACAGCTGTTGTAGTCATCAGTATAATAATAAGTGTAGTTAGAGTCAATCTGTAAGTACATCTGTAGTCATTGTTCAGATTATATAATATCTAATATATTAGACTCTGTACAGGAAAAATAAACTTACAATTATGCTGATGAGATCTTAGTCACCTCAAAAGTAACTATCATACCCTTCAATGACAGTTTCAATATAAACTAAATGCCAGGTTCTTATGAAAGCAAAATATTTAGGAAATCATATTTTGATTGGATTGCTTGATCTCGTATTGAACATATTCTCAGTATTTTGATTGGTTAAGGCTAGTTCAAAGAAGTTCTCTTTTAAAGAAGCAAAATTTAGTGAATGATATTTTGATTGGATTGCTGGATTTCATCGACCATATTCTCAGTATTTTGATTGATTAAGGCTAGTTCAAGGGATTATCTCTAACTCAAAGAAGCTCTTTTTTAAAGAAGCCAACTCAAACACATGCAAATGGTTTATAATACTCACCATCCCTTTATTAGTCTACTTGAGTGAATATTGAAAAGTAAAACATGGCCTTACTGAATACTGGCGGGACTAGCTTCACAATGAGAGCTAGTTATTTAAATGTTGATCATGTTGGTCACTGTTGATCATGCTGGCCTGATTTTCTGTAAATCATAACTGATGATACATCTTGTTTGTCTAGGTTGGCCCCAGTGACTGTAGATAACAAGGTCCTACATAATATATTAGATGAGCTTATCTACAAACTCTCTGCTAGCATGGATGAATCTGTAGGAAGGTAAGTTCAATACTGCTCTCTATGGGATAAATTCTCAGTTGAATGTGAAATTCTAATTTCTTGACAAAATGCCAATTTAGACAAAGAAATGTTCAAAAATTTGAGTTTTATCAAAACATAATTTTTTCATCAGGGTTATGTGCATAACACAAATCTGTTGAGAATGTATTGAAATGTTAATTGAATTTGACAAAAGATATAAAATTTTTGAAATTTCAAGGTCTTTTCTCATTAATCCATGCATTGTGAATTACATAGTGACAACAATGGATGGAAGAATTCTTTATTTTTAGAATATAATATTTAAAAAAGTTTAAGTTCGAAATTTTTTTAGAAATAGATCACTGTTTATTCTTTCTGTTAATTGATTCAAGCTGGCCCTACCTTAATTATACTGTAGTCTTTACCATGCATGGATTGCTGAATTAACAATAACATTTACTGTATGTTTTTTAAGTGCAAGTACAAAGTGCCTACTGACACTGTGTGATGCCCAGGCTACTATGATAGAGATACTGTGTAGCAGATACAAGTAAGATTTACACATTACTCTAAAATGTTTCACTTCTTTATTGAAAATTTTGAATAATCTTTTCTGAAATTAATGTAAAATGTAAAAGCTTGATGACACGTGACTGCATGAAAGAGGTGTCTTCTTTATGGGGATTTTGACCTGGCAACATGGGCATATTGGCCATGATATTGAAATTACATCATTCTGAGTGGGGGTATACTGTACGACCCTGTATATTTCTGGGCCTCTCATGTCTTATAACATATTATTTGATGAGTTCTTCTTTCTTATATTGATAGATCCATTGTATATCATAAAGCTTCATACACAATATATTCTATGAATATTATTTAGAGGTCTGAGGCCATTGTTAAGCAAGTGGACTGGCAAGGGATTTGGAAGAGATCTGAGGCAATTACTGCTGTTATTGGATACAGGCAATAAACAAAAGGCAGATATGGAGGTATAAAACAGCAAAACTATCTGAAGTAAATAGCCATACAATCTGTGAAGAAGTAGTTATAATTGATCACTCATATAGTAATCCAGATACCATTATGTAGTGTTCTCCAGAGAATGTTTTAGCATACATGTACATTGCAATGGACACCACAATAATGATCCTTTCAATACAAGTATGCCAATGTGTTGAAAAACACATTCAGTATCTAGGAGTTTGAATTACTGCATTTGCATTCATTGTTTTTATTTGCTATTCAGAGGCTGCATAGAGCAGCTTGTACAATACAAGCCATGTTTAGAAGTTTCAAGACAAGAAAAAAGCTTAATCGAGCTGATAAAGCTATGGGCAAACTACAGAAATCATTCAGGTAATTAAGTAGGATAAATTCTGTTCTGATTTCACTTTTATGAAAGTCATAATGTAAATACAACATTAAAGTGTTAATTCTCTGAGTAAATAAATAGGTGTTAGAGAAATATTTTGAATGTCTTGATTGAATAAAGTAAAATATATCTCAAAATAAAGATTAAGGGATATTTGATTTATCACTGTATTTCTAATGTGTCATAAAACCAGGACTCTTGAATTCACATTCTGATTTGAGATTCCAAAACCATGAGAAATGACCTGCTTAACGCCATGATTCACTTAATAACATTGTAGGGCAAAACGTGAAAAGGCGGAAAAAGCGAGAGAAATGCGAGCCATGCAGCAAGAGCTGCAACACCTATTGTTGCTAAGGAGGAAGAAGGCCATGAGGGACCTGAGGAATAAACAGCTGGAGGCAATTAGGATATTACCAGCTGGTGGGTAGAACATTGAATGTTTGACCACCAGGGGTGTCAAAAAGTGACCTCCACCTTGTAAAAGGATCTATAAAAATCATCCCCTCCCTGTATAGTCTCAAGGCTGGAAATAGCTTTCATTCAAATTATACATACATCAGCTAATATTTCCTGCTTTTTAAGATTGAAATATTGTTCCAGATTTTTTTAACATGAACCTTTGCGTTGAATTATTCACATGTGGTATGTATAGGTCAGATGGACCAATACCTTGAAAAAGAACAACAGAGAGCTGCAATAAAAATACAGGCACAATTCCGGGGGTACAGACAAAGAAAGTCCATAGGTAGTCCAAATGCCAGGAAACGGGCCACAAAGAGATTAAGATCTGTGATAATTATACAAAGGGCGGTAGGTATTCCATATGTATGTTGTGACATTAAGACTGTATGAGAGCAGAATTTCAAGGAGTCATCAATTTGAGTGTCTATAGACATAGGCCAAATATTGGGACATAATGTTTGCCTATATGAGTATTACGCGAGGTTCTATGGATACAGTTATATATTAAAGGACACCATACATGTCTGTATTGATACTCAATATATTCTTTCTATAGGTGTTTTGTCTTTATGCATAATAGAATTGGTCCATTTGAAAACTTCTTGGGAAAATCTTGGGTTTTGAACTTGCAAGTTTTGTGTGATGTTTTTAGAAACTCAATATTTCATGTAAATATTGAAATGTTTGTTCTGACACCTTGCTCCTTCCCAGGTTCAATGTCTATAAATAAACTTTGAGATTTAATTATTATTAGTATAGTACTTGAAACCATTCACTTTCATTCATCTCCTTCTCAGAACCAATATATATTTAGATTTTATTTATTCTCAACAGCATATCTTTAGAAATTAATGTTAAAATTCAGGAAATAAAAACAGTCATATAATATGCATGTACCACAAGAGTCTGCTGGAAAAAATGCCAAACTATTTCAATACTAATATATATGTACATCACATATCATGCAATTTGAATGTTTATATGCAATGATAACTTTAATTCTGGTTTACTAAAGGTTCGTAAATGGTTAGAGAGATTAAGAGTGAAGAGACGTGAGCCTCCCCCATGGCAGAGACCACCAGGTCTGACTGATGACAGGAGGGTAGAGTTACAGGCAAAAATCTTAGATTGGAGAGAAAATCACCCAGTAAGTCCAGCTGTTTCAATGTTTGTCTTTCATCAACTTCATCCCAATTCTCTTACAGGTTGGAGGAATACACTTTAACTTGAACTGCTGTGTTCAGCATCTTAATGAAAAAACTGAAGCCCCTAAATGATATCAGTTGGAGAAATATTGAGATTGAATTTCAAAAAGACGGATCATAGAAAGTTGATTCAGTGACACCTTTGTCAAAAAGAGCATTATCGTAAGCATAAAAAATTAAAACACTTGTGGTATATTGTGTCCTATGCTGATAAGTACTCACACATAGTGCCTTCACCAATACTTTTTATACTCCATTTGAAACTCCTAGCCATGTAAGAGTTCAGTTGATATATTGAGTTCACATAATTTAACAAAAGAAAAGACACTGAAATTGAAACAGTGCCTCCTTCACTTGCCAATACTTGAAATACTCCATTTGACACCCCTAGCCATGTAACAATTAAGTTGATTATGTTGAGTTCACAGAATTTGACAAAAGAAAGAACACTGAAATTGAAACAGTGCCTCCTTCACTTGCAAATACTTGTAATACTCCATTTGAAGCGCCTAGCCATGTAAGAGTTAAGTTGATTATATTGAGTTCACAGAATTTGACAAAAGAAAGAACACTGAAATTGAAACAGTGCCTCCTTCACTTGCCAATACTTGTAATACTCCATTTGAAACTCCTAGCCATGTAAGAGTTAGGTTGATGTTGTCAAGTTCACAGAATTTGACAAAAGAAAGGACACTGATATTGAAACAGTGCCTCCTTCACTTGCCAATACTTGTAATACTCCATTCGAAGCTCCTAGCCATGAAAGAGTTAAGTTGATTATATTGAGTTCACAGAATTTGACAAAAGAAAGGACACTGATATTAAAACAGTGCCTCCTTCACTTGCCAATACTTGTAATTCTCCATTTGAAACTCCTAGCCATGTAAGAGTTAAGTTGATGTTGTCAAGTTCACAGAATTTGACAAAAGAAAGGACGGTGATATTAAAACAGTGCCTCCTTCACTTGCCAATACTTGTAATCCTCAATTTGACACCCCTAGCCATGTAACAATTAAGTTGATTATGTTGAGTTCACAGAATTTGACAAAAGAAAGAACACTGAAATTGAAACAGTGCCTCCTTCACTTGCCAATACTTGTAATACTCCATTTGAAACTCCTAGCCATGTAAGAGTTAAGTTGATTATGTTGAGTTCACAGAATTTGACAAAAGAAAGGACACTGATATTAAAACAGTGCCTCCTTCACTTGCCAATACTTGTAATACTCCATTTGAAGCTCTTTGTCATGTAAGAATTAAGTTGATTATGTTGAGTTCACAGAATTTGACAAAAGAAAGGACACTGATATAAAAACAGTGCCTCCTTCACTTGCCAATACTTGTAATACTCCATTTGAAACACCTTGCCATGTAAGAATTAAGTTGATTATATTGAGTTCACAGAATTTGACAAAAGAAAGGACACTGATATTAAAACAGTGCCTCCATCACTTGCCAATACTTGTAATCCTCAATTTGAAACTCCTAGCCATGTAACAATTAAGTTGATTATGTTGAGTTCACAGAATTTGACAAAAGAAAGGACACTGATATTAAAACAGTGCCTCCTTCACTTGCCAATACTTGTAATCCTCAATTTGAAACTCCTAGCCATGTAACAATTAAGTTGATTATGTTGAGTTCACAGAATTTGACAAAAGAAAGAACACTGATATTAAAACAGTGCCTCCTTCACTTGCCAATACTTGTAATCCTCAATTTGAAACTCCTAGCCATGTAACAATTAAGTTGATTATGTTGATTTCACAGAATTTGACAAAAGAAAGAACACTGAATTTGAAACAGTGCCTCCTTCACTTGCCAATACTTGTAATACTCCATTTGAAACTCCTAGCCATGTAAGAGTTAGGTTGATGTTGTCAAGTTCACAGAATTTGACAAAAGAAAGGACACTGATATTAAAACAGTGCCTCCTTCACTTGCCAATACTTGTAATTCTCAATTTGACACCCCTAGCCATGTAAGAGTTAAGTTGATTATATTGAGTTCACAGAATTTGACAAAAGAAAGGATACTGTTATAAAAACAGTGCCTCCTTCACTTGCCAAATCTTGTAATACTCAATTTGACACCCCTAGCCATGTAAGAGTTAAGTTGATTATATTTAGTTCACAGAATTTGACAAAAGAAAGGACACTGAAATCGAAACAGTGCCTCCTTCACTTGCCAATACTTGTAACACTACATTTGAAATACCTTGCTATGTAAGAGTTAAGTTGATTGCATTGAGTTCACAGAATTTGACAAAAGAAAGGACACTGAAATTGAAACAGTGCCTCCTTCACTTGCCAATACTTGTAAAACTCCATTAGAAACTTCTTAGCCATGTAAGAGTTAAGTTGATTATATTGAGTTCACAGAATTTGACAAAAGAAAGGACCAATACTTGTAATACTCCATTTGAAGCTCCTAGCCATGTAAGAGTTAAGTTGATTATACTGAGTTCACAGAATTTGACAAAAGAAAGGACACTGAAATTGAAACAGTGCCTCCTTCACTTGCCAATACTTGTAATACTCCATTTGAAACTCCTAGCCATGTAAGAGTTAGGTTGATGTTGTCAAGTTCACAAAATTTGACAAAAGAAAGGACACTGAAATTGAAACAGTGCCTCCTTCACTTGCCAATACTTGTGAAACTCCATTTGAAACTCCTAGCCATGTAAGAAATAAGTTAGTTATATTGAGTTCACAAAATTTGACAAAAGAAAGGACACTGAAATTGAAACAGTGCCTCCTTCACTTGCCAATACTTGTAATACTCCATTTGAAGCTCCTAGCCATGTAAGATTTAAGTTGATTATATTGAGTTCACAGAATTTGACAAAAGAAAGAACACTGAAATTGAAACAGTGCCTCCTTCACTTGCCAATACTTGTAATACTCCATTTGAAGCTCCTAGCCATGTAAGATTTAAGTTGATTATATTGAGTTCACAGAATTTGACAAAAGAAAGAACACTGAAATTGAAACAGTGCCTCCTTCACTTGCCAATACTTGTAATACTCCATTTGAAGCTCCTAGCCATGTAAGAGTTAAGTTGATTATATTGAGTTCACAAAATTTGACAAAAGAAAGGACACTGAAATCGAAACAGTGCCTCCTTCACTTGCCAATACTTGTAATAGTCCATTTGAAGCTCCTAGCCATGTAAGAGTTAAGTTGATTATATTGAGTTCACAAAATTTGACAAAAGAAAGGACACTGAAATTGAAATAGTGCCTCCTTCACTTGCCAATACTTGTAATACTCCATTTGAAGCTCCTAGCCATGTAAGAGTTAAGTTGATTATATTGAGTTCACAGAATTTGACAAAAGAAAGGACACTGATATTGAAACAGTGCCTCCTTCACTTGCCAATACTTGTAATACTCCATTTGAAGCTCTTAGCCATGTAAGAGTTAAGTTGATTATATTGAGTTCACAGAATTTGACAAAAGAAAGGACACTGAAATTGAAACAGTGCCTCCTTCACTTGCCAATACTTGTAATACTCCATTTGAAGCTCTTAGCCATGTAAGAGTTAAGTTGATTATATTGAGTTCACAGAATTTGACAAAAGAAAGGACACTGAAATTGAAACAGTGCCTCCTTCACTTGCCAATACTTGTAATACTCCATTTGAAACACCTAGCCATGAAAGAGTTAAGTTGATTATATTGAGTTCACAGAATTTGACAAAAGAAAGGACACTGAAATTGAAACAGTGCCTCCTTCACTTGCCAATACTTGTAATACTCCATTTGAAGCTTCTCGTCATGTAATTGTTAAGTTGATTATATTGAGTTCACAGAATTTGACAAAAGAAAGGACACTGACATTAAACAGTGCCTTCTTTACTTGCCAATAGTTGTAATTCACAATTTGACACCCCTAGCCATGTAAGAGTTAAGTTGATTATATTGAGTTCACAGAATTTGACAAAAGATAGGACACTGGTATTAAAACAGTGCCTCCTTCACTTGCCAATACTTGTGAAACTCCAGTGAGAAGTCCCAGTTATGGCAAGGTTATGATGGACAAATATATTTCCCTTCTTTTTTATCCTTGATTAAAAACAGACCCAATCCATGGATTAATTGTACCATCTTTTTCTTGTATTGTTAGTTTAATTTAAGAAAGCACAAAATTTGACAACTTCAGAATCCGCTATTCAATTTTTAAGCGTCTCCTGAAACTTGCCAAATTATGTATTCTCTTATTCCATTCCGGATCCCATTACAAAGTTTGAAGATACTGGTTACACACAACGCTCAATAATTTAACGACCTACTTTTAATACTTGTTGATAAACCATATTCGACATTTGACAAGTTCAGGATCCACTGTTCTATAGTAAAGTGTCTCCTATAACTTGCCAATAGTTGAAAAATGTAAAGATTTGGTAAAACCTTCACCAGATCCTTCACCATATCCAGGTATGTTCATTGTTCTGTGTTGTCATGTCACAATTCAAAGTTTGGCTCGTTGTTGAAATGTTCGCAAATTAGAACCTTCCAACAACTTGCCAATAGTTGCCTTGTAGCAAAATACTTGTTTCTCTAATACCAATTCTTATCATAAATGATAGTGTTGAGTTTGCAGATGATCGATTACCTAGGCTAAGACTGATGTCCTATAACTACTGTACCTTAATAGCCAGCTAATTGAGAAAAATTCATAAAACTTTCCTGAGTGTTCTCTTGTAAATTAAAGATGTTCTGTGTTTGGAACCATTGTGCAATGATTGCATTGTACCAAGTGTTGATGTTATATACCTATATGTGTAAGATACATGAAGACATAAGTGGCTTCTAATTAATCATCTCACTTCATGACTTCCTTTTGTATGACATCAAATTTTCAAAATGGCTTCCTTTGTGCAATTAGAGCATTGGCATATGATTTGTATAGTTACAATTGAAGTTAAAGATTCGTATCTAAATTCCATGTCAATGAAGTCTGTGAGAGTTTATTAATTAATTGATTTAAATATGTTGAGTCTTTATCCATCTAAGTTGAGCTACCACAGTCAATCTTTGCATCAAGTTTTGTGGCAATTTAATTTACCTGAAAAAAAGTCTTGTATGTGAACCCATGGCATCTTTGCTTATGTCCTACATAGAACAAAATATCCTGTCCCACTGTGTTTTAACTTTTTAAAGATGCGAAATCAAATTCTTGAAAGAATCACTTTGTTAATGTCCCATACATTGTTGAATGAATGCAGTACCCTTTCTGAGACTATCTTTATATTCACATTACATTGCAAACAATAATGTCATTAATTAGCAGTTTGATGACAAACAAATAATAATTAGGAAGATGTCACAAACAATGGAGATGATGAAAACAAAAACTTACCAACTGGGGATGCCATACTCCTAATCCGCATGTTTGTGAGTTCCATGTTTCATCTAAATTTGAGAGTGTTGGCCCTGAGTTAGGGTCAGGGTTTATAGTCAGGATTACCCACACCCTTTGTTCCACTCCAAACACCTTCTCAAAATGTCACCAACTTAACAACTCTTGGGCTTTTATTACCTAGATTAACCCCTTAATTACCAACGCATGTAATTAAAATTAGCATCAAGATGTATTGTGTGTTTGATTGTTTTGGTGTTTATATGGTTAATTTCTTTGATTACTAAATATTGTTTCTTGTTTGAAACAATAGCTTCCTATTGGGATATTTAGCCAATATTTCCTTTATTGTTTCTAATTAACCTGATAAACAAAGTGTCATAAATTAAGGTTCAATCTGGGGTTATTAGCTTAGATTATGATTGTTATCATTGATTGAACCTTAGATAGTTCTGTCAGTTAATAAAAGAAACAAAAGGAAGTAACCAGATTCAAGAAAAGTTATTTCCTTTTTACATCTTAGATGTTTTTATACTTCAACATTGTGGCATCCTGACACCAAACTCTAATGATAATATTGTCTTTGAAAATTAAAGGTAAAATAAGAGATTCTTATTTCATAATCTTTTCATCTTATTTCCTTTTCAGTTTTACTTTCCTAATATTCAATGGTTTATATTCTCAAGAACTAGGGATATTTCATATTTTTATTGATAGAAATTAACATGATCTGGGTTTTTGAAGCCCCCTCCCATCTCCCTTCAAAATATTTATTTTAAGTTGTTTTTAAATGTGGGTTTACATTAAGACAAAGCAAGTACACATCAGAGGTCCATGTACACAAATAGAATTGTAGACACATATCTCCATATGAATTCTTTAATTACTGCACCATTTGATAAAATGTGGAACTTATTAGGAGACATTATATTTTTTAGATGTTTTAGAACATGTTATTTGGTTAATTATCATTTTGGCTTTATTTTTGACACCTCTTCTCTATCTCTGACTCTTCAATTAGCCCAGGTATTATGTCCAAACATTCAAAATTATTAATTATTATTTGTAGATGTAACAAATTGGTTAATTGCATCCTCAGCATGATGTCAGTATTAACATGGATGTCCATTTTATGAATTAAATGTTTCCTGGCTCTTACTTCCTATTGAAATCTATTGAATAATATTGGGGGTAAAATTGACTTTACCATTGAACGGTCCAGGTCTGATTCCAGGGACTCTGAATTTTATCCTATGGTTTTGAAAAAATATAATTTATGTCCATATGTGGATATTGATGTATGATATGAGTGGATTTAATTGATATTATCTTCAAAACCATAGGTTTATCCCATGGGAAATTATATCCCAGCGAACATTAAACAATCAGAAAAAATGAAAATTTTGAAAAAATCATTTTGAGGAATCTGAGACTCAAGCAGAATTAATAAAGTTAAAGTTGAAACCATTGAATATCACTTTTGAAACCATCGAATATCACTTATATTATATATATATATAGACTATAAGAGGGAGGGGGTGACTTACTCCCTATGCATTTGGCTAGGCTAGAGCATTATTTCCCAAATATATCTGATTTTATTCTTTACCATTCCAAATATAATTTCGTATAATATATCAAGCTTAGATTAAGGCCAGAGTGCACTTTTGAATTTTTTTTGCAATCTTGAAAAGTAAACCACTGAATATTCTATTATTTTAAAAATTCTGAAGAATTATCCACCCCTTAATTAATAGTCTAGGTACACTAATGCATCTTTTGTGCAAGAATGAAAGATGTAGATGATGTGTGGAATGAGTTATGTTTATCTGAAAATAGCACATGGTCATGTAATTTCATCAAAGTGCACCCTGACTTTAAGATATTTCATGATAATGAATGTGGATATGAACATTTGAAAAATGAAAAAATAAAGTTTAAAATCTATGAATTCCCTATTAAGACTAATTCAGGGATAGAAATGAACTTCTTGTATTAAAAAGCATGAAAAGGAATTATGAGACCAAATTAGATTGAGACATTAAATAACAAGCAAAAAAATTGTTACAAAATCTGGAACATTATTCCACAAAGAACATTAAAATCTAGGATATTTCCGAAATAAATTGTTAACTTTGGAATGGATTTTTCAGAAATAATATGTGTAAAAAATGTCATGAAATAGGCTCAGTGATTCAAATACAGAAAAACGAAATCAAAATGTTGGCCATGCCATGACAGGAATTCGAACCTGGATACCACGGCCACAATGTGGGGTCTCAACCACTAGACGATCATGGCTAAGCTATCAGGCCAACTTGAAATCATAAATGCAATATCAGTGTTTTAAATCTTATGAAATAGCCTTGAGGATTACAAAAGAAAAAAATATATTGGAAATGCCGTGACCAGGATTCAAACCTGGATTTCCACAGCCACAATGTGGCGTCTTAACCACTAGACGATCACGGCTAAGCTATCAGGCCAACTTGAAATCATAAATGCAATATCAGAGTTTTAAATTTTTATGAAATAGCCTCCAGGATTTGAATATAAAAAAATGTTGGCCATGCCGTGACCAGGATTCGAACCTGGGTTACCACGGCCACAACGTGGGGTCCTAACCACTAGACGATCACGGCTAGGCTAGCAGGCCAACTTGAAATCATAAATGCAATATCAGAGTTTTAAATTTTATGAAATAGCCTCCAGGATTTGAATATAAAAAAATGTTGGCCATGCCGTGACCAGGATTCGAACCTGGGTTACCACGGCCACAACGTGGGGTCCTAACCACTAGACGATCACGGCTAGGCTAGCAGGCCAACTTGAAATCATAAACGCAATTTCAAAGTTTTAAATTTTTATGAAATAGCCTCCAGGATTTGAATATAAAAAAATGTTGGCCATGCCGTGACCAGGATTCGAACCTGGGTTACCACGGCCACAACGTGGGGTCCTAACCACTAGACGATCACGGCTTGGCTAACAGGCCAACTTGAATTCATTAGTGAAATTTCAGTGCTAAATATCTTTTCAACTGCCTCAAGGGATATTGATGTAACATTTATGTAATGATCTCTATTATTAAATCAATTAAATATATGAAAGGTATTGTATTTGAACATGTATCATGGACAATTTGTAAATGGCTAGTACTTCACCAAGTCACTAGTATACTCAATAGACTTCTTTTCTTTGGTAATTTCCATGGGCTTTCAATCTAATGAATGCCCATGGTAATTTCACTGTGAATTACTCTCAGATATCCATACCATCCATACCAAGAAATTTTATCTAAAACAAGACTTTGATTTTTATGGTTCTAGACTCAAATTTCTTGCAAGAACCAACAATTTTTGCCTTCAATCCAATTACTCTGCATGGGGCAAAAGTGATGGCAAAGGTAAACTTTGTAGTTTGAATGTACATGAAGACTTACAGCATAGGTTGCTGCTGTGTGAACATTTTAAAGAAGAACGTGAATCCTTTTTCCACACTGTTTGTAAGCAATGTCCCTCCGATTTATTTTCTGATTTCATTTAGGGGAATCTGGCTGAGAAATTGACCTTTATGCTTGCTGATGAGACTTTTTCAAAATGGGGGCAAGAGTCTTGCCGCATTTGATAGCATTGTAAAACGCTTTTTAATCCAATTGTACAAGCCCAGAGATTTATGTCTTTGATTATTTTTTTAGTATATGCAACATTGTTTTAAAGAAATTATACATGACTGATTGACTGTATATTTTTATTCATACTGTATGGTTGTATGTAGCCGCACTGGATAATAATCCATGTGCCACTGTTATAAAAGTGTTGGCAAATAAATAAATAAAAATAAAATTATGTTTAGCACTTTTATATACTTGATCAAATTACATAATATTGAGTATTTCACTTTTTGACAACATCAGGTCAAATGAATAGATGTAGAGGGTACAAATGTAAAAAAATACAGGTGTGGACTGTGGAGATTCTTGATAAAAATAACTTTTTACCAAAAAACATTTCTTCAAGTTTATGCTAAATACACATAACAGTCTCAAGGTGATCTTCAGATACACAGTAGAAATACAATTTTAAAATTAATATTAAGTTGCAAGTACCCCGTAATTTAAAATATTTTCAGTTTCCCTCCAAGACTCGTCCCCAACAGGAAGAACTCCATAACAAGGTGCAGGATGCCATTCGGAGCCATATCAGTCAGTGTAAGACCATACGTAAACTTGAACAACGGAGAGAAGCTTTGCTGGCAAGGCTTGAAACAGATGCTGATCTTTTACTGAGTAAGTGAACATTTATTTGTTATACGATACATAAAACATATACTTATATACTGTACATATTTGTGCAACACAAAAATGCTCAATTTCTGAGGATCCAGGGAAAAAGCCATGGAAGTTATCAGGCAATAGATTTCAGACAGTTTTAGCTTTTTGTGAGTAGTAATCAAAGTTGACATTAAAGCAGATATGAAATGGTATTTTAAAACCTAAAGGAATCAATAAACTTTTTGATAAATGTATTTGGACATGTTTTCTCATCAGTAGTGTGAAAATAATTTCACTCTAACGATCGTTATAGTTGCTTAATAAGCAATATTCGAATTGGTTGTGACGTTATTGGCCCCCACGTGATCTCTCACTGGCCCCTCAGCGGCCCATTTTGGTCCATTAGATCATGACGTCATAATGCCAAAATGTTTTGTTATTTGTTTACACAACAATCCTATGGTTGCCGTGACATTGTGATTACTAAGGAACCAATAAACCAAAGCTATATTTTGTATATGACGTTACTAATCACGTGGGGGCCAATTTGATTGATCAGTTACTTTTATTTCGTTATCTATGAGCGTTAGCAGTTATCTAACATTTATTTTATAATGGCTATCGCAAGAACTCTGCGTTGGGCTTACAATGGAGAAAACCACATTTTTGTAGCTGCAAGCTGAGAAAAGCTATTTCAGTTGTCCTTTAAACTGTTAAATATGCATTTGTTTTTGTGGTCAGAAAGTCCGTGCAAAAATCTGTCTGAAATCTGTTGTCATAATTTCCGTGGGCCATTGGATTATTATACATCGCATGTATATCAAATTAACTATATATACAACTATGGACAGTTCAGCAGAATCATGTAAATCAACCGAGAACATGTTTATTTCGTAAATAAATGATTCCAAGTGAATATGATCAAATAAGTTTTTGTTTGTGAAAAATGACCCAATACAAATGAATATGGATGTTAACATATGTACATGTACACATGTATTTACATATTATATCTTCCAGATGCCCCCAGCCTAGTGGATGCAAGTGATAAAGACATTGAACTGTATACCAGTAGGTCAGCTCCTGTGGCTGCTAAAGCGAGACAGAATCATATCAATGAAATAAAACTATTGAACCAGCCTTGGTGGCGTAAACTGACAGATGAATATCAGGATGATATATCAGGAGTTCAGGATGAAGAGCAAATTGTGTTTTGAGCGGAAAATGTCTCAGAAAATGGTGCACAGGGGTGCATGATGGTACATGATCTCATCTAAGAATATACATGTATAACAATGCTTTTTCTGTAGTTGGATATACAGACAGCGCTGCAGCTACATGTAGGATTCATCCTTTCCCAAAACAGCAGGGGGAAAAGTTCTTTAATTACCTCAAGAATCTTCATATTTGTATATGGTTGAAGCCAAAGTGATAACAGTTTGTGAAACCAAACATATTCCGTCCATGTTATACAATAAAATAGAGAATCTGTTAATTGCAAAAATATACTATTCTGTTGTTTTAGATTTATTTGGAAAATATTCATTTGAAGTGTTATGAAAAACCTTTGACAGATTTAAAAAGATACTCCAGGCCTAATAGTGCAGTCAGAATGTGGGTTTCGGCGTGCGTTCAGAGGGATTTTATGGGACATAATTTTTCATGTTACTACTATGATTATACATATTTGTATGGATTATTAGATCTTAGTTTTCCAGCTTTTAGATTTTGTGGCCATTTTACCCCCCATGGGCTAAAATTTGGACCCCTACTATAAAATTGGGCAAGAACTCAAAAAATACTCAGTGGAATGTTTCCAAATTACTAAGTTATATTGGTATAGGCTAACTGAATATATGATAAAAATCTCATGTCACATGGTTAAGTGGTTGCCATGGAAATGGATAAAACATGCCCATCGGGTGTCAATTTTCAGGCCAATTTTTCAGGACTGACAGAGTCATATCATGCATATTTTGTCACGTATGTGTTAGGAAGGGTTAAAATATAAATAGAAAACTTCTATAATATATTAGCAACAATTGTATGTAAAGATCAGTCCACAAAACCTCAGATTTTGGCCTTGTATTGGTCCATGACTTATACAGGGGTCTATTCATAGACTCGAGCTCCCACATTGGATGGATGCTATAACTTTTGAAATAATGGAGATACAGGTCTCATTTTTTCAGATATTCATAAATGGTTAGTTTTAAGTATTTTATTTTACTTTGGGAGCTGACATGTGATTGGTTGCCATGGTAACCAGGGTTTTAGGGAAATTCTGACCCCAACATTGGATGGATGCTATAACTTTTGAAATAAGGGAGATACATGTCTCATTACTTCAGATCTTAGACAATGATTGATTATAAATATTAAATAAATATTAAATTAGACTTTGGGAGCTTAAATTTGATTGGTTACCATGATATCTAGAGTCTTATTGAAATTTGGACCTCCTCAATTGATAAATGCTTTAACGTTTGAATTTGAGCAGATACAGATATCATCATTTCAGATCTTAAAAATTAATTAGATTTCTGTATTGAATTAGACTTTGTAGCTTAGCATTTACTTGATTGCCATGGTAACCATGTTTCGTCGTCATGGTACCCCTAATTTTTTATTCAGGCTTACCTTTATTTGAGAATGGTCAATTCACAACATGTTATACCAAAATGCTCAAAATTATCATTTTGCTCTTAATTTTAGCAATTTATCCTGTATGTCTGACAGTATAGCCTCATTCCATTCTACTAGTTCTCAGACATATTCTGACACCCAACTTGTTTTTACTCATCATTATCATTTTCATCTTCCACAATTGCCTCTTAATTAAAAATATCAACTATTTCTGTTGGAAAGAAGGATTCTTTTGACCATTCTTGTGTTAAAGATTCGTCAGGGAATTCACAGTTCATTCATGCAGTTTGGGCATAATGGTAGAGCTGGGTTTAGGCTGGTGGGAATGTGTCCATACATAGGTTTGATAATTTACCCTCTTCAAATGTGAAAGAAAATGTCAACACCTTCATAAGTGAGGGCAGCACTGTTCTGTTTTGTTCTGTATCTCATGGGAAACAGCTCATCTCGTAATCTATAAGTGGCAGTTATTTTTCTATTTCTGCTGTATTTTTGCAGGTGAAATTCAACTTTCGATTTTATGGTAGCGGGAATTCCTATATTGTTTCCTATTGAAGAAAACAACTTTAAGAATTGTTTGTCTTCCGTTTCAGTTGATTTACTTTTCCTTTGTTCAGAAAGGCACTGGAGGAATCTGATCCAGTAAACGCATTGAAGGCTAATATAGCTTCACACAGGACTTGGTCCTAGATTTGCAGCTACAGGGGTTGGGTTGAGCCTCTGACATCTAATGGGACAGAGTTCACATCAGTTGAGGTTCTTAAGGTTATTTTCTCTTCATAATAGGAATCAATATAGAAATTCCTGACACAATAAAATCCAAAGTTTAATTGTTCACCAGTAAAAGTACAGCAGAATTACAAAAATATATTTGTAACTTACATCAATAGATAACGATATGAGCGGTTTCACATAAGATATTCTCCAAAACATAACAGTCCTGCCCTCACTTATGGAGGTGTTGACATTTCAACTCTTCCCATCTTTCAAGATTGGTCCTTCACTGCTTTCATAGCAGCTAATAAAATGCAATGAATTAAATGATGAACTCTTCCACCTTGTAATGATTACTCATTATAACATTTGAAGAGGATGGATGATAAAACATAAATTTGGAAGGAGAAACATTACTAAATAAACAGAGGTCTCCCAGGAGTTCACTGTATATAAACCTTGAGGGGATCCTCAGCTCAGGAGGGTTACTTTTAACATTTGATATGGCAATGGACCCAAATTTTAGGATCTGGTATGAGAATGCTCTCCCAATTATGACTTGAGAGGTATGGCAAAGGTCGGATTTGGGAATGGTCGTGAAAAATATGTTGCCCCTCACTTGTTGTACATGTATGGCATTGATCTAGTATATCCTTAATGTGAGGTTGTTTTTGGTTGTTTTCCTCAATGATCTGCCTTCTTCTCGAGGCATTAGAAATTTTGAATGGCCATGTTTTCATATCTTGATATTTGGTATGGCACTGGTCCTATATTTGGGCATTTGGTATGGCTTTTTGGCATTATTTTGGTTGATATCGGAACACATTCGAATTTGACAGATTGGATGGGAACATATTGATAGCTGAGGGTTCAGCCTAGGATCCCAGCCAAATTTTATATACAGTGAACCCACAGGGACCAGTCTTAACCCATTCTGCCAAGTCCAATACTGCATGAGTGGACTATATCCCCTGAGGATCCTTATCTCAAGAATGGTCAAAACAATCCTTCATTCCAACAGAAATTGATGTTAAGAGGAAATTGTGCTAAATGAAAACAGTAATGATGAGTACAGATGAACAAATTAGGAGTCAGAACTTTTGTAAGAACTAGTCGTATGGAATAAGGCAATATTGTCAGACATACATGTATTGTTTACTAGTATTTGATATTTTATGAGTCAAACAATGTTTGCATCTCTAGTATTATTGAGTCATGAGCATGTAAATCATATAAAATAGAAAAAAATCCCCAAATTAAGAATAAAATGGTAACTTTGAGCAATTTGGTATTTTATGTCATGTGACCTATCTAGAATAAAGGTGAATCTGAAAACGAAAACAGCAGTTACCATGACAATGAAACATGGTTCCCATGGCAGACAAATAAATCTTAGCTTCCAAAGTCTAATAAAATACACACATATTATTATTATCTTACATCTGAAAAGATTATATCTTATCTGGCTGTATTTAAGAGTCATAGTGTTCATCACTTGTGGAGGTCTGAATTTCAACAAAACCCTGATTTCCATGGTAACCAATCAAATTTCAGCTCTCAAAGTCTAAATCAATACTTTGAATCAATCATTGTCAAAAATCTGAAAAAATGAGACATGAATCTCCCTTATTTCAAAAGTTATAACATCCATCCAATGTCGGGGTCAGGATTTCCTTAAAATCCTGGTTACCATGGCAACCAATCATATACCAGCTCCCAACGTATATTAAAATACTTAAAACCAACCATTTATGAAGATCTGAAAAAATGAGACCTGTATCTTCCTTATTTCAAAAGTTATAGCATCCATCCAATCTGGGGGTCAGAATTTCCTTAAAACCCTGGTTACCATGGCAACCAATCACATGTCAGCTCCCAAAGTAAAATAAAATACTTAAAACTAACCATTTATGAAGATCTGAAAAAATGAGACCTGTATCTCCATTATTTCAAAAGTTATAGCATCCATCCAATGTGGGAGCTCGAGTCTATGAAATAGACCCCTGTATAAGTCATGGACCAATACAAGGCCAAAATCTGAGGTTTTGTGGACTGATCTTTACATACAGTTGTTGCTAATATATTATAGAAGTTTTCTATTTACATTTTAACCCTTCCTAACACATTGGTGACAAAATATCCATGAAATGACTCTGTCAGTCCTGAAAAATTGGCCTGAAAATTGACACCCGATGGGCATGTTTTATCCATTTCCATGGCAACCACTTAACCATGTGACATGAAATTTTTATCATATATTCAGTTAGCCTATACCAATATAACTTTGTAATTTGGAAACATTCCACTGAGTATTTTTTGAGTTCTTGCCCAATTTTATAGTAGGGGTCCAAATTTAAGCCCATGGGGGGTAAAATGGCCACAAAATCTAAAAGCTGAAAAACTAAGATCTAATAATCCATACAAATATGTATAATCATAGTAGTAACATGAAAAATTATGTCCCATAAAATCCCTCTGAACGCACGCCGAAACCCACATTCTGACTGCACTATAATTACATTTTAATCATAAATACCTGAATTCGGTCATTAACCATATCCATTCGTAATATTTTTACCTACATGTAAAAAGTCAGTTTTTGTGAACAATTCAGTATGTACTTGTGAAATACAAGTAGATATTCTGGCTTTTAACTATGTCACCACCAAGAAGTGGTGACATATTGTTATGGTGACCGTTTTTTGTGGCGGTGGTTGGTGTTTGGCGATCGGTGGGTGGCAGGCGGCGGTTGGCATCTGTAACAAATTCTTCCAATAACTTAACAAATACTGTGTAGACTGACTTCAATTTTTTTCAAATCATGTTCAAGGTATCATAAGTTCAAATTTGACTTTAGATTTAACATCTGACCTTCAATGACCTTCTCAAGGTCAAAAAAGGTCAAAAGGTCTTTTTTCAACTTGCTTCAAATTGACCAATTTTATTCAAAATCATCTTCAAGTTCTCAAAAGTTCAAATCTGACTATAGATTTAACCTTCAATGACATTCTCAAGGTAAAAAAATTGACCTTCAATGATCTTCTCAAGGTCAATTTTTTTTTCAAAATCATCTACAAGTTCTCAGAAATTCAATGTTACCAGAAAGGTCAAAAGTCAGTCATAAATATTTTGTGTTTGCCATTGTTGTCTTACATATGATGCTTAACTGTTGTCTGAGCCATCCATTTAGAAATCGAATTATTCTACCAAAGGAATAAATACTTCAGATGTACCATTCCCAAGATCACTACTGTACAAGTGTACATGGACATGAATATAAATGAAGAAGGCGCAGCTTGTGATTAGTCAAATATGAAAGTTAGTTATATCATGGGCGTTCAACTAGAAGGGTAGGCAACTTCCCATATTTCATACATAAGCATTGCCTTTGGGTTTTCAAAATTGGAGAATGTACACATTCCAAGAAAATCTTATTTTGTATTTTTTATGGATGATTAGAGAAATAACTCAAAAATATAAACATGATTATCTCCATACATGTTGATAATCTAATAAAAAATGGAATTAATCATAATTATGACAATACAGAAAGTGAACATTCTCCCACAAATTATGTTTTATTGGAATGTGTTCTTGAATAATTACCCACAATGCAATACCCAAAGAGAACATCTTGATACCTCTTATTCTTATTGGTCTTTTTTGTTAGTTCAACAAGTTAAACCCAATACCACGGCTTTCATTTTTTAATCTGAATGTTCGTGTTGCCGTGGTTGGGTTTAACTTCCGTGCTATGCTTTCATTTGTTGCAAATTCTCACCATCAGTTATTAATTAAACGCGCATGGAATTTCATGCGGTACCATAGGCCACCATTAAATTTTTTTGCATCAAGGGCCGAATAGGCACGGAAGTTAAACCTAGGGCGGGCCACAAGATATGTCAGATAAGAAATAAGGCCCAGACTAGGTTTAACTTGTTGAACTACTTTTTTGTTTACTTTTACATGAGATTGAATATATTTTATGCTTTAATCCTTTTGAAAATTGATTTTTAATCAAAATAATACTAAAACATATACATTTACCTAATACTTTTCGAAATATTATGCATAAAAGGCAGGGCCGTCAGATGGGGGGGGTGCGATGGGTGCGACCGCACCCCCCTTTGTCACCCCCCAAAATAAATTTGAAAAAAAAAAAAAATTTTGAAATTTTTTTTTTTTGTAATTTTTTTTTCATTGACTCATACACTTTGAAAGTACCCAGAAAGCACCAAATAGCATCTTAAAATTGTAAAATTTTCTAGGGGAATTGGCCACCCCTCACACCCCCCACAAAACAATTGGAAAAGTTCTAAATTTATTTTAGTGTTTTGTCTCAGGCACTTTTAAAGTGCCCAGACATCATCAAATAGCTCCTTGAGTTAGTGTTTCTCGGGGACTTGCTCCCTCTCTTGCATCTTGCACTTGCATAGACCCCCCCCCCCTCTGGCGCCCCCCTCCTTGACCCCCCCCCCTCCGAAAAAAATTTGTGATTTTCTCAAATTCTTTAATTGCGACTCATACTCTTTGAAAGTGCCCAGAAAGCACCAAATAGCGTTGTAAAATTGTAAAATTTTCTAGGGGGAGTGGGCCACCCCGTCACACCCCAAACAAAACAATGGAAAAGTTCTGAATTTGTTTTATGTATTGTCTCAGACACTTTTAAATTGCCCAGATATCATCAAATAGCTTCTTGATAAAGTTAATGATTCTGGAAGACTAACACTCACTCGCCCTCTGGCATCCCCACTCCACCTCCCCCTCTGGCAGCCCCCCCCCTTAACACCCCCCCCCCAAAAAAAAAGTTCAAATTTTTTTATTGACTTTATTGACTAAAGTGCCCAGAAAGCACCAAATAGCATCTTAAAATTTTCTTGGGAAATTGGCACTTTTAGGCACAGACACTTTTAAAGTGCCCAAACTTCATCGAATAGCACTTTGATATTGTAAATTTTGATATGGGGGACAAACACTTGCTCCCCCTCTGGCACCCCAGCCCCACCTCCCCCTTTGGCACCCCCCCCCCCTTTGACACCCCCAAAATTTGAAAAAAATTGTGATTGTTTTTCAATGTTTTTATTGACTAATACACTTTAAAAGTGCCCAGAAGCACCAAATATCATCTTTAAATTGTAAAATTTTCTAGGAGAGTTAGCCACCCCTCACATCCCCCACAAAACAAAAGAAAATATTCTGAATTTCATGTATTGTCTCAGACAATTTTTAAGTGCCCAGACATCATCAAATAGCACCTTGATATGGTCAATGTTTCTCGGGGACAACCCCTTGCTCCCCTACTGGCACCACACCCCATTTCACCCTCTCATCCACTTTGACACCCCCAAAATAATTTGAAAAAAATACACATTTTTCTTATTGATTCATAACGCACAGGCGTACCAGATGGTTGCAAATTCGCTCCAAATACAACCAAATTTCAAAATTTTCCCAGACCCCATGAATGCTCGGTTTTTTATTCACTCAACTCTTATTGCCATGGTGGTGGCGTACTGCTTGGAAACTTACACTTTGAAAGTGCCCAGAAAGCACCAAATAGCATCTCAAAACTGTACAATTTTCTAGGGAAGTGGACCTCACACCCCCCACAAAACAATTAAAACGTTTGGAAGTTGCATTTGTTAATTCCAAACCAATATAGGGAGTAACTGAGCCCCCCCCCCCCTCTGACTTACGCGATTTGATTTACGCGGCAAAAAAATTGACAATTTTATATTCTCTTTAGTAAGCTAAAAACCGCACCCCCCTTGGAGAAAAGTGTCTTACGGGCCTGAAAGGGAAGCATGGCATTGCTCATTTTGAAGGTCTCAGGTTATTACACAGAGTTGCATACCCTTCTAAATGAAAGCCCATGGTTATATATAAAATCTTCAGTCCTAACTGCGAATATTGGATGAAGCGAATGGCAACTGATGTTTCCCATTGTTCCATAGCCTATCTGTCTGGGATATTTGAAATATATCACCTGTTTCTACCTGCCAACTACCTGTCAAACATTCTGATACTCATAGCATGCGCATTTCTCTCTGTTGCATCGCAGGAGGATAGAGATGGAGAGGGCGGGGCTTACCACGATGCCTGCCAAACTAAAACATAAAGATAATTTTGAATAATATTAAGTCAGGATGGTCTGATGGTTGCAGAGGTTGAACTATACAATCATTGAACAAAACATATTGCCCAATGGTTGCTAGTCATTGTTATTGATTGTACTATGGTTTTTCCTTTAATCTTAATTGTTGAAACAATCGATATCCAGAGATTGATAACAGTGGTTTAAATTTGGACTTTCAATGTTGAACTTTTTATAAGGGACACTTTGTCAATTTTTGTCATCATGTTGAATTTGCAGAAAGTTTAAATAATTTTTTTATTAATAAAGATGGCATGGTAATCGACCTGTGTTTATTCATAATTCAAGAAAAATATTCGAAGAATTCTGCTGCTGCCATCTACCTCGAATTCAATCTAAATGTCCATGGATTTATCAAAGATTGTGGTTTTACAATGATAATATTGTTTTGTAATAAGTCAAATATTTTAAATGCAGTACATGCCTTAGAAACAACATGCAACTGCACAGCTTTGAGCTGCTTACTGTCATCAGGGAAACGATGCATGCAAAATGTGATGTAGATCTTCACAAAGGCTGTTGTAGTTTATACAACTGTATATAATCAAAAAAACATAATAAGGACCGTTAGGTACAACCCCGGGGGGTTCACTATATATAAACCTTGACGGGATCCTTGGCACATGTGGGGTACCTTTTTCAACGTTTGGTATGGCGATGGACCCATATTTTAGGATTTGGTATGGGAATGCCCGGAAATTTCTGACTTCTGAGCTATGGCAATGGTCGGACTTTTGCTCTTCTGGTATGAGAATGGTCGTTGTAGATACGTTACCTAACATTCGTGGTATGGCATTGGTCCAGTAGTTGCAAATTTGAAGTTGTTTTGGATCGTTTCCCGAAGTATCTTCTTTTCCAGGGCCTTCTTCAACTTTTGAATTTTAGCCCTTGGTCCCATATTTGGACATTTGGTATGGCATTGGTCCTACATTTTGACATTTGGTATTGCATTGGTCCCATAATTTGGGCATTTGGTATGGCATTGGTCCTATATTTGGACATTTGGTACATGTATGGCATTGGTCCTATATTTGGACATTTGGTATAGCCTTTGGGCGTTATTTTGGTTGGTATGGGAACATATTGAAATTTGACAGATTGGTATGGGAACATATTGATATTCGAGGCTTCAGCCTACATGTAGGACCCCCGTCGAGTTTTATATACAGTGAATCCCCTAGGGGAACAACCTGGATATACATTGTATACCAACAAGTCCAACACGGGGGGGGGGTACACAATTAGTTGCAGTTCCACTTGATTTTATTCCAAGGTCCTAGACGGATAGCAAATAATTGTCAATTTAAATGACTTTTTTTAGTGTTGCCTTATGTGCTTGCTTGATACTTTATCAAGCTTGATCCTTTATCAAAGTGACTATTAGGCCTGGATATGAACCAACTCCAGATAATACTCGTCACATGGAAATGTAAAAGCTGTTTTGAAAGGGATTATGTCACAACATTACTCCTGTATAAACTTTTTATTGAAAGCAGTTTACCTGCACTAGGCAACAAGAGTTCTTTCAATTAATGATTTACCTGCTACCCGAGTTCGGTGCACGCAGCGAGTTATTCACATTGATTTGATTACTGAAATTACACGATTAAAGGTATGAGGTAAATGACAAGATGGACATTGGAAACTACACATTTTTAACATTAAAACGATGATTATGCTTCAACCAAAGTTCAAAATGAAATAAAACGATAATATAATATTATATCAATAATCAATTTACATGAAAAGTAATAAATAAATACACTTTGGAACTGACATATCGGCGAAATCGGTCAATTTTACAATTTTTTAAATTTCAATTTTTTTACTTCAAATATTCTGTAATGAACACCTTGACTTGGACATCTACAACAGCTATACTATCACCATGACTGCGGAAAATAACCAAGAGGGTGAGAGGCCTACAAGCAACTCCGAGAGACCACATTTTGCTGTAAGTTTTTATGTAGAATTTCTCTTACAATCCATGTTGACACATTGATAGGCTACCTTCTAATCTAGGCCTAGGCATCACATTGGTAATATGGGACCCTGTATGTGAGCATAGATGTTGGCCAGATCGTTTTGTAGTAGGATCTCATAGGCTCAAAGAATAATTCAGAAGATGAGACACCAAACTGGAAAATCTCAAAAAAAGTGACCACCTTTCAAAACGTTCCTTATACAGAATGGTACCTGCTTCCCCGTGACAGATTTTGCATTTAATTTATAGCTGAGAGCTTCATCTTTCTATTTCTACTTGTTTTGTTCGAGTAAATAACCCATGGACGCAGTAAATTGACTTTTAATACGGCAAATATTTTTCACTTGATCCGGGCTCTTGTGTGTCCAAATATCTTTGTAATGCTGACGTCTCGTTTCCGGAATCACGGGAGCGCCATTCAGATTTGGACAGACAAGAGCCCGCAGATAAATATCAGTTTTGGCCTCTTATCAACACACCATTGCTTGAATAACGTTCATTAGTGATAAAAAAGTTAAAGAATAACAAGACGCTTCGACTGAGGTATGATTTCTCTCATATTTTTCAGAAATTGCTGCACAATCGTCATTTTTAAAATTCGAAATTTTTTCGGTGTCTCATCTTGAGGAATATTTATTGAGCTACTTACCCTACTACAAAAAAATCTGGCCGAGATCTATGTATGCGACACCCTTCAGTTTCCTTTGCTTGTCACATGGTTCCACTTCTAGGGGTCAATATTTGGAAGATGGCGCTCTGAGAGTTCAATTTGAATATTTGCCACCAGAATTTTCGAAATCGTTATTCCCTCTTCAAAAGAGAAGATGCGAAAATCTTTTCTTATAAGGGCAAAATATTTCCCATGATGCAGTTCGCGGAGGAACAAATTTAGACTTCCTTATTTTCCCTCATAGGTTTAACATGGGGATTTTCACACCTATTTTTCAAACGATATATTCGTTCATATTCCCGTACGAGAGTACAGAAAAAATTATTAGAAACGATTGATCTCTCATTAATCTTAATATAACAGCTATTTTTTTCATTGTATTAATTCATAGCGTGGTGAAAACGATGATTGAAAAGTGAGAAAATATTTCCGGAAGAGAAGGTCACGTGATCCGTAGACTAGTCGCCATATTGGAAAAAACTATTCCATTCGACTTTCAATACTTTCATGCCAATCTTACCGCATTACAAACTGCGACATCGATGCAACAACTGAATAAAAGTATTCATCTTCAAATTACATTATAGAGGTACGTTGAAAACCCAGAAACAACTGAGCAGTAGACCAAAGAAGACGCGTCGCTATTATCTAGGTCAATCTGTTCAGTGGTCCGAAAGCAAATCTATAGTACTCCTTTCTGAATTTTGTTGTTCATTGTACAATCTTTTATTGATTAAACTCGGTATACTGACCATTAAAGCAATGACAAAGAAGAATACTTACGATGGTGTCATTGTTTTATTTAGCGTACGGGTGTAAAAACAAAATTGAGTAATTAGTTTGATTTAGAACTTTCTTGTCACGCAAATAGCTACGCGAAATGCATAGTGGGAAAATATTGACCAATCAAATTTTGTCCTTTTTGAGTGCTTTTTGAGTGCATATTTGCGAACGTTCTGGTTCAAAGAGCGAACCGCGAAAAGGAGAATTGGAGGTGAAAGCTGTTGCTAAATTCACATTGTTCATTCTAAGTCTTGCACCACTGTTTTCAATTTTAGTATCTCACGGGTCCAACTTTACCAAAAACAACTGTTAATTTGAATTTTAGAACTAACAGATGTTTGAAAATCAAGGATTGTGAGTCTCATACTGCACCTTTTTTCTTCAAACAAAGGAAAACACAATGCCTTTCTGTCAGTGCATTGCTTAATTGTACAGATTCCCTCGTTTTAGCGGGCTTTGGGTTAAACACGGGTAAAAGGAACAATTCTGTTTAACAGAATAATGTACCAACAGAAAAGCATTTTTGTTTTGCTTTGAATGGAACAAGTTTGAATGGAACAAGAAAAATGGTGCATTCCAATTAACGCCTGAGTTGGCACTGCTCGCTGATCTATTAATCCTACTGCATGTTTCAATGTTTGAAGAAATTAAATGGGATGACTCAAAGTGGGATATCTTGATTTTGTTTGCAACTTTAATTTTGATTTGCCACCATCACACCGGAATAGCCTGACTACGATAAAGTTAGATTCCGTTGTCACAAATGGCGGACATAACCCTCGCTTCAACTGTTTAATAACTTGTCTCACCTGTCATCCCTTCATCTGTGATTCCTTCACCTGTCATCCCTTCATCTGTCATTCCTTCACCTGTCATTCCTTCATCTAGCATCCCTTCATATGTCATTCCTTCACCTGTCATCCCTTCATCTGTGATTCCTTCACCTGTCATCCCTTCATCTGTCATTCCTTCACCTGTCATCCCTTCATCTAGCATCCCTTCATCTGTCATTCCTTCACCTGTCATTCCTTTATATCATCCTTTCATCTGTCATTCCTTCACCTGTCGTCCCTTCATCTGCCATTCTTTCACATGCCATACCTTCATCTGTCATTCCTTTATATTATCCCTTCATCTGTCATTCATTCACCTGTTATTCCGTTATCTTTTCATCTGTCATCCATTCATCTGTCATCCCTTTATCTATCCACCTGGGTACCCAGATTGACATGATTTCACTAAGATTGCTCTAATTTGAACATAGAATTTACACAAGAAAAAATGCCCATCCCCTTACATTTGGCTTCTAACTCTCTTTTTTTAGGTTTAAATCACAAGCTGTCATTCTAATAAGCTACACTGCTGCACTTCTTTTTTATCTACAATCACAATAGCCTACTGCACACACCTTCTAAAATAGATGTTTTTATTAACAATCTGAGTGATGTCTCCTACATGTAGATAACAATACCCTAGGATCATTGAAGTCTATACAGTGTATATGTACATTAGATGATGGCCGTCGTAGGCTTTCAGGTAATTATTGTTTAATTTATTTTATTTGTATTTTATTTTTTTGGTGTTGCATACTCATTATACAGGGTGATCAAAAACAGCAACCCTTGATTTTATTTTCTGATATTTGGTGCATTTGTACATCATTCATTTTCTTTCCAACTATCCATATTTTATGACCATCGGACTGATATGCTCCAGGGGGCCACCATTGCACTTCTTGTCTGGTTTGTCACTTAAAAATTTGGCAATATTTCATATTCACTAATCATTGAAATATAATAAGCATGTTAATATAGTGGAATATCTTTGCTACCTCTAAAAAGTGTTTCTTGGGAGGAGGTTCATTTAACATGAAGTCAGTTGGTCTTGTACTCTGAAGTGTTCAACTAGCAGAATGTTCTACTTCTGGAGGTGTTCCAATAAACAGGTTTAACTGTATGTAACCTGAGCTTGTACATAGGTTATATGTTATATGATATAAATTGAGTATATAATAACGAACTTGTACATAGGTTATATGTTATATGATATAAAGTGAGTATATAGTAATAAACATTATGGATGTTAATATCATTCATGATGTACATGTATAACAAATTGAACGAGTTCATAATAAGTTGTCGAGTAGAAACTGTAGATATCGCTCTTGTCTCTGTACACGAGGCATCTTGAATTGTAGTTCAGTGGTCTTCTTGTTGTTCCTGAGCATCAGCCGTCGCAGATTGTCAAATGTTTGAGTTTTCACTTGGAGCACTTCCATTGCTTGAATCTTGCCATCATCACGCATTACTTTATAAAAGGGAAACTCCTCACAGAGAGAATGGTCAAACTGTAATTACAATATATTTAATTAGGAACAAAATTTAGAAATTCAGCATGTGTATCAATTCCGTATGTTACCCCTCCTCCATATTCAAGCGAAAACAGGGTAGAGAGTATATATACAGAGTGGAGAATGACCAGAGATTTGTTATTGACATTTAAATAACTATTTGCAAGTGTGATTATCAAGAATCAATAGTCAGCTAATTTGTTCAATTCAAGCATCAAATATTAAACATATACATTCTGAATTTTATTTTAAACAACGTTTGAACTTTTATCCTTACTTTCTTCAGCTCATCGTCTGTCAGTTTCACTTCTTCCTTGTCTTTAGTAACTTCTATGAAGAGAGCATAATGTCTTGTTGTGGTCACAGCACCTAATGTAAAGAATAGACTACTTTGTGAAATGTACAGCAGCAAGAGGAGGGAAAACCCCAGAGCTTTTGAGATGACAGATATAATTACGTCTGTTGCGTACCACCTTTGTTTGCGCAGATTCTCACCAGTTAGTACATCTTTATTTTGATGTATTATAACAAGCTGTGATATCAATTAACACGCCAGGAATTAACATATTATTATTTGAAGCGTGTTAAGAAAATTTTAAAATTGCCATTGTCTGTCTGTCGATTTGACCAATCGGTGATGATGTCATCTCAATAAATGTAGGTCATCTTTTAACTCTTGGGTTATTCCTCTCTATAGCAGCGATCAAATATATGCATGAGAAGAATATATGGCACTACTTTACAATTTAGATTCATTGAAAAATATTGATGTGTGTCAAACTCTTTTTTGAAACTCGTGTGATAACTTATTAATCTCAGGATTAAATAACAAAATAGAGATATATAAACTTGCATTGTTTAAATCTCCCGGTTTTGTAAATTTTGATTGAATGCATTCTGCAGTTCTTACCTCTAAGCTTAGCTATGTTAACATTCTCAGTGGCTGTATAATCAACTATCCTCACTCCCTTTAGCTGGTTTACAGTGTTCACCACTGCGTTCATAAATGTTCCCTCAGGAGTCTTTTCCCATACAACATTCAGCATCTGGCCTGCCCTGTTGACACAAATCAGCAATGTGCTTAATGAACTTAAACTCATGCATAATCATACCTTATGAACAAACCTCATGTAAATCAAATATAGGGTAGGATTTAGATTAGTGAAGGAGACAATTTTTATTTATTTAAGTTATCTTATGATCTATAGACCGCAAAGGGACAGTGAACCGTTATCTACATACTTATATTTATTTTACTGTTTTATGAGGCAACTGGAATGATGAGGTAAAATTCTCATTCATGTGATACGTATCATAGAGGGAAATATACAAGTACCTGTACTGGAATTCATAGAGAGGCATTTTGTTATTGTGGCCAACAATCTTGATGACATCTCCAAATCTGTATCTGTACAGTCCATAATTGTTGGTGACCAGTAGTTCATAGCACTTGCCAACCTCAATCTGTAGATATAAAATGACATGTTAGCATGGATCATTCAGGTTTTTTCTAACCTTCTCAGGAAACATTTTCTGGGTTAGAATATGAGTGTTGCACTGAAAATCTTTTGAGCTTTGGTAAAGACAAAATATTGTAGAAAAATTATCTGAATTTCAAAAAAAACTTCATATGAGAGGCAAAACTATTGTGATTAACATTTTAGGTCCTGTGTTATATTTGACTTACTTGATGAACTCTCAGAGGTTTTGGATTCTCGTCATCCACAGGTAGAAACTCATAGAACATTCCAGAATTCAAGGTGAACTGTGAATAGCTTCGCCCTGGCGTCATGTTCAGTGACATTATACCCTCAGAGGCTGCGTGGCAGTGCGATACAATAGGGATCTGCTCTCCAATGTAGCGTTCTTTTACCATATCTCCATATATCTTAAACGATCCTGTGGAAATCATAGTGATAACTGGCAAATGTTTCCATATTCTTGGTCCAATTCCTTCAATTCCTTTATTGAATTCATTTCGCAGTTCATTTGCTCTGATCTTGTCTCCTTTCAATTGTTTTTCCAATTCTTCTCGGATTTTTGAATCAATGTCCAAACCTTTCCATATTGTTCCCATTTCTATGTCATCACATAAGTGTTGCCACTTGGACTCTATTAGTTGGAAGAATTTAAGACCAATTGTAGCTAATGGAACCATGATGTGCTTCAGTTTTCTTTCCTTCATCCCGTAAAGGGCATACAAGTAAAGAGCCTCATCTTGAGTTGAAACATCAAGTACGCTTCGAGGGGTAGCTGTGCCTGGCAGTGCCATCTTATATCGCCCTGATAGCCCACCCATAGGGATTCCTCCGTCTGTATATATTGGGTCCTGAATTACGACAATATCTAACGTTTTCAACAGTTTCAACTCCGGAGAAAAGGTTTTTTGTATGATGTAGTTTGATGCCAAAAAGGTTTTTAACAGCTCCAAGTTTCCAATTTTGTGAGCGCCAGAGTTGGAGACTGGGTATTTTTTATTGTTTCCAGTAGTACCTGATGTAAGAATGATATAGGTTGGTGTAGAATTGGCAACAATTACATTCATCTCCCCTGCAATTACTCTATCAAAATATGCCTCATAATGATCATATTTAGTAACTGGATGTTGCTCAATGAAATCATCCGGAGATTTGATCATAGAGAAGTTATGATCAATTCCATATTTGGTATTCTTGTTGGCGTTGATAAGCTTCATGAGGAGTTTGTCCTGTGCCTGTTTAGGGTCAGTCTTCAGCATAGACCTGTATGCCAATGGACTCAGTATTCCAAAGATTCTATGTAGCATGTATAGGCCAAGAACTGAACGAAGGGTTAGACTTTCTGCAACCTCCAATCGCAGAATATCCAAGCATCCCACACCACATAGTCCTAGGAAAAAATATTCGGTTAAGAACAATCATGAGAGTGTTTTTTTATTAAATATTTTAAATAGATATTAACAACATATCGATTTCCTGATAGAAAAGATTTATCTTTATATGAATATATACCTGATCAGGAATTCTCCGTAGTCATATAATTCCCGGGAAACTAAAATGATTATTTCCTCCTCTTACTAGCTCTTACCCTTCTTTGCTGATGGTTTGACATATTTGCTAATTTAAAAAGGGGAGGGGGGGGCTCCTTCAGTCTGGTTTATGATATCAAAAATTGATATCCATATATGCCAAGATGCAGTGAATGTATTTAACAGATTCTCATATATCACAGCCATGTCATTATGTTGTCTAATTGAAGTCCCATGTTAATATCAGGAACACATAACTCATTCTATACATGGTCAACATCCTCAGTTTTCCACAAAGAGTATACAATTGTACCTACCAATTTGAATAATTTTCTACATGTTTGGAAATCAAGAAAATTTGGTGACCTAGTTTTTAATTAAAAGTACAAAAAGTATAGGTCACTCATTATTTCGGAACAACCTTGAAATGAAGTTACATACTTAGTTAGTTACAAAATTCGATTTGTCTTTTAAAATGTAGCACTTAAATATCCTAAAATATTGCAACAAAATTTCAAAATCTAAATCTAAATCTTCTTCAATTAACAAAAATGCTCAAGTGTTATAATCCTTCCTGTTTCACTTACCAAGCACTATAGCAACAATAAATGTCCATACTCCTTGTGTGTTAAGGAATATGTATCCAGCCAAGGACAGGGCCACTCCACCCAAGACACAAACCTTACTCTTTACTTCTATACTCATCTCTATATTCAAGACACAGTACAATATCTCGTCTTATATAGCAGTTAGCGTGCACACACTGACACCATATTATATCAATACTTAGATAAGCCAATATTAAGGTACATGTAGTACTTTAGACTCCTTTAATCTACTTTAGAATCTTATAAATCTGCCACCTATATTTGTTAAAATGTCATAGCCAGGAATAGACATAGGATTAACTTTACTTTACTAATTACTTGTAATCTCTCAATTCGCAAACATTCAAAACTTTATGATGTTTGCTCAATACTTTAAAGGTAAACAAGTACAATGAATTTTTGGAATTTTTGTGAAATATTTGCTACCCATATCAAGTATAAATTATTGACAATTGACATTATTTGTTCATGATCGTTAAAAAAACATGAACGAAGATTTATGCTTGCAAAAATACATTTGTCTTACATGAAGTAAGTTTTGTGACATACAAGTTCTAGTTTCAAGTTTCCATATCTATTAATATGCTTCTGATAACATATGCAGACTTATACAGTTAAGTACATACACATATGTGGGTTCTATTTTATAATTGCTTTTTGCTGTCACTTGAAAAGTATGTCAAGTCCTCATTGTTCTTAAAGGGGAGAAAATACGTCCATTAAATAACCATTGAGAGAAATCAACTGATTTAGTTGTTATTCTGTATTTTCAACACTAAAAAGGCCTGTATCCAGCTTTTCCCAAGGGGAGGGGGTCATTTTTCATGAAAATTCCAAGGGGCTTCAATTTGGCCTTAATTTACATGAAATATGCTCAGAATGTTGAAAAATGGCATGATTTTGAAAGAATTTTTGGCTGGGGGGACTGAAGCCCCTTATATCAATTGAAATACTTCCCTAAAAAGAGACATAAAATATGGCAGGGTAATCAGATGGGGGGAAGGGAGGGGGTGGAGGTTGTGTTGGGTGCATCGGTCAGAAATGCTGAAGCTACTTGTATGATGGGCAAGTGGGGCTATTTTTCGTGATTCCAAATCAGATCTCCACAATTCTGTGTTACATTGTTTCTTAAATTTGGAACTAACATTGCAGTAAATTAAGTTAATCAGTGATATCATAATAGTCCTGGAATCAGCACACCTCCGACGTCATAGGACTACTCACTAAAAAAATTGTGAAACCGCACCTCCCATATGGGGAAAATGTCTTAAATTGCAAGGCCACTGTAAAACTAGAAAAAAGATATGTCATACATTTTCAGACCAAAAAATTGCCGAATAAATTATCATTTAAAGCTGGACTGCGCTCCGAAACGCAATCTTGGGTTGTTTCGGGGGTGAACTTTATCATTTTGAGCCTAATGAAAGATTATAGAATGATGAACAAATGGGGCAAATCTTGTGTAGAAATACTTACGATAAATGTGTCATTTCAAAGATTATTCATTGAATTGCTTCGATCGGCGCCGACGATATGATTTTGGAAAAGTTTCTAAATGAAGAACGTGACGTCACTTCCGAATCATAGCATTCAAAATAAGTAGCGTTTAATTACTTCCAACATTCATAAGAAGACGGTGGTCTAGGGGTACAATTCTCGTTTAGCACGCGGGAGGCCCGGGTTCGAATCCCGCATTCGCCTTTTTATTTTTTTAACTAAATGATTGTTCTTTGATATAACGCAGAAAAAAACAATTTTTATTTACATAAACTATATATTAGAGCTTAAAAATGTAAAAACAATATATGTCAACATATTGCGTTTTGGAGCGATGTGCAGGTTTAACTAGATATTCTTTATTGAATGTTATTTGATTGTGGTTATGTTCCAGCATGGTGTAAGACGAGCAAAGACTGTCTATGGTGCATTCAGGCCTCCATCAACCAAGGTTCATCCTGGGATACCTGTCTCAGAGGATAACTCAGTAAGTACACTAGCTTGCAAAAATACACATTTATCCATAACATATTTTTGTCTTTCAATTACAATTTCTTGAGTTTTCCCAGTTTTTGAGAAAATGGCAATTTTGTCAAAAAATCATATTTTCATTTACATATCAGATAGATTACATGATGTATATAAGTATCACGTGATGCTTATAAGTTGCTGTTGGGATGAGAAATTCTTCAAAAAGTCATGAACTACAGCTCATGAACTACAGCTCTAGACATTTACTCATGGAATTTGGACAAAAAGTTTTTATTTTTTGTTCTATAGCTTTGACCTATTGTTATTCATGAGATTGGCAATGTTAATGTCAAAAAGTTCTTAAGTAACAGTTCAACATCCTTTATCTGTTTCAATTTTATTTTAACATTTTACTTTGACTTCTCTGTTATCAACATGTATATGTACATTGCCTTTATATTCGTATATGTCATTAAATGGTACATAGTCATTTTAACATTTTACTTCTCTGTTATCAACATGAATGGGGGGGGCATGTATATGTGTGCATTGCCTTTATATTCTTATATGTACATGTCATTAAATGGTGCATAGTCATTTTAAAGCGATTTTACTTTTATGTTTTTAGTCGATTGAAACCAACTGGATAACCAGCCATATCAACAAACGAGTCTGTAAGAAATTTGTAGAGAAGCAAGAATCTGATAAAAATGGAAAAGTCATCCAAAAAGAGTAAGTCTCTGTATTTACTGTATTTCATTTCTTTTTTTCTATATTTTCTATATTCTTAGAGTAAACATGTACATGACTGGAATGTTCTGAAAAATTTCTTCACTTGAAAATCATAAATGAAGCATTTCTTTGCTACTTAATTTTACTGCATATTTTTTTGAATTGTCTTATTTATTAATTTACTTGTGTTTTATATATATGTATGTGTGTTATGTGTGTGTATTGAATATTTAGTTGGTAGTATTTTAATTTATAATTTAAATTATCTCACTTATGCTTACAGTATGTGTGATAATGCGTGGTGCGCATCTACAGTACTAATAAATCTCACACTATCTTTATTTCTTGAGTATATATTTGATTTAACCTAATACTGTATGTTGTTTAAATAGATCTGTATTTTTTAAAGAGTCCAGACACATGTTATGGAAAATACCATGTATCGTCAGGAAACTCTTATTCGAGAAAATATGTCGACTCAAGAGGAAACCATGCTTCAAATGGGAAAAAACACCTCATCTCAAGAATTACAAAAAGATATGTAAGGAAATCTGCTATATGCATTGCTTTGGTGATATCACAGGTACCCTGTGTTGAGCATGAACCTCATCTGCATGCGTTATCAGGCTTACCTTGAAAAGTGCATGACTCCTACCCCTAGGTAGGGGCCACCTTTTTTTGCATGATCCTCACCCTCACTTTATTTAAGGGGCTCCCCGAGTATTGTGTAGTCTTTAATGGTTTGTGAGCAGCTTGTCAGAATAGTCTTACGTTGATCCAAATGGTATAACTTGTTAAAACAAGAAATTAAGTGACTCTTGCTATATGTGTCCATGTATTCTGGCCCTACTAACTCCCATGCTGCCATCTATTTTTCCATGTATATAGCAAATGGTCTATAATATTACAGTTGCCATGTTATTTTCCAATTCCACTTGACAATATCATGCAATGCCCTGCAATCATTGACCATAAACCATTCCTTAGTTTAGCCTATACCATTTAGTTGCAACAAATGCTGAACTGTCTTCATGATTGGATATATAAGTGGCGACTGACAGTAAATGTTGAAAAAACGAAAGTAGTGCACTTTAGGAGAGCGTCGACAGCGTTAACAGAAACAATATTTGTGCTAGGGGATGCAAAAATTGGAAAAATAAACTCTTATCGCTATCTCGGAGTTGTTATGAATGAGACTCTCGACTACACTGAAATGGTTTCAACTCTAGCTGATGCAAGTTCTCGCTCCCTTGGCGCTCTTATTGGAAAATATTATTCTATTAATGGACTTCATTATTCGACATTCACAAAGATGTATAATGCAACCGTTATCCCCATCATGGATTACGGGGCTGGAGTTTGGGGCTATAAAGACTACGACAAACCAAATACTGTCCAAAACCGTGCCATGAGAACATTTATGGGCTTAGGGAAATATGCTCCCATTCCGGCTATGTATGGCGATATAGGCTGGATACCACCATGTGTTAGGCACCATGTTGAAATGGTTCGTTTATTCATCCGACTTAGTAGAATGCCAAGAACAAGGATTACACGAAGAATATTTGACTTTGACTATGCCAATGCTGAAAAAGGCCATAAAGGATGGTGTAAAGAGGTTAAAGATATATTTTAAAATTCTAACCTTTTAGACCTCTATAATGAACGTTTCTTTAATAATTCAAGTGCAAGGTCAACATTAAAAACTGTAAAAGATTCTGAAATGAATCGCTTTATACATAAATGGACAGTTCAAATAACTACAATGCCAAAGTTACGTACATATAAGTTAATTAAAGACAATTTTGGTACAGAGGATTATATAAAATCATTTTTATCAAGGAATCAAAGATCTGTTATTGCTAGAATTCGGTCAGGTACTCTTCTCTTGAACATAGAAACCGGTCGATATAAAGGCCTTGCTGTTGAACAAAGTCTCTGTGAGGCATGTAAATGTGGACATATAGAAACTGAGAAACATTTTCTTCTAGAATGCTCTTGAAGCCTGATAAGGCTGGGTGCCGATTAAGGTGCGTGGCACTTAAATAAATAAATAAATAATAATAATAAATACCATTTAGTTAATAAGTAAACCTTTTTTTGTCTGAACTACTTTTTAATCGCTTACTGTAGTTAATTTAAAACACTAGCTTTATAAATATATTTATTAATTAATACTTGCTCATTTATTTTGTTTCTGACAGTAGTTATTTATGGCTGATATCATTGATATTGACCAATTGCATGCAATACTAGTAATATTTAGAGAATATGTTTTGCTTTTAAATATTTTCTCGAATTGGTTACTTATTCATTTATAGAATTGTTTTTTATTAATTGATTATGTGTTTCAAGTTACATGTTCAGGACTGAGAATATTGCTTCTTCTAAAGCCAATCAACTAGCTCAAATTATAAGTAGTAATGCCACTGATTGATTTCTTTCAAATGTAAACGGGGGAAGAAAAACAAAGCTTTAGATACAAAAAGATGTTTTGAGAATTGCACTGTAATTTCAAACACTGCTCTACATTGTACATTATTTTCTTTTTGTTGTGGTCATTGACTCTGGTATGGAACAGAAATCACTTTTCAGTTTTTTTTCAATTTTCAGTATGAAATGGTTTTGAGAACATGTAATAAAACTTTCTTGGAAAATACTTTTTATTATATTTTTGATAAAATATTGGAAAAGTGAAAATTCATGTCACCACCATAAATGGTGACATATTGTTACAGTATCCAAGTTTTTTTGTGTTGGGAGTTCGGTGTCTGTCATAGATGGCAGGTGGTGACATTTTGCATGTTTATATCTTGTTTTATCAATTGAATCAGTTTCAGGAATCTTAAATTTCTTGTTTTTGCATGAAATGATAAAGATAGTCTATGTTTAAAGCCTATATGCATAGAGAAATGATACTCTATCAGCAATTTCACCATAACATAACCTTATTTTCTTTTGTATTCTCTTCCTTACTCATAGGATGAATTTCATTATTCTTAATCTTATAATTATCATGCATGTATATTTCAATAATTCAGCCATAAGTTCTGCATCTCTTTAAGTGCCTTGATTTGTTACAGTAAAGCAAAAACAACCCTGCCACCTATAAGAAATGCCCCTCCGTGCCCCCAGGGCTCATCTACCAATAGGTAAGGTCCCACCTTTTCCCCTTTTACAGGTTGTAAACCTATTTAATAAATACCGTTATGCAAAATAGACCAACCCTTTATATATGAATAGAAAATAGAAATAGAAAATAGACGAGCCCTTTATAATACAATACCTCAAAAAGTATCCCAGATAAGTTGATTGAAGCATGTGTTGAGGCAGATGCTATTGATTTTGGTCTATAATTCTATTTGTCAAGAAATCTTGCCTGAATTTACAATTGTTCACCATTGTAAATGTGATTTCTTACTTCACAGATCCACTCACTAAAAACAGAATTCATTCTGGGTGTATTTGAAATCCCACATTTGAAAATTGGTGCATAAAATTGTTAAGATTTTGATTCTTAAAAATTTTCAGCATGAAAAAATGACAAGGTGACAAAATGATAACACATTTATATGTATTAGTTATCACATACCATTATGGTATTTTAATCTTATTTAACAAAATTCTACAGCACATTAATAACATGTTTGTGTGTGTTTGGTTTACCTTCTTGATTTTAAAATCTTCTTTTATTGAATATACTTTTCTGCAACAGTACAATCTTTTTTTAACTAATTTTCAGATGTTTAATTTTCTAACCTTTGTTTGATTAAAAAAAACTTTACATTAATCAAGTCAACTCTCTTCTTTCCCCCAGTCGTATAGACTTTACAAGTTGAAAAATTATCAGACTGTATATTTTCCGTATTACAGGGACCCTCTATGTATATGTAATCTCAAGCGGTCCGAACACACAGAAGAGGCTCTTAGTCCAGATGCAGAACCCAGAAATAAAAACTGGTCCCCTAGCACACACACAACTACCAAACCTACAGATGCTTTTGGGGAGGTGGAATTCTTAGGATTTGGTCAGAAGATCAGTAAAGTATGCCATTTATATTCATACATGTACTTTTATGTGATTGTAGATCATAAGTAGCACAAATTGATTTATTTTACTTGAGAATGCTTGGTAATCTGGTGTTTTAAAATAATTAAAAAATTAGTTAAAAAGGGCTTGTTCATATTTTGATTTAAAAATAATCAAAGTTGGGCTGATGCTAGAATAAGGTAACTCCTAAATCTAACAATAGCAAATTTTTGAATTCCCTCTCATGTTTCCAATCTTCTGTTTGAACTCGGTGAAGAGTTGCCCCAAAACTAATTCTAGCGTTACTACAATATCAATAAGTCCAACGGCATCAATAGATTCAATGGATTACATCCTGAAAGAACAAGTAAACCAAGAGGCAATAACCCTGAAATACACTATCCAGTGTTCCACATTATACAAATTACTCTTCAGTGGATAATAGTAGTACTGTACAGGGTGTCAAAAAACAACGGCACCCCCCTCTACAGCATAAAGTCCTTAATGTTCCATATCATGTCATACCTCATTTGAAAGATAATTTAATTCTTGAGTTACTCATCAAATTTCATTTAATAAAACTTAATATTAAAAAAGCTACATTGTTTCAAAGTTTGCTACTTTGGTACTTTGTTTGCTGCTCTGTTACTGGTTAAAAGTCAAATCTTCAGAAAGTGAAATATGAAAGAATTACCCCAGATTTGAACTGCACTGAACATATGGGTTCATTTCTGAAAAACAGGGTATAGGAACTGATGGACAAAGAGCGAAGAGGATTATGCAATGCTACACTTTTATGTGAATTTTTATTGAAATCATATCTGTCCTGATAAGCTGCTGTTTGAGCAGCAACTGGTGGTCATACCAACTACTAAGAATCAGCTGTAAATCTGTAAAATTATATGATATAAAGCTGAAATTTCTCAGGTAACTCCAGAATTCAATTGTCTTTAAAATGAGGTATAACACACCATGTAGCATTCAGTACTTTTTGCTGTAGAGAGGGGTGCCGTTGTTTTTTGACACCCTGTATATGTCTTACATCTATTTGCAGTATGTGCGTGTTGATGCTGAGACTGAGATGAAGACAATGATTGAGCTGTTAATGGGACAGTGGCAGTTGGAGAAGCCAAATCTTTTGATTTCTGTAACTGGAGGAGCTAAGAACTTCCACATGAAGCCTCGATTGAAGGAGGTATTCAGAAGGGGTCTGATGAAAGCAGCTCAGAGCACTGGTTCGTACACATATTTCAAAAAATACTTCATGATAATCTTAATTCAGTGTATGTAATGCATATTCACCAGCTACGTGTGAATAATAGCAAGGACTGAAAATTTCAATGAAATAGGACTGCAAAAGATATGATACATATGATACATCGTATTGTTATAGTCGCCAACATTTTGTGGACATTGTTGGGTGTTGGGTGGTTGGTCTCTGTAACAAATGGCAGGTGGTGATATTTTGCATGTTAATGCCTTGTTTTCTATTGAGGTATATTAATTAAATAACATTTAAATTCCAGGTGCCTGGATTATTACTGGGGGAATGCATGCAGGTGTAATGAAGCATGTAGGGGAGGCTGTGAGGGATTACTCCTTTGCAGCTACCAGCAAGAACAAAGTCACTTGCATAGGAATCTCCCCCTGGGGTTGTGTAGCCAATGTGGAAAGTGTCATAAATAAAAATGTAGGTATACAAAACATAGGCATGATTGTAGAATTGTACATGTAAGTTTATTTAAGTGTCTTGGGTTTCATAATACATATACATGTAGATACATGATTACAGTGCACAAATCCATAGACTAGAACCTAAACTCCGACATTTCTATCCCGTTTTGATTAAAGTCAAGGACCACAATCTACAACCTCATATCTTTTATCGATATTCTTTTGTAAACACAAGCTGACTGAAAGCAGCAAATGAGTTAATGGAAACATATACCCCCATTAATAAATACTGTAACTGTAATACTGTAGTGATTTGATGTCTTTCAGAGAGATCCTTAATATTGCACTACTGATCATCATATCATATATTTTTCAGGGTTGCTGGCCAGCCCCATATAAACTTGAGGCAAAACCAAGGAGAAAAGAGAGTCCTATAGATCTGAATCATTCACATTTTATACTTGTGGATAATGGAACTAAACACACATTTGCCACTGAGATCAAATTCAGGACTGCCCTTGAAAGTGCAATATCTGTCATGAAGACTAATACGGGAGATGGTAAGATCACTTCTCATATGACTATTGACTCCCAAGATTCAGGGATCTTTTACCCACTATTTATCACATATACAAGATTATTATGAGGGAAATAGAGAATGCCTCCATCCATTTAGATTCATCTGTATATGTATATCTGTATTCTCTTTTGAAAGTTAATCCTCAAAATGGCTGCTGGTTTTAAATTGATGTTGATCTTTCAATATGATTCGCCTTATTGGTTATGTTTAATGTTTGGCATAACAACAGATCTTTTACAACGATTCTGTTTGTTAAAACAATTGGTCGTAAATAATTGTGTCTTCCTGATGTGAATTAAATCTGTAGGAAATGGTTTTGAATTTAAAATGTTTAAGGTATGTTCATGACATCACCATTTTTGGACCAATGTCCATGAAGCATGCTTATAAGCATGTTTGAGTAGGCAGCCATGACATCTCCATATACATGGTACATATCATGCTGTTGACTTGTCTGGCGATCATTCTTAATCGTTGTTACATTTCTCTCCATCGTATGTGACACCTATTAATGAACAAAATCACATGGTAATAGGATAGGCTCCCGGGGATAGACTTGACTGAGAAGCTAAAAATCGATAGGTTATACCAGTAAATCATATACTCGTGATTAATTAGTATTCAATAGCAATGTAAGTGTTCATGTATTTTAATCTAAAGTAAAGTGATAAATGAAGTTTAAATCATATGGTTTTAAAATAATAACGACAAATGGTGCGTACCTTTTCGATTGTATGGTAATGCAATGCACATGTACTGCTATACGTCACATCTTTGTACCTTGACATAATGATAGGAAATGTCTGAAGGATTTCGAACCCATAACGTTTAGCTTCTGCTGTTATATCATCATTCAGTATAGCCGAAGCAGTTGCATTTTTCTGAAAAAGTAATGTACATATTATCATGGACTGGATATTATGGTGTCTGAATGTAAGGATTCTATTTGATTAATATAAAAAAGCACATTTGCAGATTTAGAGAAGTTTCGTCACACTTGTTGTTTTGTCACTACCACAAGTGGTGATATATTTTTGTGGCGGAGATATATTGTTATAGTCTCCAACATTTTTGTGGACAGTGTTTGGCATTCAGTGGTTGGTGTCTGTAGCAAATGGCTGGTGGTGACATTTTGCATGTTAATGCCACATTTAATTATTATAACATGCCAGACATGAGGAATGGGGAAGGAAAGGGTCGACTAACCTCACAATTATCACATCCCTTTGTTTTCCTGATTATCCTTATACCAGTTAGCCCTAGATGCTTTAATGTTGACATCAGAACTGGAAAATCCTTCTTATCTATACTTGTATACCGTCCTATGACTAGCACAGTATCGCTGTTATTTCTAAGTTGGCCTGACCTGAAATCCAAATGATGAATCAAACATGAATGAAATCTGTCAAGCGGTATTCAAGTTATGGCCAAAATACCAGTTTTTAAAGGCATTAAGTCATAATCATAACAATATGTTAGGCAATTATTGTGATTGTGTATCGCAAAATTAGATGTTGTAATAAATTCAACAGTAATCAATTTATATTCAAAAACATCCAGATAATCTGCGTGCCATACTAAGTGTATTTTATTAGACTAAGTGTGAAGGTGGTCTTCAATTCATCTAGAAAACCTGAAGTGAAACACCTTTTGTACCTCTTAAAAGTGTTCCACTTGGGAGGTGTTCCACTTATAGAGGTTCATTTAACATTAAGTCTAACATGTAAAACATTGGTCTTGGGCCTCTGAAAAGTGTTCAACTAAGAGAGGTGTTCCATTTCTAGAGGTGTTTCATTTTACAGGTTTCATTGCACCTACATTTTAACAAGATATGTAAGAGCCTCTTTGATATCCATGAGATGTTCAGCCATTCCTGGCAACTGAGGGTAGTAGATGAAATTCACTGAAGTATGGTTTTGATTCAGAGAATTGTACACCAGTACATCATGGGACTTCTCCCACTCAGTGAGGCTTCCGTTCACAGCTTCAATCAGAAAATACATCATTCCACGGAGAGTTGAATCTCCCAGGAAAAGAACCTAAGAGAAATGAAAATAATGTTACAGGTGAATCGATGCATAAGTATTTTGTAGTGAATTGGACTATATAACTACCCAGTGCGCAGAGCCTAGCTATAAAATACTTTCTGAAGCAAAGTCGAATGAATGGAAAGGGTACTATGTAACTAGAGGGAATGTTTACCTTTTTTCCTTGAAAACTGTGTTGTATTTGTTTTAGGGTAGGACTATGGTAGGAACAGTTGTTTGGCTGCCATATTGCTTCATTCCAATAGCATTTCTTATCATCATTGCAGTCTATACATGGTACCAACCAGGCCCCTGAATATAATTATGATCATAATTCTATATTTTATGATAGGGAAAAGGTTTATAAACCCAACTCAGGTTTCATTGGAAGCAAGTGAATTACAGCGACCTCTCTTTAATCTGAACAAATCTCAATGTGAACAAATCTCTTTAATCTGCTATAGACTTCTATATTCAAAAATATTCTATGTTTGATGATTCAGAGTTATTGTTGTATAATCCACCTCTTACCTGGCTCATTCCCAGAGAGACAGTCTGCAAAATTTTTGACATGGTTCTTTGTAGATTGCCATGAGTTGTAACCCATCCTTTGCAGTCCACATGGCTCATTAGGGTAGATCAGCCGGTCACAATCCTGTCTCAACATGCAAACCTTCAACTTATTCAAGTCTTCTGTTTGGAAATCTTCATGATGTAGCAGACTCCTTGGTTCTCGGCTTATATTCAGTATATATCGTGTGGTATTCACTGGAGGGTCTTTACTTACATCAAATACCACAATTTCAATCACAGTTGTCTGGAGTCCCAGCACATAATTCCCTCTATACAGAATTTGAAAATATACATTTTAAGATCAGTTTAGTCATTTGGAGGAATTTGCATCCTCCGATCACAGGGCTTCAAAATCCAGAATATATTCTTTCTTTTTACCCCCTGCAATAAGCAGTAACCATTTCCCCGATTAAGAACTCACAATCTGATTGGCTGTCGCAACACTGCGACAGAAATCATGTTTAAGTCATTGCGCATAATTAGATCACGTGATTCAGTTTAATCGGGCACTTCCAAATTGGTTATAGTAGGGGGAAGAAGGAGGTACGGATTCTGGATACCTGCTTAGGGGGATGAGGAATTTGTTGTACAGTACTATACAGATGGAACTCTTTTTCACCCAATGTGTATCTCTGGATAAATAATTCAAATAATTTATTGATTTATTTATATTAGCCTCATATGTCTCATTGTATATAATAGAAGTCTCCCATGTCATTACATAATGACTATGGCCAGTATACTTGACTATACTCAGAAAGTGGTTGTACAATTAAAATAGCTTGAGGCAAGACCATAAACATGGTTGCCACATTGTGCCTTTTCCAGATTACCTTATTTTGCCCTTCTTTCCTCTGATCCATCCTTCACTGTCACACTGTTCTGCAACTGACCAAATCCTAACAGAGAAGGTCTCAAAGTCAACACTTACGTTATATGAGAAAATTCTCTTATCAAAGTCAAGTTGAACAGATGGCTCGGTAAAGATTCCACTTAAATATGATGGTGAATTTTTATCTCTCTTGCAACCTTTGTGATGATGTTTATCTGAAAAATTAAAGATGTTATTATGGGAATGGGATTTTAAAATTACTATGAGACTGACCCTATGATTTTTGAAGTAATTAGATCTTGTAAATTGAAGCTTCCCAAAACCTTAATTCAATCAAAAAGTATACTGAGCACTCATCCCTTACTCATATCATTTTGGATTTTTAACAAATGAAAACTCACCGTACACATGTTCTTCAGTTTTATAAGTTCTTGTTTCCTCATCATTTGTCCAATCATGTACTAGTTTGTTCATGGTTCTGTCATACATATGATATGAATGGTTTGTGAGCACAAGTACATATTGCACCATCATTGTCCGTGAAAGTATGCCGATAATAGCAATACAAATAAAGCATGATAGTATTATCCTTACTTTAGTGTTAGAGCACATCCATTTTGTCATCATTATAGTTTTATTTGTAGATTATTGTTTTATTTTATTACATGTACAGATAGGTCTTCATCCTAGGTTAATATATTCATGTAGAGAATTATGAATAGTTTTGTATATAGTACACTCTCTGGTATTGCTATTAAGCCTACACTTATGAAATATTATATCCAAGGACCATTCACTAATTATTTATACTAAGACTGTGTGAGACTCACATGCTGGGTGTATATTAACAGAAACATACCAAGTCCCATTGACAAAGTGGTGTTCCATTTTGTGTTGTGTAGTTTTCATGTTATATTTAAACAACAATTCAAACAGTATTCCAGCTCTATTTGATACTAATGGGAAAATCTTAAATACAAACACTGATAAGGTCAATGGCTTTCTTAACTTTTTTTGTTGGAAAATATGACCACAATATCTCAAGTGATTACAAACCAGCCTTCCCAATGCAAACAGACTCCCTGCTTATTTCAATTAGAACTGATATATCCAAGGTCATGAAACTTATCTCCGGTCTGGACACATCTAAGACATGTGGCCCTGATATCATAACTAATAAAATGCTCCATTTAAGTGCTCATACTATCGCTCATCCCTTGACTAAGTTATTATCCCATCGAACGAAGTTCGGAGGGATATAGGGAATGCCTCCGTCCGTCTGTACATCCGTCCGTCCGTCCGTCCGTCCGTCCGACCGACCGTCCGGGCAATAACTCAAATAGCTAGAAATGTAGATATTAAAGAAGCACATGGCAGCCATCGTGAAAAATGGCATCCTTTACTCGTTATTTTACGATTTTTGCTGTAACTCAAAAAGTAGTGGAGCGACTTTGTTCATATTTGGTATGTGAATACTATAAGCATGGCACAGTGTCTAATGACACCTTTGGTAGGAGGCGGCCATTTTGAAAAATGTCAGCCATATTAACGTATTTTACTATAACTCGAAAAATAGTGGAGCGATTTGTTCATATACTATAAGCATGGCACACTGTCTAATGACACTTTTGGTAGAAGGTGGCCATTTTGAAAAATGGCTGCCATTTTAACGTTTTTTACTATAACTTGAAAAGTAGTCAAGTGATTTTGTTTATATTTGGTATGTGAATACTATAAGCATGGCACACTATCTACTGACACATTTGGTAAACAGTGGCTATTTTGAAAAATGGCTGCCATTTTTGCTATATACTTTGTTTGTAAAAATGCCAGCCATGGCAGTTTGATGGGATTTGCTACGCTTTGGCGTTGCTGTTGTCTAGATTAACATCCTACTGCAGTATAGTGTATTTCCTAAAACTTTGAAGATTGGTAGTGCCCAATCCAAAAGAAAAATAGTAAGTCAGACTTATCAAATTATAGATCTATCACCCTTTTAGACTGTATATCAAAGCTTTTTGAAAGAATAATTACCAACAGAATTAAAAAACATCTCATTTTAAATGATTTGTTATTCAAATTTCAATCTGGATTTTTGCCGGGTCATAGTACCCAATCCCAACTTGTTGCCATCGAACATCTTATTCAATCAAATTTTGACCAAGATGAGGGAGTTAAAGCACTTTTTCTTGATATCGTCTAAGCTTTTGACTGCATACCCTACAATCTTCTTTTACTCAAATCAAAATCATATGGACTGCATGGACAGGTTCTTAATCTCCTTAAATTTCATCTTTGCGAAAGAAGAGTTAGAGTGAACATTTCGGGATCCTCTTCATGTCTATCACAAATGCATGCTATCAAAAGTGGAGTACCACAAGGCTCAATTCTAGGTCCCCTTCTCTTTTTAATATATATAAATGACCTTCCTGATAACATAGATACTGATTGTTTTTATAAATGCAGATGATACTTCCATTTACTTCCCATTTAGTACTAAAAATCCTTCTGAAATTGATACTAAAGTCACTCAAGCAATAGAGTATAAATGGAAACTCTGTTTTAACCCTGAAGAAAGTGTCGAAATAGTTTTTCCTAATTCTAAAATTAAAATTGGTCAAGTAACCAATACCTATATGAGTAATGCTTTAATAAAAAGGGAAACGTCGCATAAACACTTAGGCTATACTTTTGATGAGCATTTATCTCACAAACAACATATATTAGCCATAACAAACAAAGTAAACAAGCTTCTGGACCCTCTCAGATCACTTCAAAAGAAACTCAATTCTAATGTCCTCTAAAAAATGTTCATGTCTTTCATTCCTGCACACTTTGAAAATGGGGCAATACTGTATGATTCTTCTACTCAATGTATCCTTAACATATTAGATAAACTATTTTATCAAGCTGCCCTTATAAAATAAATTAGTTTAATTAAAGTAAAGAATACCCTCATATTGCTTGATCTAGATACAAGGCAGTCATTGCAAATAAATAAATTTATGTTTAGAGTTAAAAATAGTCTCACTCAAAGCTATGTGACAGATATTTGAACCTCTGAGAATTCAAAACCCTCAAGAACTCAGATCCAATCTTCACTTCTAAATACCGACCAAATGCTCAACCAAATTTAGAAAATTGTCTATCCTCAGTGTCATCTCCCATTGGAATAAGCTACCTAAGCGTATTAGAAATTGTAAAACACTTTTCAGCTTCAATCATTTACAAAAAAAGAAAATTCCGAAGCCTGACTTTCACCCAACTACTAAGTTAAAGCTAATAAGAAATCAAGAAATAATCCTTAATAGGTTCAGAGTTGACCTGCTCACAAAAGCTCAATTATATGGCCACAACTTCACTTATATTGAAACACTCCACTGCGGCGTACCTGAAACGCCTAAACACTTATTCCTCTATTGTTCAAACATTTCACAAAATAGAAACACTTTTCTCACACTTGTTGAGACTTTATAAGCCTATAACCATAAAGAATAAAAACTAATCTATAGATTTTTTGAAATATGACATACTATCCTTAGCACAAAATAATGAACTTTTTGCTCTTGTTACCAACTTTTTGATAAAGAACACATAACATTATAGTTATATTTCCCTATGGGACCCTCCATGCAAGTTTTACCTATTCCCACTATTCCCTCACCGAGACCATGACACATAAACCCAAGCCTGTCCAATTTCACACCTTTTTACATATCTTGCCTTTATGCTTCCTTGTTGCATACATTTACATTTGTACTTAATATTATGTTGTTCAGCTTAGCCTATAATGCCAGTAAAGTAATTGGCAAGCTATAATGTATGAAAATATTTATATGATGAAATAAATTGTTAATCTATAAAAAAATGTTATATTTATGCATTTCAATACTACGAGTGATAACATATTCCTGATGAAAGATTTCCTATTTAAAGATGTAATTCAAAAAGTACACTTTTCATTGAAAAATATTTTCTAGTGATTTATTCATGTTGTATGATGCATTTAATATAAGCATGGAACATTTATATGAACCAAATAAATATTTTCTGTTTTGATGATTTGAAATGATTATCCCAACGAACGAAGTTCGGTAGGGATATAGTGAAGCCCTCCGTCCGTCAGTCCGTCAGTCAGTTCGTCCGTCCGTCCGGAAGATAACTCAAATATTAGTAGACGGATTTTCTTCATATTTGGTGGAAAGATGTATATTGATAAATAGTTTTACGCAAAAAAAAAATTTTCAAGATAGCCGCCGCTTTAAAAATGACGGGACTTTTTCGCAAAAATCATAAATTTTTCATTCTAAACCAAAGTAATTAATATTATTGTTTGAAATTTTGGTAGTATATTCGCAACATCTATCTATTTCACATATATTCCGTGTTTTTCATCCTGACCCCCAGGGGCTGTGTATGGGGGGGTCAGGAAAACAGAAATTTTCGCTAATTTTTAGATCTTTCTGAAGTATAGCTTTATTATACTCAAATGAAAGGCAATTAAGAGTAGATTGCAAATATTGTATTTTTTTCTGATTCGAGCCTCGTAAAATTCAAAATGGTCGTCTAATGTATGATTTCGCAATCATTTTTCGATCCCTTCAAAGTATGGCTATATTATACTCAAATTGAAGGAATTTTGGAGTAGATCACAATTATGCTATTATTTTTCAGATTTGTACCTCAGAAAATTCAAAATGGCTGCTTTGCAGGAATTCGCAATTCTAAAATCTAAATTTTTCAATTTTAACCAAAGTAATGAGTATAATTGATTGGAATTCGGTAATTGATATTTTGTTCGTTGGGATTTGCTACTCCGCGGAGTTGCCATTATCTAGTTTGCACATGTTTTTGGTCAGAGATTTTAATCCTTAACTAAAATCATCTGACAAATTTATGATTGCCAAAAATAAGTGTATGATGCTGAGAAATTTACTAATGTCAAAAGTATGATGGTTTGCATATATAATGCATTTAATCTCCACAAGTTTTATGCTCCTCACTTAAAAATATTGTGATTATCTCAAGATAAAATCCTTATTTCTTAATTGAGCCTTAGTTCCTATAATATAATTCCAATGACTTGTAGACATCAGATATCAACATCCATCCACTCATGTGACATTTGATATCAACTTGTCTATAAATATCAATTAGTGAAATAATCATTGAGTGGGTTTTGGATATATTATGTTATAATGGTTAAGAGGTTGATTTCTGACGATGCTTAAGGATTTTAAAAATTGGGGCCAGTATCAGCCTTGTAGCCAGCTTTTGCCAAGGGGAGGGGTACTCTTTTAAAAAAATCCCAGGCGGGGGGCACTTTGACAAATCTTGTGCTGTTGGGTATATGGGAAGTCAGTGGCTACATAAATCTTGTCATTGGCATGAAAACGGCTTACCTGTTAACTTGAACTTTTTACGGATGCAATAGGAGACGAGTGCCAAGATCTTGTTAGCTCTTATTAGGCCTTTTTGAATTTTTCAATAAAAGGTGTGATATTTATCACTGTGTGTCTTGTTATTTTTGATACAAACCCCAGGCCCGTAGCCAGGGGGGTTCGGGGGGTTCGGGCGAACCCCCCCTGGCCAAAATTTCTTTCAAAATCATGCAGTTTTTCACCATTCTGACTAATTTTTGAGTGATTTTTGGCCATATTTGCCAAAGTGAACCCCCCTAGAATTTTTTAGAAAAACGAACCCCCCCCTTGGAAAATTCTGGCTACGGGCCTGAACCCCCAATGTTTTACTCACTTGATGAGCTATTGCAGTTCTCTACATTTCTGTCTATCAGTCTGTATGTCAAGGCGATAACTGAAATATAGCATGTTGAAGTTTATATGCTAGTGTCATATGGTTAAGAAGCATTTGTGGTATTTTAAAGGCAGTGTATATACCTATTTTATATGTGGTATTTTAGATAATTGCAGCATCTATTGTATGTGTTGTGTCTTAAATACAGTCTTAAATGTCTCAAATACCTAATGAATATGTGGTATTTAAGGTAAATGCAGCGTCTATCATATATGTTGTGTCTATATACAGTCTGAAATGTCTCAAATACCTCTTTAAAGGCAGTGTCTATACCTATATTGTGTGTGGTGTTTTAGATGCAGTGTCTATACCTATTGTATGTGTGGTACTGGAGGGAGGACCTGGGACACTGGAGACAGTGAAATCAGCCATGCAGAACAACACCCCAGCTGTTATAGTGGAGGGCTCAGGCAGAGCAGCTGATATACTTGCTTATGCATACTCAAAAACTAAAGAAGAAGAGATAGAGGTTGTTGATCAGCTGGGACGGAAAGTGAAAAAGTAAGATTATGATAATAGGTGCAGTCAGTCAGTCAATTCATTCATCCAACCATCTATTTCGGCAATCATTCATACTCAATTCTGTTTCTATTTAGTGAGAACATGTATATTTTTAAATGGTGTCATGGAATTTGCTGCCACACTATGGTATCTGACACCAATTTATGGAATTTTAATAGTATTAAACATGTCTGTTAAACATACATTTTGTTTTTTTTGCTATATCACATGGAAGAAAAACTCAAAATAGCTGTGTGTTAATTTTCATGTCACAGGAGTGATGACATATTGTGTTTGGCGGTTGATGTTCAATGTCTGGCATCTGTAACAAATGCATGTTAATCCCTTGTTAATTTGCTTTCAGGACAATCACCCTAATAGACCCATCATTAGAGGTTGAGCTCACCAAAAAGCTTGAGACAGAATTTGGGGAAAAGAATCTCTCTCGTCATATAGGATGGCTTAAAGAATGCATCAAAATGAGAGAACTGATGACTGTGTTCCAACTTGATAGCAAAGCGCAAGCCAACAGTGATATTGACTATGCTATTCTACATGCTTTGCTCAAAGGTAATTAATTTTAAATTTCTGTGCCAAGTTCAGCCCCCGAACACAGGTTTCCAGAACTTGTACCTCATTCTTCCACCCTGGAAGAAGAGAGGAACTTTGTAGATGATGGCTAGAGCCTGCATTTGGAGGATGCTTTAAGTTATGATGCATGATTATCTTATGTAGTATGACTAATATTTCCGAATAGATTAATGTGAAGCACCTTTTTGATTTTGGCCTTGCTCTTTGGCCCATTACTGCCCACCCACGTATTGTGATGTTTCACCTCTCTCATTCAAGTATTGTCATAAAGTGTATCCCTCGAAATGCAGTTCCCTTAGTGCCACAAGTAAACAGGTCTTAAAGAGGAATGTCTTGTATAAAATCCTCCCTTGTTATTTTTATCATGAAATATCAAAATCAAGAGAGATTTGATAAAATACATTTTGTTCAGGGGATTTGCTACTTTGGAGAGTTGTTGTTTTTCTAAATAGCTAGACTTGTATGACATTTTAATGAGAGTTCTAACATTAGCCTTTAAAGGTCAGTGTCAGATGAAGGGAGAATGGACATGGATTATTAAAATATTGGATTAACAAGCAGTAAGGCTTAATTACAGTAATAGGGTGAATTGATTGTACAATTTACAATGATTTATTTATTTATAAAATTGTATAACCTTGACACGTATTATTTTTTTTAATTAATGCGTTTGTCAAAATAACCAACATAGTTCACATAAATGTCAAGCTTGTCTTTTTACACAATGCAAATTGTAATCGTTATATATGGATTATGGAATTAGCAGAAAAACCACCTAGTAGTGATGACATACTGTTCTTGCCACCATTTTTATGTCACCACCACAAATCTCCAACCTTTTTGTGGACAGTGTTCGGTGTTTGGTGGTCAGTGTGTGGTGGTTGTGACTAGCATTCTACAACAGTGATTGGTATTTAGAATTCAGCATCGGGGTCTGTTCTTGTTGCATTTGTTTTGTAATTGCAACCAGGTATTGTTATGTTGTTGCAACCAATCTTGCAACCAGTCGTGTTGTGTTTAATGCCTTGTTATCCCTATTGGAATTCATGTTAAAGTATTTATGAATCTCATGAACATGAAAATGTCCTAACATCATGTATTCCTATGCAAGTTATAACATATGTTGGATATAAATCTCTCAATATGAGGGAAAATTCTGTTACCACAAATCACAGTTGATAAATGAACAAAACAAAGCTGAATATGGAACAATCCAAATTAAATTGTTTAGTTAATGGTGGCTGAGGGGACTTTTTGCATTTGTTTTGCCCCTTCATGAAGGTTTGCATCCAATGATCAATTGGGTGAATTTTATCATGGTCATAGAAAGAAAATCACATTTAGAGGTAAAGATAACTAATAATTCGTTGTGAATGATGGCGCTCTCTTCAGATGAGGATTTTCTGAGGGTGTGTCTAAGATTTTTCATTACACAATGCAAGTCATTTTCTCTTAGTTTTTATCAAATTTCAAATTATCTTGAATGCCCTCCACATCCTTTCTTGCAAATCTCTTACTGCTAATTTGAGACTTTCTCAAAGCATCACCAGAGCAGTTTTTGTTTTCACCACCAGGGTGATAGTAGCGCTCTGGATCACAGAACATTAGCCAGTTGTCTAAGTTCCACTTATCTAGAATCATAGGGAGATACACTTGCTTTTTGGGGCTCCTGCTCGATCTTAGAAGATTGGGCACTGGGCTTTTTTCTGTTATTTCTACATCTAAACACACTGCAATTTTTAGTTTTTCTTTACGTGTATTGATGAAAAATTCAAAGTGTTCAATCGTGCGAACTTCTCGATCCCATCCTCCACTTTGTTTGATGTGATTAGTTTTTGCCAAGAATGTATTTTGAGGAACATCCAGGGAGTAGCAATCACTGAAGCATGGGACTCTCCCAAACACCACATGCTTGTAATGGTGCAATACTGTACCATTTGTGTCATCGTGACCTATCGACATTGAACCAAAATATGCAGCATCATTGTAATGAGCAGCTACTATACTGATGTCAGTGTTTTCCAAAACATTCACCAACTTCTCAAGGTTAGTCTCTGGAAGGAATAAATTATCATCATCCAGTTGGAAAAAATATTTTGTTTTAACCATTCTTACTGCTATGTTGCGTCCATATGATGTACCTGCCCATACAAGAGATTGTAAATAATGCACATTATGGTTGACAAGCACAAATGATTGCCACTCAGTTTCATTTGGGAAGTTTTCATTATAATCATCCACAACGATGACCTCCATTCCCGGGTAGTATTTCCAAACAGATAGGATCATTCTTTTCACTAAATCAAGTCTGTGTCTTGTCTTGCATATGATGGTGACACAATCTTTTACATGGATACATGGAATCTGTGTATCAATACGAATCTTTGGTGGTTCCCTTTTGGAGTTTAAACTACATGCATCCTGGTTACATTTTGCCATTTCATCATAGCCAATGATATTCATTTTAAGTTCAGTTTTTTTACTTTTTGGCTTATGTTCATCGGACAAATATCGTAAATGCCTACACATACTGATTTCAGATCCAAGTCCTGATCTTCTTGTTGTTAAGTTATTTTCGGTATATGTTATGATAAGTAATAATAAACCAAACAATGCCATGAATGACAATGGTAAGAAGCTCCCCATATTGTGTTTGATCTTTATCAATATTGTATGTTTTAGGTGTTTATAAGTCATTCTAAAGTATGAATCACTGTTTCACATTTGTAAATTTTTACACGGAATCTGACATTAAAATCTATTGTTCTTTGTACTTCATTAGTTATCCCTGACAAGTTTGAAATTTAGGGATTAATAGAATAACAGGATGTCTGTCTTTCTATCCGTCTGTCTGTCTCTGAGTCCAACATTACTTCTTACATGTTTGTATAAGGTTCTCTTTTAACTAATATATTTTGACTGTCCATATTAGCATTAAAATGGCAATAATGAAATGTTTTATATGATTATCAATAGCATTATAAACATGTGTCTTTTTGGTTTAAAATATTGCCTAATTTGTAATGTTTAATGGGATATACTATACAGCGTTGCTGTTGCTTACTATTGTTTGTTTGAAATTAATGGACCACAAGTCACATTAACATTTTAGCTTCTGAGTTAGTAAAGGTCAAAAGATATCACAATCAATAGCACAAGGTGCTAGTAAATGATCAATTGTAAACAAATGTTATGTTAATAGCTTATGGTCCACTATTATTAAATAGATTTATTGAAATTATTTCTTTTTGATATTGACTTTGAGCCTGAAAATAGTCACCTTTTTACATTTTATATCAAACACATATAAAGGAGCATTCACAGTTTCAGTGTTTTTTTTGCTAAAATTGCCCCTAAATCATAAATTCTCCTTGAAAGTTCTGTATGTTTATAACTTTTGTTATGTACAGGGTGTCCGGAAAGTAAAGATACAAATGCTCTAATTTCAAGGGATTTACCTGTTATGAGATGAAGTTGCTCCAGAATGTAGAATGACATTATAACAATATATCCTGCAACTGTCAGGACTTTCAGTTTCAAAATGAAAAGGTTATGGTTGTTATGGTAACGGGAGTCGAGGGTAAGTGGAGCAACGTCACAACTGTGTAACTTACAAATCTCTTTCCTGCTCATATGATCTTGGCACTCCACCATCTATTCCTATATTATATCAAATTTTGCACCACAACAGCACACCGATAAGTACTGTAACATTATTTGATCATTTCATATTACTACTATCATTGAATATTTAGTATTTCCCCATTAACTATACATTCTTGGTGTATCTTGACCGGCGATTCAAAGACCTGACAAAACCGCTGCTGTCCATCTCTCAGATTGCTGATAACATTGGCTTCCAGCTGAGTCTCATTTGTATGTTGAACTTTTTATAAATATTGCTTTCAAATGGTCATTAAGTAGAAGTCTTAATAGGCTTTATCAGGGGAATATGGGGCATTGTATAGAAAGGTTTAATGTCAAGACACTCCATTGTAAGATTTGTTTTTTGCTTTGTGAATTGGTGCATTGTGGAGATGCAATATTGACTTTCCTACTAATGGCCAGGGACCATTCCTCTTGGCACTTGTATAATATTTCTTTGATTATACTGGTTAGTGACATAACATAGTTCTGATATGTAGCAATGAGATCATTATATAAAAGAAAACACTATGGCAGCAATAATATAATGATGAACAAAACAAAACATAGATAGAAAATACAACAAAAAACACTGTTTCAAATCGTTGTCTTTTAGCAAAGTTTCACATTTTAGCGTTGTTCTGGAACTGCTCCGCATACCTCTCACATCCGTAACCATAACAACCGTAACTTGAATACATTTAGACTATATGTGATGAAAGTTGATAGATATATTGTAATATTGTTCCTCTACAATCTGTAGCAATTTCATTTCAAAAAACCCAAATTTCTTAAAATAAGAGTATTTGTATCTTTACTTTCCGGACACCCTGTATGTTGTTCTTTTACTCTAAACATTATTTTGATTCACAATTTATATTCTCATTATATTTTATTCTAGCCAATCAGAGTAATGAGGGAGACCAGTTGAAGCTTGCTCTGGCCTGGAACAGAATAGATGTCGCCAAAAGTGATATATTCCATGATGATAAAAAATGGGAGGTAAGGTCAGATTGTCACGCATGCTGCATGTTTAGTTTGACATTTTTATGCTTGTATAACTTCTTAAAAATGAATGCATAATTTATGGTATCTGATCCTAGAAAAGACAAAATTTACCTTAACTCTATTTTTTCTATAAATAATGTTGTTAGTTCATAACTTAAAAGGAAGCTATACTGAACTAGTAAAACATGTTTAGAAATTGAATTACTAAATCAATTACTGCACTGCGCTAGAGAGTCTGAAAAACTGAATTATTTTATTGCCAAATCAGACCCATTCTCAAGTCAAATAAAATAATGATACGAATAACTCAAATAAAATTATGATGAAACTATTGAGATGAACACATTAAAGATGTGGCTGATAAGAAAGGTCGATCATCTGTCTGTGTTTGAGTGAAATTGATATCATTCTGAACCAAAGTAGAAATAATCTGCTCAAAGTCATACAATCATATGAAGATTCCTTCAAAGAATAGAGGCTGTATAAGAAACAATAATTGCAAAAAGCATATCAATGTCTCCTTTACAATCCTAATTTCATGATTCAATCAAAGAATCAAGATATCTTAACTAAGCTTGTATTCTCCAATGCAAATAATGGCTACCTGATTAACCTATTGATTTGCATAAATTATTCCGTCAGTTTGAAGTTGCAATATCGAACAACCCATTTGTCGACTAAAAGTGATCACATGACTTTTATGCCATTGTCACATGATCAAACAAACTTAAAATGTGTTTTGCGTCTATGTGCATGCCCCAGGTGTACTTCCGCTATTTAAAATTTCGAACACCTCGATAGTCGGTATCAGTTGCTGCTTCAATAACCAGATGAAATCATTATTTAGTTACTGGGTTGGGGCGAGAGCTAGGAACTAACGGGACGCACGACAGGTGCTATTCATATTTAAATGAGTTAAATAAGCCGCTATTTGCATTTGCGAATAAAAGCTAATATTGAAGATTTAAATTGAAGCAATGTCCAAAATTAGAAATGAAAATGAACACATATTCTTTATATAGAACTTTCAGATATATAAGGGTTATGTACTGGGAGGTTTTGGATATGGGGTTTATCCAGAGGGAGATATGCATATCTACCTGAGGGACCATAGGGACCGAAGGTAGATGTGCATATCTCACGAGGGATGAACCCAATATCCAAACCGATCGTACATAACTGCTTTATCCTATACCAAGAAGAGTTTTCTAATTTTCTTTCAATTCTTTTCAATCTTTTTTTTTTTCAATTTTTTCACATTTTTCAATTTTTTTCTATTTTTTCTATTTTTTTCTTTTTTCAATTTTTTATTTTATTTTTATTTTTTTCACATTTTTTATTTTTTTCAATTTTTCTTATTTTTTCAATTTTTTTTTCGAAGCGGGAAGATATGCCCTGGAGCGGGAGATATGGCGGGAGATATGGAGGTTCAGGATATGGAAACCTCAAAATCAGAATACGGGATATATCTTACCAACTTATCTCCCTAAAACTCTACTTGGCATAGGATAAATAGAGATTATCCTATATGAGGTTCAGGATATTGGGATTATCCCGAGGCTAATATAATATATTTGCCCGAGGGCCGCAGGTCCCGAGGGAAAATATATTATATTGGCCAAGGGATAATCCCAATATCCTGAACCGACTATAGGATAATATGTTTATCCCATACCAATCTTGGTCATCTGGTTCACATTGTTCAATTGTGGAAATATTCTAGAATAGTCATGTCCAGTTTTGTTTTCTTGGCCGTGGGCGGATTTTTTTGTTCTCTCAAATATTCCCACATTTATTTTCTCGAATTTTTTAAGTGAATGCTCCTTCCATTTTTTAAACCATCAAACAGATCGCTGTTGTCGTTTACAGTCATTACGCGAACGTTACAAATTATGAACAAATATGCGAGCGGCGATTATGACGTAGCGGGCAGATATACTATATCTGCCCGCTCAGAGCGGGACGTAAAGCTATATCTGCCCGCTGATGAAAATATAAGTTTTTACAAACCGGCTTTATGTACCTGTAACACGTCCAAGTATGGGATAAATACATATATTATTTTCTATTTTCAGCACAAAGATTTAACAGATGTAATGTTCACAGCCCTGCTACAGAATAGGACCAATTTTGTACAACTCTTCATAGAGAATGGTCTTAATATTAAAGAATTTGTCTCAATAAAGACCTTATTGAAATTGTATAACAGTGTAAGTAGATGAATACCCTTTTGATTTTACAATAGTAAAAAATCAATTCATTTTCTGTAAATTAACTACAAAGAATGTAAGGATTTTTCACACTGTCTGATTATGGTATTATAATCCTTTTCAAACAATTACTTCAAATATTGTGATTTGAAAAAACTGGATATGGTACTTTTCCAAAAATGTAACATTTTAAATAATATAATAGTTATGCTTTCTGTCATATTATTGTGAGTTTTGAAGATATATGTAAATATTTGGACCTCCTTTTTCAGATTCCTCCAAATAGTGTAGTATGGAGCAGATTAGAGAAGGAAAGGACAAGTGATAAAACACTGAAAGATAACGTGAGGACTTTTTTAATTTTAATATACAGTAATACCTAAATCACGATGAAGTACAGAGGGATTTTTAGAAATGCTTTAAGTGATTGTTTTTCTATGCACACAAAATATTAGTTCAGGAATAGAGAAATTCACAAACCTTTTGTAAAAATGTCACATCACATCAAGTATTTATCATTCGGAGGGATGTAGGGAACGCCTCCATCCGTCCGTCCGTCTGTATTTAATCAAGTATTTACACTTTGAGTCACACTGATAATAAGTGATGACTCTTCTAACACAAGATGACAAATGCACCAATATGTTACAGATGTTATTATACTAGCAAAGTGTTATTCCTTTTGTGATTTTAACACAACATCAACAAATTCCCTGACTAACATATCATTGTATCCACAAAACTTGACTCAATCAAAATTCGATTGCCATTCATGTACAAGTATAAGTTAATCACTAGTACTGATATGTATTTGCGTGTACTGGTGATGGATGAATAGATAATTTGAAAATTGTATCTGTTTATTTAGGAGAAAAAATACTTCAATCTCTCACACGTTGGAGAAGCGATCCAAGAGTTAATGGGAGACTTCTATTATCCTCTCTATCTGAGGGAACCCATGTATTCCACTGTCAATGCAGCTGATTATCTGGAGGAGAAATATTCCCAAGAAGGTAGAGGAGTTGACAATGCCATGATGGTTCAAAGTTATGGTGGAGCCCCTCCTGGTGGTAAGTTAAGGTCTATAATCAAGCTTTATGATGAGATTGATTAGTAAATGATGAGTATTATTGATATTTAGAATGGTTTAATATTCAAAATACTTGCATAACAGTGTATATGAAATTTCCCCAGGAGTCAGAATGTGTTCTTTGTTCATTGGTAACCTTATCTGACTTGACTTTCAGTTCAGTACTTCTTTATGATGAATGCTGGTTTGTTTTATGTATATAGTATTGTGAAAATATATTAGTAATATGCTTTCTCCATTTAAACTGTCACGGAGTAAAGGTTCTTTTCAATAAAAAGATAACAGATATCACATTTAATGTAATATAATTAATTTTATATTCTATTGAGAATTAAAAGTATATTAAAAATCACAAGGTGAAGGAATAAAAGGTGGATATCTTGATAAAAACACATAAGTGGTTATATAACACCACAACTACAGTCCTGGAACCCAAAGACGGTATTATATCCATTAAGTCAGACACATATAGTTTAATCCATAAAAGGAAATAAATGCCTTGTACACAAATCCAGTCACAAACGAAGTAAATGTTACACATAGATTTCTTCGGTTATCCATAACACAAGTCTTGTATTACGTCACAAGCTTTAAGTACTCCCATGGAGCTACACGGCTTCACAAGTATGGCAGGAATTCTCATCCTATGCAATACCTAACACAAACACAGTGATCCACTATTCCGTCAGTGGAAAACTAAGGGTGCGTGTATCCCATAGCTAAGTACAACACAAATGCAGGATGTTAGAATCGCTCTCCATATGCACTAATACACAGATGACAGTCTTAACATACGACATAAATATATACGTGGCACGACATCAAAAGGTTATTCCAGATAACTGATATGTTCATAGTGTTCCATTCTACACATGAAGATGTATATAAGTCTTTCATATTTGCAAAATCCACAGTTCTCCCTAAACTTGTTGAACAAGTTTCTTCCTTCACTTTCACATCTCACTCAGTCTGTTCTCCTGATTTCATAACTCAGCTAGGTCACTATATTACTCTATACTCTACTCAGTGTAACAACATGAGTTTATGTCAAAGGATTAAAGTACAATAAAACTAATCAACTGTTAATTTCTACATTAAGGACTATGGACAATTTAAATTCACTCAAAGGATAAGGTAAACTGCACTTATTTGAAACAATATAACATAAATCAACTATAACATGTGACATTACCCCCATGTTTGAGAATTAAGTAATGTTGAAAACATGAATTAATTCTGACCAAATTAAGAATTACATTATTGAGTTATGTTTAAAATGAATTTAAGATATTACAAACTGATAGTACATATAAATTACTTGCTATCTTACAAAATAAAACAACACTAAAACTAAATGCATAATATCTATGACATAATTAAACACATCTACTATCTTTTTGGCACGGACGAGCCCCCATTGTCACGGAGTAAAGGTTCTTTTCAATAAAAAGATAACAGATATCACATTTAATGTAATATAATTAATTTTATATTCTATTGAGAATTAAAAGTATATTAAAAATCACAAGGTGAAGGAATAAAAGGTGAATATCTTGATAAAAACACATAAGTGGTTATATAACACCACAACTACAGTCCTGGAACCCAAAGACGGTATTATATCCATTAAGTCAGACACATATAGTTTAATCCATAAAAGGAAATAAATGCCTTGTACACAAATCCAGTCACAAACGAAGTAAATGTTACACATAGATTTCTTCGGTTATCCATAACACAAAACTTGTATTACGTCACAAGCTTTAAGTACTCCCATGGAGCTACACGGCTTCACAAGTATGGCAGGAATCCTCATCCTACGCAATACCTAACACAAACACAGTGATCCACTATTCCGTCAGTGGAAAACTAAGGGTGCGTGTATCCCATAGCTAAGTACAACACAAATGCAGGATGTTAGAATCGCTCTCCATATGCACTAATACACAGATAACAGTCTTAACATACGACATAAATATATACGTGGCACGACATCAAAAGGTTATTCCAGATAACTGATATGTTCATAGTGTTCCATTCTACACATGAAGATGTATATAAGTCTTTCATATTTGCAAAATCCACAGTTCTCCCTAAACTTGTTGAACAAGTTTCTTCCTTCACTTTCACATCTCACTCAGTCTGTTCTCCTGATTTCATAACTCAGCTAGGTCACTATATTACTCTATACTCTACTCAGTGTAACAACATGAGTTTATGTCAAAGGATTAAAGTACAATAAAACTAATCAACTGTTAATTTCTACATTAAGGACTATGGACAATTTAAATTCACTCAAAGGATAAGGTAAACTGCACTTATTTGAAACAATATAACATAAATCAACTATAACATGTGACATAAACCTCCTCTCTAACTCGTGTGAAAAACCCTGGTATGTTTATCTATTACGTCTTCATGATAATTTCTCATTTTTTTGTTTGTGTAGACTTGCAAAAATCCAGGTATGCATTTGAGGAGCCTGCAAGAGAGCTGTTCATTTGGTGTGTTTTGATGGCTCGAGATGACTTAGCCATGACATTCTGGGAAGAGGGCAAGGTAAGAAGTTCAAGACAAATATTAGCATTTCAAACTTAATATGCAATTAATAGTGAGACTAGATTAGATATTACGATTCCCTGGTTACTGTTTGAGCTCAATGTCATACAGCTTACAGTCATTTGCATTTGTGTAGAATAGAATAAGAGACAGGGTACATGTATTTGTAAATATTCAGCAGTCAGATTATGTGTAAGACTCCATTAAACGTGGATAAGCGGTAAATCGGGAATAACTCCAAAATAAATCGTTGGTGCCTCAAACCTGCCCTGAAGAATGGCTATGACCTGAACTTACTTTTGTTAAAATACCAGAGTCTGAAAAAATCACTCACCTCAATATCGACGAAAGAAGTTTCAGTTTTGATTAACTGCGAGAGCAAAATTCAAGCTGAGCTAAACATTTTTTTGTCGTAAATTAGACCTCCTTTTAACTACGCCATCTGGTGAATGAATTGTTGTTTTTGTGTCACATGACCGTTGTTTTGTGTCACATGACTGACCCTTAGACACTTCGCCACCTAAGTTTATCAAATTGAAGTGAATTTTTTATGCTTGACATAATCCTTGTCACTCTATCGTGTTCTTGATGAGACACATTGGAACTTGGGATTCATAGCCATTCAACCAAGCCACAAAAAGTATGTAAATTAGTCAATGTTCAACATGTTCAATTGTGTTAATATTTTTGGCATTCCACCTTTAGCCAGGAACCTTATACGGTAGGTTTCAAAATGAAATAATTGCTGTTGTTTTAGGATACTATTGCAGCTGCATTAACAGCCTCTATGCTATTGAAGGAACTCAGTTCTAAATGTACTGAGGACTTTGAACTGCAAGCAGAAATGATGCAACAATCTACGTATGTACTCTTGCATTTATACTTCATGTATTAGAATCATGTTTTTGAATTTTACTAGATATTTTGCCAAAGCTTCTTGATATTATTGTTAATCGACTCTTAGCTGTCTGTACAATTTCAAGCAAATCAATATAATGTTTTTTGATTTATAAGATGAAGTGTGGTATTTCAACAATAAATTTTGCATATTAAAAATTGCAGCCATTTTGAATCTTTGCGATGTTGTAGACATTATTGATAACCTATAAACTAAAGTACCTGTACAATTTCAAGCAAATTGATGGAATATTTGTGGAGTTCTGACCAAAAAAGAGCTGAAAAGTTGGTTTCTCTGCAATGAAAATGGCCTTTATTTTGTAACAAGGCGAGCTTTTGAGACACCACTTATGGAATAATTGGAGACTTTCTATAAACACATTTTAAAAGTGAATTGGCAATTGTAATGGAGGATTTCCTATTAGCAACCAATGTGTTGACAGACAGACGGATGGACCAACGGAAAAGTGGATGAGTGAGCTAATAAAAAGGCACCATCTGATACATTTAATACTAAATTAGTAGATCACATGTTAAATGTTGTGCCAAACATTTTAGATGACCACTTACATTGTTTCAGAAAATGGGGAGAGAGAGCTTTAGGTGTTCTGAATGCATGTTTCGCAGCTGATGAAGAGAGAGCGGGGAAGCTGCTTGTACGTGAGCTGGAACTATTTGGTAACACCACTGTGATTGCTCTAGCTGTAAATGCAAAAGACCAAACATTTATCTCACACTCCTGTTGCCAAAGTATGCTCAATGATATTTGGATGGGAAAGATGAGTGTGGACAATCATTGGTGGAGGGTAAGCTCAATTTTGTCTTCTTCAGGTAGCATTCTCTTTGTTTTTAAAATAATTGATTAAAGGTTGTTTAAAGATTAGATTTAGATTTTCTAGCTATTCAAATTAAGTTTCATTTAATTACTTTGTATGTACATTTTTGAGTGTGTGGGACAATTGAAAATAACTATTTACAGATTACCCATGAGTTTGACAGTGCAATGTTTAAGCATGTATGGTCTTACAGTGCATGTTGAGTGTTTTATGCCATTACAAAATATTACCAGTTGAATGCTTATGTTATAAATCTTGTTTTTGAATTTTCCATGTGTGCAAAGTGTTATCATTGGTTTCACTTGGCTTTCACTAAGCCAAAGGTCATTTTGCTCAAATCTTACAATCATTAGGTAATAATATACATTTTAATGAACCTGTTGTATTTTAGTTGATGGTCAGCATAATTTGCCCTCCTCTTCTGTGGTTGCTGATTCGCTTCAAGGAGCCACCATCCAGTGTCGAATCTCAAGGTGCACCCAGAATAGAAAATACTCATAGACATGAAAATGTAAGATTTTTCATTCTCTGTTCCTCAGTAATTTGAAATAAAAAGTTATCAAGTATCATCCAAAAGGACCAACCTAATAATTCTGTTGAAATCATTGAATAGAAAAAGTGTAGTCACTAAACTAGTTGAATAAATTAACATACTGATTTGTAGGGCACCACACCACCAAGTGCTGTCAATAGTGCCACAAGTCGGAAACCAGAACAAGTTGAACTGACAAGAGTGCAAAGTGCTGGGCAGGGCACCTCATCAAGCAGAGAGAGGTAGGTTGATTTATCTGAGGAGGTAGACGGGGTGTGAGGATGTGAAGAGAATATGGAGTGGTGTGAGGATATGAAGAGGGAGTGAGGAGGAGGTGGAGGGATGTAAGGTGAAGAGGGTGTGGAGGGGTGTGAGGATATGGAATGATGAGGTGGGGAAGGTTTAAAGAGGCAGATGGAGGACAGAAAATAAGGAAGCTAAAATCTGCATTAATTGTTGTATCTCTAGTTTCTATTTTGTCATCCCATACATTATTCATGCAGTATATCTGTTCATTTGAGATTATGTCTGTTCTTAGGTCTTAGTCATCTTCCTGTCTGTCCTGTTGACTTTTCCATTAGGTCTTGGATGATCATGAATCTGTACTGTCATTCTTATATGAAATATAATTGAGAATCAGAATTCAGATCCTTTTCAAGAATTGACCAGAGAAAGGTTCCTTATTTTCTGGGAAGGTTCCTTGTTATTAATAGTGTTTCATGTTATGAAAACAGAAATCATATTATTAAGTCATATTTACATTTTCTCTTTATTAAATTGACAAATGCATTTGATGACATGAAAATACTGGGTTTGGTTTTTTCATTCAAATTGCCAGTTAAATTAATTTGTAGTGAATGTCCAATGATGAGTTATGAGAGAATTTTGATGAAGTTAATAGGATTTGTTGACACAGACACCCTTGTATTCATCGAAGACAAGTCCGTAAGGGCAGGGACGGGCAAGGGCCTTTCCAGAGGCATCACACTGCCAGAAACAGCTGTCATCAGAGTGCTTGAAGTGGAATTTCTGGGCAGGGGCTTGATAGCTGTTGTAGCTGTTGTGCCTGTTGTAGCTTTCATGTCCGTAGCTTGGCTGGGCAACATATGTCTCAGCTGGGTAGTAGGTCTTGGGGCATGTGAAGTAGCTGCTGTAAGTTGTGGCACATTTTTTGCATGTGTTGTACATGTAGGATCCATATCCGTAGCTGTTGCAGTGTGTGTAGCTCTTTGTCTCATAAGTGTTGTAGCTTGGGGCTTCATAGCTATTGTAGCTTGGGGCTTTGTAGCTGTCATGGCTGTTATAGCTTGGAGCTACGTAAGAGTCCTGATGGTAACCATTGTTCCTCTGGTAACCATGTGTGGGGTATTTAGGCTCATATGCCTTGCTGCAAAAATAACAACTAATAATACATATCTGAAAAAAGTTTTGAGTCATGATTTCATATCAAATTATTGACCCCTATGAACAATTCAATTAGATTAAACTCTCTTATTTCAAAAGAGAGTTACGCTTTCACTATCAAGTTTTTAAAACATTTTGTTTGAATATTTAAAAAAAACAACTTAATATAGATAGCTAATGATTGAAATATTAGAGAAAAAATGGCAGGATCAATTCAGTTTTTGTTATTCAAGACATTTTCAAGGCTATCATGATCAGTATGGGTTGTGCTTGTGCAGCCTTTGATATGTTGATAACTAGAGCAAGGCACAAATAACAAAAATGTAAAACATCAATTTACTTACGTGGCATAGTCACTGGCCATGGCCATAGCGATGCATCCTACGAAAACTTCGAGTACGGTCTGCATGTTGAATGTGTATCTGTGTAGAGCTACTGAGAGACTGATGAATAGAACAATTGAACCCTCTTATATAGTCCCAACACAATCCCATGTACCCATATGTTGCCAAAGGGAGTAGTATGCTAAATTACATAAGGTGACCTCCATGTATTTTTGGCTTTAATTAATTATGACTAATGATTTGAAATTAAGTCATACCCTTGTCTTCTGATATTATATTAGTTTGTATTCATACCCCATTGTTTAATTAAAATATATCTTAATTGTATTTATTATTGTGAACTTGAGATACATCTGTGAGTGTTGACTGAATGTAAGCTCCTTTTGTGGTATTGCATTCAAAACACACTTGGTAACTTTCTTATGTCCAATCTCATATACTGAGTTGAATATAGAATAATTTTTCACTTGGTTTTACTTGGATGTGTCTTCACAGTGAAAATACTCCATTGTTTAATGTAAGGCCAAAGTACTGTAAACTTCTGTATTTTCAAATGAATCTTTGTGTTACTTGGCTAAATCTCTAAGTTCTCACTGAAAGATATTCTTTCAATATTGGTAGTCCGATTTATACAAATCTTATTTTCTATAAATATCCCAGCTTGAATCAACAGACAATACTTTTTGCTTTTCCCCTTGGTTGCCGTATCCAGTTCATATAAAATAACATATAAAATATAAAAAAACATAGATAAATATACAATGTTTTCCAGCAATATGAAACTGTTGCAGAATAGTTTTCTTTCTCTGCCCGGGGTTCACTGTATATAAACCTTGATGGGGATCCTCAGTGCACATGGGGTACCTTTTTTTGACATTTGGTATGGCAATGGACCCTTTTAGGATCTGGTATGAGAATGGCCCCACATTATGACTTTTGAGGTATATGAATGACAATGGTCTGATTTATCTGATCACACCACTGATCTTTCCAATGATCATGGAAAATATGTTACCTCACACTTGTGGTATGGCATTGGTCTAGTAGTTACACATATCCTAAATTTAAGATTGATTCAGAATATTTTTCTCAGGGCCTAAATGTTACCCTTTTTCCCGGAAGTATATATTCTTTTGACCAATCATAGCATTGGTCTGGCATTTAAACATTTGGTATGGCATTGGTCTTATATTTGGTCATTTGGTATGTGGCTTTTGGGCATTATAGGTCCCCGCCAAATTTGTGCACACTGAACCCACTGTGAATTTATGTCAGGTGCACATGAGCTAGAGTATAAAAGGATATTAATCACTGAGCATATAATACACATCAGAGTTTGTAGAGTGAAAAATGTCACATGCTAGACATGTTTGATATGGTGTAGTGCATATAACATGGTATATTGCATCAATGTTGTTTTATAATGCATCATTATTTTGCATTCGATTTGTTGAATTTCACTTAATTATATTACTGTATTGCAGGCTTGTTCCCAGCAGGCAACAGTCCACCGTAAGCCAATCAGCAGTGGAGGATCTCCACAAACCTTTGCCAAAGAAACCAACTGTCTCAGCATTCAGCAAGTTCACCTACTTCTACAATGCTCCCAAGGTCACATTTATACATAATTGTGTAAGTACAAATGTATTTTAAGTGGCTATAAATTGTAGTGTTCACATATTCAGCTGCCAGCTGCCGGTTTAATCTACATTATTATGACCAACTCATTTAAATATGAATTTAATATTCGCAGGTGCTATTCATATTTAAATGATCTGGGCATAAAATAGTATGTTAATCCATCAGCCGTCAGCTGGCAGTTGAATTCGCGAATGCTACCTTAATTTTATGCCACCAACATGTGTTGATGTATTGTCAGAGCCACTGTTTTTGTGACTGGCTTTTGGTCATGACATATTTGGCATCTATAACAAAATGTTAGGATTTTGAAATTGCAACACGTCGTTGACAATTAGTCATATGTGCCAATTAATTTTTCAGACTCATACTACATGTATGTTACTTTTACTGACTGAAGGGTAAATAACCTATTTATTCCATAATACATCCCTCTAAAATGTTACATTTGGATAATACAAACATTACATTAACAAATGCACATTTTTTTGGAAAGATAAAATAAAAAAAAATAATAACCAGGAAACCAAAAATAGGTTAATATGCTCCAATACGATTTTTTCCATAGGACAATACAGTTTTCTCATGTAATACAATTCATTATAATTTTTATTCCTTCATATTTCCATTGGAAAACAGTAGTATTATGGAATGAATATGTTTCCTGAACTATATACCATTGTTAAAAAATAACATTGCCAATTTTGTGACATTCTCTTGTTTCAGCTTGCATATATTGTGTTCCTTCTGCTGTTCAGCTATCTTATGTTGGTCAGCTTCTCTCCTGATTTCAACATCATAGAGATCATCATCATTGTGTGGGTGTTCACCATCTTCATAGAGGAAATAAGACAGGTACGGATATAGTTCATTCATTTTTCATTTTTATTCCCCCGTTCCCATTATGAATAGTTGTCATTTCTAGTGGTAAGTGCTTTATATTACCAGTGGTCTTCCTTTCTGAGACTGCCAATATCAGTATAGGATTATACTGTATGAGAGAAATTAAAATATAATGTACATTTTTAGTTTAACTTGATATTATGTAATGTGTTGATGGAACTTTATATTTATCGTTAACATTGAATGTAAACATGATTTAGAGTAATTGTAAAATAATTGAGTGATTGATTTTATTCTTGTTCAAATCAGAGTGTTTCATCTAGATATTGACATGATTATCCAACCCAAACCTCTTCCTATATTACATAAAACCGACCATGCATGTACAACAGTAAAACAACTGTCATTTATTTCAGCTATTGGCCGACACATCCAGTAACTTCCGCCTCAAATTCATCAGTTACATCGGTGATCAGTGGAATATCATGGACATTGGGACATTGTTTCTCTTCCTCTCTGGGATGATTCTACGGTCACTACCATATGAAATAACATTTGAGGTTTCTAGAATTGTGCTTGCCATAGATCTCATGGCATTTTATTTCCGATTGATCCACATATTCTCTGTTAGTAGACAGCTTGGACCAAAGCTTGTCATGATTCGTAGAATGGTATGTTGCTTGTTACATTAGTAAATTCACATGTCAGTAATCAGTGTAAATCATAATTATGTCACCACCAGAAATGGTGACATATTGTTGTGGATTGTGTTTGGTGGTTGGTGTTCACTGTCTGTAACATCATTTGACGGTCAGCGTATGAAACAAATGGCAGGTGGTGACATTTTGCATGTTAATACCTTGTTTGCTTATGTTGCAATCACAAATTCTTAATTGTTTGTATTTTGTTTAGGGTGGATTTATGATTTTAAAACTATATTCATGGATTATAAGTGAAAGTTTAATATCCAGTTTAACATTATAAATGTAGAATTACATGTTTGTGTTTTGATATAAGCCTGAAAGAATCAAAATGGAAATATATCATTATGGTACTAGTCAAACTCACTGAAAAAATCTTGATAATTTATTTTCAGCATGAGATTATCACTCATGGATAATGTGCTTAATTATACGTAGTAACTTAGTACTCATAAAGAACTTGAATACAGTGGCTTGAATAGCTACAAGTTACTGGAATCTACTTTAATATTACTATATATTTCCAGATGATTGATCTAGGGTTCTTCGTTATCATCCTCATAGTCTTTATCATGGGCTTTGGAGTGTGCTGTCAGGTGATTCTTTACCCCAACTCTACACTGGACTGGAACTTAATAGTTGGTATTATGAAAAAACCCTACTGGCAGATGTATGGAGAACTCTTTTTAGAGGAGATAGAAGGTATGTTACTTTTTCACCTCTAATACAAGAGATCTATTTTACCATTTCTCAATTTTGAATTTCCCATTATCCTGCATGTGGATATCAGACTTGATATAGTCAGAAGACAGCCTGAGAATTTGAATGAGTTTTATTTTTTTTTAAATATGGCGACAGTTTGTCATGTCTTGTTATTTTTCATTATTTTTTATTTTAGGCCAAGAGGATTGTACTACAGATTTTGCATTGTATAGCAATGGAACCTTACCTCGCTGCCCCACATATTTAGGAACACAATTGATGCCCATGCTGCTGGCACTGTACATGTTGTTCACAAACGTCCTCATGCTTAACCTCCTCATTGCCATGTTCAGGTAAGTGTTTAATATCCTCATCGCCATGGTGAGTGTATCATGCTATAAACAGAAATTCCATTTTGTAAGTTTTCTACAGTTAGGCTTGCAATTAACTCTAAAAGAGACATGAACAAATATATAAGTATATACAGTCCTGTCTAATCTGAGATTTCCAAACTGAAAATTCAACTTTGAGAAGTTTTCATTCTTGTGTAACAATATTGTATCACTCCTTGTGTAATTAAAATACTAATTTCTCATTTCAGTTATACTTTCGACAAAATTCATGAGTCTAATGACGCAGTGTGGAAGTTCCAGCGCTACAGCTTAGTGAAGGAGTATTTTGATAGGCCACCACTAGCTCCACCTTTAATCATATTTGCCCATCTGTTCCTATTAATAAGGATGTGTATTAGGACCTCTTGTGGGAAATGTTTGTCCAATGATGGTGGATTTAGTGAGTATATTTTATTGATTATTTCCTTTTATTTTGTAAACCCTGTTTATCAGAGTACCTCTCTAATCTAAATACCTTGAGCTTGGCTCTCAAATTTTTAATTTGCCATGAATTACCATGTTAAGGAACCTTGAAATGTGAACACAGTTCTGCCAATCCAATTGGTCCATCGAAGTGTTATTCAATTACTCAGATGCGAGTAGGTAGTTACCAGTTTCGCCACCAGTTAGCTGACTCGGGGGAAATAACATGGCAGGGTATTACAAAATTCCCTTAAACTTGAATATTCATCAGTTTTAGTGGTTCACTATTCATATTACCCTTATGTATCTGATAGTTATACAAATTAAAATATGTCCAGTAAAAGAAAATATTATCTGCCCAACACAAGAAAAGATATTTCCATTTTTGTGATATTACAACATGGGGGCTATGGGGAATCTCCCCGACCTAGAAGTCACATTTTCAAAGAAAATTAAATTTTCAAAGTTGATAAACTCTTTTCAAAACCATATTTCTAGATGTTAATTTACATGTAAATTCCAAATATGACATCAGTTTGACTGAATTTTGAATTTTTAATGACTTAAATCAAGATCATTTCTACTCGGATCTAGGATATTAGACAGAAGCATTAAAGAAGCATCATTAAACATTTTGAATCAGGCTTTGGGAAGTTACATGTACATGTGTACAAAGTTCCATAGAGTGTTTACATATCCAGCTTTGAATATTTCTTTACTGGTGCCATACAATAAAACCTAAAGGTAATCCAATCACTTCTCATCTCTTGGTTCCAATTTTGTAATCTCCCATTGTTAAAGAATCCTTGAAATGTGAACATTTGCTATTCCAAACATTTTTGACCAATCCCAGTGGCATTCAGATTTGACAGGTTTGACAAGTGTTGACATACTGTTATGGCCTCCTTTTTTGTGGACAGAGTTTGGCAGTTTGTGTTTGACATATGGCAGTTGGTGTTTGGCTGTACCAAATGGCAAGTGGTGACATTTTGCATGTTATGACTTATCTTAAATCACCTCACTTCTGTTTCCAGGATACTCCCTGTCTGAGAATGAACACAAGCAGTTACTCCTTTGGGAGAATATGAACTGTGATGAGTACATACGAGAAGCAGATGCTGAGGATAAAGACAGCATGGAAAATATTGTGAAAGATGCAAATAAAGGGTGAGTCTGCATTCCTGTACTTGCCAGTCTATGGTACATGTCTGCACTCCTGCACTTGCCAGTCTATGGTATTTGTCTGCACTCCTGTACTTACCAGTCTATGGTACATGTCTGCATTCCTGTACTTGCCAGTCTATGGTACTTGTCTGCATTCCTGTACTTGCCAGTCTATGGTACATGTCTGCATTCCTGTACTTTGTCTATGGTATATGTCTGCCCTCCTGTACTTGGCAGTCTATGGTACATGTCTGTATTCCTGTACTTGCCAGTCTATGGTACATGTCTGCATTCCTGTACTTGCCAGTCTATGGTACATGTATGCATTCCTGTACTTGCCAGTCTATGGTGCATGTCTGCATTCCTGTACTTGCCAGTCTGTGGTACATGTCTGCACTCCTGTACTTGCCAGTCTATGGTACATGTCTGCACTCCTGTACTTGCCAGTCTATGGTACATGTCTGCACTCCTGTACTTGCCAGTCTATGGTACATGTCTGCACTCCTGCATTTGCCAGTCTATGGTACTTGTCTGCATTCCTGTACTTTCCAGTCTATAGGAACATGTCTGCATTCCTGTAATTGCCAGTCTATGGTACATGTCTGCATTCCTGTGCTTGCCAGTCTATGATACTTGTCTGCACTCCTGCACTTGCCAGTCTATGGTACATGTCTCCATTCCTGTACTTGCCAGTCTATGGTACTTGTCTGCATTCCTGTACTTGCCAGTCTATGGTACATGTCTGCATTCCTGTACTTGCCAGTCTATGGTACATGTCTGCATTCCTGTACTTGCAAGTCTATGGTACATGTCTGCATTCCTGTACTTGCCAGTCTATGGTACTTGTCTGGATTCCTGTACTTGCCAGTCTATGGTACATGTCTGCATTCCTGTACTTGCCAGTCTATGGTACTTGTCTGCACTCCTGTACTTGCCAGTCTATGGTACGTCTGCACTCCTGTACTTGCCAGTCTATGGTACATGTCTTCATTCCTGTACTTGCCAGTCTGTGGTGCATGTCTGCACTCTTTTACTTGCCAGTCGATGGTACATGTCTGCACTCCTGTACTTGCTAGTCTATGGTACATGTTTGCATTCCTGTACTTGCTAGTCTATGGTACATGTTTGCATTCCTGCACTTGCCAGTCTATGGTACCTTGTAAGAGAGTAAGAGCGTTTTGAAAGAGACTGTAGATCTACTCCTAGTATTCAGATGTTAGGAAATGAATTTATTGTCAAGATTACCATAGAATGTCTATGGGGCTCATTATTTGTATTATGAATTACAATTAAAAAGTTTATAATAAGCATCACCATGCCACATTATATGTTGTTAATATATCATGTTTTATATGTAGACAATTTGTTTCAGTGTCCTTGCTTTGAATGCAAGGTTTGATGGTATGACTGACAGTGATACATCAGGCCTTGTTGTCTCCCTGCCTCCACATGTAGAGGAGAGACTTCAATACCTTGAAGACCACGTAAGTTCAACACGCATTATATAGAGAAAATTGGTGTTATTTGGAAGACCTTTATATACTGTTCAGGGGCTTTTTTGGACACAATTCCAAATATTTATATTACATAATGTAAATAGTGTAATAAATGTATATGTACTAATTAAAACAAACATTGATTTAATGGATCCTAATGTTTTGGTCACATTTGATCTACAGCAACCATACAGCAGCTGTAGCTTCCCAAAATTGAGAGAAATATGCAGCATAAAATATGGGGATAAGCAGTACAATGTAGATTTTCTATATCGATTTTCTGAAGCTAAGGCTGACGTATGCCCAATGTTGAGCACATGTGACTGAGGCTTTAGTCACAATATTGTGGAGCTGCTTGTTAAAGGCTCATCATGTGTTTTAGATGCGGAGAACAAACTTGGCACTAGACTGGATTGTAGACGCATTGCACAAGAACAAGATGGGAGGCGCAAAACCAGACTTGCCTGATCTTGAGAAAAAGAGAGAAGAAGGTAAAACAGATCTTAAAAGGTTCTTCATTTTATAGATTCTTCATTAGTTCTAAAACCCTTTATACTAAAAAGTGTACTAAAAATGGCATATTGATTTTATATTCACATGACTTTTCAGGAACTAAACTTCCATAAAGGAATATTGTTGTCTCCCTGTCATTCATGCTTGTTCTGTAATAAACTGTTCTGTTTTTACCTGTAATAAACTGCTTTCTCTTCACATATTCAGAGAAAAAACGTCTTGAAGAGGTAGCAACAAAAGAAAAGGAGAAGGTCCAGACAATGATGGCCAAGCAGCATGAGTTACACTACAATTCACGCGAGTCCCCCTACCCTCATTCTAATGTCGTCAGATTTAATGTCACAGATGACCAAGTCCCCTGGGAGGTGCGTAGATTCATTTAGTAATACATTGCTTGTTTTGATTTTAAAGTGGGTCTAGAGGATGTGGTCTTTCATGTTATACTAATTTTTATTTTTCCAAACAAACAGGGTGGGATGACATACTTTTAATGAACAATAATTTTTCTACTAGTATGGTGTTGCTCTTAATGTAGCTAGATCATATTTGTCATGGTTTGATAGTCACACTTTCTCCTGAAGGGAGCAAAATGGGGAGCTTTTAAAATATGTCTTGGATTGATTGTAGTCCCAACACTTTGAACACATTCAACAGAAGTTTCAATGTAAACCATCCAACCATTGTTAAATGTTTCCTTAATTTCCTGACATCCATGGGGATTTCCATTTCAGTTAATTTCTCATCAGTTTCTATTAGTTAGTCTCTACATTTATATTTGGAGTCCTTGATTTCTCCATAAACATCCCTGCAACATTGGCCATTTTACCATGTCTTATTTCCTAACGTTTTTTGGGCAATGGTTAAAGCCAGAGTAGATTACTGGATTTACTATTATGCTTTCTTGCAATATTTCACTTGAAGTGTACGGTAATGATGCCCCAAAGGCTACTAATAGTACATTTTTTACACTAAAATACTGTATGATTTGTTTTCAATACATCATATATTAGAACATATAACTTTATGTTGTTTCAGGTTGAGTTACCAGGTTATGCTCCAGAGAAGTATACTGCTCCCATTGTTTTGGAACATCCCAATTGGGCAGATATAGACCTCATGTCCATGTAAGCAACTTCTAAACCATCTGTGTATGATATGTTTATTAGGCCCCTTGCTTTTCCTTTTATTTATAAATGATCTACCGGATGACCTTGACACAGACTGTTTCATCTATGCTGATGATACCTCAGTATATTTTCCATTTAGTACTCAAAATCCAAAAGAAATTGACGATAAAGTAAATGAATCTATAAGAAAAATTATACTTTGGTCTGAAAAATGGAAACTTAGTTTTAAACCCGAGAAAACGAAAGAAATAATATTCCATAAGTCAAAAATTCAATTATCACAGGTAAGTGAAACAGTCATGAACAATATACCCATTGATCGTGTGAATTCACAGAAACACTTAGGATTTATATTTGACGAGCACTTGACAAATGAAGCACACATCTTGTCAATTCGAGATAAAGTAAATAAAATGATCAATCCGCTTAAGTCTCTACAACGAAATCTTACATCTAAATCTTTGGAAACTATTTTTGTATCATTCATAAGACCACATTTTGAATATGGTGCCATTATTTTTAACTCTTCGAATAAATACCTTCTCAATATTTTGAACCAATGCTTTTACCAAGCAGCACTTATCTGTAGCGGCTGTATTCATGGAAGCAGCACAGAAAAAGTCATTGATACACTTGCATGGACACCTCTTGAGACCAGAAGGGATATGCAAATTTTGAGATTTATGTATCGCGTAAATCACAATTTATGTCCAAAATACATTACCGATATTTTTGAGCCTTTAAAAATTCAAAATGCAAGAACATTAAGACATAAGATAGACTATAGATTGCCCGCAAAATGCTCAGATAAACTGAAAAAGTCGCCAGCTTTTAATGCTGCCTCACTGTGGAACAGAGCTCCACAATATCTAAAAGAAAGTCCAAGTCTTCCTATCTTTAAAAGTCGCCAAAAAAAACTTATCCAAGAATCAAAACCTAAATTTGACCCTACAACCAAACTAAAGCTTACCAGGAACTTAGAAATCGTACTAAACAGATTCAGAGTAGATCTGATTTTTAAAGCCCAACTATATGCACACAACTTTACCACTTTAAACACTCCCAACTGTGCATGTGGATTACCTGAAACCCCAAAACATGTCTTTTTTAGATGCCCTCAAAATCTTGCAAGCAGAACAATGTTTTTTAATAAAATCTCAATATACAAACCAAACACTATCAAAAATGAAAACCAAATTATGCATTTTTTGAAATATGGAAGTAATGACCTTTCAATCCTTCAAAAGAATGAACTTTTTGAAAACGTTGCAAACTTTATCCAAGAAAATATGAAATAAGACCCCTTCCATAGTTTTTCTGTATCATCCTCATCTCCCTTTTTGCCCTCATGGAACCAAAAACTTGACACCTAACTCTCATTCTTAGCCAGACACCCCCAGTTCTTCTATGCCACAATGGACAAAATGCTGTTCCTAATTGTATAAAATATAAATTATGTATTTAAGCTTGGCCTATAATGCCACTAGGCGATTGGCAAGCAATTCGATGTAAATTTGAATATCATGAAATAAAAAGTTTATCAACTTTCTGTTCTATATTTGCAAGAGACCATGAAATCACACATTTTTTGTGTTACAAATTACTTCTTGTTTCGTACAGATATTGGTAAACCACATTTATATCTCATAGTGGGTAAAAATCATATTAATATTGTAGAATATCTTAAATTACATTTAAATACACTTGAGCTGTAGGTAAAAGGAGTTCTGAATACAAGTGTACATTTCCAAAAGATTATCACAGTTTGAGATTTGTTACATGTATAATAAACTCTTAAAAGTATAACAGTTTTTGCCTCTATATTTGTTTATAGTGCCATAGCTGATAGAGCACAGATTCAATTCAACAAGACAGTTAAAAACGTTGTCAGAACCAGCTTCATATGCAAGTACAAAGTGATAGATGGGCTGCCACAAAACCCCAAAGGAAGAACAGGTCTGATTGGTAGAGGTCTCTTAGGTCGCTGGGGTCCTAACTTTGCTGGGGACCCTATTGTCACAAGGCAAGTACCAGTGTTTGTAAAAGAAAGTGTTGGGGAGAGTGTTGATATGTATGCCTACATGGCAGCAGGTCCAACATTTTGCATCTGATGATTTTTCATTTTAAAGTACTTTATGTACAATAGTATTTATTAGTACTCACCAGTATTTACTACAATATAAATGAATTCATATCTTGTAGCAGAGATGTATAAAATATTTTTAACAACAAGGATTGGCAGACATTTTCATTTGGTACATAAAACAATGTTCGGACTGGTCTGAAACATAATACAAATGTATAAGCCACCTATAATCCTATGTAAGAGAACTGATGATATGTTTGTGTTGTTCTATTTAGGTGGAAGAGGGATGCTCAGGACAGGATTGTTGAAATAAATGGACGCCCAGTGCTTGAGTTTGTTGCTATTATGAGAGCAGATAATGGACAATGGGCACTACCAGGGGTAAGAGAACATACAGAGATACAGTAGATACATACATGTACCTATTGTACATTTGTTTTTATTGATTTGTAAAAATGGTCTATCTAATCACATATCTTTTTGAAACATCATTTTGTTCCATAGACTCCCATGTTAAAAAGTCCTAGTCACGTTCAAAAGTGTACTTTTAAGATTCACCATCGCATTCAAGTGTGCCCTTGTGTATTACAGGCACTCCTAGAGCCTGGCCAGGCTGTCCACAGTTGCATCAAAGCCAGTCTCACACATGATGCCAGGGCAAGATTCACTCAATCAGAGCAACAAATGGAGATACATGATAAACTAGATACCATGCTAGCTGAGGGAGTAGAGGTGAGGTCATATTTTAATGTAAAGTCATCTTGTATTGTTGGAGCCTTAGTGTCTTTGCAAGGCAGAGGTAGGCAGAGTATCAAAATGATAAGCTTGGTTGTTGATACATTCTTTGTTTTTTTCTTAGCTGATAATAGGAATGTTATGACGACTGAGAAACTAATTTTGAATTAGTATTATGTGAGTGTTGATTTGGGATTTGTAGCCTCCTTAAGAAATGCCATACCCATTATACCATAATTCATGAAATAATGATTATTTGCAATTGTTTTAGATATACAAAGGCTACGCAGATGACCCTCGTAATACAGACAATGCCTGGATGGAAACTCAGGCCTACAACTACCATGACAAAGAAGGAAGCATACTCTCCAACTTCTGCATTATGGTAAGTGCTCTAGGGGCTTGGCCAATTATTAACAAGTCTTTTTATGGAACTAATTATTTTTATTTTAGGGTAGGGGTAAATTCAATGTTTGATAATACATTGTTATTTTGAGTCCTTTGGAGTATTCATTCATTCTAGAGGTAGAGGGGGGTTGATTGTGGATTTTATTTTGCGTGTAAATTACGATCAAGATTTTTTGTATTGCACTTGTTTTTGAATCTAAAATATTTCAATGTGAATGTGGTTATATTGCGCATGTTTTTTAATCTAAAATATTTAAATGTGAAGGTTTGGTTATACTGCATGTTTTTGTTTTTCAGATTGGGAAAAAAGCTATACTTGGGGATACAGATGATGATGGTGACCTGGACATTGTTAGAGTAAGTAAACCTCATTCTATCACTACAGAGGAAACACCCCACAATCAATTTGCCATATCAACTCAAAGAGCCATCATGGTACAATGTGGCATTACATACTTTCTCAGTCAGAGAGTTTATCCATTGCAAGAAAGGAGATCAGATAAGGAAAATTTCTGCAATGTAATATTTCCCAGCATGCCCAAAGGATCTTGACATTAGTTTGCTCTTGCATCTGTAAAAATTTCAAGTTAAACTTATAAGTGGTTTTCCAGAAATTTGATATCAAGATTTATGTGACAGCACCAGCCTGCACAAGACGACAATATAATGCACAAGACGACAATATAGAACTTTTCCATAAATTTTCCGAAGTGCGATAAAAAATTTCACACACATGCACTTATTTAACTAGAATATGTTATTCAATAGCATTACTTAATTATTTGTGTTTGTAGGCTGGTAATGATGCAACAGCAGCTACTTGGACTGATGTCAGTGCCAATCAACCATTCTACGCTTCCCACTCTCATATTCTCAGGAAAGTGGCAGAGTTACACAATGCCTTCTGGATCTAGAGGAATACATAAACATACTTATATTCTCAAAGAATCTTTTCTTTTCTTTGTATACCATGGAATTTAACTTTCAAAAAGTGAAGCAGGCTGTTGTATAAACTATTACCTAGATGCCAGTAGGTAGTTACCAGTTACACCGCCAGGTGGTTATCTCGGGTTGAGATTATTTCTACGCATAGCTAGTCTGTTGTATTGTATTGTATCTTGGTTACCGCCATATTTGGCGAGCAATACCTCATTGGTATATTCCGTATTCTACATATTTTATTCTCGAAGACAGAGCCAGAAACCCCTCCTTGGAGGAGCCCTGTGTTATTTTGTGTGAACGGGTACACAGACATACAGGTACACACCACAGCCTTTTATACGAGTCATGAACCACTGTCAAACACCCAGAATTACATAGCGCACAAACAAACTTGTCTGAACCGGGAATCAAACCCTAGGCCAAGCGATAGTGGTAACCTTGACTCTGCCACTGAGCCATAGCGAATGGACTCTATTACACCTGTACAGTTCTTGGTACATGTAATAAGATTATATATTTGTATGCTACAATAAGGAAGTACAAAATGACATTTTGTATTGTGTGAGCCTGATCTGAAATATTTAAAATAAGAGATCTATTGAGAACAATTATTGATTGTATATACCTCGAGACTTTGTATACTAAATTCACATTGTGCTCAGTGTTTCCAGTGTCATAATAAAGTAAAGTAAGAATTCCAAGGCTGAAACTTTACCAGAATCCAATATTTACACAGGTGTTTTAGTCAGTGTTATTTATATATTATATAGTTATTTTATGAATGTGTACAGTAATAGAACATTCCATCCGCTTTTTACGATGAAGCAACATTCCGCTGTTATTTTCTTCCGTCCTACTATATTCTTGAACTGTGTAACATTTAATGAACATATCTTACATGTCTTAAAGGGTTAACAAAGATGAGAGATGAATTGAAAGTAAGTTTCTAATAAGATTGTCATACATTGCTTCCAGTGTTTTATACTCTCTGGTCTTTGTTGCTACTTTACTGTAAATGCTTTTAGCCAAAATAAAACCCAAGTACTATTTATGAGACAATCAACTTGCAGTGTGCAGTGATATAAGCTAATATTTTTCTAATATTCTCTTGTTAAATTATATTATGTGTATACTATGTTATAGAAAACTTCCAAGAAATGGCTTGTACTCCATACATTTACTTGGAGTAACAGTTACCCAGTTTGTTATGGTTTGTGGGGGTTGTATGGAGCACTGATCAGTGTCTGTTGCTGATATAAAATTTATATTATAGGCTTGTACAGCTTCATTTTGATATACCCGGTCTATACAAATGAATGTAGTCATGTATTGTATGATGATAGATAGGGATGGGAGGGGGTTAACAGAGCTTATCATCTTTGTTCATCCATCATCTTTTGCATAATAGGTAGAATAAAATCTAAGATCATATATTTGTCATAAGTCATAGATCAAGGATTTTATTCTTATTCTAATGTACATATACATATATGATAGATGGGCTAGGTTGTTACTCATTACAAGTTATACATACTCCATTACACATTTCCAATTCAATTGTTTTAGTGATTGTGACATTTCCAATTCAATTGTTTTAGTGATTGTGACATTTCCAATTCAATTGTTTTAGTGATTGTGACATTTCTAATCATGTAAGCATTTGTAATACTTTAGTGTCACTTTTGAAAAAAATCTCAGGTTTTGAATTTCATGACATATTTGTCATAGCATGTCAGGAGAGTAGAAACCTGTCAAGGTAATAAATAAAGGATCATGACCTAAATCATGTTTTCATTTTTATGTAACCACAAGTGTGGAGTCTGTAACAAATTACAGCATCTGGAACAAATGGCAGGTAGTGATATTTTGCATGTTAATGCCTTGTTGGAATATGTTAGTACTATATTATTATATCACTGTCATATTCCTCACTCTCAGTGAAGTCATGACTTCAGTTGAATATCAAATAATATTCACCTGTCTCAACTTAGTCCAGTGTAATTTTAATTTTATATATCCCCAGGAGTACATTGTTATGATTAATTAGACATCGATAGTTTGTTATTCCATTAATGTGAGTGAGGAATATAACAGTGAATAATGAAACAAATATTTGATTCTGTTTTCGGTGAATACCTTCACAAGGTGATACTCCACTAGCCTTTTGGCTTCCTGGAATATCCAAAGATCCACAGGTATTCACCTCAATAGAATTAAATATTTGTTTAATATTTATACTGTGATATTTTTTGTATAAGAAATTATGAGATATTTTGTAGAAATAATGATATATTCATGATATTAGCAGATGCATTTATACATCTGTATGTTGATATTCTGGTTATACATGTAACTGTTTTTTATTTCCTTCCTGTATATACAACTGTATTTGTAGATTAATAAGAACAATCTTTTGAAAATCTTATTATGTGAATTATACCTGTATGTCTGGATGATTATATGTATGTTTTCATGTACATTTTAGAAATAAAGACCTGAATATATAGCATATATAATGTACATACCACAAACTACAATTAGTTCTTTTTATTGATTTTTTTTATTACTAATATGTGGGCACAGTGCCAATGAGGCAATCCAAAATACCAGATTTCTGCAGTTTTTAAAGCCAATGGGCAGTTAACTGTGGGGTTTCATTTTCATACCAATCTTTATCTCTGATAATCGTCATACTTTAATCCTTGGTATATAAATAATTTTGCAAATTCATGATTAATATTTAATTCTGAAAACATTCACAAACATTACTCCATTTGACACAAATTGAGATTCTCGCAATAACTTACCCTCTGCCTAATATAGATAATATATTACAATTTAGCAGCCCCGCCCCGAATATTGGTGCCTGTGACAGCCCGGGTAATAAATCATTTTAAATCTTCCACGCTAACCCTTTCTCAACCAATCAGCGAAGTGGAAGGAACATGTGCTAAATACGTGCAGGGATATCAGAGGAAATGACTATATAAAAAGTCGTCCGTATTTCGACGACAAACTCTGATTGGCTCGGTGAGATCAGAGATTTATTGTAAACTGAAAGAGTGAAGACGAAGCTCTCTTTTAAGAAGTGAAGTCGAATGAATGCAAAGGGTTATCCATTTAGTACCTATTTTAATATACATGTAAACCCTGGGTGTCATTACCAAAATCTGTGTAACTCTGAGGCAAAACACAACTGGAAATTGGCTTTTCAACGATTCCCATAATATTTCATCACATCATTGCAACAGAAGAACTTTATAACATATGTTAAATGTTTTTATTAGAAGATAACTTCCAGTTATATACAGTATGTACAGAACGTATTGTGTAAAGATAAAATACATGTACAAACTTTACAATTAAAAATAGAATTAAATAACATGCTCATCAATGTTCATTATTAAAAAAAAGTTTAAAAGCTCATTTTGACAAACTTTAACTGAAATAATTCAAAAATCTCAGTTTTTAAACTGCACTTGAACATCCTATAGACATGTACTATTACTACAGCTAATATGTGAATATTTACATACAGTACCACAAGGTATCATTAAATAAGAGATTACATTTAAGACATTTAGTCTTGTAGTATTAAATCATAAATAATCAATTTTAACACTTCTCTCGAGTGAACACCTTTTGTAACCAGTTCTTCAATGTCCCAGTATGAATTATAGTCTATCCCAACAGTGTCATTACCACGACAATGTACATGTTTTTCTTTCTAAATATTAATGCTTCATGTGGCGCATTTATGTGGTAATAACAATAAAAGGTACAAATCTGTTCAACTTCTGACCATGTCACTTTTTGCTCCACCGTAAACAAAGAACAAAGGATTTATCTAAGATTTTGACAAAGATGGAAATTGTTTCAATTTTTAAATCGACAAATTCACCAAAAGTGACTGGGTTGTCTGGTTGGCAGTTTCAGATTATAAAGTCATACACAACAGGTTGTCCATATTTATCAATATAACTCAAATGTTGGATGTATTCATTCACTGAACCTCAGAGAAAAAATCCTCCAAAATATTAATTCTTTATAATGATGGATGGAGAGTTGCTTTGTCATCGTTTCCTGGTCCTTTTGCCACTAGGTGTCGTTACTGTTGAAGGCTTACGTTTTCTGGTTTTTGGTAAACTTAACTCTTCTGTTTCATTATTCCTGGAATATAATTAAAATGCTCAAATAATGTGAATTATTTTGAAACCTGAAGTAAAAACCTATAGGCTAATACAAACTCCATTCAGATATCAATTGATAAAAATCCAATTTAAATTACATGGCAAAACAATATGAAAAATTTTGCTGTTCAGAGGAGGGCTTTATATAATTTGAAACCTGCTTCTGTACTTGCAAGTATACAGCCAGATGCCAATTTGAAATGATGAAAATGATTGAAACACAATATCTAATCTACAGGTAGATCTTAACATTTTCCAAGGTGATACAAGGTGGACATTTTATAACACCTCCAATAAGCAAACCAAGTCTTACATTTGTGCCTTAAGTTTTGAGACCTCAGGAATACAATGAGCTCCAGTGTCAGGTGGAGGGTCATCAGTGAGGAAGGCTGCTATGTAGTCAGGCTTTAAACATTTCACCTCTGCAGACAGGAATAATGCCAAGTCAATCTGCAAAAGTAGTGATAAATGTACAGGTTAAGGCACCAATGATTTTTCAGGGTTTTAGATATGTTTGACTCACCCAAGAATCTACATTGGATTAAGATGCGAGGTTTCTGAAGTAAGTCTGTCTTTCATCTGTCAGCCTCATCTGTTCACATAAATGTATATTGTTCATTGTGTCATTTACTAAATGTAGTAAAACTGACTTCAATGGACCTATTGTAAGACATACCTTTTCATTGACTTTATGTAGCTCCATGAAGGCATGTGAGACATTGTTGAGTTGTGTGAATGGTGGTCTCGTCGCTGTCACCTCTGCCCCACCAGCTTGCAATAGCCTAGAGAAGCCACTAGCTTTAGTGGTGTCGGTATATACAATTGAGCGCCATCCGCTAAATGCCCCTTTCTGATTCTCATCTTGCAATCGATTGCGCCATCTTTTAGCTGCCCGTGCTAACTTCTTTGCTTGCTCTCCCTTAGGGTTGTTAGCTAGTAGTGCTAAAGTGTTATCACTCCCCCATTCATGTTCTGCCTCCTGGAGTGGACATATGATCATATATAATTAAACAAAATATAATGATAAACCATTTTGACCTTTATATAATATATCGTTCTACTTTAGGCCAATGTAGAATTTGTGCTGAGAATACATTTGACACAAAAGGTTCAGTACTCTTGTTTGTACTTCAGCTATATGGGAAGAAAATGAATATATGGTTTTTCCAATTTTTGATAATGAACTGATATACCCCTATGGGTATCTAGTGTGTAAATGTAACATTTGATAATAATTATATTACTTGAATAAACAGTTATTATTATTATACTTGAATTGACAGTTATTTTAGTCAATAACTGTCAATGCCCTCTGTTAACCTTCATATTCCGACTCAATAAACCTCCACCCTAGTGAATATTACTTCAGGAGTTCAGGTGCACATACCTCTACAAAGTGACCAGCTTCCCTACATTCCTCTAGGTAAGACTTGTGCAGCACCCATTTCCCAGCAGCCACACAGGACAGAAACTTCTCATTACGGGTAGGCTGACCTAGAATAGGAGGAACAAACAGATATCAGCTTCATCATACAGCTACATTTCCACAAAATACATTTTCATACTAATTAATATCATAACATGGGCTTGTTCCCCATTGGGGTGAACTCCCAGGGGTGGACTGATTTTTTCACATCACATCACATGATTTAATTGTGTTTTCAATAAGTGAGATCACAATGCAAACATTCTCCCCTCCTTATATTCTTAGAATAGATTATGCAGTAAAACCTGTATATAGTGAACAACTATGGATCCACAAAAAAGTGTTCACTGGAGTAGGTGTTCACTAATATAAAATGAACCTTGAAGTGGTGTTCATTAAACACAAGTGTTCTATCGAGAAAGGTGTTCACTAACACAGGTTTTATTGTACTTAAGTACTTTTAGTTTCATTTGTTACCTATGACTAGATGTGTGCACCTAGGGTCGTAGCACAGTGAGTCTGATACAGTGCCACCTATCTGCTCAACTAATGCCCCGTAATCATCTCTCTCCTAGCAGAAAACAAACAATACAAGGCACTTTTAATTTAGTGTCCAACATACATGTACTAATAATTGCATAAATCTCTGCAAATATATGTAGGTAGCAAATGTTAACGAAAGTTATCAAAATATAAAATAATTTGATGGAAGAAAATTGCAAGACTGCAAGTACATATACATCATCATGATCTCATAAATTACAACTATCTCATAATTAAATTCATTTGCATACCTCGGGGGTCAGGCCAGAAAGTAGAAAGAATGGTGGCTCCTTTGGTTTTATGTTCTCCTGTGGGAGATCTCTGGACTCCTCTTCTATAAGCTCTATAGGTTGTGCTGTCTCCTGGTGGCTATTCTTGGGTAGAGGGAATGCTGGAAAAGTATAGAGACAAACATCATAAAGCAATGGGGAGCTTGGGTCTATGAGTTCACTTATACCTGTTTAGACCTCTTGTATTATATCTCCTAATGCCACATTTTGGGGGCCTTATGCACAGCCAATATAATTCGGCGTCGTTTTGGCATCGAAAAAATTCAGCGCTGTTCCGGCACTGTTTCGACACCGTTCCGGCACCGAAACCTTTTGACACCAAAATTTGCCACCGGACTAGTCAGTCCATTGCACCGAAACGGCTTCGAAAATCAGATTGCATTTTGGGGGTGTACATGTGCTTCATCTCCAAAGATCCCACCCAATATTTGCAAGAAAACAACCTGCTGTAGTGAAATGATGTTAGAGAACACTTAGAAAAGATACCAGTTGAAATTCTGTATCTAGCAAATAAACATGTGTGATTCCCAGATACAGCAATTGTATTTTGTTAAATGACTTCACATAGCTCATTTAATGGGGTAAATTAGTAGGACAGATACGGATTCCCCAGTCTATTGTTCTCTTTTTATGACATCACATATTTCAATGGACTGAAACATTTTTGAGGATAGGAATGTATCTGGTGCAGAACAATTTTTTTGAGGTAAAAACATTTCTACTTTGGTAGTTCAGAACAAAATGTTCACATGCAATACCTATTTACAGTTTTCATGATGGCTATACCATTGATTCTACGTAAGAGCTGAGATATAGGCTCATAGTGAGCCAATCCAATGTGATAACTACTATTATACCACTCTAAGTCCAATTACAGTTGTATAACATGGGTCTATAACAACGATATACAGTGGAGAGTGGTATATCGTCATCGTATACAACTCCTCCGTATACACTCCAGCGTATACCACTGTAGAAGTGCATTCTGGGAACTAATGAATAAAAAAATCATGAACATTTTCATGATTTCCTAGAATCAAGTGACGTCATAAATGGTTCGAGATCAACATCAGCATTATTGAGTTGGCTATGGGATATTTATGGTTTTTAATTGTTATGACTGTGTTCGAATCAACTGTAATTGAACTTAGAGTGGCATAATAAGATTATATAATGGTTCATTCTGTATATCGTGCATTTCATACTCTCGTGAGAATATAATATATTCACTCGTTCGCTACGCTCACTTGTGAATATATAATATACTAACTCGAGTATAAACAAGATATACAGAAAGAATCATTATATAACCTCATAATATGTTTAGATATACAGGGCGTTTATCAAATTCGTGCAAAGGTACTTTCACTCAATATACCTCCACTATTCATACATTGAAATCCTAAATTAAAGCTAATATGATTTCCATAGGGCAGTATCAAAGGGTAACACTATAGGTCTTAAATAGAGTTGTTATGTACCTAGAGGGGGAGGCTCAGGAGTTGTTATTCTGTCTTTACTATTACTATTGCTGTCCTCATTGCGCTCCTTGGGGGATGTCAAACTCATAGGATTCTGAAAGTATCAACATATAAGAAGTGTTAAGGGTCATTCAATAATGTGGCATTAATATTGTTTTGCAATATGAAACTCATAAAGATTTGTTTTGAAAATAACATTTGAAGTTTCAATAACAGGATAATTAAAAAAAATAATAAGTGCAATTTTTTTTTGGAATTTATCTATACAAAAATAAGAGTTCATCAATCATTTTCCAGCATTATAGAAGGGTATACAGGTGAGGGAAAATATATATACAAATGTGGACAGGGGTGCTGGTCAGGCACATGGGTTCCCTGCGTCTAAGGTGATATCTTGGATGAATAAATGCAATGGTATTAACAGGTAATTAATAAGTGCAATGGTAATAACAGGTAATCAATTACTTTAAAAGTTATGATAGACTCATCTGCTTCATTGTCTGGTATATCTGAGAGAGGTTCTGGACTGAGGGATCCATTCAACTGCTCAGCCAAACGTTCCTTCTCCATCCTATAAAACACATACACATGCATTTAGAGAATTCAAATAAAAGCCTTAACAAGAAATCCCTACATACATGTAGTTAATACATAGTACAGTCTAGCTCACAAGGTACATCCTATTTTTCAGATATCTCTACAATATTGGTTCAGTAAGCAGACCTTCATGAGTAAGCATTATCACAAGTTCCAAAATCAAAAAAACTACTTGCACATTTTTTTATTTTAAAAAGCAATTAATTCAATTTCTACATGAACACTATTTTCAAGCTTCAATAATTAAAAAAGAAGGTTTATTTCTAAGTAATTGAATGCGTAAAACACATTATTATGAATTATGAATTCAAACTATTTCAAGGTTATTTAGAATGAGAATTACAGTTATTAGCCCTTTAATGACATTCATATATATGTTTGGAGGGGGACTCAAGTCTATTACATCTTGATAGTGTTCAGTACATCAGTTTATCAGTTTATAAATAGAAGGAGTTTTTTGGAAAAAATACAGGGGAACATTTTTAAAAAAGACAAAGAGAAGAAAAGACAAAAAAACTTCCTTCTCCAATAGAATGCCAAAATATTTAAGAAATGGTGAGAAGAAAGATTTGCAAGGCCTGAAAAACAACTAATACTACAATCTTAATCAACATGTTCAGTGAACAAAAGCAAAAAGCAAAAAATGTTCTTGAAGTTCTTGAGACAAAATCACCAAAAAGACTCTGATAAATCCAAATTCATTTAAGGTGCCATGGAAGTTAACAGGAAACAAGGCATTAACATGACAAAATGTCACCACCTAGTTGCTCACAATATTATGAGTTCAAACTTAAGTCAGATTTGAATTTCTGAGAACTTGTAAAGTCAAATTTGAACTTCTGAAAAGATGTAGATGATTTTGAAAAAAAAATTTGAAAGTTGAAAACAGACCTTTTTGACCTTTTTTGACCTTGAGAAGGTCATTAAAGGTCAAATGTCAAATCTAAAGTCAGATTTGAATTTCTGAGAACATGTAGATGATTTTGAAAAAAAAATTAGTCAATTTGAAGCAAGTTGAAAAAATACCTTTTTGACCTATTTTGACATTGAGAAGGTCATTGAAGGTCAAATGTCAAATCTAAAGTCAGATTTGAATTTCTGAGAACATGTAGATGATTTTGAAAAAAAGATTTAGTCAATTTGAAGCAAGTTGAAAAAAGACCTTGAAGGTCAAATGTCAAATCTAAAGTCAAATCTTAAGTCAGATTTGAATTTCTGAGAACATGTAGATGATTTTGAAAAAAAATTAAGTCAATTTGAAGCAAGATGAAAAAAGACCTTTTTGACCTTTTTTGACTTTGAGAAGGTCATTGAAGGTCAAATGTCAAATCCTAAGTCAAATCTAAAGTCAGATTTGAATTTCTGAGAACACTTCGATGAGTCAAATGTCAAATCTAAAGTCAGATTTGAATTTCTGAGAACATGTAGATGATTTTGAAAAAAAAATTTAGTCAATTTGAAGCAAGTTGAAAAAATACCTTTTTGACCTTTTTTGACCTTGAGAAGGTCATTGAAGGTCAAATGTCAAATCTTAAGTCAGATTTGAATTTCTGAGAACACGTAGATGATTTTGAAAAAATTTTTTAGTCAATTTGAAGCAAGTTGAAAACAGACCTTTTTGACCTTTTTTGACCTTGAGAAGGTCATTGAAGGTCAAATGTCAAATCTAAAGTCAGATTTGAAGGTCAAATGTCAAATCTAAAGTCAGATTTGAATTTCTGAGAACATGTAGATGATTTTGAAAAAAAATTTAGTCAATGTGAAGCAAGTTGAAAAAAGACCTTTTTGACCTTGAGAAGGTCATTGAAGGTCAAATGTCAAATCTAAAGTCAGATTTGAACTTCTGAGAACATGTAGATGATTTAGAAAAAAATTGAAGTCAGTCTAAACAGTATTTGTTAAGTTATAGGAAGTTGTAAGAAATTGTTACAGACGCCGGACGCCAACCGCCGGACGCCAACCGCCGGACGCCAACCGCCGGACGCCAACCGCCGTCGCAAAAAAAAACGGAGACCATAACAATATGTCACCACTTTTGGTGGTGACATAATTACAAAACAAAAAGTGACAAAACTATGTTGGATTTTGAAAATCTTTTGAACCAAGATAACAGAGTTCTGTTTGGAACTAGTTAAACTGACTGGAGGTCAAAACAGAACTTTGTTATCTTGGTTAAAAAAATTCAAAATCCAGCAAGTCACTTTTTGTTTTGTCATTTCCTGTTAACTTCCATGGCACCTTAAAAGATTAGGGCCTTATGAAAGCACAATTTTAATGTAATTTTACACTGACTGAGTTTGGCAAGGTTGACCTAAAATTGTGACTAAAAATATACACAGCCAGATATACCACAGGGGTTATTATTCAGGTAGTACATATGTTATGTAATAATACAACTGAGAGCAGTTTAGGTTCATTTGACATTAAAATACCAACCAATAATATGACTGGAAAAATCTAGAAAATGTACAGTAATACTGCAGTTATTTTACATTATAACAGTCATAGAACAAGTTTATGGCTTTTTATGGGACTTTTAACATCAACCTCTGAGGATATAGAGCATAATAAAATACATGTATTAATATTTTTGATACTTTTCTTTAGATGAGATCGGAAATGTTTTGTTATTTCCACAAGTGACAGATCAAATTAACTTATTATATTGGAACATATGGACTTTGCCAAGCTTCAACTATTGTGAGAGATATTTGAGACCATGTCTAAATAGTGTGCAAAGATGATTTCAAAGAAGAAATTGTTAGGATTAATGCTTATTGTGCTTTGTGGATTGTTATTCACAAAGTCAACTGAACGGTTCTTTATATACCACGAGAAACAATGTGGAGATTCCACGTCAAGAAACAACACAAGAAGTGATAAAGCTATTAACCATGAGGAACAATCTAAACTGATACTGAATGAAACATTTAAGCATCATTTTGAATTGGATGGTGCTGTATTTTCAGATAAAGGCATAGCATTAAGTGTCTCATATGTTGTCTCAACATCTCTTGTGTACTCATTCTCACCAAGAGTGGAACAGTCAGCAAGAAAGATGTACATCCTGGATGGACGTGACAATAAACTTTACGCCAATAGCCCAGCTATTTCATGGTTCAGAGGACGACTATTTACGGTACTAAGGATATGGCTGCAGAACGAAGCTTATGAAAAAGCCCAAAAATGGCCTGCAAATAGGTTTCAGGATAACACTTTATTCACGCAACAATTCAATAAATTCATGAAGCCGTTGACCAATGGATCCCTTGTTGGTATGGTAACCCCAAAATGGCATTTAGGGGATGGCCCGATTGAACCAAGGCTTTTTACGTTTAGGAACCGTTTATTAATGACATTTAACACAGGCTATATATCATCACATGACAGTATGCGCGATTTTACATTCATCATGGATATAGAATCCAATGTGTTGATACGCCCTCGAATCCATGGTTCCAAGCCAAAACCAGAAACAAGGGACAAACACTGGATACCATACATCGACAACAATGAACTTTACTTTGTGCATGGTTTTGATCCACTCCGTATCCTTAAATGTCAATTAGGGGCTGACACTTGCGATTGTGAGTTTGAAATACTTCGTGGAAACCTAACAGCAGAATTTAGCAATGTTAAAACTCCTTTAAGGGGTGGGACCCCAATGGAAAAGTACAAAGGCTCATATTATATCTCTATTACGCATGCAACACTGTATAAAAAAGCTACAAGTGTGAGGTACTATACATTTAATGTCGTAGTATTCTGCACAACACCGAAACCAAGAATAGTGTATGTAAGTGGCCCTATAAAAATTCACAATGATCTTTCAAAAAAGTACCCAATAGTTAGAAGTTGGATGATAGAGAACCCATTTGTATTTCCCGTTGGGATACTCCTTGAGGATATGGATAGTGTTATTATAGGGGGCCATATAAGTGACCACAGTAGTGTACTATTAAGACTGACAGGGTTACAAGCTATTATGAAGACTGTTATATCATCAGATCAAGAATCCTTTAAACCACAACAAGGCCCTCCTGATTATGCCTTACAAACATATGTAAGAGATGCTGCTACTAAATCTGAAGGCATTCAGTTCCATTGACGCAGGTGGCTTTCTATAGACTGCATATTTTGCTTATGGGGAACTAAGAAGTCTGGGACTTTCATAAAGACAGACACGTGTGCAATTAAATAGCTATAACAGTTCACTATATAAGAGCTTATAACAACCTTATCAAAATTTGACTTTACTGATTCTGTACTGAAAATACAGGATATATTTACATCACATGGACCAACCAGATTGAGAACGGAAATTACACCATCATATAATAGACTCTAATATGTTGTTACCTACGAATTCTGTTATTCTGTTATGTTATGTTACGTTACGTTACATTACATTATTTTGCGTTACTTTATGTTTTGTAATGTTGTTATGAAAATACTGTTATGAAAGTATATGCTGTAGAGCGTCAATGTTAAAAAAGAGAATGTGTGTTAAGAAATTAAAATATAATATTATGTAATATTTAAATTTAACTAGAACTGGTAACTCCTTAAAGGAATATTCCTTGCCAGATGATTTCTCTCCTGATATGGTAGTTATGAGGTTTTATCCTATGCCAAGTAGAGTTTTAGGGAGATAAGTTGGTAAGATATATCCCTTATCCTGATTTTGAGGTTCCATATCCTGAACCTCCATATCTCCCACTCCAGGGCATATCTTCCCACTTCGATAAAAAAATTTGGAGAAATAAGAAAAATTGAAAAAAAAGAAAAAATGTGAAAAAATAACAAATTCAAAAAAAGAACAAGGCATAGACGTGAACAATATCATACCTAAAACACAGCATTGTGGTCTTGTTGACCAAGAAAGCAAGATGGCCGCAGAAAAGTTAATCAGCTCTAGAACTTATCACTGTGTAACATATGTAAAAATTTGAACGGTTTGGCTGGAAACCTGTAGACAAGTCTTGAAAGTGAAGAATTTAGGACGGAAAATCCAAAATGGCCACCTTAAAATTTACCCAGAATGCCCAAAAACCAATCAGTTCTTGACGTTGATATGTAGAAACATCCCTGAAAATTTCAGATGAATCCCTCAAATGGTTTGGCTGAAAATCTGTAGACAAGTCTTGAAAGTGAAGATTTTAGGACAGAAAATCCAAAATGGCCACATTAAAATTTAACCAGAATGCCCAAAAACTAATCAGTTCTTGGCGTTGATATGTAGAAACATCCCTGAAAATTTCAGATGAATCCCTCAAATGGTTTGGCTGAAAACCTGTAGACAAGTCTTGAAAGTGAAGATTTTAGGACGGAAAATCCAAAATGGCCGCCTTAAAATTTACCCAGAATGCCCAAAAACTAATCAGTTCTTGACGTTGATATGTAGAAACATCCCTGAAAATTTCAGATGAATCCCTCAAATGGTTTGGCTGGAAACCTGTAGACAAGTCTTGAAAGTGAAGATTTTAGGACGGAAAATCCAAAATGGCCACCTTAAAATTTACCCAGAATGCCCAAAAACTAATCAGTTCTTGACGTTGATATGTAGAAACATCCCTGAAAATTTCAGATGAATCCCTCAAATGGTTTAGCTGGAAACCTGTAGACAAGCTGAAAAGTGAGACGCCGCCCGCCCGCCCACCCGCCCGCCGCCCGTCCACCCGCCCGCCGCCCGTCAAGCTGACTACAATATCGTACCTTTTGTTAGGTACGATAAAAAAAACAGAAAAAATTGAGAAAAAATTGAAAAAATTGAAAGAAAACTCTACTTGGTATAGGATAAAGCAGTTATGTACGGTCGGTTTGGATATAGGGCTCATCCCTCGTGAGATATGCACATCTACCTTCGGTCCCTATGGTCCCTCAGGTAGATATACATATCTCCCTCTGGATAAACCCCATATCCAAAACCTCCCAGTACATAACCCTTATGTATATACTTTCCATATTATGCAAAACATGGCAAAATGTTTTGATATGGTCAATTCATTCCTAGTAGGGTGCCATCTTTTAAGATTTCACCCATGAAGTGATGTCATCAACTCTCAAATTGTATAACATTGCCCATAACAATTTAGAATGTAGCACAAAGTAACTTCCAGACAAGTGGTTCTTAGTTTCTATTCAAATAGATTTTCAGGGCTTGTCAACTTCAACTTCAGCTAGTTAAGTCCTAAATACCTGCTTTTAAAAATGCTAAATGTAAAATAGAGAGTCGATGACATTACTTCCTGTCTGAAATATTAAAAGATAGCAGCCCACTTGAAATTATCAGTTCATTTTTAAATTGTCAATATTGACCATATCAAAACATTTTCCCATGTTTTGCTTATATTGAAAGTGCCTATATAGTTATAGCTACCATATTAAGAGAGAAATGGTCCGGCAAGGAATACTCCTTTAAAAGAGCTTTTATTAGCTTAGCATTAGTTATTCCCTATCCCTGTCATACTGTGTTTGCTGGGATAAAATATGCATACATGTACATTTTCTATTTTATTTGTTGAACAATGGAAGTATAACAAGTAAAAAAAAAACATGTGCACAATTAGTCATTTAATCATTAAAGGCTTGATTGTAAATAAGTCACTACAGTAATACAGTAAGTAAATACAGTAAAACCTGTGTGATAAACCTCTAAAAAGGGTTCCTCTTGGAAGGTGTATCACTTACAGAGGTTCATTTAACATTAAGTAGATTGGTCATGGGATCTAAACGGTGTTCCCTTTCCACTGATGTGCCCCACTTACAGAGGTGTTTCAATTCACAAGTTTTACCATACATTGTCCATAAGTTTCATAATCTAACATTAGCTTGCCACTCACCGTGCTCTTGGATCATCCCATGTAAACTGGACCCTCTGAGAGGCCTCTGTATCAGTCTCTATAGCTCGAGCTGAAAGCAAAAATCAGGTATTATTCATTAAACCATCAGTAAAATGCCATATATCACTCTTGAATATATTAGACATGAAAACTATAAACACTAATGTCCAAGACTTGCATTTGTATGTTCATTCAATGTATATGTGTGTATTGATATAAGTGTTTTATTAATGCCCCATGCTTTTTTTTTTTTTTAACAAAAACGTCCTTCTATTGCAACTATGATTAATTATATTATTTAAGGAATAAAGACTGAGATATTATGATTCATGTTGTAATATATGACCGAAAATTTTATTCTGTTCATTGTTAAGAGACTGAAATCGCACAGCAATTGAGGTCTTTGGCAAAGGCCAGAATAAAATTTGAGGTCATATATTTGACATAAATCATAAAATTGAGGTCTTTGTTACGATTCTAATATGATAAATAGACAAGAAACACAATTATTTGCATTTATGGATTTTAGTGGTCATACATAATCCAATATAGACCAGTAAATCAATTGTTCTAGCTATTGTGATGTCACGTATCATATTAGAATCTGCATTGACTCACCGTTTGCTGCGCTCCTTGTTGATCGTCTACCTGTACCATCACTATCCTTCCTCTCCACTGGAACATCCACATATGAGATTAACATTAACATATACAATAACATTATTATGCTTAGGATTAACATACCCTTTTGGCGGTCATAGCCACTATAACCTGTATATATGTTACATTGATTTCAATAATAAAAAAAATCATCATGCTTTTAAGTTTATTATATACAGTCATTGCTCATGTAAAGCATGAGAACTTTTGTTTCAAATATGATAATGTAGTCTTACATCAAGCCCCTTTGAACCTTAATTCACCTCACTTATTTAGCTCACTAGGGAGATTCCATATACATGGACCTGATACAAGACTATTCATTCTTATAAAAAGTCAATTATTTGCACGCAATATGAAAAGGGCATTTGTCATTTGCAAACACTGACACACAACAATAAATATCACACTTAATATACTTGAGGAAAACACCCATATCACTTCTAGACCTGTCAGGTCTACTCGAGTTTAACATACTAAGTAGCATCTTTAAAAAGAAATGAATCTCTTCAATGGCTTTCTTCGAAATGCCACTGCAAAAGTGATGAAAACAATTTAAAATGGTTGCTGGAATTAAACATGGCAACCAAAAAAAAGAATCTAGAAAGAGATACCACATAACCTCAGTTGAAAAGATTGAATGCAATGTGCAATATTTCTGAGATTGTGATGACAAGAAATATCTAAAATTGCAGTTTTCAAAATTACCTGGATTTTGAAATTTGTATTATGTTAAAATAACTGGACATATCAAAGTCTGTTTAACAAGTAACCAATGAATGTAAAATTACAGTTAACTACACTATCCATATCAACTAAAATACATATTTCAGTTGTGTTAATCATTCACTACATGTATGTATAGTAGTGAAGCCTTACAATTAATTGCCTCTAGCTTCAAACACAGTGTAGCCATATATCATCAAGCAGAATAAAGAAAGCACCATAGTTGACTGATTTTTTGAATTTTTGATTTATTTTTTAAATAATCTGATATCATAATATATCTATCCAATTTTCAAGATGGCTGTCACAACATGAGGAAGGTGGTTGCCAACAGCATTCCATGCAATGTACATACAGTACTCCCAAGCTAGCATGTCTCTTGCATTCTTATCACCAATGTTGTCAGTTATCAGATTTTTTACATCATCAGATTTGAGCTCTTTATCAAGATGCAACAGAGATGTGATATTATTAATGAATCGATGCTTTGAGAATTCTGCTTCTCCGTGCCAACAATGGATGTGTGGGTAAAGAAGCGCTGGTTTCCTCCGAGAGCTGAATGCATCTAAGAGATCAATAGCTTTGTAGGATTGATTGATTCCTGGGATGAGATGATTAAGTGCTAGTTCTGACCCATACATTGTTGATACAGGTCTCCACCACATGGGCCATTTCCCATTACTGTCAGTCCCTTCAGTGAATATCACCTCCAGACCTGACAAGTTTGGCTTAAATTCATTCTCATACAGATATCTTGAGATATTCAGTGTTAGCTTAGCAGCGATAAGAAATTGCTTTGGACGTCCATACCAAGTACTTCCAAAGTTTGTCACACCTCTGTGAGTTAGATTCAATTTAAGGGAAATATTTTTCAATCGTTGTCTGTTGAACAAATCACCATAGCCACCCTCTCCTGTGACAAGGTTATATTTAGGCCGCCATTTTAAAAGTGTTGGTGTCAAAAATACATCTGTGTCTGAACGTAATATCCAATCATATCGCATTAAAACATCCCCAAGATGCATATGTTGTAGAAATGAGAACGTGTTAAGGTATTCATACTTGGCTGGATAATTTGGGTTTTGAGTCAATGGGGGCAATGGTCGATACATACAGTTTGATGAGTTAATCATCCATTTGAGATCAAACTGTGTTAGTGTGCTCCACTTGAGACAGTCTGTAGGTAAAGAAGCACATGTTGTGGGGTGACAGAAAACAATCAAATCAATGAGAGTGTGATTACTACACCTCCTTGAGACCCCTTTCTTGAATCTGACATAATCAGTAAGGTATGAGTGGCTCATCACATACTTCCATGATGCATACAAGAAAGTACAGAACTCTATCGCAAAGTTTCCACCTTGTTTGTAGTCCAAGTAAACAAGTACAGCTATCCTCTCTGTGTCTTCCTTATGTGCACTTTTGTTGTGTGGTTTAACACTGTCAATGTGAATATGTTTGTAAGACAAGTCGGCCACATGCCATACTAATATTATCCATATAATCACACAGGTAACTAGCAAAATATAATGTGTAATCAAACTGTGATATGACATATTGTATTATTTCATCATTATAGTTCTACATTCAATATTATCAGTGATCACCGAATGCAAACATATTTAACAGAATTAAGACATTTCTGGTCCATCAGAATTTAAAACCACTGATTTCCATTTCAGCAAATGTGTGAAGTAGATGAGAGACATTGATGTCACAAAGTCCCTAATTAATGGTTATATCTGCACTTAAATTGCTCTTTTCACTTTATCATCTCACACTCCTTAGCTATACATGTACATGTATATTTCTTTAGCAGTAAGAAAAGACAACGGCCATTTTAATTGCTGTCCCTTGTCTAGCTGATAGTCTAGGTGCTTTATATTAATTGCTATACATGTACTTACATGAGTATGTCACAATGCCCCTGGTCCTTGAAGAAGGACGGCTTCTGTCAGCAGGATTCTCCCCAGAGGAATTCAAATTAGCAGCTGTGATAACAAAACATGGCATTAGTGTATTAACTATTAAGCATATACTATTATAATGATAGGAAACCATATAAAGATAATCTGGGAGAAAACATGATAAAGAACAGGACTTTTTTACAGTTTTTTCAAAAACAAATGAAACGGAAATGCCAGTACAACTGACTGATATGGGGGTTTTTCTTTCCCAAGTGAGAGATCCCAGTATCTCATTTATTTAAGAATTAGGCAGTTTAGCTGCCGATTTAGTATGTTTCAAATATATCTTATTGATCGATTGATCAGTTGTCAACATTAAGAGATAACTTACAGTTTATGCGACTGTTTCTTTTTCTAGCAGGTTTACTGAAAGTACAATGTTAGTATGTTTATGTATCCATTCTAAAGATAAATACAAGTATACATCACTTAAGAATTTTGATTCAGTTATGTATCTTTTATTTTTCTATTGATGATTTGAATGTGTCTTTAATTGCTGAATATAGCACCTAACAGAATGAAAAGCCAAAATGTTGTTTTATGCATGATTTCTTATGAAATACAGACAATATTTGCCTCCAAATTCCTTCTAGAGCACAATCTTTTCTGTTTTTGGGAGAAAATAATGCATGATTTGGGTTGACATTTTTTTAAAATCCTTAAATAATTAAGGTATCCCTCGTTTGGTCCACCCTGGATTGCTTACTTAGCTACAGAGGCCATTACATGCTCTAGTTGTTTAGTTATTTCATCTCGCATTTCTAGGGAAGCGCTGTTTGTTTTCATCTCCTGGAAATAGATAACAATATACAGACACTAGTGTATAATAGCAATTGTGGATTCATTATTTTCTAGGAGGTATGCACAATGTGAGTATGATAAAAAACTATTTTAGAAATTAAATTATTTTTTAGTAGATATACCATGCATAATCATGAAGTTTTTGATTTTAAATGTGCCCTTTGCACCTAGTCATTTCACTTTTACTTATTTTCTATCACATACCTGTGTTTCAGGGCCTTGGTTGGTAACCTCAGCTGCTGCCTGTGCCAAAGCTTCATCATCACTCTGTGTGGTGTCCATATCAAAGCCATCATTAGCACTTTCATCATGTGGAACAGCCCCACATAGATCTCTATCACTCTTTTTAGTCTCTTGATTAGATACATTTGATTCTTTTGTGGACATTTCAACATCATTATTCACTTTCTCACTTTTAGTAGTGTCTTTATCAGTTATACTATTAGTCTTTTCATCACATTTTACATCCACATCTGTTGATTTGGTCACAAGTGTTAATTCATTCAATTTAGTATTTTTCATTGTATTGTCTTCTGTTAACCTCAAGTCATTTTGTTTGGTGCTATTTTCTATTGTAAGTTTTTCTTTGATAGGCTGCCGCATTGACCGTCTGGACAGTCTTGTCCTTGCAGGAGTTTTCTTGGAAATAGACTAGAATGACACAAGAAGTATTTTCATTATCCAATAATCATTAAATAAATTACGGACATTCTGTCTAGATATTAGGATATTTGTTTAATGAGTGTTAGTTCGATCATTTGATTTCAAAAAAACATTCTGTCCAAATATTCTGCTACTCGAGAGTATGTGTATGCATGCAATGGTAAAAAAATTACGGACTAAACTGTAGTTGGGCGATAATGGATTTATGTAGATCTACAGCATATGATATTTAGATACAGGTTTTAGAAATACTCATTGATTGTCTTTTCATGCCTCAACAAGCGAAACTGTTGTTTCATATCAGTTATACATGCTTTTGTTTGAAAAGTCAAATGCTTTTCTTTAGCCTTTTCTATTTCTGCTAGCAAATACACAGGATTACAAGGAAACCAAACAAAATCAAGCGTGGAGTTTGAATAGGTAGGGCACATTATCATGTGATAAATATTTCTTGTCAAACCCACAAACTAAAACAATGTATTAATTGACCAGAGTAAGTACTCCACACCTTTTCTCCTAAAATGTGTGCATATACGTAAGCCCCTATATCGCAAATTATCAATGAAACTGCAAGCATATAAGAAGTAAAACACACAAATAATCTGTATATGTAACTTTTCTTTATTTTTTAATCAATGCAGTTTGGCACATCATAAAGTAAACTAATGTCATTTAATAGTGATTATTGTATTGATTGTATCCATAGGATGGTGCCTGGTATCCATAAGCTGGGGCATGATATACTGGCTCATGGGCTTTGTATTCTGGCTCAGGGGCTTTGTATGCTTGCTTAGGGGCTTTGTATGCTGGTTTGGGGGCTTTGTATGCTGGGGCACTGTAAGCAGCTTTGCTGCACACTTTGGTGCTATCATCGAAAGCAGTTCCTACAAATATTAAATCATTAATAGATTTGAAATAGTTCATTCAATGAATTATGATACAGGATATAACTCTTAAATAACATACACATAAGATGGATCTAATGTTTTGAGGAAAAGGTCAATTATAGAAATAAAGAAAATCTTTACCATATGGGCACTTCATGAAGAAAGGTTTGCAGCAGATACAGGCCTTGCCATATTTGTAGTCACATCCGCATTGGATGAAACCATTCTTGTTATATTTGTCAGCGAAAAGACCACTTGGGTTGTTGTAGCATTTTCCATCACAGGGGCCTACAATATGAAATGTATCATTTGTTTGATTTCAAGAATGATTAAAATTTGTAACATCATAAATAGCTTCTTTTTATCACATCAGTCCTGACAGGGTGTAATTCTGTGTTTTTAAAAGACAGAAAAAAAGGTTATACATACTTGGGTAAGAGGCATGGTAAGATGGCTTGTATCCACAGACTCCATAGTCACCAAGCTGTTTGCTGTTGCAGAGATCTCCCTTGCAGAAGTACCACAGAGAACCAGCCTGGTTGGCGCACTGTTTGTAGGTGGACACTCCAAGGGGAAGATTCTCCTTGTTGGCACAGCCACGGTACACAAGACCGTTGGGGTCTTTACGGATGAAGCACTCTCCTGAGGCACAGCTCCATTTGTCAAGGGTCTCTGCATCTCCATATTTGGAGAGGGCACATCCAGCGTATCCAGCATTGGAGGACACTCTGGTCCAGTAGTTCACCTGCTTGGTGTAACCAGATGGGGCATAGTTGCAGTCATAGCAACGAGCTGAAAGTTAAAGATAAAAATCAAACAATTTAAAATGGACAACTGATAAATGGAAAAATTAAGTTACATCATTGTTAAGCAAAGTTATAAGAGATACATCATTTAAGCAATATCAAGTATATCCGAGATAATTACAAAATGTTAAACTTACATCCATAGCCACTGGCGAAGACAGTGGCGAGTCCAGCAATGAAGACAGCAGCAGACAACATTGTTGTGTGTATGATCCGACTGTTCAAGTGAAGATGATTTCTGCTTGGTAACATGTGTCATATATACCGATCAAAAAAGGATGAGCCACTTTGACTATTGATTAATTAACATATGAATATTAAGTGATTCTCATGGCAGATAAGGCCAGTGGCAAAATAAATTTTTGTTCTGGATAAAAATAGGATAATAATTATCTTGGTTAACCAGCATATAAATATGAAGTGACTCTCATGGAGTAATAGGCCAATGGCAATAGGCAGTGGGATAATTATAAACATGGTTTTGTGTATTTAATTCAATTGACATTGCCATTGATAGGTTGATTCATCAATTGATTGATATATCAAAATCTGCTTACTTAATATTTCTTTTTGAATTTGTAGAAAAAGGACAAAGCATGGTTGTTGAAACATTTTGAAATAATTATTTCAAAGTCCAACTTTTTCAAGAACAAAAACGTGTTAATAATAAAAAACTTAACGAAACCTATTTTCAGGTAAGACTGACGTTCATAAGTTTTAATTAAACTGAAAGGTAATACACGATACATGACATGGACGAGTGTATGGACTAAATACCAAACTTTGTTTGGTGGGATAATAATAAGGTCTGACTGGCTTCTTGAACATAACAATATAAACACAAATAAAGTTTTAATGTTTTATTCAGAATAATTCATAGACCTGGATGACAATATCATGTCACCCCAAATATAGAAAAAATATGTCACTATTGTGCTCATTCAGTTAGATTGAACAATTGAGAGTGATTGAGTGATTCCGTTTTATTTAAATGAATAAACGCAAGGAGCTCACGAGTCACAAGTATTCAACTAATGGTTACAGGAACAGCCCCTATTTCAACATGTTCATTGCTCAGGACAACTCAGCCAACTTGACAACACCAAAAAAGGTTATTTCATCAGCCACTCTGGCAAGAGGGAACAGATGCTCATACTCAAACAAACCAGAGGTAAAATTCCATTCATACAGACATTTACACACACATTTATTAACTCGAAGATACATCAAAATCAAGAGGGACCACCACCTACCTGCTTATCCACATGTAACAAGATGTAATGTGACAAAATATGCAAAAAGAAACTAAATAAGTGAAACTAAAACTAACTGGCAAGGGATTATACAATCTGCTGCATGATTAATGCCATAATGATGTGAAGTTTCCATATATGGAAAATTCTAGAATTGTATTGTGTAGAATTTCACTTACCAAGGTCATGTTTGGATTGTAGTTGTGTGGAAACAAGGATTCGTCAACTCTGGCATTCTGTTCTTGACACTGCAAATACATGATTACAAAATACAATAGTACAAAAATAAAACACTTTCCAACATACAAATATAACGTACAACCATAGTTGTTATAAGCATAATTGCAAGTCAAAATAAACATAAATCAATGCAATCCTTTTCTTATGAGCTTACCACTGAAATATGAGATTGCTAAATATCTTTGAAAAAAATCTTTTTTAATACATCAGCTTAACTGAAATTTTTATAATAACATTGATTTAACAGTATTATGATAGATCTGTAGCGATCAACCAAAGTTAAAAAGTAATAACATTCTGGACAACTTACCACAGTGAGCCAGTGTGGAGAGACAATATGCTTGGCCTGTTCTTTTGCTAGCCGGAACTCTTTAGTCATGTCATTGGAGCGATTGCTCTAAAAGAAAACAATTTTCAGATAAAGATATCAGGAATATATAAACTATAACAGATAAAAAAGGACAAGTCTGAAAATTTCAACTTTCACTTTCTATCTAATTTATAGTTATAGTTAGGTTTATATTTTTACTTCATAATGGATGTTACATTACGATGCAATTGCACATCAAGCAATATGTAAGCATTCATGTTTGGACTGGAATAATTAAGGAATAAATAATGATAGGCCATTCAATATGGTGAAATTCAGCACGAGTTGGACAGAATGTTGTACAAAGCACGAACCGAAGGTGAGTGCATTTGTACTAACATTCTGTCCAACGAGTGCTGAATTTCACCATATTGAATGGCCTATCATTATTTATTCCGATTCAAACATAAAAATTAGTAAAAGCCGTGTCTGTGGAACGGGCATGAAGGAAGAATACGCATGCTGTCAAGATTCTGAAGTCGGCCGGAAAAACTTTTAGAATTTGTTTGGGCTGTTCTATTTTACTCCCCGTTTTAGATTTTATACGGTGTATGCAAACTGAAGTCAGCCATAGTTAAATAGTTACAGTAGCTACGGAGGGAGTAAAAAAGAACAGCTATCCCCGGACAGAGCCCCAGATGTGCAGCTGAGATGTGACGTCACTCAAAACAATGCAAATTGCAGATTGAATAGAGCATGGTCGTGCATCTATGGAGAATTAGAGAACGTTCTATATTGGCTATGCTGCATTCTGATTGGTTGAGAAATTCGAATAGAGCACGGTCATGTTTGAATATGAAGTAAAAGAAGGCTTATATCCTACTTACCTGGTATATGAAGTGGGTACAGGAGGTATCGTAAGTCCACCTGTAATCAGCCCCAAGGGCATTAGCAATACTGTTAAAATCAGCTTGTCTGGCTGTTAGTTTCTTACTCACTCCTATTACTACACCATGTAAGGGAGCTACTGGAGACTGGACTTTAGCCTGTAAATACATGTACAAGTGTCAAATAGATCAAGCATTCAAACCTCAAGATATGTATGATGGCTAGGGATAGCAGTGAGAATCATTATTAAACTATTACAACCCATTCTTTATTTCTATTCATATTAGTAAGATTTATCAGGAAAGTGCTCTATAAATATTTGGTGATTCTTTATATACTTATATACCATTGGGTCTCCAAAATGGACATTCACAAGGTTTGAAGGCTCTATTGTACTTACTTGTTTAGCTGACTGTTCAGCAGATTCATCATCAGCACTACTCTCATCAGACAACTCAGAGTTCTTGAGGGCAATCACCATGGCTTCCTTGAGTAAAGTCTTCAACTCATCATCTGACTGTAAGATGTGGAATATGAAACATAAGCGCAAGACGTCAATAAGCTACATATTTTTAAGAGAACATGTACATGAATGTTTAATATTACAATCCCCAGGGATGACTGTCCTCTCTCAATTAGTTTTTCCAGGGACTAAATTACAACTATTTTCCAAGTACCTCTATATTCAATATGGCATGTAAATACTACAGAGGGGGGAACTAGTCCCTACAGAACCATAATTCTAAAGTTCATGTACAAGTTCTCAAAAAATGTAAAGCTTACCTTCCTCATATAGCACTTTCAATTGCAATTTAACTCATAGCTGATAGAGGAAACTTAAAATTTCTTAACAACACTCATGATTCAGGTACAAAATGTGACTCACCAAACTAGACTTTCTCCTGTTGACTTCTGGTGATTCTATCTGGTCTATTATACCCTACAAAACAGGAATGGAGAGCTAGACTTGAAATCATACGAATAAATCATGCAATAAAGGCAAATGTGAAAATACACACCATTCCAGCTGGAATTGAAATAATGTTTGGTTACTATTTGAACATTCTTCCAGTAAATGTATATGTAATGAATTTGACTTCTTAAGATATCCAAGGGATTTCCAACATTCATGAATATTCCAATGAAATGAGAATATCAAGGTCTGAGGCCCAAAAATCTTCATTTTGTTAGATAGGGACAATTACTATATATACACGCGGTCCTAACTTCGACTGTTAATTTGAATTTTTGACCTACCAGATGCTTCAAAATCAAGGATTGCGAGTATCATACTGCACCGTTTTTCTTCAAACCTATTACACCATTAAAAGCATAACAAAAATCCCTTTCTGTCGGTGCATTGCTTTATTGTAAAGAGTCCCTCGTTCTAGCAGCGTTTTGGTCCCCAGCTGTTAGAAGGCCTTCTTACAGCTGGGGACCAAAATTCCGCTGGAAGTAGGGACTCTGTTTAAGAGAATAATGTACCATCAGAAAGGGATTTTTGTTATGCTTTGAATGGAACAAGTTTGAAGAAAAACGGTGCAGTATGAGACTCGTAATCGTTGATTTTCAAACATCCGGTAGGTCAAAAAGTAGGTAGGTCAAATTAACGGTCAAAGTTAGGACCGCGTGATACATGGAATGTGGTTATAAAATTAAATTAAAATTGAAAGTGACACTTACAGAGAAGTCAAAATCTGGATACCATGATTTATTTGGATCTAGGAAAGCACTAGGTGACTCAACACCAGCAAGATGGTTGGGAGTGAGTAGAGAGGATGGTTTACCACTACCTTCTGTATTCATCAGGGCCTGAAAAAATGTTGAATATCTTAAAATACATAATAATATACATGAGTGCATGATCATTCACTGTGTGAATAGTAAGATGCCAAGCATATGCATCAATGCTATAAATTACTTTTACGAATTTTATTAAACTTTAACGTCAACTCATATTTGGGTATAAACATTAGATTTTTTACAAAATGGCATCACTTTTACATGAGGTGGCCATATTGAAAATTCTTTCTTGAGCAGAATATAGTAAAACTGTTAGTTTCTCTATATCCCTATACTGAGCTTCAATCAGTGGGATGATCATTCAACGATCTCTGTACTAGTATATCAAAACATTATCTTGTATTGATTACATAGACATCAATATATTCTTACTTTTACTCTGCTGTTTACAAGTTTTGGAGTCCTGAAGTTAATCTCCTTCACCATTTGCCGTTTAATAGAGTTCTTCAGTGCATCTTTCAAATGATTATCTGAGGCTTCGGCATTTGAGACCCAAACAGGCGTAGCTTCTTTAGGCATGGCAGGTTTTGGTGTTACTAGTGGTGTGGCTGCCTTGTGTGTGTCTGGTTTTGGTGTGGATGGTTTAGGTGTAGTTGTAATCGATGTCCTTTCTGTGTGTGATACTACGGTCTGTTTGTTTTGTTGCACATGCGTTTCAGGCGCTTGTGCAGTTGAAGTGTTTGCAACATTATTTGCAATAACACTAGTGTTTTGATCAGCAGTCTCTGCATCTATATGGTACTTCTCTTCTGGTGGTTTTTTACCAGTCTTTCCAGCTACAAATATCCATCTGTAAAGAAAGCATTTAACAAGGGTAAGAACGCACTGAGAAAACTTCAAATACAGTCAAACCTTTTTCAATTTTTTTCTTCATAATTCTGATCGTATTTGCTAGAGCATTCACAATTGATAAGAGTACCTGGATTTGTACCTGAACTTGGGACACTCATTACATTACTATCGGAGTTTTTTTTAAATTCAGAAGGTGAAATGCTTCAAAAATACATCAACTAATTCAACAAGGCATTAACATGCAAAATGTCACCATCTGCCATTTGTTAAGACACCGACTGCTGAACACAAACTGATGTCCACAAAAAAGTGGTAGTGACATAATTAATGATTACATACTTGTTGGTGACGATTGGAATGCCCCATTTCTTAGCAGCTTCATACTTGGAGCCGCCTGGTTCATTGATCAGCAGGTGTGTTGTAGCAAGGTAACCTTTACTAGCCCTCCTCACAAAGTACTCCTGGCTCCTAAAATATCACAGTTATTCTATCATTTGTATTGTATTCCCATTTCCCTGCAATATCCAAAACTGAATAAAAAATATCCCAATTTTCCATAATTTCAATTTCTCAACTTGGTGGTAATGGTGTCTCAACTGAAGTAGGTACTTAAGTACCAACTGCGCTCAATTGAGAACTTGGAAGACTACCTTACACCCAGTTTAGAATGAACCTATCCATCTATTTGCTCAAAATAATTTTAGAACAATTTGTCAACTTTTTGGTCAGAATTTGTAAAATGAGATTTAGATAAATCTTGGGGAGACAACTGTCAGACATATTTTCTTTCTTCTGCAATCTCCATAGGTAATACTATTTATCCTACACTTAGTGTACTAAATGTATAATAACATGAAAAAATAAATTTGATATTTATTGGCAAAATGAATATCCGGAGGATATCGTAACGATATACTCCGGGCGGAGGATATCGTGACGATATACTCCGGAAAACCCAATATGCGGAGGATATTGTGACGATATACTCCGCTTGTTGATTTCCCGCCAAATTGACTCTATTTGGCATGGAATTAATTTTACAATGATATTATACATTCAGTACACTCCTTGTAAGTGTAGGATAATAAGAACATCCTATGATTTTTTTCAGAATATCATTTTAATCTACTCGGTGATATTTATATATGCACTCGTTCGCTTCGCTCTCTCGTGCAGATATCAATATCACCTCGTAGATAAAAATGATATTCCTCAAAATCATAGGATATCCTATAAATATTATACAATTAAAAAATCAGAAATTGTGATCTAGCATATTATCAGGAAGCAACATCCTGATTATTGCATATACTCGTATAAGTGTGAAAGTCTTACTTCGCTCCAAGAAGTTCTGCCAGGTGCATCAGACAATCTCTCTCTGTGCCTTTGTAACCACTGAAATTACAATAATACCAGATTACTAACTGCATGGTAGGACGAATGCATCTCTTTAAGACAAACAGCTTGAATCAACTGGAACTGAGCTATTTGCTAGATAGCCTCTACATGTACATGTACTTGTGATTCACGAAGTCATAGCAATAAATGAAAGTTCATGTACAGAGAAATTTGTATATGTCATCAAGTTATCAACTCTCTGAAGTAAATACTTGTACATGGAAATATATTGTGAAAACTTCTTTATTTCACTATTTTGGAGGTCCAATATATTCACCCACATGTCAGCAGATCCTCTAAATGTGGCCACTTTCAATGTTTACCCAAACAGGACTTTACATAACTGTATGTTTACCTATACAGGATTAACTGTATGTTTACCTTATGGAGACAACACAATCATCCAATGGCTGTACATCTAGTTGTAGCTCTACTGGGACAAATGCAGGGTTGCTGTTGGCTTCATGCACCATCTCATCCTCTATACAGATTTGCTGAACAAACAAAGTACAGTTTGAAATACACAGTATACCATTTCTTCTAATACATAGTAATTTATTTCATTTTGTAAATAAGATTTCTTGTGCTGCAAAAACTGAACACTTTTCTAGAAGTCATATTTAGCAAGCATCTTGAATTAAAGCATGATTATGTAATAGCTGTCTAAGAGGATGTCAGATGTTTAAACAACATATATGTATCTTTAAACAGAAACTGAATTTACATTTTTATAGAAACATTGACACTGAGATTGCAAACATAAACAAGGCATTAACACAACAAATGTAACCACCTGGAAAAGTGTAACAAATGTTACAGATGCTGAAAAACATATGTGGTTATAAACACCATGAGAAAAAATTCTTACCAGCCAAGCATTTGTGACAACCTCCCCCACTGTACGGGTCACCTCACACCCTAGGATGGGAACCACCCCATAGTCAGGCACTCCCTTCTTAGTAGGCCCAAACACCTTCCCTGTAAATGAATATAAATTATATGGGTACATTCTCTGATGAATTCAAATGCAACTAGAAAAGTACTATATCTAGTATTTACATTTAATCCACTTGAAATCAACCTCCTCAACACCCACATAGTAAGGCCCTAAAAACATGGGAGCTTAATTCAAATTTGGGTTCATTGAAGAGAAATATTTTGAATGCATTAAGCAGACAGGTACTATGTATTATAATCAGTGAAATATTTATGAAGATCAAATCTTTGTGATATTTAATTCTGACATTGAAATATGAGCCACTCACCTCCATTTTCATTGACCAGCTCTACCAGTTGACTTTCCATTTCTGTCTCAAAACCCAGAATCACAAATGTCTTGCCACCAAGTATGCTTTGCTGGGTGGGGACTTCAGCAGGCATTCCTAAATGGGCAGAATATAAGACTTGATTCAAGGAAACATCAATGCATCTTAACATTCATTATCAATCAAATTGTTTTTAAGATTTTTGAACAATGTTGACTTGGACATATCCAGATTGAATCTATTAAGACTTGAAAAATAGCTGGAAAATTGTACACCAGATCTAAGTAGAAATGTTGTACACCTCACATAAGCTCTACTGTATGTATTTCCAAAGCAATGTCTTACCCTCTATCTCATCTGGTGTTTCATCTCCACTGTCATCAGGTCTAGTGGTCTCCTCGGGTGCATTGCTGATAGGTTCCTTGCTGTCCCCTTTAGGTGCCATGTCATTTTCAACTCCCTCGACAGCTCTTAGAAGTGCACTATCATCTGTCAAATCTATAGCAGAAACAAATTGATCAGTTTTATTATAGAGTTCATTATGTAACTTATTTTGGCAGGAATGGATAAAAGAAGTTGAGCAGCAGTACATATTATATGATACAGACTTAAAAGATTACCAAGGGGAAATGCATTGATTTTTATACATGTTTTGAATTATTCAGCCAAATACTGTTTATAAAAGCAGCTGAAAGAAACCTAAGTTTATGAATGTATTACAGAAATAATAGATATTACTCTCTTCAAGTACACAGTAACTCTCAAACATACTGACCTACCAATAAAGTCTTAGAGCAGGAAATATTGTCATAAATTCAGAGCTTTACATATATTGAAAATCTAAATGGGAAATCATATACATGTAGATACTAAAAGATGGCAAAATGGTATCCTCACAAGTGTTGATCAATTACTCTCACCTGGTATGTTGTTCTGTGGGAGGTACTGACTCATGACATCATCAACTTCAGGAGGGTTCTCCATCATTGTGACATCATCATCTTCTGTTGGTGCTCGCAAGGATTCATTTGCTGATTTATTTCTTGCTGTAGAGATGTTCAGACTTTGCCTGAAACCACCAATCACAAAATATTGACAATAGGAGCCAAACGAGAGGTTCATATTAAAGCATTTCAAAATGTACATGTATCATAAGTATGTGCATGTACCTGCCTCTGGAGGCCATATTTAAGAAAAATGGCATTCATCGCCATATTTACATTGCAAAGACAACTGATTAACAGCAATGGTATAGTCTAATAAAAGGGAGTCTCCATGGAGTGACCATGGAAATAATGTATTACCTTTTTATACTAGGAGACAAGGGGTCCTGAGGCGCTAGTTGAAGGCACTCAAAGTCTGCTTCTGGAACATGTTTCCCTTGTTTGAAACACTGAAGTAGCCAGTGACCATGCACTATATGGGGCCTGTAGAAAATCATCAAATAAAGAGACATTTTCATATTATTGTACACATTGTTTTTTTTCTTATCAATAATTGAAAGATTAAATTCTTGACTGTAATAATTTACATTTTTAAGTGAGTTTGGAAATTTTACCTTATATTTTCCTTCTCAATTTGCTCCACATGAGATGCTATTTTTTCTCCCATGACAACATGAGATATGTTAGCAGTGATTTTGTTCAGTCTTGTACCTCCTCCAATATTCACTATTTTACGTAATATTTCAAGTTTCTGGCTTGTGAAACCACTCAGGAAAATCTGAAAAATTAAAAATAAATGTTCAGTAATTTTTAGAATTTTTCTAATGTAGGCATGGCAAAGACAGGCTTACAAAAATGACATATTTTATAAAAACTGCATCAATACTTTTGATCATCTTAGCAAAGTACAATTTTAAGGAATATATATGTTAAAGGTACATAACCTTACGTATACTACCAACACCAGCAGTAAACTACATTTGAACACTGTGCCTACAACAACAGATACCAGCTGTGTTTTTCTTCTTACCTTGCATCCATCTAGGAACATATCTGGCTTATCTTGAGTAAGATCTATAGCATCATATGGGTCTTGTTCCTCACTAACTCGACTCATGTACGTCATGTTGGTCTCATTTATATGACTGGTAGTGGACATATTACCAATAGTACTCATGTCATTGATTGCACTTGGACCTGAAATGAAGCATGTAACCTCAAAGTAAATTGCCATTTTCAGAGTATTATAGATCTTATTCATATATAAACATCTCCCTAAATTTTGCAAAGATTCCAGTATAATATTGTACTATTTTCAAGCAATTGTCTTTCTGACGTGATATAATAGCTTTAAAAATATGAAAAATGTTATTGTACAAGGGGTATTTTGTGCACTTTTGTTTTCTAACAAAGCTAGTTTTATTATCTCACGTCTTGGCTGAGTGTGTGCTGGAGTGGAGGTGACCTGTGGAGGGGGGTGGGAATTAGGATCATCCTTCACCCCATAGAGTGCAACGTCTTGGCAGTAGCCCTTGTCATAACTATCCAATAACCACTGGAAAGTCACTATATGAATCTTCCACTTTCGAGCAAACTCATATTTTTGACCTGGAACAAACAAAGAAAAATAATTTGAAAATGAAACACAACAGATGACAGAACATTTGCAATACCGATCAGCTTCAAATCAATGCTGATTCAGTTCAATCAATGCTGATTCAGTTCAATCAATGTCAAAATCAGCAATGATTCAATTGGATTATTAATCAACACTGCAATTTTTACCAATAAATTTTTAAAAATACATTTGAAGTTATTAAATCTCTTATTTTACCTTTAGGGTGGTTAATAATGAGGTGGGAACATTCGTTTATCTTCATTTCTCCCGTGTATCGTCCTCCTGAAAATAAAATACATTACAATGTTAACATGTACATTGTTCAAAATTACAATACCAGAAGACACTGAAATATCAATCATTGACTCTTTCGAGTTACAATCAACCCTGTACCATTTTAAATGTTGTTTACTTGATGTTTACTTCCATTTTTACATGTTTACTTCCATTTTTAAATGTTGTCTATTTGACATACCTTCAACCTCGACAATGCGTTTCACTTCATTTCTTTCCTGAGCTGAAATTCCCGAAGCAGTCACCACAAAATCCTTGAATATTGGACAGCGAAATTTCTCAAATGCAACATTGTCAGCTCCCACAGGCCTAAATAGACAATGGTTAAGATTGGTGCAATATGTGGTGAGAGTTACTATAACTGTAGATTATAATTCACTTGTAAATAAGGTAATACAGTGAAGCCAGTCAAGTGGAGCCCCTCTGTAAGTGGAATATATTTGCAAGTGGAACACTTTTCACAGTCTCTGTGACCAACTGACTTAATGTTAATCTTAACCTTTATAAAAGGAAAACTTTTAAGCTACACTTACAGAGGTTTTACTGGTTCACAATTTAAACTAATATTTAATCCATTAACTCACTCAGATTGGCATTGTTTCCATACTTCAGTAACCCATTCTGGAGACATGATTTTCTTGCCCCAAGACCCAGCAGCCTGGAAGGTAAAATATAACATACTAATACATACATGTGTATAGGTACATGTGGTGCAATAGTATCTCACATACTTTTATTCAAAGTATATTCTACAAACTACATGCATGTATAACATTAATAAAGAAGCCTAGCCAATGTTGAGCTTAATTTTTACATGCAGTATTCTAAATGTATGTACATCAGGAAACTAAAATCATTTTTAAAATTCATGTTTACAATAGAATAAACAGTAACATCATTTTTGACAGGCAATAAAATGAAGATTTCTAAACAATTCATTGAAACAATTAAGTGCACAATAGCTTAAACTGGTTCTCTGGATTGTATGTGGATCTACATGAACTAACTCCCCTTCTAGTTTTTTTACATTATTCAAGAAATATAGACCAAGAGCAAGGGTAATATGTCGAATACACCCCGCAGGGCTAGGCACAAATGTTTTCTGTACCCGGAATGACTGAAGGGAGTGAGGGGTTCGAAAGCTTTTGTGTCTAGCTCTAAGGGGTGTATTCGACGATATTACACCTGCTCTATGGTCTATATTACAATTCGAACATGAAAACTCACCAAAATGTTTCAAATATTCATTATGGTCCGCCATTACTACGCTCCACCATTATGACGTCACACATTAAATGTATTACCAAGGGCAATGTTCGTGAATATACCTGGTGAAATGTTGACTTTGTTTACAGTTTATAGAAGGCGTGAATACAGTCATGTTTGAAATTCATTTAGTTAACTTTGACAGATCCACACTATGCAAAACGATTAAACAGGAAAAATGCAATATTAGTAGGTGCTAGGGAGACATGAAGAAAATGGAAGACTCACAATATATTTCTTTGAGCCTGGTTCTCCAGCCACTAGATGTGTGACTTCACTTGTGAGGTCCTTACATGGTGTACCTCCCATCATAGACACTAGATCTAGAAGTTCACCCTAAAAATAAACAAAATCTATTGGCAAATGCAACACCTTTAATTAGTTCATCATCAACCAAATTAGGAATCTAACTACGCTATGTTACTTCCACAGACTTTCAAGGGACAGTTTAAATTGCAAAAATATAAAATGTATAGACTGATTGTATATATTAAAAATTTTGATATAAATACTTACACGTTGCTTTTTAGAAACATTTGTGACGCTGACTTGCATTCCCTTCATTGACAGGCAGTACAAAGGGTGTGAAGATTTTGGAACACTCTGAAACATTGAGGGTTGATTGATAAATTATAAACTATCAAGTCATGGTATTTATCACATAAAGCTACAATACTCTAGAACTATCTAGTCATTCCTGATGTTTTCAGGGTTACATAATATCTGAAGTTTTTAAAACTTACATACTAGATATAAAATACAAGGCTATTAATTAAATCTTTGAAAACTTTTGCTGACTAACTAACTAACTAACTAACTAACTAACTAACTAACTAACTAACAGGAAATGTTGGTCAATTTATTTGGAAGCTCTCATCTAAAATGAATTGTTTTTACCTGTAAACTGTTCAGGGCCCATAAAACTACATGTGGTCCAAGGATTCTGAAAAAAATAAAACAAGCCACAGTCAGTGATAAAGTGATAAACATCAAAGCTTTATATCAAAAAATTCAAAATGTCTCTAAGTATTTTACCCAGCATGCCCAAAAGCATATCAGATCTTGGCAAAAGTTCAAATTTCAAGATGAATAGGTGAGTGGTTTACATGGAATTCTGACAACAGAATAAAAATAAATCTATAATAAAATGTGCAATAAAAATATTTCAGCTTTCAATCTGTATTCAAAAGTCAATTCACATAAGTTGGGTAACAATATTAGCTTATTCAATAAAGTTTAAGTGAAAGTATTTTTTACAAACCTGCATCCCAAATTCTTCAAATGTTCATATGCTTCTCCCCCAAATGGGTCAATTACAAAAAATGTGTTTTTAAGTTTGGTCTTGAAGTCGAAACAGTCCTTTTCATTTATCCATTTGGGTTCCAACATTTTTTCTTCTGCAACCTGTAAAATAAAATCAATTTTTAAAACCCCAAAATATATGGTAGAGGTTTGAACAAAATTTTATACTGCAATTTAGATTATATCAAAAAATCTGTAAATGAGTAACAATAGACTAGATGCGAATAGAAATAATCTCGATTTACGTCATTAAATATTCAAAATTCAGTCAAAGTGATGTCATATTTGAAATCTACATGTAAAAGTACGTCTAGAAAAATGGTTTCAAAAATTGTTTATAAACTTTGAAAATTTAATTTTTTTTGAAAATGTGACTTCTAGCTCGGGTTGATTCCTCATAGACCCCATGTTACAAAATCACAAAAAGTGAAATATCTTTTCTTGTATTGGACAGATAACATTTTCTTTTACTTGATTTGCATAACAATTAGATACATAAGGGTTATATAACAATTGAACCACTAATACAGATGTAATTTAAGTTAAAGGGAACTTTCTACTATACCCGCCATGTTATCTGACCCGAACGAGCCACCTGGTGGCGAAACTGGTAACTACTTACTCGCATCTGCGTTATTTAACAACTATACAGTACAGTAGTAGTATTTTTATTTATTTATGTCTCACGCACTATAACAGATACTGTTTACATAATATAACATTAAACAATACATAAAAATTAAACAGTGCCTGGCCGATGCCGACCTATGAGAGACACATGTACATACTTAATAGGATGTCCTTGTGAATTCAAAATCCCAATTTTTGCATTTAGCTGATGTAATGATCCTCGTGCAATTTTCATGAATAAATTGAAAATTGAATAAATTGGTGAGGTCTGAAAGGACATCATACAGACTTTGTGTATAAAATATGTTAATGGACAAATGGCATACCAACCTTGAATGTTAATTGAGAATTCTCTGAGCATGTTCCCTCATTTGGCTGTACAAAGTAGCAGCCCATACTGCCCTCTGCCATTCTGCTGGACTTTAATTACAAATACTGCCCAGTTTTCTGTAAAATTTGCATATAACAAATTTCAGTTACAAGTTATAGTATGTGAAATAAAAAGTCAATTTAATTTTCTTCATCCAATGTTAGTCGTTAGTTTGTTATCCCCAAGAGTTTTTTGGCATACAATAACCATGGGGATGGTATCTTGAGTTGTCATCATTACATCTATTTTTACCTGTTAATAAAATGTGTGTATATTAGCCCTGTGATCTCCTCCGCATCAGAGCAGCTTGAAATATTTATACACCTAGCGTATACCAACAGGGACAAGAAAGGAATTAACAACCATAAATCTTGATCTCTTCAGACCATGTCTATGTGATCTTTCTAGGTATAGGTCTCAACCCGGGGGTCTCAAATTATACAATGGACAATTACCTCAACATGAAGTAAGGAGTTTCCATTGAACTTTGATGTATCTGTATGGGGTAAGTCAGGGGAAATGGCCTTATTTATCACATATCTCATATTTTAGATATTTATTCTATTGAATACGTTTATCAGTGGTGTAACTCAAGTATTTTTATTTACTGATTATTCTAGGGAACACAATCATGCCATCCAAGCAACGTAAAATAGCGATTATGGGATTTAGTCCTAATTGTTGCACGATTCTCCTAAATACATGTAGCTAAAATATACACCTTCCTCTTTTAAACCAGTGTTACTAGCACATGCTCAACACCATTTCTCTTAATGATTTATCCAATGCAAGAAATAAATTGATGAAGTTGATGAATATTGTAGAAACAATATATCATATAAATATAAATACATGAGCTTCCAAGAGTTGAAAAGCCCATAATAAAATACAACCATTTTTTATGGTTACATCTTTATTATAAACAGTAAATTGTACAAAGTACCATGAAATGACAATCAAAACACAACGATCTAATTAGGACAACTTGTGCGATAATTAGGATGACCGCACATGAGAGTCTAAGGGGTCTTAAATATTCATATTCAGAAATTGAGAGATCTATCTTTCTTGTCATACCCTCGAAGTAAGTTAGGTTATCATGTTTGAAATTGTCGATAGTTAATTGTCGTACCCTACGACGATAGAACCATTTCATTTATTGATCTAGATCTAATGTATTTGAATTTTTTTAAATGTCCCGGGAAAATTTGATTTACAGCGTCAATAATTGATATCATGCAACCATTCAAACTAATACAAAAAGAAGAGATTACAGGGTAAATATTGATCAATCAATGTCTACCAGATGGAAAATATAAAGGTCAGTACGAGGGTCATATTTTTGGGTGGTCATTTTTTTGATGTAGCATTTTTGCCTTGTATCTTATCTTCCCATTTATCCTTTGAGCCTACTTCCAAAAGGGGCTGGATCTGGCTCCGGATCTGTGATCGTGAATCTATTCGTTATCGTACATTGATTTCATTCAAATTTTCATTCAAAAATTGAAAATAAAAATAGAGAAGGATCCTTACTTGCTTTTAAGTTCTCCACAATAAATCAAGTCTATCAATAATTATTTTTAGAAATATGGTGAACTGATTCCCCAAGGAGTTCATCTGATGGATTCGATTTAACTTAAACAAACTGCAAACAAACTTCAAAATACAAAAACGAACCTGTTTGAATTTGCAGAACCCGCCATATCCGGTTTCTTCTACTGGAGCTCCGACTGTAAATATTGCAGCACCAAAAATTATTAACATTTCTATGCCGAATATCAGAGAAAATATCTTCCTAAATACCATTGTATTATAATTGTTCAGTATAGTTAATTAATTTCTTTAATGTGAATATTCTGTTTTGTTTAATAGTGAACTTATTGTAAAACATAAGAGTACCCAAACAGGGGCCTTATGACATTATAGGATTCATAGATATCAATTACGCATGTGCAAAAGGAACTTCCTGTGTTGACAAAAATGTGAAAAATCTAAAAAAATCTCATATTTTAGACATTTATTCTATTGAATACGTTAATCAGTGGTGTAACTCAAGTATTTTTATTTACTGATTATTCTAGGGAACACAATCATGCCACCCAAGCAACGTAAGATAGCGATTATGGGATTTAGATCAGTTGGTAAGTACTTTTGTTTTCAAAACATTCATGCCACATTGGTCAATGAATGTTGTTTTGTGATTCACATTATTGGCACTTATCCAATATTTTTCAATTACATTGTTTGTGTAACAATACTTGTTCCTAAACATCTATTCTGTAAAGTATTACACATACATGTAAAATTACATTGATTGCACAGAAGCTTGAATTGCCTTTGTGGGATAAACTTTGACTATTTCAGTTACAGAGAGGACGTTTTGTAAACAAAGCTGTTTTAGTTTTCCAAAATGGCTCAGATTATGAGCTTTCAAGAGAAAGCGCATGCCCATTCTGATATGTGATGTCTCGTTTCAAAGATAAATTATATCTGTATCAATCAGGAACATGCTTGAAACTATAAGATAAACATTTTTTAAATTTTAAAGCAATGTCATCTATAACTTCGTATTACGTTGGCTTTCAACACTTGAAAGCCCATGAATAACATACAAGAATCTGGGATCAATATGTTAAAGGGATATGATGCATTGAAATTCTATCTGTATATAATTTTTATCACAATAAATGAAAGGAATTTTTCAACGCCATTATCATTATTGCCCTTATTATCCTCAGAATGCTGTTCTGTAAAATAGTTAAAACCTCCCCATCTCCTGACCTCATTAGTTGTTCAACATAGTTTGATCCCCTCTTTTAGCTAAATATCTTATGAACAACCTCTTGAACAAGAAAAGATTCTAAATACTATTTTCATTTTTCAGGGAAATCCTCACTGACCATCCAGTATGTTGAAGGCCAGTTTGTGGACTCTTATGATCCAACTATTGAAAACAGTAAGTAAAAATGATGCATTTACCTTTAGTAAACATGGCTGTAGCGCTATTTTTATGAGTAGTATGCCTACCCACAGGAAAACGAGTTAAGCAAAATCAATAACGGGCGTTCAAGGGGTCCCTCCCAGAAAATTTTGAGGTTTGGTTGTATTTGGAGTGTATTGCAACCATCTGGTATGCCTGTGTGTACCAGGCATAGCAGACGCTACGTCTATGTAAATACATGGGCTTTTAATTAGAAAGCCCATGGTAAATAATATATGATATATAATATGATAAGATATTAAAGAAATTATTAATTGTTTTAAGTGCTGTTTCATAATTTTTTACTTGAAGAAATATGCTGATTTCAGTTCTATTATGATCGCTTAATTTACTTTATTAAATTTTATTTAAATCCACTTAAAAATGATTCCACTCCTAGGTATGTATTAACCTCCCCCATCTGACAAGCCTGACATTGTTGTGTCTTACTGACACTTGTAAATGTTTTGCACTTTCCTAATTTGAAAATCCTGAGTTAAATACCTTCATATTCTTCATTCATATGCTATTGGATACTTCAATTAAGTGATTTTGAAGGGGTATTCTGGCTTGGCATAATAAAACTGAATTTTGAGAAATGAATGTAAAAAATATGGGTGTGGCAACTAAAATGTCATATTTTAGCTTTTTCTGTTCAAAATATTTTCACTTACAATTGTCAATACATACATGTATATGAGAGAATATGGTTGTTTTTCATATTTTTCTCATAATTATCCTTTCATTGTAGCATTTACTAAGAACATCAGACTGAGGAATCAGGATTACACGCTGCAGTTAGTAGATACAGCCGGTCAGGTAAGGCCCTATTTCCCCGGGGGTTTACTCTTAATAATTTGGGTAGGTATGTGCAGCATGGGCAATTTTGGTTTAGGGCATAGGTGAGAGGAAGTATACATGGAAACTTTCAATCTTGAGAGGAAATTGACATGAAAAAAATGCTCAAAAAGGGGGTCTTTGGCGCGGCACATAGGTATTAAGAGGTATATTAGAGTGAACCCCCCAGGCCTACTGTATTTCACTGATTTTAAAAGTATGGTTATACTTTCCTAGAGTGACATCTATAAATTGTACAAAATGTAATCTAACTAGCTAAAGATGATCAGATTCTTAGAAAAATTGTTTGTCAAATCCTGTGTGAATACTGTTTTCTCTCTAATGAGCACACAGTCTAGTCACAATCTAGGTGCTCTATGAAACATGCAGTTAATGAAAATCAAATCGAATACAAACCCGTGACGGTGGCCGCCATTTGTAACAATGGTATCTGAGTTTACCGTTGTCAGGGTATTCTGGTGTGCATTGGAACTGTGCCTCATTCGAGAGAATACGGTACTTTGATATGCTGACACCATTTAAATATTTGTATGACATTTTTTTAGTTACTTTCACTTATGAAATTTTTATATTGTCACATGTACATAGATGAGTCGCAGCATGTTATCACAATTTGTAAATGGATGCAAAGATATTATCACAATTTGTTGATGGATGCCAGGATGTTATCACAATTTTTACATGGGTGCCAGGATGATATCACAATTTGTAGATGGGTGTCAGGATGTTATCAAAATTAGTTAATGGGTGTCGGGATGTTATCACAATTTGTAGATGAGTGTCTGGATGTTATCACAATTTTCTTGATCACTTTTTGTTTCGGGAAGATCTACAGGAAGGTCTAGGAGTTCAATATCTAGTCTAATCGCAGCTCTGTTGAAAATTTATTTTAGATAATTAGACTATACTAGTGGAATTTCCTGGGCCGCTATTATCAACTTCAACTGGGGGATGACAAAATATAAGTGTAGGTTACAAAATATGAGTGTATGTGACATTGTAACATTTAGATCAATGAATATGTCACTCCATCAATTATATTTAATTGTGAAATAATATCAAAATAAACATAAAAGCAATCATGACAAATGTCAGTTTAAATGAGTAATTATGAATGAGTAAATGTTGTGGATGTGCTAATTGAATTCTGTGCATAAAGGATGAACATCTCAGTATTTTTCCCCATATCTTTCTCTCGTGTCTTTCTGAGTCTCACAAAATCAATCATGACAAATAACCAAAATAACATTTAAATGGTTTCATATACAATCACATTGGTTTTAAAATGTCAGAGAATGTCAGGGAAATTAACTCTAAAAAGGTTGTACAAATTCTGTTTTATGGGCATCTACAGGGTGCCCTGAAAGTATGGGGCCCCCCCTAGGCAGACATATTCCAGTGTCCTCATAGTATGTGTCATATATCATTTTAAAGCTTATTCAAAGTTACATTGATTTGCCAAGTATCATGGTTTAACTCCAAAATGGGAAAAAGTTACAGTCATTTTAAAAGTTAGTGTTTTGTCAAAATAAAGTTCAATTTTACGCCACATTACTAGTCAATGTGTCCCCCCTTGGCCATGTTAACAGCAGCAATTATTTTCAGATATGACCTTAAAAGCCCTTCAAATAGGGGTGTGGGATTTTATAACCCTCTTAAAACCTGTTAAGGGACTTTAGAAGAGTTTCTACCCTCACCATTCTCTTTTTCCAACTCAATATCCCTCCGACCCGAAAAGAATTGCTGCTGTTAAGATGGCCCAGGAGGACACATTGACTAGTGATTTGGTGTAAAATTGAACTTAATTTTGACCAAACACTAAATTTTGAAATGCCTGTAATTTTTTCACATTTGAGAGTTGAACCATGATAATTGGCGAATCAATGTAACTTTGGATAAGCTTTCAAATGATATATAACACATACTATGACGACACTGGTATATGTCTTCCTAGGGGGGCCCCATACTTTCGGGACACCCTGTATTGTACTGATTTTATATAGAGTCCTATTTTGAGCAATTCATACTACATGTATCTTTGTTACCCATTAATCTTTGGGAAAAGTAGCAGTGGATATTTTATTGTGCTAGTTGAGCCTACATATAATGGCTATAATAGCTTTACTTCCTATAGAGGACTTGCTATAGAGATAATTGATAGATGGCAGGAGTAGACTTGGTCTAGCTATTATATTATTCTCTTTATTTAGAAAATCTGATTAAGGTTACCTTACTTCTTAATTTATCAAATTTTTCATATTGGATTAATGTAAAATTGCTTTGACATATAGCAACAGGGTGACTTAACCTTAAAATTTAAAAGAGAAAATCAACTTTTGATATTTTTAATAGCATTGTATCCAGAATACAATGAAAGTTGAATTTATTTAGAAAAAATAACTATGAAAATCAAATTGCTTCGTTTAGAATATTATATGCATAATTAAATTATGTCATCAAATAGAACAAAATATGTCTTCACTTTTCAAAATGCAAATCTGCCAAAAATCTCATTAGAAATATGATAACTCAAAGCTATAGCAAAACCTCTATTGTATGCACACTTAAAAACATGCAAAGGCATCCTCGTTTGTAAATCAAAGTCAAATCGAAAGTCAATTTTTCAGAGTGGCCATTACCACTGATTTCTTAGCAAAGCAGAAGATAAGGCATGTTTACTTTCTTTTCGATATTATGATTCATCATGTTAAAATTCCAACTCCGGGCAATGACACCAAAATGAGGTCAAAAAATCAGAATGAGGTCATAGCATTTCCTTGAAGCAAGGAAATGATCATCTGATTTAATTGTTATATGATATTTTCTTCACTAGGAAACATGAGTTTGTTTGTGGTTTGGCGTGGCAACAAGTTATTTCCCAATAGTAACATTCCTCCAAAAACTAGGACATTTCATAATAACACCATGTTTTGAAATTTGTGTATAATATATTGTTATATGGGAATAAAGCTTGAAATAGATATACATCTGTAGTACTCTACTGTCCTTTCATAAAGATAATGTAGAACTTACTGGTTCCTCCTGGCTGAGGAGGAGATCAATGATTACTAATACTAGTCTGTTACAATTGATGGAAAAAAGTACATGTACATGTACAACTATGTGCTAGTAAGATAAAATGCTCTATTTGTTGTAGCTGCAGTCAAATATAAAATAAATTCAAGTTGTTCAATATTCAGATGAAGTCAGAAATGATAAACGCCTCTCAATATTTCCTTTCGTATGTATTAAACACCCTAAATTGAACATTTTGGTAATTCTTTTTATTGCAATCCAATATTGACATTTTTGTGGAACTGTCTAGTGTCTAGATATGTTTGTGTTACCTCAGAGTTTAAACTAACATTTACAGCATTGTGGTTGGGACTCATTGGTACCAGTGGTGTAAAACAATCAAATATATTTGTTTCCACACTTATGACAATGTATGATCAAATTGGACACTCAATACTAAGAGATATTGAAAGTCCTGTATTTTGTTTTTACAAACAGGGTACGCCCTAAGGGCTGGTCAGCTGGTCGTTACCAGGTTACTTTTAATACTGACCAGTTGATTTTTTCTCAAGATATAGGAAAATAACATTGCAACTGGTCAATGATGCCATTTTGACCGGCAGCTCTCAGATCCTAAGGGCATACACTGTTTACAAACTGGATTTAATATTGGATTGTACTCCTATCCACCTGGTATTTTCTGAAAAACAGTGAACATGTTAAATTTGTTAAAATTATACATGGAATTTTCAGGTGTATGGGTAACTGATATCCCAACCTGCCAACCTGATGACTTCCCGTTGCATTAAATATTCCAGCATTCTTTTTGTATGTAATTTTATTCCTCACAATGAATTGTCATTCATATCACAAGATTCATAATTGTTGTGTTTGTAATATTTCAGGATGAGTACTCTATTGTCCCCCAGGGTTACGTCATGAATGTAGATGGTTATGTACTGGTGTATTCTGTGAACTCACAACAGAGGTAAGAATATCCCAGACTGTAATTGTAAGATACTGAAAGAAAAAAGGGGCAAAACATGATTTTCAATGGGATTTGCTATACCAACCCTGGATTTATCATTCAGTTTTAGTTAAAATATACAGATGATTTCCTTTATTGAATAAATTATTCAATTCGAAAAATATGTTGTTGTAAAAAATTGCCATGCATAATATGTAGATTGAATGCTAGCCTAGTTCTCACATACTTTCACTTCAGTAGAGATGATAAGGTTCACGTTATAAGAGAACCTATATGTGAAAGAGCAATATTATGAACCCCGGCAATAACTGTCCCCTTCTCAATTGATTCTTCCAGGGGCCATATTACAACTGTTTTCCTTATACCCTAATAATAAACTGAATCAAGCAAGTAAATACTATGAAAGGAGACTTAATCCATAGAGTACCAATATTCTACACATTCATGTATCAATTCTCTTTAAAGAGGCTTTTTTTGCATAGGATAGCACAATCAAGACTTTTTTGCATATTGAGTTTCACAACATATTCACCTAACTACTTACCAAAGATAAAGTCCCAAATCCCCCTCTTTCAGTGTAAATTTTGCAATTGTGCTGGCCGATCTAATTATTTCGTGGAAATTAATTCAATATGAAGTTTGAATATACCAGGAAAGTCCTCCTGTTATCTGATTGGTCGTTGGATTTGTTTATCATGAACCTGATTGGCTGCTTGGTTCAAGGCACTTGTTGGCGCTTGTGTGACTCAATGGGGATTCCCCTCGCTAGCCGAGGAATCGATTGTGTTTAATTCTGGAGGTTGGTTGTTCTGTTGATTATTTCAGTATTTCGGTAATAATATACCCAAAAGTTATTCTCAAGATACAGGGTGTCCAAAAAAAACAGGACCGTAAGAAAGTTAAATGACTCGGTCAGTTTTGCATATTTTGCCTAGAAATTTCACAATTATTTAGTTCATTTAATGTGAAATTTGTTGTGAAAGTTTGATAATAATCTGCCTATTGAGTCAAAAATTACAGTTCCTTACAAAAGATGCCTCAAATGTGCACTTCTCCTCTCTATGCATGATTCAATCCGGCTACAAAGTTGTTGATGATCCTCCTACACACATTACTTTTTGTATGGACAAGTTTATTCCAAGAACAATTGCTACTGGGGCTTACATTCTTCTGATGAAGTGTGACAGCATTCATTGCATTCTGAACAATGCACTGCCTGGGTGGCAATGAGGAAACATGGAATCATCAGTCCTTTCTGATTCGAAGATGACTGGGGACGTGCTTTCCCATGAACAAGAACCAGTATATTCAAGTTCTCACTAAGTTTTGGAGGTCACTAAGCATCAGAGGGGGCATCTAAGGAGATAAGCAGTGGTTTCAACAAGCCAATACCAATGGTTTAAGCAATGCTTTTGTGATCAGCTCATCTGTCACAGAACTCAAAACATATAGGCAGTTTATTCGCCAGATCTAAATCTCTCAGATTTTTATCTTTGGGGATTTCTCAAAGCCAATATGTATACTGACAGGCCCCTAACAATCTTAAGAGGGCAATAAATACCCCAATTCGTACCATCCACATTGATGTGTATAGGTCAGGGTCATTAACAACTGTTCGCAGGATTCATTTGTGCATAGAGAGAAGAAGTGCCCATTTTGAGCATTTTTTGTAAGGTACTGTAGTTTTTGACACAATCAACAGATTATCATGAAACGGTCACAACAAAATTCTCATTGAATGAATTAAATAATTCTTCAATTTCAAGGGAAAATATGCAAAATTGACCGAATTATTCAACTTTCTTACGGTCCTGTTTTTTGGACACCCTGTATATCCATCGTATGTGAGATATTATATGAGCAATAACAATAGGACATCATTGGTTGTCTAGGGGAGAAACCTATGGTATAATGCATCTTTAAAATGTGTACCTTAATCTCCATATATCCTTTATTTTCAGCTTTGAAGTGGTACAGGTGATACATGATAAACTGCTAGACATGACAGGAAAAGCTCAGTAAGTTATATTATAAGTAGGCATTTAGGATATTTCCTCTGCCCTGCCAATAATTGCAAAACAGAATAGAAATCTGGATATAAAAAATGAATTCTTAGTCGACCATAAAAATTGTTGAATAGCTGTGCATTATTTAAGGAATAAAGAATCCTGCATAATTCTTTATTAGAAATAAATAGTGTATGTACTAATCTGTACATGTAATACATGTAGGTGCAATCCATATACATTATCAGGATGGATTTGTACATGCATGAATGCATAAATCCAATAATACATGAAAGACGGTTCTTCATTGAAATTTGAATATACAAATATCTATCACTCCTTTATACAAAATGCAATTTTCCAGTTCTTTATGAAATCATAATACACTTTGATGGTGTCACTCTTTTACCAATAATGGTACTGCTCAGACCATATACCTTGAATTAATGCACTGAAATTCTCTAAGCTGATTGGCTGAGACACACTTGGCATATCTGAATTAGTATTCTCGCATGATACACAAACATCAAATTTGTGATTTGCCTTATGAATAACTGGATTTTTCTTTTTCAGGGTACCTCTAGTTGTTGTTGGAAACAAAACAGATTTAAGGATGGAAAGGTATATTAATCTAAGAATCATTTAGTATTTCACATTTAATATGTATGTTATCCATCTTTTATTTCTAGACCACTTTAATCAAAGGACGATTCTCAGTTTGGAGAACAAAGTTCATCAATCTAAATGAGCAATATCCCTGCTTCGGACAAATTTGATTTTTTTACATAATATAGATTTGAATGTCTTCTTTTGAATAGTCATAATTTAATTTGGGTAATATTTTTAGATTTTTCGCAAAAAAATATTAGCGCAGTACACTGATGAACTTCTTTCCCCAAATCGAAACTTGTATTTTATTGAATCGGTTTAATTGAGCGTTATCCCTGCTTCAGACCAATTTGTTATTTTTACATCTTGTAGATTTAAATGTCCTCTTTTGAATATTCATAATTTAATTTGAGTAATATTTCTATATTTTTCACGAAAAAAAATATTAGCGTAGGGGACTGTTCTCCAAACCGAGAATCGTCCTTTGTTAATGAAACAAATGTTTTAAAGAACATGATTATTTTCTAATTCAAAAGGGTTACTTTTATAATGATTTTCAAACCTTTTAGCTAATGAAACAGCCTTAAAGTATCTACCAAACAAAATTGATTATGTCAGCATTTGGTAGGAATTGTATGAGGCAGCGCTTCAGCTTATTGGCCAATCAACATAGTCCTGTTTACCTCTTTGCTTAATTGAAAATGAAAGTTTTTAATAAAGTGCTGTTTTTGAAGATATTGTTCACTCCTTCCCTTTTCTTTTGTAAGTAACACCATAAAGGACAGAATACAACACACTAATCATTTCAAAGATGTCATGCATTCTTATCTTTGGATATATTTTTCAATTTTCTCAAATATTGTTAGATCAAAACTTCACTTACTGGTGAAGATTTTCCAGTTTATTCATATGCCGAAGAATGAACCATGGGGAAAAGTGTTAATAAAACATTATAATGACTTCATATTACTGAAATACATTATAATATATGCAACAGGTACTATACAAATAGATATGATTTTTCTCACAATCAATATGGAAGCTGTCTTCATTTAGTAATCAAAATCATTTCATATTCTGATGAATGTACTTGACTCTAATCAACATTCTACCATTGTTGTCCCATGGTAGAAAGATAGACTCATTTAGAAAGGTTCTTTCCAAATCTTCTCAATTATCCCCGCCTCAGTTAAATTTATTCCAACATATCTACAAATGCATTTGTTGATCATTTTTCATACCCAGGTTAGGTTTTTTCTGATAAATGATCCTTTTTTCTTGGGATTATTACCCCTTTAAAGTAGTATTCTATTCCAACATCCTCTTTTACCATGTTATTGTTAATTTCAGGGTCATTAGTAGAGAAGATGGTAAGAAACTGGCTGACTCCTGGAAGGCTGCATTTAGTGAAACATCTGCTAAAGAAAATCAGGTAGTTATATATAATACATTTAGTGTTTAAATATTGATTAGCATAATTCAATTCAGTTCAATTCAATTTATTCATTCAAAATTACATCATACAATATTTCATCAATAACATGAAAAAGACACCCCAAGGGGCGTATATATTCCAAGGGTCATAATGTTTAATAGTAATAACTAGAACTGATCCTACATAGCAGGAGAAGGTGAGTATGCTTCATCATTATACAAGGCTCTCCCAGGAATGCAGTAGTGCTCTTTGAGCCAAAGTGTTTATACATATAGTTATCATGCAAGAAATCATGATGATTAATAAAAGAAGGCTTCAAAATTACTCCTCTTTCTTCTGTCCTATAATAGATAACACATAACAAAGCTATGCCGAAGCATTTTTGCACAGCATTTTGTGTCGAAATAGTGTGAAAATCAAAATCAAACTGCCATATTTTATTCTGTTTAAATCGCAACAAAAGTGAGCCAAAACAATCTACAAGCACCTAAAACAATGCTTGGTGAGGTTTCAGTTCAATTTATGTTCTCAAAGTATGAATTCCGCGAGAATTCCGTGAAAAATCAACAGAAATTCATAATTCTGCAAATTTTTGCAAAACTAAATTCTGCACTTTTTCTGCTGCGGTTTGGAAAAATGGAATTCTAGTAGCCCTGCATAATGGAAATCATCTGTATCTTTCACTCTACCTTCCATGTTATTGAGGAAGAATTCACAGCTTTGAGACACTGTCAAGTGTAAATACTAGTAATATAAAGCATATGACTGTGTTGCATATGGCCAGTGTGTGAGTCTACAATATATAAAAATCCTATGATTATGAGTTGTGATATTATATTTATCAACAAGTTTATATTGATAGCTGCATGCGTGAGCAAAGTGAATAAGTTATTGATATGCATTTGTGAATAAAATCAGCAAACAAGCCATTGAGTGTTTTTGAATCTATAGAACTCTGGAATTTAGTTTTATTAGTAACTGGTTTGTATTGAGGTACACTCTTTCAACTTAAAATGTGCTACTTAGTCTACTACTAGGTGCTACTACTAGAGAGTGTAACAATTTGAGAGATATCTGATTATAACATGGCAGAAATATATACCAATTATTTAAAATGTTTCCAGTAAAAAAATTAATATCTGTTCAATAATCAATATAAGGAAAGATATTTAATTTTTCTTGATATAAAACGTGGCCTGGTCTCTTTCAGGAATCTACCGAATAAATATACCAAGGTGATCACCATTTTTGAAATTTTGAACTCGAATTTTTAATGATGAAAATTATGAGTACTTCCTCTCGCATCTCATCTCATTATTTAGCCACATTACATGTTATGACTATTTTCTAAAAAGGCCAATAGTTCTGGCTTTATTCCATCATAAACCTCAGGTTACTAAGGTGATCTGGAAATAATACATCCTTTTTCCAATTTTAATGAGGTTGGCTAGATATTATTGTGTAATATCACAGTGTAAAGCTTGCAACATATAATAGCATATATATCTGCGATGCTTATCAAATTAGACATCTGTGAGTAATTAGCAACTCCAGGGAGATTTACTATGCTCGGTGGAGTTTTTAATGTTCGGTCCAAGTAGTCATTATACTGACTGTTTATCAAAGTATTTCTTCTTGCTATGAATTAATATTATTCACGGGATTCATCTTTTAAGGTTTATCAAAACTCATTACGCCCTGCAAAAACCATTAATTTGAATTTTAAACCTACCAGCAAGGATTGTCAATCTCATACTGCATCGTTTTTCTTCAAACTTGTTGCATTAAAAACATAACAAATATGCCTTTCTGTTGGTACATTACTCCATTATACAGAGTCCCTCGTTTTCGGAAAATATTGACAAGAATGAGAAAAGAACTACCAAGATAGATACTTATTGTTGAATTCTTTGAAAATTTGCATCTTCTCACAGCTGGGGACACAAATGCCGCTCAAATGAGGATATCATGTATTTAGATAAAGGTTCAGATGAAGATTCATCTTATATACTGTATATATATTATTTGTAAATATGTACATGTATTGCTTGGAAATTGTCCAACCCTGGATCATAGATTCTACGTTCAACTTTGCATGCATAGTTATCATGTACATGTAATGTAATATAACTAGATATGCATTGGTCCACGTACTCGTATGTTTAAGTAAAGGTTTGCTTGACTATTTATAATACTTTACTTAAAGTGGCTCGACCTTGTTCAAAAGGTATATTGACATTATACAAGGAAGTAAAATGTTCAGATAATGTCCTATTATCCTATAGGAGCGTTGGATTCTTATCAAAATATGTAAAGATTTAATTTGATAAATATAAAACATGTTGACAGTTTGAGATTGCTCCTTTTTATTATAATTAAATCTTAAAGGATCATAGATGTGATTGATTTACTGTATGCTACATGTATGTGTTAAACCCCTTGAAAATGATAGATAACTCGTTGCCATACTGAAGATATTTTGATATCAAAAAGATAATTGCACCCTCCAAGGTTTAAACTTGTCTATCATTTCTAAATATCAAGATGATAAGCTTCAGTATTAATCTAATATAACAGCTCTAGTATAGTAAAAATCTTGTGAATAATATGGCAAAATTTTTAAAAAATACATAGCATTCTAACCTACATCTAGATCATAGTTTTGGATATTGCTTTCCTTTTGACTGGTTGGATTATTGGTTGGTTGGTTGATTGGTTGGTTGGATGGCTGGCTGGCTGGTTGTCAATGTTTGTTGGTTGGTTGTTTGTATATATATTACACTTTTCCTTTTTGGCACTTTCTGGTACTTATGGTGAAAGGAAAGCATTGTGTTTTCTTTGAAAATAAAGATTGTCAAAATTATGAGTCATTTCCAGAACATTATTGTTTTGTTGTTGTTTACCTGTTATTGCCAAGACACCAACACCTTTACCCTCTTAAAGCTCACATTGGTATTGTATTTAAACTCATTCAACCTTTTTCATAAATGTGACTAGCAAATACTAGAGTATTTAAGGAAGTTTTATCCTTTATCTAGTACTTTATGTCACTTTGAACTGAGAACGTTGAAAAGTATTACCTTGTAAAGTTGAAAAAGGAGTGATTACACAAAAGACATGGTGGGCCAAAATAATTGTATCAACAGAAAATGTTTCTCCTCCTTAGTAATGTAGGAGTTTCAGTGATACCAACTATTCGTCTCATATCTGGGTTATTGATTTGTTTTGTTTATATTCAAAATTACATATACAGTAAAAATTTTAAATGTTTGGAACTACTTTGAATCTAAAAATTAGCAATTAAAGGACCGTATTGAAACAGAATATGTAAAAATAGAAACATTTATACATTTCCTAACTTTTGTTTATTTTAGTTTGTTTTGTAGTTTAGTTTTATATTTTGATGCTTCTCTGTCATGTTATTTTTTCATATACTGTTGCAATATTGTCATTTCATTGCTTATTTTTTTAATTTAAGGAGTTCCAAACATTTAAAACTTTACTGTAGTACCATCATATTCATGTTAATGATGTATGTATGAATCTAATAATTTTTGAGGCATTCGACCTCAAATAGGTATATATTGGGCAATACTATGATATACAGCAAAATGTGAAAAATGATTTAGGTTTTTACTGAGACTAAACTGCTTTTCATATCAAGTTTTTAATATGGAGTTGTTTTTGGCACACTCTGTAGAATTTACTCATAGGATTCTAATTATGTTACCAAATGACATTTAACTTGTTATAAATGTCAGTTGAATAGTTTATGACATTTTGTCAGTTGAATGGTTAAAGTGAGAATCATAGATAGAGAGCAACTTATTTTGCAAATTGTTGTTACCATATTAGAACAGTCATTGTCAAATTCTCCAAATTGAAGGTTGCATTTGACATTTTGGGAAAATCTTTTATTTTATCTTATATTTTATGTTTTATGCCCCTGCTAATAAAAGTGAATATTTTGAGATTACTTTTTTTGATTGCTTAGTACAAAAAGCACCCACACACTCTAAGCCAGCATAACCTAAAAGCATAAGTACATTTTTTGATGTTGATATACTATAAACCTATAAATCTTACTATAGCATGTATGTATGATGACTAAAAGTGGGTGGTATTTGTGGTTAAGCCCTTTACTTAACTTGCCCTACCCTTGAATTATATACACTGAAAAGGTGTGACCTGTTTATTGAACAGTCTCTATTGCTATGAACAGTCATGGACATTTGTTTTCCTTAAAGCAGATATGAAATGGTATTTTTAACCTACAGGAATCAATATAATTTTTTGATAAATGTATTTGGACATGTTTTCTCATCAGTAGTGCGAAAACTATTTCACTCTAACGATCGTTATAGCTGCTTAATAAGCAATATTCGAATTGGTTGTGACGTTATTGGCCCCCACGTGATCTCTCACTGGTCCCCACGTGGCCCTTAACGTCATAATGCCTAAATGTTTTGTTTTGGTTTACACTACAATCCTATGGTTGCCGTGACGTTGTGATTACTAAGGAACCAACAAACCAAAGCTATATTTTGTATATGACGTTACTTATCACGTGGGGGCCAATTTGATTGATCAGTTAGTTTTGTTTCGTTATTTATGACCGTTAGCAGCTATCTAACATTTATTTTATAATGGCTATCGCAAGAACTCTACGTTGGGCTTACAAATGAGAAAACCGCATTTTTGTAGCTGCAAGTTGAGAAAAGCTATTTCAGTTGTCCTTTAAAATAGAATAAAATGTATGAGACATACTGCCTTGTATTTAGGCCACATTGTTTTTCTTTAGGTAGAGGAAACGATAATATGTACAATGTTAATTGAATATGAACTGTCAGAAACACCTACATATATCAAAAATAAGTATTCAAGTGCATATTTTAGATGATTTATTGATTTGGGCTTACTTTAGAGGGCAATACCTACAAAATGTATAACCACATTTACTGTAAATCTTTTATTATTCCATTGCAGCCTTACCTCATATCAAGCCTATTACAAGATAGAAATATAATAGAACTCTTCTCTCTGTTCAATGTCTGTCTCATATGTTTATGATGTTTCTTCTTCATGTGTTTCAATATGACTGTTTCTCAAATTTACCTAATATGTATGTTCCTTGTTTTCCAGAGTGTATCAGACATTTTCAATGCTATTATAATGGAAATAGAAAAAGCAGAGGGAAACGTTCCTGAAAAGAGCGGCTGTGTTATATCATAACCATACATAGATATCATTATTATCCAATAGGCAGTTGTAAGTGGATATACTACTATGATACGGTGGCTTATATGTTAATAGTACAAGGGATTGCATGGGTTTGATTTTGGAGAGACTAACTTTAAAGGATGTTGTTATTTGTTTAATCAGAAATGTAGAGGAATAGGACAATGGATAACAGAAAATGCCATGTGGAATACAAAATTATAAGTGGCACGTATAGACGTGATATGTGGAAACTGGGATGTTTTTTAATGAGGCCATATCTGGCAGTTTGAATGAACAGAGCTGTGTACTATACAGTTATGAAGTAGATTAGGAGACACAATCAAACTTTTATCAGATTATGAAGTGATCATGCTGCAAGTAGATCTATCTCAGGGAAATGTCTACTTAAGAATGTGCAATCGCAAAAAGGTCCCAATTTCGATTTCTTCACATTGTCAATGGATGCATCGTATGCAAATATGTCTCACAATATTGTACAACTTAAGCCCTCGTCATTTTTCAAATGGGAAATATTGTGGGCTAAAAATCATGTTTCACCTATGATGCAATCATGTGTGGGCGTGGCATCCATTATGATCTTGCCGTTGCACATCTTTTAATGCTTCATTTCGCAGAGATGGGCCATTGTCGTCAATACTGACACTTTAAAAATAATTTAGTGCAATGAAGTAATCTGTAAAATATTAAAAGTTAAAAAGAAAAGTTATTAAGAAATGTTAGAACTATAAACTATGTAATGAGACTGAAGAAATGTAACAACTCATCAGATGTTGATATATGTATGTACCCCTATCAGTTTATGGATATCTTTATGGAATGGTTAATATTAAGCGTAATTTCTGTTATAATGTCAGAAAGCTCTTGGCTCAATAGCAGCATCTGTAAAATTAAAGAACAGGTTTTCCCATGAGTTGGACTGATGAAACATTAACCTGATTGAATCAGTCTGCAAAATTCTAACAGCATAATACAGTCACTAGAGGCTACAGGCTACAACTTCAACAGCATAACAATTTGGTTATTTGCTATCAATGAATGAACAAATAAATAAATGTAAGTTTGTTATAATGTCACAATACTATTATTTGTATTCATGATTTAACAAGTACATGTATGTTCATAATTTAACAAGTATTGTCTATTATTATCTACTATCCCCTTTTCCTTATGCGCTTATGTCTTTTAGTGGTAGATATATTTTGGTAGGGAAAAATGGAAGTCTTTGTTGAAGGGGGCTCTGGCCAATATTATCCAACTGGATTATATTTTTGATTTTTTGTTACAGTTAGGCAGAAATAAACGCACACATTTCATGGACATGTTACTATTACATGTATTACTGTATTATCTGTTGTATGATGTTCTCCATTCAGAATATGCCTGATTTTGCTATATGTTATTAATAGTTGTAAACATGTTATGTACATGTATGTTTATATCCAATTTTAATTGCATATATTTAATTGTACAGGTTGATTGAACTACATATAAACTGTAGATATTGTACAGTTATTCATAAATTTTATCCTAAATAAATGTAAATACATGTACACATTATAACTAAAGCAGAGTTTGTTTTTATTCCACCAATTACAATTACAACAAGAATTTTGCATTTTATCAATTAAGGAAGAAATGGAAAAGTATTATTCAGACAAAATTCTATTCTTTTTCAAGAGGGAAATTTTCTTGTTGCCAATAGAGGTTTACTAAAACCTATTCCAACAAACATCTCTCTGTATAAAGGAACACATCTCTACAAGGAACATTTTTCAAGACACAAATATTTGCATGTTAATGGTCCCTCTCCGTAAGGAACATCTGTTTTCTAAAAACAATGCAAATAACAAGATGATTACTTAGTGATTGTGGGATATTCAAAAATAAGAGGGGGGCAGATCCATGGGGAAATACCTGTACTGGCATGATGTAAAGTAATATAGTTAATTTGCAAAATACAGAACACAATTAGTTTATACATGATGGACAATACTTTTATTGATATTTATTATTTTATTGTGTATAGTATTTGAGTCATTATATTTTAACTAGATTAAACTAAAAAAGATTGTGTATAAAGAAAGTAACCAGATTGGGTCAGTTGAATGGCCAAACTTGCAAAAACATGTTCGTTCTGCACAAAATTAAGTATGAAGGTCAGTGCCATTTAGGAAAGGTAAAATCAAAAATCAAATTGATACGTGCAAATGTTCAGACAGTTTTTATTTGTCTGGAAAAAATTGGATATTTCAAACATAACTAATAAGGAAATAATGATATGCAATAGTGTATTGTCAAAATTACATTGGCACACTTTAATCAGCTCAATATCTAAAGTTTAGCATTCTGAATAGAATATACACGACAGACCCCACAACCCTAAGTCATGACTGACTCTGATACATCACTCATCACTGATTCATACATGCCAATTTATCGCAATCTATAAAAAAAGAACAAGTAAACTTTATCATAGGTCATCATGACCTCTAAATTTCAAAATCCACCCCAAAATAAATATTACAAATATTGATTCATTTGTACTAAACCAACTCATTTATCATTTAGCCCAACTCTTAATAAAATAATGTATTGAAACAAAATATAATTCCCCATAAAAACTTAAAATATTGCCAAAAAATGCAGTTTGATTTCAAAAATGCTATCTTGACCACATATATGCCAATTAACAATTACATATATGAACAAAATATTCCAATTTTAGCCAAAATCATTTAAGAAGAAATGGGTAAAATCTGGCCCTACTGAGCCCTCCTGGCTACAGACATGTATATATATCAAGATTTGGGATTGTACTAATGTTACATGATTCATTGACTCAAAGTTCAAAGTACAAGCACAACTACTACAATTACTTTAAATAGTAGCCCATTCCCCACTAATAAATGTTTATTCACTTTTAAATTCCAATACATTCCTATGATCACTCACTCATTAATCATGTCAGTTGTTAAACATACATATTTAGAAGAGAAAATCACGAGGAGCATCATGAGGTAGAAATACTACTTTATGTTGTAATTTTAGACTTTATATTTTTTCAAACAAATATTTTCTAAGACTGCTAAACTTCCAAAATAAAGCAATAGTGTTGGCCTATCTAGGATGAAAACCACTTTTTATATGTTTTAAATAGGCTATTTATGTACCATTGGATTCAATGAGAACTAAAACTTAAAAACGCTTTTTTTCTCTGAACCAATTTTCTGCACTTTTTGTCGCTTATTTTTGCCCAATTTTCTTTTCAACACAAAATAATTTAGGATGTATGTTCTGTGTTGGTGTAAATAATTGCTTAATAATGTATTTGCATGACAACTAAAATTTTATTTGAAATAGATTCACTTCAAATCAACTTTGGATAAGACTATAATAAGCCAAAGTGGTTTAAACTTTATAGGGCATTTATAGTTATTTTGGACGGATGATAGGCTAGTTCCATATTTGTATTTCATAGTGAGTTAAAATCTATTGAAATGAAATGATAACTGCCAAGGCTCATACAAATCCAAACAGTAGCACTTAATAGGCTATAAGCTCATTACACTTTCACTCGCCAAATGCTAAAGCTCAACATAAAAGGCATAAGTAATTTCATATCACTTCATCCCAAGTGTACAAAATCTTCATTCACAGAGAAATGTTCATTAACATGCTGCTCAAACTCCCCTTGTGGTACAGCTGATGGGAAAACAGCATTACACATGGGACAAGTTCTTTCCTCCTCTCCAGGAGAGTCTCCATTACACTCTAGCATATGTTGCTGAACATCGTCCTTTGTCATCATAGAAGAAAAATGCATGTTGCAATTAGGACATCGTGCATCTTTTCCTCCGAGGCGATCTCTGTCACTTTCTTTAAATATATTCCGAGATGAGATATTTTTCATCTCTACTAGAGGATTATTATTCAGTATAGGTCGTGAGGGGCTTGTTGTTTCTCTGATTTTATCCTTGGCTCCCATATTAAGGTTGACATTATTTCCAGCATTATCATAACCCCTGGGTCTAGCCCCATTGGGCTCATTACGCTCAATGTTCAATGCCCTTTGATTTGAGGGCACACGAGTACTGTTGTTTGAAACAGGGCTATTGGGATTGAGCTGGGAAGGATGTCTAGTGTCCACATAAGCAGATAAATTATTCAGTCCAAATGGTGATGCTGGTATTGGGTCAACAGGAGAACCCTCACTCTCATCATTCTCAGTTGGTCCAGTGGGATGCCAATTCTCAGGGCTAATACCTTGCTCCTCATCAGTTACATTCAGGACCTCTAGTGATTCACTTCTCTCTAGTCCACCAACAGTAGCTATGTCATCTATATGTACCTCAAGGGCTGCATTACCTTGAGGTATTGGCTCCTCACTGCCAGTATGGTCACGCTCCCTTGATCTAGGTCTATTTGTAGGAGCCTCGGGAGGACCCCCCAAGCCTCTACATTCAATTTCCATTCTATCCCCATATGATGAACTGATAGGCCTTGGTTTCATCATTTCAAGGGCATGAATTGGTCTTATATCTTCAGATTGACCTCGAGAGCGCAGAACCTTGCTCCGAGCTCCACCAGAGCCATCATGTATAAACACACTATCTGAAATGCTAGGGTTAATAGCAATTGTATCCCTATGAATGTTTAACCCTGCACCTCTCCCACTTCTTTTGGTGGTTACATGCATATTCCCTCCCTTAATTACAATATCATTTGTCACTTCCTCAACACTTGGTTGGGATTCATTAATTTGTGTAGTCTGTGAAGGGGCCGTAGGAAGGGGAGATAACCTAGATCTTGTTGAATAGCTCACTGAACCAGGCACCATTGAAACCTTAGGGCTAGATCCTAAAGGGACTGAAGAGTCTCCTAACTGGACAACTGATTTAGTAATCATCCCAGGATCATTAGATAATGACTGTCTTTGCTTCCGTAACTCTTGCTCTTGTTTGTATACTTTAAGACTTTCTTCTAATGCTTTCTTCATCTCAGCATCACTATCCTGTCTTAAAGGTGTGTCTTTTGCAGTGTCCTTGTTTGATACAAGAGTCTGTGGACCCTGACCAGGCCATTTCACAACTCTAGCAACATCCTCTGGAGCTATCCTATCGGGTATAGTTGCAGCACTTTCCTGGACACCTAGATATGTTTGGGGTTCTTGATTTATAATTGTAGTCTGGGAGTTCCTTTGTCTTGTGCCACCTGGTACCATACCTCCTTGGGTGGGAGGCATTGAAGCATTAATGCCTGGGGCAATGTATCCAGGCACAGGGCTATTAGGCCCACTACTTAAACTACCTCTACCAGAGGAACCTGAAATACAACCACACATGTTTATATGAGAGCAATCCTGAAAACTAACTAAAAATAAATTCCAAGTATAAAGCATAAACATTTATAAATGCATGTAACATATTGTTACATAATATGAACCTTAATATTAAATGCACTTTTCCATGTAACCAACCTTTTCTCCTTTTCTCTCTTAGTGAGTCTTCTTCTCTTTTGATAGCCTCTAGCATCGCATTCTTCTGTTCCTCTACTAATCTTCTCAACATTCTGACCTCTTGTTGGCACTTGACTAGCTGTTCCTGCATTTTTTGCAGCTCCTCAGAGAAACTGCTACCCATTGAATCTAAATAGAATTGGTCCATAATTATGCATCAAGCTATCACCTTAGAAATGTCGGAATTGAGGGACATGAATCTTGCAGGGAAATTTTAAATATTTAACGTATATGGACTGTTGCAAAAATGTGTATTGTTTCTACAAATGAATTATTTGTAAAAATAGAGGTGTTGAAATTACTGACGAGTTCAGGATGGATGAATAGTAAAATATATGTGTGATTTTGAGATATTTGAAAGGGAATGAAATGACTGCACCAACTTGAATAATAATGAACCTTAATATATTCATTTGGGCTCAATATGAGGTAACTTCAAAATTTTCATTTAAATTACTTCAAATTTGTCACTTACCTTCGTTAAAATCAAGTTTTCCTTCAGTTTTTGATTGCTGTAAAAGTGTATCAAATTCCAGCTTTAATTTTTGATATTGTTCTTTCCACACCTTAACTTCCTCCTTTTTCATTGCTTCTGAGCATTCTAATTTGTTTTTCATAGTGTCAATCTCAATTAGCAACTGTTTATTTTCCTCTTCCAATTGTTTGTACCTATCATTAAATTTCAACATGTCAATTTCCATTAATTTATTTTTCTCTTCTAATTTTTTATACTGTTCATTAGATGTTAACCTTTCATTTTGTTCCCATTGCATTTTCTCTCTTTGATTTCCATCTATATATGGCTTTCTAATCCCATTGTCACCTCCAATGTGTCGCTTACCATCATTCTCATCCATCCCATTTCTAGTATGATCTAAAGATCCTGAACTTCGGATTCGAATAGGATGACCATTTTGTAATGGTCTTCCTGAATCTATATCATCGAATCCATTTGACACAATTTCCATACTTCTTGAATCTTGTAGCAAACTTTTCACTACTTGTTGTGTCTGCAATTGTTTCTTTTCCAAAGTATGGTATCGTTTCTTCAGATCTGTATAAGCTGTTTGGAGTGCATGGAGTGACGCAAGGCTGACAGATTCTTCGCCACTTCTCATATGAAATTGTTGAGATCCACTTATTATCCTTGCTGGCCAATCATTAACCACATCAACAGTGTCATCTATGATGCTAATATCATCTTCATTAAATTCCATTACAGTCTGGAAAAGAAAAGACAATTCAATTAAATAAAATAAAATGAGTTAAGGTTCTTATATCAACCTCCAACATATAATTTGTATGCATTGTGGTGAACCACAGAGAGAGATGCTATGAGTATTAGAATGACTTCAGGGGTTTCATTGGCAGCAGACAACAGGCAATTTTCACTGATTGTTTCACAAAATGGCCTGTTGTTTTTAAGGACTTTTCAACTTTTCCATGTTAAATTTATGATTTCCATTAATTTTGCCAGTTGTTTTTATTCATTTAGCCTGTTGTGAGAAATTGTAGTGAAACCACTGGACTAACTAGTATATTCAATTATTTTATGCAAGCTTTCAGTATTATGATTTGTACATGAGATATTAATTAACCCACATTACATACAAATCGCGAATACATGAATACGTGAAAATAATCAAATGTACAAATCCAGGAAAATTGCAACCGCGAATTTAAAGTGTTTTACAGTATCTCATAATTTCAACTAAACAAAAGGTTTAAAGTTTAAAGTCAACAATGAATTATAAATATCTCATCGTATCTAATATTATCTGTGAAAGCTATTCATAATATAATTAAATGCACCTAAAGTTCATATATAAAAAGGCTGGTGTTCAAAGTATATACTTAATTTTTATTTTTTGAAATAAAATAAATATCAAAATACTGGTTGCGTTTAGCAGTGTTCCATTTTCGGACTGCTTTTCTGTTTTTAAAAGATTTCAATCTTTTCTACTTCTGTAATTCTAATTGTGCTTACATAAAACTGAATAAAAAATTCTATGGTACTATACCATTTCAAATGGTAAACTAGCAGGTATCTTCTATTTTTCTTAGAAAACATATTATTATAAAGGTAATATTATTTTATACAAAAAATGATAAATTAAAGGTTTGCTTTAAAAAAGCTTACTTCTACCATGGGCTTTCGACTCTATTTCATTTTGCACCCTCCAAATTAAATAATCATTATTTATTATAAATCTATTAATAACCAAACATATAAAATTACAATTATGCCTACCTCCCAAAGTAAAAGTGTAAATATCTTGTAGATGTACATTGATTCTAAATAATGAATTAATGTATGTTAGTGGTTTATATACAAGTGATATATTGGTTCTGTAAACCCAGAATTTTGGATAAAAAATTGCTTCAAAAATGAGTCCAACACTATTCTTTGAATTTGTAGTTGTCACACAAAAAATTCTGCTCTTCAAAACAGAAGATGTGTCACATTTCCTTCCTGTGTGATGACATGCAAATTTTTCCAGATCCTTTATTCACAGTAATGTGCTGTTATTCAATTTCCTTTGCCATTAATCTATTGAATTTTACTCCCAAGATATGGTATGCAAGGGGCATATCAATTCAGCATAACATTATACTGTTATAGACCAATAGATAAAATTAGATGAGATGCCACGCCGCATTATAAATGTTATCAATTGTTATTCATATAATGCATAACAAAACATAAACATTTCTTCTTCCAAGAAACTTGTCAAATCACTTAATTTTAGCGTCAATATACTTTCTCCTTTAGCTTAGATAATTCTATAGATCCTATGACTAAAAACTGAACTTCTGAGAACTAATATAATACGTGAGAGTATTCTTCTGTGAAGCTCTTTCAAGCATCTAGTCCAATCACAGCATTCTTTTGCGGTATTTCTTTGTGCATAGGCGTTCGATTTGACAGTGAGAGTAGAGTACAGAGTTCAGTCCATTGAGTTATTTTTCACTTGCGACTGAATTTGCTTAGGTCAGCTGAATTGTTTCATGCATTTAATAATTTTGCTCAAACATGCCTAATTTCGATAGTTGAAATTAATTTTGTAACAAATGTGCTCTCTCTTCCATAATGGTTTGTACACGGTGAGTATCCCAGCAAATATAAAGGAGAATAATTTCAACATTTCTTTGTACATAAGCAGCAAGCCCGGCTATTTTTCTAAAAAATCAAAATTGTGTCCAAATACTGAAATAAAGTCTATAATAATAAACACTTCAGTGATCAGTTTGACAGATTTTTTGATTTAGGAAAGTTTGGACAAGGAAGTAAATATCCATTCAAAATTATAGACCCTTGAACAGGTCATGTTTACATAGCTTACCTTTTCGAGAATATTAAATGAGTTCTCCGAAGTAAATAATCTAAATGAACCTTAATTTCGTCGATGGTCAATAAGTAATAACGTTTGTTCTAGAAAACGGACAGGTACTTGAGATAGGATGAATCAAGAGTGTTGTTGGTGACGAGGTCAAAAATGAATCATTTCTATCTTCATTCTCATGAGTTATCCACAATCAAACAACGTTTTTTTCAATCTTACCTATGCTTTGGGATATATAGAACATTTCTACCACGCCAGATTAGCCGTCTTAAATCACCATAAGTTGAAAAAATACTTTGAAAATACATTTTTGTTTGAAATATTTATTTGTTCAATATCCAAGATGGAGCCTTTATTAGGGGAATCCCCTTCATGACGTCATACAAATGAGGAAATCCTTTATTTGGGTCTGCACTCTGCATGTACATTCAAACTCACAGGCTCTCCTCTACATCATGAATCTTGGACATCACACTTAGTTGTGGAAAAAATAAATTAATTTCGATATCGTTTGACCCTTCACTTAATGAAATTTTAAAATATTGATTTGTCTTTCACTTGAATATAAAAAATCACTGCTTGCTAACACCATCATTTACCCCCTCCCAACAAAACTAACTTCGATGATCAACTGTTAACAATTGGACATCATCCCCTAGGGGAGGAAAGATTCAGAGTTATCCTTAACTGACCACTGAATTCTTTTTATGCATTTTACATCCTCTTTCCATTTTATACCCTTATTCTCTTGAATATATTTACAGTTTTGAGTAAAGGTGATTCACAAACTTGGGTTCCTGTTCCTATTGTTTGTTGCTTTATAAGTGGGGGATTAGTCTAGGCCAATATTATAATATGCGGTTATCAACTAATCAGTAAATAATCAGTTAATATTTGAAAATAGATCTGTCAACATAATAGATATACAACCCCTTTGGGTATTTAGAAATTAATGGGGGGGGGGAGAGACAGGGACACTGATTTTTTTATAATCAGTGATTCAAAAACCATTGTGTTTATGAAAAACTGAATTCAAAATCACTCCCTGAAAACATGTTAGCCACTCATTTATTTGTAATAGGTGAATAGACACACATCCTGATTCAACTTTTTAAATTATAACCTAATTGTAAACAATTGGGCAGGGTAGCACGATACTTTGAAATGATTTTTGATGATTCACTATCAAACATGAATGATGTTGATTAGAACTTTGAAACTTAACGGAATCAACAATCAATAAGGCCTTAATTAAGGTGAGTTATTGTAAATATTTTAAAAGTTTGTGACAATTGTTACAGATTCAAACAAAAACCAACCATAAAAAATTTAGGACAAAACATATGTACAATTGTATATCTTCTTGGGCGACAAAATAATACTAAGACATTCATCTATAGATGTTTATTTACTATTATTTTATTCATATGCAATAAATAAACAATAAACACGCTTGCTCCACTAGTTGTACATGCATGTTTAGTGTGACACATATAATAGCATGTGAAATACATAAAAATCCAAAACTACTGACTAAGATGACTGTGTTTAACCTGTTAAAATTCACATTAATTTTATAAATCCATTGTATGAATATCATGATGTCATAATATTTTGAGGATTACAGACAAAAAGAAATATTCTTTATCAAATTGTGTCACTTTAGCAGAACACAATCTTATAACATGAGTGGTGAACACTGTCCAATAGATAATGTGCAAATAGGGAAATGAATATCGAATTATGATATCTTAGATTTCGTTTTATTATCAAAAGCACTATGTCACCTGGTACACTCCCATCATTCACATGTGATAAAGGCCAAACCCTTTCATGACATATGAGAATGCAGGGCTTTCAATAGCAAACAGCAAGCAATTTTCTATGGTTGTTTTTACTAAAATGAAACTAATGTATTGAAGAATTTGAAACTGTTTACATGTAGAAAATGCTAATAATTTTGCAAGATTTTTCCATCCCTTCTGCATTAAACAAAATCCCTGTAATGAACCTAGAAATATCCCCAATCTTGCAGTTGTACTAAATGTGGTCTAGCTATTGAGAAAATTGTCTCCAAGCTGAGGGTAAAAGTTTAGGTTTCCTGCATGATCTAGTAGTTCATCCATTTCACATCAAGTTTGAGATGAGCAGACAATTCTGTAGAAATGTGTGACCAAATATATATCAGCTGATGGGATGAAGAGATTATTGCACATGTACTCATTATGACACAGATGCTTATCCAACTTTTAACTAAATTACATGTTTGGCAAAATTACACATCAGTAACCTTGACTGAAATCTGTGTATATATAACATATAATTATCCAGTGATATTGTGTCACAGAAATAAATTAACAAAAAATTCTTCACGAAGTAAACCAACTAAAATAATTTCATAAATGTACTCACACTTGATGGCATCTTAGAATCTTATACAGGATCTGTTAAAATAAATCTTTTGAAAATTTATCAGTTAATATTTTACATTTTATATGTTACTAAAGACTTTGGCAATCTGCCTTGACAGTTGGCCTCTAAATCTCAATTTACATAACTCAAAAACTCAAGTACTTTTATACCTGAACTCTATATCTTTTGAATTTTTCAAACCTGATAACATATAAACAAGGTCTCTGACTAAAATTGAAGATCACATATCACAAAAAATGTAAAATGCAATGGAGAGCCTAGTTTGATACTAATGCCTGAAACTGGAGATCACATTCTGGCACAGAAAATATTTTAGCAATTAGTACTGCATATTGTTTTTTGCTTCACTAACATGTACTATACAACTACTTTATAATTTCTACCCACTCTCAAAAAACCACGGAAGGTATCGCAACAGATTTTAGACATTCATATGTTGGATTGTGTCTATTTTCTGAGGAGTTAAAAAGGTGCATATGTTAGGCCAATGCATTATCTAAAAGAAAAGTTCTCATAGAGATGATCAAATAATTTGGACTTCGAGACAGGGAAGGTGCAAACACCCACCAACATTTCTTTCAACATGTGACTGTCTAAAATCTGTTGTGATACCTTCTGTGGTTTTTTATCCTATGGACTAGTTCTATTGATATTCACTTTCATATTCGCAACTAGGGTATACGGGTAAAAGTTTGTGATTTTTTAACAAAGAACAACATGAAAATCTAGATATATCATCCTGGCATTTAAATCTGTTTTTTCTTATCACTTAAATAATCAGGGGGTCATTGAAAGAAAGTTCATAAAGTTACGAATTCGTAAATCAGTTGTAGTTACCATGGATATAATGACATCACAGTTGGAGAACAATGGACTTCAGGAATTCCTAGCTTTAGAAAGCTTCTGTTAATGGACCCCAGATGCCTAAATGCAATTATCTCTTTAATATTTCATGTCAAGAATTAGTTAGTAAATTCTTACATGATCAACATGGCTTATCAAATGGACAACCAATGAAATAATGATTTCTTTTCAGCTACGTTGCACATTCAGAAAATATTGATACTAAGTTATTAAGTTTGATTGTAAGTATCCTCTACATTAGACATTCTTCAATTCTACTTTAACATCCTCTATACCTATCCTATGAACATCTCTCTTATTATCGGTTGTAATGTCATCAGCATGAACATTATCTTTGTCAACTGTAATGCCAGAGTCACAATCCTCACTTGTTGAATGTCCATCGTCAACTTGTGTATTTTCTGCTTTGTCAACATTAGTTGCCTTTTTAATACTACTGGGTTTTTCATATATTGCATCTGCTGTATCACAGTCCTCACCAGACATTGACTTCATATTATTATTGACTGGTTTCAATTTGTTAATGGCCTCATTTATGACTTTATTGGTATTATCACAGTTTTTCATGTCATTATTTCCTTCAGAGTCGTGGCTGTCACATTCCGATATGCTTCGTTTATTCCGGAAATCTAAAGAATTCCCCTTAATGGGTGTTTGAGATGCGCTTCTTATTCCACTCAACATACTGAGGTCACTCTGCTGACTTGTAAAGCTTGTATTACTCGCACATTCCAATAAGTCCTCACATTGCTCTGAGGAAAAGTCTTTCGTAACATTTAATTGGCTGTCCTGTGATGGGTCTTCTGCAAGTTCGTGATTAAATGACATATATGGTTGGAGGTAGCTTAGACGTTTTGGAATCGTGAGACTACGACGTTTTTTCTCAATATTGGTTTCCTCAAATGGACTCACTGGAGGCAGATCTTTGAAGTCATTCATCAAACTCTCAATCTGAAAACATAATGTTTGTTCATAAATCATAATGTTTGTTCATAAATCATAATGTTTGTCATTTGAAAATTTGCTTTATAATGTTTGTGATATGAAGTTTAATGGTTGTTACTATACACTGACGAATCATTTAATATTTCTATAAAAAAGACCCTGGTCAAATTGGCTGCCATCACTAATATTTTTTGTATGCATATAAATGTTGAACTGAAGTATACTAAAAATTTATTTTATTTAGTAATAAAAATCATTTTATATCAACATGGATTCCTCAATAAAAATGAATTTGAGCCTGGCCATAGGAAAACCGGTCTTATCACAAAAATCAAAATTGTGCAACAGAGCCAAAAATGTGCCCACGATTAAGAGGAAAGTGTGCTAAATTCAGATCCGACTTTTTGGTCTATATATGCAAGGAAAAATTCTTAGGACATAAGCCATGGCTCATTTGAAAGGTTTCTTTGTGCTTTTTAAGATACAAAAAATCAGAATATTGAAAAAATCTGTGATAAGACCCCTTTTCCTGTGGCCTGGCTCATTTATTAATTAACCAACCTGTTCATCATCCAACATGGGGCAGCTTGTAATACTTTCCGCATCAGAAGAGTCTCCATCTTGACTGTTAGAAGATGGACTTAAGAGGTCCATAGACTGGCTATTACTGGGGTTCTGGGAGGTCTGTGTTCTTGAGTCAGATCTCTTCATATTCCCTTGCTTTGGCCTGGCACCATTACTAGCAGCTGGTTTTATGAATGTGTGTTCATTTGGTTGAGGTTTTGTTGTTTGCTTTGTGGGCATTATGGGTTGACTAGATGATCTTCCCCTAGAGCCAGGGGAGCCTGTAGCATCTTTAGAACGTAGCACCGCTGCTGGCCCACCAAGAGCCAGTGGGGACATTACAATCTCAGGTGCCACGATACCTGTACTACGATGTTTTGGCAAAAACCTTGGATGACTAATTGTCTCTTTACGTCGTTCTGGTAAAGCTTGATACTCATCATGTACATTGATAGGACCATCATGGAAGTCAATATTAGCATTAACTTTAATCGTTTCCCTTTTAGGTTTTGGAGGAGGAGAAGTTGATTTTCCCCGAACAGTCCTAGTTTGATTTGTTACTGGTGAATCTTTCACCTTAGACCCTTGAGATTCTGTTGAAATGTCTGTCTGCGTTTCAGAGTCTATACTCCCCTTTGGCTTTCTGTCTTTATTAGCAATGTGCTTGTCCTCCTCTTTAACCTGGTCATACAGGGGAGGTGGAGACTCAGCCCCTACTCCTGAACCTCTAGTTCCCATCTCACGTCGAACTTTGTTTTCATATCGATGTTGATGTATCTCATCACTAATACTCTCCAGGTTTTTCAAGGCAATGCCATAAGACTGCTTGGCTTTGACGATGCCCTTCTCCAGTGAACTCACTTTCTTTTTCTGTTCCTAGAAATACATAACATACACATGAACAAAGTGGAAGTTTTTATTATGGTAGAAAAGTTTAGCAATTAAGTATTAAGAAAATTGGTTAAATCGTAGGCTTTCTGGTTGAGACTAGTGTTGTCGCGATTAATCGATACATCGCGATATACATCGCCAAAGCTGATTCTGGCGATGCATCGATGTCTGAAACAAAACATCGATGTTTTTTTTTAAAAAAAAATTTGCTAAAAATCACCCTTTCTTATTATTATTTATTAAAAATATTTTATTCGTCTATAAGTTTTACATACATTATATTTATACAATTTGACGAAATGGATCGGACAAGAGGCTTTCGCCTATTCTAAGTCACCCTTTCTTATCTTATTTTGACGCAAATCGCTTACCTTTCTCATGTCTTATTTCATTTTTCAATGTTTTCTGATATTCTTTCTCTTTAAAACTGTTTTAGCTAGTCGAAATGAACCATTAATCTAAGAAAATTACTTTACTTTCATTTCACCGTTACTAGAAGTTCCCGGATGTACCGGATGTTCGGTATTTTAGTGCATTAGCGTTCGGTATTTCAGTGCACTTTTCTCGGACTTTTTCTCGATGTACATCGCGATGTGCATCGATGTTTACTACTGAAAATTGCCGATGCATCGATGTACGATTATGGCACATCGCGACAACACTAGTTGAGACCTCTCTAATGGCGCCTCTAAAAGGTTGAATTACAGAGTGCTCTCTTTGTGATTCAAATTTCATTTTTATAATTTTGAGACTGTTGTAATCATTGAAATAACAATAAATAAAATTCTTCTATGTATCTATTGAAGCTGAATCTATACACTCAGTTTTATCAGACCTATTATTATAGATTTGGAAAATGTGCTTACCTCCATGTAAGCATTAAACTTGGCCTTTTGCTCAAAGTAAGGCCTGAAAAACACAAAATAATATTAATTGCTAAATTATTTTATTAATTCAATATTGAAGACTCAAACTCATGAACGTATGTTACTAAAGGATAGGTTGCATTTCCAGAATACCAAAATATACATCTTAGTTTGTTAATGATCTTGTAGTCAAATTCATCAGACACTGTGATATTAATATTATACAGTGCATCATGTCCTAACATGAAAAACGTCTCCAGATCAAAATCACCATTTGAAGAAGGAATAGAATGTTAAATAATATTAAAACAATCCCAAAAACAATACCAAATAGGAAGGATGTACGAGTATATGAGCATGTGTTACCTAATATGGTTCTAATTGATATCAGTTTTGTCATTGAGTTGAGGGAAATCATATCAAAAAAATTGATATGATGAAATGATTTTCCTTCCAAAAATAGAGTATAACCATCACCAAAAATATTGTTTTTTTTGTTTTTCTAAACCAAAAATATTGTGCAACTGGCCTGTACATTAAAGTATTCATTTCAATGCTGTAATAATCCATAAATATTGACATATGGTACTGATTTAGTGTACAAATAATGTACACATATCCACAAAGTGGGAGCCTCAAATTTTGGTGAAGTGCTAGAGAATGACAATTTGCAAAGAAATATCCAGAATTTCACACAATTTGAAAAGTTATATGTACAGATAGTACTTAAACAATAGGCATAATTTAATGTTTGTTTGTTTATTAAAAGCATAAATGTCTAAATCAGTATTTAGACTTTCAAAGGCAACTATTAGATTATATTAGAAAAATGATTTTCAGGATGTAGGATGTCAAATCTAGCTTCAAACCAAATTCTTGCAGAAGAATGATTGATAAGGCTGTTGCATGAGTGGTTCAAGGGAAAGATCAATACCCGGTGATTTCAGAGGGAAGTGGCGTTTCGTTCAGTGGATGATCTGCGCGCGCCCGCATAAATGTGATTATCCAATATTATTTAGGGGAGGGCTATTTGAAATAGTTTTTGGTCTCAGGCGTGACCCAGGGCTGTTGTCTTAAGGACATTTCGTTGAAAATGAGCCATTCGGCTGATAATTGGTAAGAGTTTGCGATCTTATAATGTATAACTGTTACTCAGACACATATTTTGACACGATTCTGTTGGAAATAAGCTTTGAACCGAGAGATATTCACGATTGATATGCACATTTTTGATTGTGCCATTGCTTTTCCATTGCACAATCCATGTATTGATAGAAGTAACATTAATAATGCAGATTGGTTTACCTTCAATACATGGCAGACACTACATATCGGTCTATTAAATACCAGTGTGTGCCTTAAATAGTTTTATATTTCCATCCACGGCCTGGAGCCTGGTTGTGTTTGTCTCTTATGGGCCTTATGTGTATGCTTGTGCATGGACTTCTCACTAGCAGAATTTAACATGATGCATTGCAAACTCGACATTATAACTCATGCTGTAACATTTTGACTTCGCAGGAAAACAATAGGAATTATTTTTCTTGCCAATTGAATCATGAATCACAATCAAAATTTCAGAATGATCAATCAGGCAATGGTCCAAATCAAGTTATAACATTATATGATATTCAGCAAGAAGTCCGGTAGAAATACAGAATATTTAAACATCAAAGCTGAAAGTTAAAAGCTAATCTGTCAATTTTCTGTCTGCAAAAGAGCGTTTACATTTGACACAATAACAGACTGAGGCTTTGAAATCTAGGATTCCCCAGGAAAATATGACGTCATACTAATTAGCATAAGGATTTCCCTATTGGTCTGGGTCGAGCCTTGTTCGAAAACACAATTCATAAATACATGCTAATTTCTAAGGAGATAGGAAGTGTATAACGTGTTTATCGATTTTGTTTAAAGATTTAATCAATTATCAAATTGTTTAAGTGGATAAAGTGGTCACACTTGCTTCAATTCATAGCGTAATCGACGGATAGAAACTGACCGAATTCCCGATATCCTACCCTGTATTACTGTAGGCATTAAGCACAGTGACCTACAGAGGGCGCTATCACAAACAAGTACTGCACGAACCGATAAATTCCCGGGTATTGTAACGCCCTTGAGTGGTTTAATTTGTCGAGTTAAAGCAGCTTTTAAGTTACTAGAAATTCTTCCCTCATTGTTAAAGTACTATCTGTACAGATAACTTTTCAAATTGTGTGAAATTCTGGATATTTCTTTGCAAATTGTCATTCTCTAGCACTTCACCAAAATATGAGGCTCCCACTTTGTGGATACTTCCTCCCTCATTTTACCAAAATTAGATGTCCCAATCCTCGTGGTAAACTTGGGAAAGAAAATAAGAACCAGGTGTTAATACTGAATTTTCAAGAATTCATGTGGCATGACCTGACTAATGAGAATCCTGTGTTTTAGTTTGTTAAGTGAGTGAACAATGCACAGGGTGAACAAAATCGCACCTAAAAATCAAAATTGGCCTGTGCCCCATGACCAAAACTTATTTAGTCCTAGATTTTCATGAAATATCCCTGAAAACTTTAAAGCAATCCACCAAGCGGTTTCTCTGGAAATTACAAGAAAAACAATACAAGCCAACCATCCTATTTTAGGCACGATAAAATTGAATATTATGCAAATCTATATTCTAATAATTAAACACCACAACCCAACTCATTTTATACACTATAGCATGCAAATTTTATTTTCCTGAACATTTTAATGCAATAATTTGAATAACTTGCTTTTGTGAATATTTGCAGGTGATTGAGTGATTTAATTTAATATCTAACATGTGTGTCTCATATGTTAATATATGTTAATAATAATGAATTATGTAAACGTAAAAGGGTGACAAAAAGCAACATGCTATATCCAGCTATGGGTTTTACAGAAAATACAAAACAGAGCCATTCATTCATTTAATCGATTTCATACAAAGTAAACAGAAATATGCATACCAAATAAGACCATAGAATAAGACAAAGGATTTTGATGTACTGTAATTGTGTACTGAAGTAAGCGACCATTTCCAAATGCAACTACGAGGATGTTTGAGGAATTCCCATCATTTCCCTTACTCCCCACACAATCACACCAAGCAAAAAACAACAAGTGATGCAACAGAAGGGGGATGCGCAATAAATAACACTGCCAAATAGTGCAGATACAGTGAGCAACTTACAACACATCGAGTCTATGCTGATTTGCGAGAGAGTTAAGTTGTAACAAACTGCGGCGTGTTGACAGACTAGAATTCCAACGTGGGCACAAACAAAATAAACAGAATACATTAATACCTAGGGGTCATACAAAGCTATTTTAGATCACTCATACAGTATCTCTATGTTTCATAAATACACATCATACAAATCAAGAAAATTATATTCAGTAATTAGGGGCCATCTCAATAATTCAGCAGCGTTCATGTGAACAAAAATAAATTGCAGGGTACATTTGCTAGATTCAAAGAATATCAGGACAGGGCCAGTATCTGTTTTTGCATGTGACAAGCACATTTCGTTAATTATCTGTATGTGCAAAATTGATCTCTGCCAGTTAGCTACATGGTTTCACTTACTAATGATGGGGTGACATGCTCTATTACTTTTCACACATAGCAAAAACTTTTAGATAAATTGATTGAAACCAGTACAATGACTTATGAGACATGTTTTCATACAATTGTTAATAAAAAATATTGTAGGTAACCTTTTGCAAGGATCGATGCAACATGTCTGACCTTGATTTTGACATCTTATCATTTTGAAAAATATTTCCGAAAGAGTGCAGATTTTAAACTTTTTGTATCTTGAAAATAAACCCTAATACATATTTCTATGAATTGGTATGATTACATGTTTGAGTCTATTGATATTCCTACAATATCGACTGATCCATTCTCAGAACCAATTCTCAAGTTGCCAACACAATCCATGATACTGAATATGGCCATCGTGTAAGTATACTAACATGTGAAAATTTCATATTGTTAATATGTTTGCAAAGTTTTTGCAGATTTTGCTTTTACATATACAATACACAGAAAACCTTGCATAATTGCATAAATTTTGAAACCGTGCATACTTTTTGAATACAGAAAACTGTGCAGAATTTACAATTGTCTCATGCAGAAAACTGGGCGGAGTGAATGTAAGCCTAGCCATGTGTGAAAAATAGATAATGAATGACAAACTAAACAATGTTACTGCTGAACCAGTGAGACAACTTCTACAAACAGTTAACAATATTTCAAAATTCAGGACTCAACTACAAAATGATGATTAGTATGTTAGTTCTATGTAATATGGAAGCTATATAAGAAATGAAGAGAGAAGCAAGCAATACATCTTGTTTAAATTGTTCAGGAAAATATATTCCTTCACCAATGTACATTTAAATAAACACTACATGAAAACTCATTCTTTACAGGAATGAGGGTTGTCACATAATGCTACTTTTAATCTCATATTTCTTTTGGGGTAAAAGTTTACAAGAACAGCAAAAAATATGCAAAAGATATTATAATACAACTTTCCCCGGACGTTCTCCACCAAGAAAGTCATAAATCCTAAAAACCACCATGGTAACATGCTTTTTGAAATACATGTATCTAGATTGTTTGCACCATAGAAAACCATGACAGAATATGCAACGAGCAGTTCTTTTAGTTCACACTATTTGTTTTGGATGCCATACCTTGATTTTGCAATCTGCCTTTTCAGTTCTTTCTGCAGTTGTTTAACTCTTTGTTCGGTGGCATTGAACTCCATTGCAGTATTCTGGTGATGCACCTCACTCTCGATCCTCTCTTTCTCAGCTTCATTTACCTAAGTGAGTTAATATGTGTGTATATAAGAGAACATATAAACATGTAAAAGCGTTTCCTCACCTAAAATATTGGTAAAATTGCTTTTACCAGCCAAAACCAACAAAGATCTTCTCTGTGATTTTGTGTAGAATCTAGGATCAGATCTAAAAAAAGATATTACCAAAGATCTGAAAAAGAATCCTGAAAAACATCAGAGGAACCTGAAATGAATCCCAAACAACTGCCACTGGGCTACAGAAAACAGAATTAAATTTAGATTGTGAAACAAAATCTACTTCTCTACAAAGTCTACTAATCTACTTCTCAACTGAACTGCATGAATAAAAACAAATATTCATATATTGGAATATATTTTACAATGGAAGATTTCGCTCTAAGATTTCTACCGACTTTATGTGTAAAATGTTTGCATTATTTAACTAATGGGTTATCGGAGATGGGTTCTAAGGAGATGGTAAATATTAGGCAAAGATCTGACATAGTGTGTGATTGCATTAGGAATATGGGTACTCTTGACATAATGTAAGATTTTAGCCCAGTATATAGTTTTCACCAAGAGATGTCTTTATCAATATATCTTATCAAGTCCATGATTAAGGATGGGTTCTGTTCGTTATGTGATAAAGGTTGAAGATAACTACAGGGTGAGATACTGACAACTGCTAAACGTATGTCCATTTTAATTTCATCCCCATCTTCTCCACTCTAAATATAAAATACAATTATCATTCACCAGTTCACCTGCAATAATAACATATGTTATGTTCATGGATTCAAATATAAATGCAACTTTGTTTTACTCTGTCAAAATTCACATTTCAGTAATTAAACCACTCATATTCAAATTTTCATTGTGATTAACTACGTTCACTTATATAATAGCCCTCTACATAATGAGGTTTTTGTTCTACCTTCAGTGTGGCATGGTTGAGCATCTCCTGCCAGGCTGGGTCAAAAGGCTGACCTTTGTTGAAATAGCCCTGCTCTGCCAGGTTCACCATCTCTTTTGCCGCCTGCTGCATGCTCCATGCTCTCTCAAACCTAACTGCAGCCTTCTGGGTCTCCAGTTGTGCCTAAAATATATAACATAAGAAGACACAGAGTGATTAATATTGCACTTTGAAGAGCACAATGGCCACCATGTAATTTTACATGTGTGTCCAAAATCTAATCAGAACTTGGCACTAGTCTGCTCTTGCAGATCTGTAAAAATTTCAAGTTGAATGGATAAGTGGTTTTCTTGGAATTTTGATGACAAGATTTATGTGGCACCGCCCGCCTAGATGCACACACATACAAGCCCAACAGCTCAAGATAACAACAATATAGCACTTTTTGAAGGGTGGTAAAATATGGCAACCCTGTCACTATTTTCCTCATACCTTTGTCATTTTAGGGAATTACTCCCTGATATTTGGCAGATTGTACATCATTTTAATACCAGCTTCAGATTTTAGACTTTAAATGTTTTACAATGTCTTACATCTTTAGCTTGCATACGGGCATCATAATAAGGTCTTGCTTTGTCAATACAAGATCCTAGCTTCTTAGCCAAACCATTCAACTTCTGTGTAGATTCTGTAAGGGCCTGCCTGAATCCAGCACGTGCTTCCTGAAAGAAGACAAGATGAAGTGTGTACATCTCATATAATTTATCTTTATGCTTCTATGAAGCAATATATGAGACTATGTTATACAAAACATTTGATGCATGACTACCATGTGTGTCAGGTCCAAGTACATTAATAGATGAAGCTCTTTTTTAAAGAAGCAAAATAACTATTATATTGGCAATAGTAATGCATGGCTCTACCTCAATGGACAATGACTATTACTAAACACTGTACCTAAAAGTGTTAGCCAATAGGTCAATGAGATTAAACTTGTGATGTTTCAGTGAATCAACAAATTCCACATTATCTCACTGACTCAAACCTATCAAACAGATAAATTCCATGTACACAAGTATTGCTAATACAGTGTAAAATTCCTTGATCTGAACCCCCAACCTTTTCATTAAATGTTGAGTAAATGTCACTGACTCCGATATTCATCACCAACAATATATAAATTGTTGTCATAAGTAGGTAGAAGAGGGAGTGAATAAAAGTCATTAAATAGACTTACATCAAGTTCTGTTTCTAGCTTGTTGATGTCTTCAGATGCCCTATTCAGTGACTCCAGTTCTCCCTAAAATAAAAAAAATCACATACATTCAGACTGTGTTGATTTACTTCTGTGACTTGATATTTAAATGCGGTAAAAGGTTTCAATTCAATTTTCAAATAAATTGTATATAATTCTTGACATTTCGTGGTGAAATCCTTGGTAAAATTTAAAGACTCTCTGGGCCCAATTTACATCCTAAAACATACAAGACTAATAAATATTGCTTTCGTGATTTATATGGTCCAAATCATTTGTAAACAAAGAAAACTAACCAGAACAACGGCAACGCCAAAGCGTAGCGAATCCCATCGAACAGAAATGGCTGGCATTTTTACAAACGAATAGCAAATATCATAAAACACACCAGAAAGGCCACCATTTTCAAAATGGTTGCTCACTAGTCAAGTTGTCATCAGAAGAAATAATATGCTTTTAAGTAGCCACCTCTAAAATTTTTGAAAAATCGCACACGTACTTGTAAAATAACACATAAAAATGGTGGCCATTTTTCAAAATGGCCGACTACTCCCCAAAGTTTTATTAGACAATGTGCCATGCTTAAAGTATTCACATATTAAATATGAACAAAATCGCTCCACTACTTTTCGAGTTATAGTAAAATACGTTACAATGGTGGCCATTTTTCAAAATGGCCACTGTCTACCAAAAGTGTCATTAGAAATAGACAGTGTGACATGCTTATAGTATTCACATACCAAATATGAACAAAATCACTCCACTACTTTTCGAGTTATAGTAAAATACATTAAAAAGGCAGCCATTTTTCAAAAATTTTTTCAAAATGGCCGCCTTCTACCAAAAGTGTCATAGGACAGTGTGCCAAGCTTATAGTATTCACATACCAAATATGAACAAAATCACTCCACTACTTTTCGAGTTATAGTTAAATACATTAAAAAGGCGGCCATTTTTCAAAATACTACTTCTCCTTAGGGGGAATGGCCCGTGGGAAAGTCCACGTGACATCATGAATAGAGTGATTGACAACCTGGAAAGACAGGTAACTTATATGGGGTCCAGGAAACTGGGCATGTAAGACATGGCTGCAATGCTGTATATGCAATGTTGATGTGGAAAAGCCAGTCGGTCCTGTAGCTCAGTGGTAGAGCACTTGCCCGGAAAGCGAGGAGTCGTGGGTTCGATCCCCACTGGGGTGGACTGACTTTTTCACATCAGCCCTTAGCACAGGATTTCATTCTGTGTTTTCATTAACTAATACTACTTCTCCTTAGGGGGAATGGCCCGTGGGAAAGTCCACGTGACATCATGAATAGAGTGATTGACAACCTGGAAAGACAGGTAACTTATATGGGGTCCAGGAAACTGGGCATGTAAGACATGGCTGCAATGCTGTATATGCAATGTTGATGTGGAAAAGCCAGTCGGTCCTGTAGCTCAGTGGTAGAGCACTTGCCCGGAAAGCGAGGAGTCGTGGGTTCGATCCCCACTGGGGTGGACTGACTTTTTCACATCAGCCCTTAGCACAGGATTTCATTCTGTGTTTTCATTAACTAATACTACTTCTCCTTAGGGGGAATGGCCCGTAGGAAAGTCCACGTGACATCATGAATAGAGTGATTGACAACCTGGAAAGACAGGTAACTTATATGGGGTCCAGGAAACTGGGCATGTAAGACATGGCTGCAATGCTGTATATGCAATGTTGATGTGGAAAAGCCAGTCGGTCCTGTAGCTCAGTGGTAGAGCACTTGCCCGGAAAGCGAGGAGTCGTGGGTTAGATCCCTACTGGGGTGGACTGACTTTTTCACATCAGCCCTTAGCACAGGATTTCATTCTGTGTTTTCATTAACACATACCAAATATGAACAAAATCGCTCCACTACTTTTCGAGTTAAAGTAAAATACGTTAAAATGGCGGCCATTTTTCAAAATGGCAGCCTTCTACCAAAAGTGTCATAGGACAGTGTGCTATGCTTATAGTATTCACATACCAAATATGAACAAAATCGCTCCACTATTTTTCGAGTTATAGTAAAATACGTTAAAATGGTGGCCATTTTTTTCTTTTCAAAATGGCCGCCTTCTACCAAAAGTGTCATAGGACAGTGTGTCATGCTTATAGTATTCACATACCAAATATGAACAAAATCGCTCTACTACTTTTTGAGTTATAGTAAAATATGTTAAAATGGCGGCCATTTTTCAAAATGGCCGCCTTCTACCAAAAGTGTCTTTAGACAGTGTGCAATGCTTATAGTATTCACATACCAAATATGAACAAAATCGCTCCACTATTTTTTGAGTTATAGCAAAAATCGTAAAATGACGAGTAAAGGCCGCCATTTTTCAAGATGGCTGCCATGTGCTTCTTTATAATTTTTTTACATTTAAAACATATTGCTATTACAGTTTTACATATCACACCTAAATTACTGTAAAATCGGCACTAAAATGGCCGCCATTTTGAAATGAGTGGCCATTTTGAAAATCGGCTTTCGAGCAGAATGTCTACCCCCATAGGGTATATGTGTACAAAATATGAACAAAATCGGGCCAACGGTATTTGAGTTATTGCCCGGACGGACGGACGGACGGACGGACAGACGGAGGCATTCCCTATATCCCTCCGAACTTCGTTCGATGGGATAATAAGCATTGCAGTATTTGGAGGTTTTGATGATTCTTGAAAGCTATAAACATTTAGATCTTATTCTTCCCAAAATGCCTCTTGTGAAATCTTGGGTGAGTCTGCGTTCAAAGTGACTGGAAATGGTTGGCACACAGTTGGCATTATTATGACTGAGGCAATGGTTATATTGAATGACATTAAGTATCATGAGAATACTGTAATGAAAAATGTCATCGTTTAACTACCTTAATATGTAAATCTAGACTACTACTGTATGTACATGGTACTCATGTATGATGATACGTAAAATTTTAGATTCATTTTTAACTCTGTTCATTTCCACAAACTTTAATTCTAATCTCATTAAAGAATGTTTGATTCGATAATACATACTTTCTATGACAATCAATTACCAAGGTTAATCTATATAAAGAACCCACGGTCATTTTACTTGTTCATCAAAAAAAAATTTACAAACATCCATAAAAAAGTTCATTTTTCAAATTGATTATTAAGTTACTCAGTACTCAGTTTCTCAAGTCAGATTTGCCTATCAGTTTCAGTCAGTTTCAGTTAGTTTATTGTTCACTTTTTGACGTCAAAATCAGCAATATCTCGGAAACTGGGCGAACTTGAGAAATGGCGATGATAGGTCAAACAGGCATTATGGATATGCATAAAATGAATGTTAATATGACTCAATATATATAGCAGTTTTAATTTGTGCGGCCAATGATGATTGACTTTATACATGAGGAAGTTCCCTGAAAATGACAAGTCCTACATTGTACTTTTTGTCAAATTTGATAGAGTAAACACAAATAAACACAAAAAACTGTACTTTCAAGAGCTTTGTAATCTTCAGAGAACATAACTTGCATATACAGCAACTACTACAAGTTATTTGAAAGTTCTACTTCAACAAAGTGTCTAGTATTTACAGAAAATTTGACTTTTTGACGTCAAAAATTCTCATTGCCCTGTGTTTGGGTGACGTCAGATTTCCAAATATCGGGCGAGTTTATCTAACAAGGGTGAAAAATGACATTTATCTTGACTTTGTTCAGTACAAAGACCAATTAAAGAACCAATTAGTATAAATTTGTCAATCCCGGGAACTGTAGGGATGACATAACAAGTCACGTATCTGTAAAAAAATTATTTAAGGCGGGGTGCCTGCTGAAAGAAAGATAGCAGCGTTTGATATATACATACCTTGTCCCCTATGTTTCGACGAGTCCATTTGTCGATGACGTCATTTTTCTTCATTGCGAGGGAGAAATGATTTGCGTGATATGAGAGAATTTCTATTCAATTTCCTGAGATTAACTGACAAAAGGTAGGTGGCGCTAGATAAGGGATCGGGCAAACTTATTATATATGGAGGGAAAACTTAAGAATAAGGCCGAATGAGAAAATAAATGGATTTTTTGATTGTCGAACACCAAGGTTTTTAGACCGTAGTAATAGCAAGGGGCGAAAAATAAAATAGTCTATGTCATAAATGTCATATGAAGGATACGGTCGCACCAGGCTTTCACCATAAAACTTCTACGGTCATGGCAAAATCCTTACACAACTCAAAAACACTTAATAACATGGCGACGGTTGTGCCAGGCATAAGTCTTGCAACAGATAGGGTGTGAGACTGGCTCAGTGGCTGCAGCTGAGTCAAAAATATTTGGGAGAAAAATTTACTTTTGGAAAAACAAATTGTGGAGAACGTGGGTGGGAGAAATGCGTCTGGACTGTGCATGAACATAATTCGACTGATGTAAATGAAATACGGAATACTCTCTTACCTGTACCCTTGGATCCAAAGCTTCATCATCGGAAAAGTCAGGGCTGTTGGAAATTTGTCTTTCCACGGCAGCCATAGTCCAACTCTCGCCTGAAATCTCGAGGGTCATCTCAAAGGTGAAGGTAGAATAATAACATTTTTAGCCTAGATCAATGATAATTGGAACATATGATTCCTCGTTACATTACAGATTTAGTGGAAAATTAAACTGAAAATATACAAATAGTTAGAATGTCAAGAACTGCGATCATATTTAGAGGAAAAGTGTCAATATCTTTGTTGGATATTGAGGTGGTCCCTTAGAAAAGGGAAACATAAAGATGGCAGCAGCAGTTTAGTCAGACCCGCCTCCACAACTTTTACAACTTCAAGAGTTTGTTGCCTATCTCATAGTGGTAAGTAGTACTGAGTATGTCTGTGCTTAAAACAATTGGAGGGAGTTTTCATCAATCCATAATATGCTTAGCTTTTGCATATGTTCAGGGCAGGGAACAAGCAAATGGTGAAAAATGAAAAAAACATGAAAAAAAACATTTGATTGCTTCACTTCAGTAAATCCATCCAGGGACTAGAATTTGGATATGTTAGTTTTGCAACTTGTTCTTCAGTCAGATATCTCAATCCAAGGTGATCATTTAGTAATGACTATGCCGCATGCCTGGACATGACGCGTACTGGTTCCTGCCTTAGGCAGGGGCGTAGCCACATATAGTCTTATCCCGTTCCAAGACTATAACTCATGGACTTCAAGAAGTCCATGTATAACTATAGTCTGGAACGGGATAAGTCTAGACCACATACGCAGAATGCGCAGCCGAGTACGATTGAGAGTCAAAAACCAAAAGTGAAAATTGAAATAAATCATATATTTTAATCCACTAGTGTTGTTATAGTGTTATGTTTTTAATTATCAAACAAGTGATCAGAGTTTATTAAGGTGCCATGGAAGTTAACAGGAAATGACAAAACAAAAAGTGACAAACCATGCTGGATTTTTAAACGCTTACCCCCAGGTTTCTTTTTGAGATATCAGTGTTCATTTATTGTAACTTGCGTTTGCTAACATTTGCTCAGTTCTGAGATGAAGGCCACACGCGTAGTTAAAAGGCCAACATTGGAACTATTTGTGACTTACATCCCTATTTTGGTAATTAAAATGAAAGTTGATCTCTTCCTCTTTATTTTGATACCAAATAACGGCATACTAGGTACTTGAGAAGCCAACTATGATGTTATTTGGATCAAAATCACAGTTTTTTAAATGGACTATATGCTCTTTCCAAAAGCAGTGATGCTGGATTTTCAAACGCTTACCCCCAGGTTTCTTTTTGAGATATCAGTGTTCATTTATTGTAACTTGCATTTGCTAACATTTGCTCAGTTCTGAGATGAAGGCCACACGCGTAGTTAAAAGGCCAACATTGGAACTATTTGTGACTTACATCCCTATTTTGGTAATTAAAATGAAAGTTGATCTCTTCCTCTTTATTTTGATACCAAATAACGGCATACTAGGTACTTGAGAAGCCAACTATGATGTTATTTGGATCAAAATCACAGTTTTTTAAATGGACTATATGCTCTTTCCAAAAGCAGTATTTGATGATCTGATGCACTGGGAGTTTGGCAGCACTTTTCAAATTAGGTAAACATTATTCCTCAAAAGTGCAAAAAACTTAGCTTCTTATATCACAAGATTATCACAATTATTTAGCATAGGAGATTGCAACAATTTTGGAAATTCGCGGAGGTAAAAGTCGACATTTACGGGACTCCATCGTGGGACACGCGAATGAGCCAGATTTTAATCAAATTTGCGGGATAGTCCCGCCATTCGCGGGACACTTGACAGATCTGAAGATAACAGAGTTCTGTTTGGACATCCAGTCAGTTTAACTAGTTCCACATATCATTTACATGACTTGGGACACAATGGAAATGGTTAGAATGACCATAAATATGATGAAATTACCTTTTCAGCCCTTTTCAGCCCTCTGATACAATTTTAAAAAATTTGATATCATTCTTAGAAAAAGAAAATCATGAAAAAAACTGAATTGAAAATCGATCTATTTTCCTTTTTACTACAGCCATTACTGTTTCAGACAATTTTTTAAAATTTCAAAGATCGGTATCATTTAGAGCAATATATTGGACACATTTTCTGAAAAAATCAAAAGATTCTGTAAATTGACCTTTCCAGCTGCACCTACTTTTAGCTCTTTTTCAGTCACATTTTCAGAGGGCTGAAAAGGTTATTTCATCATGTTTATGGTCATTCTGACCATTTCCATTGTGTTTCCAGTAATGTAGGCCTAAATGATACCTAGTTAAACTGACTGGAGGTCCAAACAGAACTCTATTATCTTGGTTCAAAAAGTTTTCAAAATCCAGCATGGTTTTGTCATTTTTTGTTTTGTCATTTCCTGTTAACTTCCATGGCACCTTAAGCCCAGTCTGCCTTTGAACCCTATGCAAACATCTTTTTTATCCCGGGTCATATCATTCTAACGCGGGTGCACTTTCTCTGTTGTCTGCAACCATATTGAAAACGGGTAATACACGTTTTACAGAACTGGGGACAATTAGCGTAACATTATGGCATCAAAACAAAACAATTAGGCAGTATAGGGTGCAAACAGCCTCTACTTGCAACATCAAAAATGACAAGCGTCACATTTTTTTCAAGTTTAGTCAACCTAAAAATAAATTACTTTACCCTTATTTAATCATGATAAAATTCACTCGGTAGCAAGATCTTGAGAGGACAATATTTCTAAAATGTTTTTGAATTTTGAAAAACGGTCAGGAAATCCACTTATGGCATTAGTAAAAATTGATATGTATGGAATTTGCGGTAAAAAATCGTTGCGTCACATTTTTTCAAGTATCGAAAATCAGGTACTTTTTTACGATTTTTGCTACAAGTGAAAAAGTAGTGAATGGATTTGGTAAAAATGGCAGCCATGGCTGTTTGATGATCGAGTTGCCAAGCTTTGACATTATTATTAATTTATTGGGATTCGTGAAGAAGATAACTTACATCATGGGCTTTCAAGAGCTTTTCTCTTGAAGGCCCATACCTACATGGATACTATTGATATGATACTGTTGAATGAACAAATCATCACCAAATAAAACATTACAACCATGCCTATGAGCCATAACAAAGAATATCATTAAAACTATGACCAGTTGACATATTCCATCCGTCTTATTATAACTTCAAAAGGCGGCACTTGTTTTTTATGTTTAATGTTTTAATGACTGCTTTAAGAACTTAGCTTTATACTTTGAGTTAAGGTTCTTTTTTCTCAAGCCTTGATCATGTATTCTTACATACAGCTAGCTGTATAGATATAAAGTTGTGCCACTTAAAGAGGTTCATTTCACATTAAGTCAGTTGGGACTCTTAAAAGTGTTCCACTAACAGAGGTGTTCCACCTCTAGAGGTATTACACTTGATCTACAGATTCCCACAAAAAAGTTATCATTATAAGTATCATAGTTTTAGAAACAGGACGTCAAACAACTTGACGTCAGTTGATAAATGCACTGATTCTGTTAGTAGATGATATTCTGGCAGACTACTCAGTATTCATTACAACTGAGATCTTCTCATTAGACAGACGTCATGGAGATTTAGACTTATCATTCATGTAGGATGCAGGGATTTAGCATCATTGTTTTCCCCTGGATTGAACGTGTACATTATGGTAATTTACCGAAAGATACTTTTCTGTGAAATCAACCACATTGATAAAGTAAATGAGGCAGTATTCTTCATAGGATTGGTACAAACAATTATGTCTCTTATCTAATTATTTTAAAAGTCTTTTTTTTCAATTAATTCAGTTGTAAAATTTACTTGTGCCTGATGACACAAGAGGAGGAAACATCCCAGAATTCATAGATGAACCTTTAGAGGCTCATATATTTACATGGAGATCGTACGTATTCTGGGTATTCCTCCTTTTTTCCAGCAGGCTGCAAATGGATCAAACTTGGAGAAAGGAAATTACAAGTGTTCAGCATTTAGTTGTCAGGAGATATGATAGGATTTGCAAATTGGGTTTGAGCAAGTGATGTGACATTTGCTGGAATTACACCAGAAAAACCGCTAAAAGCGCTTTAGAGGAAAGCGCTTTACAAAACCACCATCCTGATTACACCAACAATTCCAAAGCGCCTTAGGAATTTTATTTTGGAATTACACCTGTCATCTTTAAAACGCCTTTCTTGCACTTTTAACGATGTAGATATGCAAAATATCCAGCAGGTGTGTACATCTACAATAAATGTATTCTTTTAACATCTAAGAGAAAACGTAACCGAGACTTTTGCCAGTGATGTAAACTTACTTTCAATTTTTTCGATATGATTTGATGACCTATTGCATCTTTTGGCTCCCATACATCATTTCCTGTATTTTTGCGGTGGCCCAAATGTGTAGAATTCGAAATACATCTTATTTCGTTTAAGGCAAATGGTAAAATCCTGGGTAAGCCATTTTACAAAAACTGATCAGTATTACACTACACTCCATTTAAGGCGTTTTCTAGTGACTAGGGACTAGTGACTAAATGCATGGTGTAATTCCAGCAATTACTAAAGAGGTTTCTCTTCTCATGGCAGGTTTTGTTCTTATATATTATTTCTACTTAATATTCATTCTTCTGAATATAGTAAAACCAGTCAAATCCAAATGCTACTAGCCTACTAGGATGGGCCAAAATTGTTCAGATTAGCAGGTGTTCACACTTTAAGGTTTTATAGAAACATGTTAGTCAATCGGAGATAACAAATTTGAGACCGAAGAAAAGTATTTGCATTGAGAGGTGTTAAGATAAGAGAGGTGTTCAGATCAACAAGTTTCACCGTATATGTAAGGGTTATGTCCTGGGAGATTTTGGATATAGGGTATATCCTGTTTTCCGGAGCATATCGTAGCGATATCTTCCAGTTATTTATTTTTCCAATAGATATCAAATTTATTTTTTGATGTTATACATATAGTACACTAAGTATAAGGTAATATTTTATCCCTCATGATATGAGTACTAATTTAGCCCTAAAAAATCAATGAAATTACTGCTATTTTATCACTCATCATATGAGTACTCAATAACTAACTAAAAGATGCAATAAATCAGTACTCATGTCATAAGGGCTCATTTAGTACTAATATTTACTGAAATGAGTGCTCAGTTAGCGTTAAAATAGCATGAGTACTATTTTAGTACTCTGCATATCTCCCTGTGTATGAGATACATAGAGGTTATTTAATGGGAGGTTTTTGATTCAGGGTATATCTGAGGAGGGAAATACAATATATCAACCCGAGGGACCATAGGGACTGAGGGTTGATATATTGTATTTACCGAGGGATATACCATTATACCTGTATCAAAAATCTAGCATTTATTCTATACTTATAAGTTATAATAGTCAAGTCCCCTGACTCAGTATCTACTCTCTGAATTTGTGATGTCATTGATCTGATGAGCGGGTGATATCACGCTCACTTCAGATATTAATCATATTCCTGCATGTTATTTACCTATAACACTACTAATAAAACTACTAAGTATGGAATAAATATATTTATGTTCAATAATATGTGTTAACAACACAAAAACAAGTATTTCCCTGCTGATGAAGTTATGACGTGAAAGCCTCTCAAGTTTTCTGAGAGTTATAACCTTCAACCCTTATTGATATATAACACTGTGACTGAAAAACATAAATAAAAGAAAGTTAGTTTTATAAAACATATACTCACAAGCTACAGTATATCATGCTACTGACTGGAAGTATGTTTTTGATTCAACTCACAACATAATTTATTCAACTATTTTTCAGAGATAACTAAACTAAAGTATGTATAGCTAGAAGATATCAAGATCAGAGTTGATGTAACTAGCAGAATCTCATAACATACAGCTGCAACTTGAATCTCATATTTTATCAGGTAAGTAACATTTTGTTTGTACATTTATATTGAGTACATGTAGTACCTGATATTTATATTTTGTTGATAAATGTTTTTATCGAAACTCAATGTTTATGCAGTATTTACTGAATTTACTCATGTCCAGATATATTATGATGATGTAGAATATCATTTTTATCTAAATTAGTCATACAACCAATAAATTGTTATGAACTGATCAAACTTCACAAACAATATGCACTGGGGGATTCAGAAGCTAACAAGGGGGGGGGGGCTAAATTTCAAATCAGAAAAAATTCTGTGGTTGCGCGGCAAAAATTTTGGGCCCCGAGATCCCAAAATTTTGTAAATTTAATTTGGCCTAAATTTTTGGGGCCAATTTTTTTTCTCTGACCCACCAAAGGGGGGGGGGGCTGGGCCCAAGGATCTGCCAGTGATATGACACAGTAATCGTGGGATAAAGCGTGCCATCCAGAAGAAATCAACACTAACAAATAAAAAATTAAGAGTAGCAGTACAAATGTATAAATATACCTATACCTACATATATAGTTAGATCCTTCCTATGTTATGATCCTCACCTGGGGATCATCAGAGTTGTTCATTTGTAAAATGCTACTTTTTAACATGTTTTGGTTAAAATATCATAAGATTCTTCAATAGGGTGCAGCACAAAATTGCTTAAATGCTAGGAGGACCACTGTCAGATATAAATTATAATTCACTAGATATTAAATGAGCCTTATGAACAGAATATCTGTACATATTATAAAAAGAACACAATACTTCACTCCATACCTTTAGTAGGTTAATTTGTGGAACTTACTGCATTTTGAGGCAAAACTTTGTTATACTGCAAATATCTACTTGACGTTAATTCATTTTAGTGGCCTTAGGGATCATGTCCAAGTAGCTTCCCATTGGCTAATGCCATTTGAATGAGTGAACACCACAAATAGGTTAGCCAGACAAACTGGAATGGATGTCTCAGTGACATTATGGAATTATTCACCAAAATTGTTTCTATCTGTGATGTTAAACTACTAGTGTGATCGCTTTGTCCATTGAACTCTTTGCTGGGATGTGTAGAATTCATTCATAGTGGGTACTGGCAGATCTGTAGGGGTGGGGGGGGGGGGTCTTGGGTGGGCCCAGAAAATAATTTAGGACCCCAATCAGTGGGGCTTTTAGGGGCCTAAAACATTTTTCTGTGCAAGTGCTGAATTTCTTTCAGACTTGAAATATGCCCCCCCCCCTTGTTGGTTCCCACATCCATCCCCGGTAGGTCCATCTATTAAAATCTGCAGTCATACTTAATTCAAGAGAGCATATCCATTCCTTGTATGAGTATGGCCTGATAACATCAACACAGAATGGAACCTAAAGTAAATTGCTGGGGTATAGAATAGGTGCATGAGGACTGCCCAGCTATCACAACTGAAGAACTGTTCTTGTATGGGCCAAGCATTGGTAAACTTTACCTCTACCACACTGTCTATTAACCAGTATCCTACATTTAGCATTAGGACAAACCCTATATATTCTGATAGCCTGGCATCCATTGGGCCATCCAGGAAACATGTTAAGATAATTATAAGGTATATTTGAAAGATGACCTGAATGAGTTTGAATGCTTGGTCAACCAGGTTTATGCTTGCTATAATTATGAATTCATTTGTCCCTGTGGAAATCTCTGAGCTCATGTATGAAGTTTCTTCATCTTGACAATAGAACATCCAGTTTGGGTCAAAGTCTTGATAAACTACTGTAGGTACTGTAGATATGTAAGAGAATGCAACGTCTAACAGTAGACCCAAAGATGATATTATTAATATTATACATTCTGTGTCAAGGTCGCCATAGCGCCTCAGTCTGTCTGATTTATGCAACTTGTAGATAATATATGAAGTAACTGCTATTAAGGTTGGGTCATATACTGTTTTAAGTACTAATGAGATGATGACAGCATGTCTGTAGAATGTCTTTATCAACATGGTACATTCCATTGTGAATAGGAGTGCCATTAATAATAAACCAAGGAGCCAGAACATCCCATAGCATCTGAAACCTGTGCCACAACAGTTCAAAGACTCTTTGAGCCATACCATAAAGTCTTTGAAGGCTACCCAAATTAGTTGGAAGAATGTTAGATTTCTCGGTATAATTGGTGGATCTACCAGTACTGGATTTTGAATCATATGGCCATCATTGTCCCCAGGTAATTGCTGTTCTATATTAGGATCATCATGGTCATTCTGTTCAATAGGTTCAATATCTGGATAATCTATCAAACCCTCTTGCAGCCTCAGTTTACTGTGTTTTATACTGGATCTTGTGTGAATTAACATACTACTGGCCAGGATGCAAAATTCAAGTTGAAAGGGGTGTAAGTATGTCTCTAAATGTTTTACCTTTTCCTGCATATCACTTTTTTCATGCAAACATTTATTGGCATGTTGGCGTAAGGATTCATCAATTATTGTTAGATTGTGCTCAATAGGTTCCTTAGCAAATAAAGGTTTACATTCAAATAAAATTGAATATATCCAAAGAAATAAGTTTGATGCTGCTGCAAATAAAAACACAGATGTTTTCTTAATGTTTGGGTTATTGTGAATATTGCCATAATTGCACCACATCAGAAGCAGTATTTGGGAAGACATATATACGAGAGGTTTCCAGATTGTGAGGACCAAGTCCAGTATTTTCTCTTTATATATATCCTCAAAGTAACTATAGGCATCCATACATTCTGCTGTTGCTATTATTTTGAAAATGTCAAATATGAATGTCCCCGCTAGAAACAAAATAATTCCAATCGTAGTTATACCATTTGTGTCTGATAAACGCCATGGTACATACCTCCAATGTTGTTTGTTGGTTCGACTGAAGACAAAGATGAAGAAAACAGTTAAGATTTGCAACAGAAGCAATAGCCACAACATAAATGTTTCTGAGATACCATGTTTTTGATTCACTGTTATCCACCTCGATAATCCAAACGATCCAGCGAAAGCTAGAAACACTGTCATTAAAATATAGTTAACGATACTCCACTTTGACTGCATTTTCAAACTAGCTCAATGCTACGCAACACCTATTTATGAAAACACTATATTACTACTATTTTACTCCAACAACTCATATTTGTGTTCTAAACTGGGATTTCTTTTTGCATGCAAAACTTTGTTTAGATTTGTACTTCCTTCTTCGTGGAACTTTGTATGAAAATTAGAATCCTCAAAATATTTCAAAACGAAAGTAAGTTTTGATTCATTTGCATGCTATATTTAATCTCGCTAAGTTAAGGAACATATCTGATATTTATGCTTCTACACGGGGGGGGGGGGGTCGGTTGAACTTTTTTGCATAAATAATGTTTAGTCTTTCCTCAAGACATTGATCACTCCACAAGGTGCTTCATTTTGTGATCTGAAGCAGTCTTGTTATGTAGTTAGTTGACACAATAGAGTGCATTGATAAGTGTGAAGATCAAAGGATATTATGTTTCAGTTGAGAGTTTATTATAGATTTTAAATCACATTCAACAAAAATTGACTGAGTTAAGAGAGCAAGCCTCAATTTAAAAGATGATATAATGAAAGATGATTTAATTGCCTGTCATCTGTAAATAATCTGTAAAATTTGTGTTTATTCATAGATGGCATATTGATTACTTCTAAAACTGTTGAATCTAACAATAGGAATTGATCATTTTTTCCAGCATCAGTTCAGTTCATTTGTCCTGGAATGCATGTTTAAGATAAAACTGTGAAGTAAATCATTAGTATATGGAATACACATTGCTTATCATTTTTTGGAACAAAGCATGAAACTTGCGGATGGTACTTTAAAGTATATTGAGATTCATTTTTATGTCACCACCAAGAAGTGGTGACATATTGTTATGGTCTCCGTTTTTTGTGGTGGCGGCGGTTGGCGGTTGGCGATCGGCTTCTGTAACAAATTCTTAAAACTTCCAATAACTTAACAAATACTGTTTAGACTGACTTCATTTTTTTCCAAATCAGCTACAAGTTTATAGAAGTTAAGATTTGACCTTTAATGACCTTTCAAGGTCAAAAAAAGATTAAAAAGGTATTTTTTTCAACTTGCTTCAAATTGACCAATTTTTTTAAAAATCATCTGCAAGTTATCAGAAGGTCAAATGTGACTCTAGCTTTAAGATTTGACCTTCAATGACCTTCTCAAGGTCAAAAAAGGTCAAAAAGGTCTTTTTTCAACTTGCTTCAAATTGACCAATTTTTTTTCAAATCATCTTCAAGTTCTCTCTGGCTTTAGATTTGAGCTGCTGGTTAATCACTATTGAGAGCATTGAGTGATCACATTGTCATGATGCAGGAACAATTTGGGAGGGATAGGGTGGGATATAATCTCTTTGTTCCTGCATACAGTTCGGTAGAACTACAGTCAAACTTCAACTTACCAAGGTAAGTCTCGTTTAACTATCAATTCTACCTCACTGTATTACGTAACAAAGAGACTATATGAGATTTTAAAGCATGGGATCACTCAATAATTAATGAATATCAAAATAAAATTTTGAAACAACAAAAGCATAACTTTTGTAATGAAGATTATCTTCAAGAAACATCAATTATAGAAACAAAACAATGAAATTGTTAAAGCTGTACTCAGACAATCTTGTGTCAAGTTAATTACTCAGACCTCACAAAAGCACAATGCCCACAGCTGTGTAAAAACACATCCTTCCCTTTAGGTTTATTGATACACTGTATTTAACTCATTTTTGACATTTCAAAAAATAAAATATAGCATCACATGCATTCCTGTAGTCTTATCCAGATACTAATATGGATTTGGCATGAGTTGTTAATTACTGCTGTAAATTGGGATATATTACATCAATTAATGTTAAAGGTTTCTGAAGAAACCCAGTTATAAGTTCTTATTAAAAAAGAATGTATCTACATAATGTCAAAACATTATCAAATAATCACATGAAGTCATATTTGATGACCAGTTTTATGAGATTT